CCCACAGGGACATCTTGCGCTAACGTATTTTATTAGACACCCCTGCCGAGATGCGTGCCCACTTCGACAAGCTCGGCTGGTCCCGAGTTGTCGCTTTCCAGACCAGGTCAGAGCGCTTTGAATAAACCCGTATCTGTACAGTGCAGCCACTTACCGTCGCAGAAACCCCATGCACAGAGCTCACCGTGAACTGACTGTTCGCGCCGCCCGTGCTCGCCAGGCCAATGTCCTGATCCACCCCGTCGTTGGTCTCACCAAGCCCGGTGACATTGACCACTTCACCCGTGTCCGTGCCTACCAGGCTCTGCTGCCCCGGTACCCCAACGGAATGGCCATCCTGGGTCTCCTGCCCCTGGCCATGCGTATGGGTGGTCCCCGTGAGGCTGTCTGGCACGCCATTATCCGTAAGAACCACGGTGCCACTCACTTCATCGTTGGTCGTGACCACGCTGGTCCGGGTAAGAACTCCAAGGGTGTCGACTTCTACGGCCCCTACGATGCTCAGCACGCCGTCGAGAAGTTCAGAGATGAGCTTGGCATCGAGGTCGTCGAGTTCCAGCAGGTCACCTACCTGCCCGACACCGATGAGTACATGCCCAGGGACCAGGTCCCTGCTGGTACCAAGACCCTCGACATCTCCGGCACCGAGCTCCGCAAGCGCCTCCGTACCGGCGCCCACATCCCCGAGTGGTTCTCCTACCCCGAGGTTGTCAAGATCCTCCGCGAGTCTAACCCCCCTCGCCACACCCAGGGTTTCACCATCTTCCTTACCGGCTACCAGAACTCCGGCAAGGACGCCGTGGCTCGTGCCCTGCAGGTGACTCTCAACCAACAGGGTGGTCGCTCCGTCTCCCTTCTGCTCGGTGACACCGTCCGCCACGAGCTTTCCTCCGAGCTGGGCTTCAGCCGCGAGGACCGCCACACCAACATCCAGCGCATCTCTTTCGTTGCCGCCGAGCTCACCCGCGCCGGTGCTGCCGTCATCGCCGCCCCGATTGCCCCCTACGAGGAGTCCCGCCAGGCTGCTCGCGAGGCCATCTCGCAGGCCGGTACCTTCTTCCTCATCCACGTCGCTACTCCTCTCGAGTACTGCGAGCGCACCGACAAGCGTGGCATCTACGCCAAGGCTCGCCGTGGTGAGATCAAGGGCTTCACCGGTGTCGACGACCCGTATGAGGCTCCCGCCAAGGCTGATCTCGTTGTCGACGTCTCTAAGCAGTCCGTCCGCAGCATCGTGCACGAGATCATCCTCATGCTCGAGAGCGACGGCTTCCTTGACCGCGCATAAATGTAAATCGGACGTAATAGGTGGATGAACAATACTAGTTTGGGGGAGCTTTCTTGTCCTACATAGATTAGATATATTTATTATTTGATACTTTACTGCAAATTCGAGATATCCTACAATGAAAAATAGTTTCTATGAAATAAATATGAAATGAATACTCCATAAATTGAATTAATTAAATAAAAATAGCGACTTGATTCATAGAGTCTAAAAGTAAAACTAAGCAAACAGTGCAAACACATGCACATCTTCAGATCCTCGCTTTGCAAGCACAGACAACTTCATCACAAACTTCTTGATCATTTGCCGCGAAAATGCTTCCTCCTCGCAGTGCAGTGAGTCGAATACCAGCGCTCGCCAGATCATGGAGGCCTCACAACATCAGTCCTCGCAGTGTATCGCATCACCAGCTCCAGCTCCGGCCCTTCAACACTAAACCTCCGCTTCTACTTCTCTCCCCGCCTCTAGGTCGACCTCAGCTACCCTTCCTCGCGCCCCAGACCCATAATCGCCCTCTTCCCCCGTTATCGGTACATCTAAGACAGCACTTTGGTCGACTGATTTCCACCGAGCGCCGAGATTACTACAAGCGACGCCTCTCGCGCGGGTTCCGCATCGGCGTCACCTTCTACGCCATCCTTGTGTTGTTCCAAGTCATCAAGTTGGGCGTGTACCAAGAGCAGCTGGAGCACTCGTGGCCGACGCCGCAGGAATGGACATGGAAAAGCCGCTGGTGTCTACGATCCGCGCATGCGCAGCAGCACCCGGAACAGATCGGCAAGCTGCTCACCAGCTGGCCTATGGTCGCCGGATATCTGCGTGAACTCATCGGACGATTGGAGGACATAGAAGGTGAAGGAAAGGGGATCGTTGAGCAAGAGGATGGAGGGTTCCTGATCGAGGGAGTTGGCAAGACCGGATTCGATATTACGGCTAAGAGCGAGCCCTGGAGACGTGGCTACTTCGATGCGTTGATCGGTTCGGCGCGAGCAGCAGAGAACCTGGAAGGGTGGATGACGGATCGGAAACAACGGATTTCTGCACCCGCAGAGTACGTGGTTGGGCCTTCGAACCCTCGGCCGAAGCCCATGCCGGCGGGGGAGAAGAAGGTGCCGAGAGAGGAGGACAGCGAGCCGGCCTCGCCGAGCCCAGAGGTGTTTTACGTGAAGATCCTCACCACAAAGGGGTTTACCACGAGGCAGAAGCTGGATGCCGCGCTTGCATATGCCGACTGGTTGGACTACAAGGGTCTGCAACAGACCGCCCGCGACATGTATACCTGGGCGATGGACATTGCGGTCTCGGGCCTCCCTCCTTCATCGAATGCCAATAACGAGGTCGTCGATACGCGGACCGGCATCCTGCACACGGCTGACAAGACTTTGCCCTCTGAAAACATCATCCGCGTGTCCACCGCTCTCGCTGTGCACAAAGCCCGCCATGGAGACCTCACCAGCGCTCTCTCGATCTTCACTTCTGTCCTGAAAACCCGCCGGTCCCTACCACAGCCTGCCCCCGGTACTGTACTACCGCTGCCGCCGTCACCGCCCCCTAACAAGATTAACAATACTATATTTGCCGCCTTCTTCGAATCGATCCGGATCATGTTCGTCCCCTCGGAGTTCCCCGCACCCCCCGCGTCGGGCAACGACCCTCCACAGCGCACCAAAGACACCATCTGCGAAGAAGCAGGCTTGATGACGTACATTGGGGAAATCCTCTTCGCGTCCTCGTCCAGAGAAGCTGGACTCGCCTGGACGCGTGACGCAGTCGACATGGCTGAATCGGCTCTCTGGGAGCTCAGCCGGGCCGGTGCAGACAGCGACACGCGCCAAAAGTGCGCGCAGTGTCTCAAGACAGGCCTCGAGAACTGGAAGACAATGGTGCAGAAGCTGGTTGCGCGCGCGGAAAAGGACGAGGAGGAGGGTGTCCTCAAGGCGAAAACCGCGTGGTGGGGCGGCGCGAAGCAGCTGCAGGCTAAAACACTGGAGCGGAAGAGGTGGCAGGCCGAGGAGATGATTCTCGACGACCGCATCCGCTCCCTCTGGCCTGTTGTTGTGGGAGAGTCGGCGCTCGATGGCCTCGCGCCGGGCAGCTCCTTGTTCCTTTAGATGCGTTTTGCGCGTTTTGTGTATAATTTGGGTAAAAAGGGGCATGAGATGGAGTCTTTGGGTTCTCTACCGTATCTAACTACTCTTCTGTAATATACTTTCTCTTGTTGGGCAATTAAATTACTACTGTGCTAGTTTCAAGTAGAGGCATGTTATAAGGAAGTCATGTCAGGGGAATAATAAGCAATAATATATCAGTAATAGAGAACAATATATATTGTCTACAAGGAGATAAAAGTACTGCAATAAACAAGGTATGTATCGTAGAACAGCATTCGGCAGAAAACCTGCTTTTATTCAAGAACAGGGACAAGGCAAATAAACGTATATGGCATCTAGAAAAGATACCGCTACTTAGGCAGAGAAGGAGAGAAAAAGAGATAGAAAGAGAGGGAGAGAAGGAAAAAAGGAGAAGAAAAAAAAATTAATGCCCAGCTATTTCTACCGTTATGAGCTTCCTCCGATGACCGTTCCGTTTGATGCGGTGATTGTGTAAGCGCTGAAATCCAGGGTATAATCTGCGTCCACGCCGAATTTCTCCAGGTCTATAGAGCTGCTATTACTTGACGAAGAGGTCCCCTTTGACAGATACGCCTGGATGGCCGACTCGGTGTCCAGCGCGATGTCGAAGTCGCCGGTCTGCTCGAAGATGAAAAGAACGGCGATCTTGGAGAAGTCAAGAACAGTGGTGGAAACGCTGGTTGCCGTGGATGTCGCGGTTGCAGTCGCGGTTGCAGTCGTGGTTGCGGTGGTGGTTGTTGCAGTGGAGGAGGTCGACGTTGCTGTGCCTGTGGCCGAAGAGGTCGAAGCGGTGGTGGAGGTAGTCGCAGATGCAGTCTGGGATACGTCGTCAAAGACAATCCCGTTGACGGTCTCGATCGAGTCTCGAGCGGCGAGGGTCGGGGTCGAAGTCACAAAGGTGGTAATGGAAGGAGGGATAGCGTTGGGCTCGTTGTCGCCACCTTCAACTGGCAAGTCGGCGAGTGACCGACGGCGCTTGCTGCTCGTGTCGAGTTCTTCAAAAGAGACGAGTGCGTTCTCCGTCCTGCAGGTAACATTGCTCGCGCTGAATAAGGCAAGGATGGTCGTTGTGTCAAGAGGGATGCTGAAGTTCGACTCGGACGCCTCGAACAGGGCTGGTAACGAGCTTCCCACAGTTGCCTCGGACGAGGAGAGCTTCATAGTGACACAGCTTGAATCTCCAGCAACCGTGCAGTGTTTGCCAGTGTAGCCATTCGAGCAGACACAAGAGCATATATCGCCGCTGGATACGCTGACACCACCATTCTTGCACGGGTTGGTCGTGGCGCAGCTGGAACTGCTCGAGCTGTGATGCCGAAGTACCACGAGAAAGATGGGCAACAGGACGGCAAGGAGAACCACGATAACCACTAGCACACAGACCAAGACGAAAACCCAAGTCGGCATTCCGCAACAGCGTCGTTGGCGCTTCGAAGACCCTTCAGCAGCACCCTCGACGTTCTGGTCGCCGGAATCTATCTTATGCAAGGTGGATCTCCTGAAAAATACGGGCCAAGATGAGTGTGCGTTGGAGTTGTTCTGGCCGGTAGGGTTTGGGAATGAGTTGAGAATGTCAGAGATAGATCCCGAATGGCGGGAGCCACGACCTAGACAGAAAAATCGTTAGTTTGACATTCTAGAAATCATGGATATAGAAGACTCACCCATATTGGGCCCGTCAAAATCATTCAGCGCATTCGCCTTGCTGGCAGTTCTGCCGTGCTCCAAGTTCGACGCGAGTCTGGTAGCCCGCTTGATCAAATCAGGCAAGCTTGTCAGGCTTCCTCTAGCTTCTGCATCTTTCACCGCACCCATATTGAGACGGGGAGGGCGACGTCCCATGGGTCTCTTATCACTCATCGTAGGGGCGGGTTTTGGGAAGCTACCGAGTTCTTTCTCCAGAGCGAGATCGTCAGCATGCATATCTATTTCGCTAGGATGAAGCACAGGAATGGGCATCGGTAACGGTGTCTTCTCGATGTTGTAATGGTAAGACTTTTCTGAGGACACTGTCGAGTTTGAATTTCTAACTTCGAATCTGGTGACCCTGTGTCCGTCAGTGAGGACTTCCTTGGCAACAGGAGCAGAGACGACGTCGCTCTCAACAGCGTCCTTGGCGGTGACAGATGATTCGGTGTTTGGTTTCTGTATCGTACGCAGAGAAGGCTTGCCTCGTGTTCCGACGCTGGCGCTGCGGAGGAGCATGGCATTTCCTTCCATGTCTAGGTTCTCATCCTTGGAGTGAGTCTCGTCATCGTTCAAATAAGCCCCAAGAATCTCCGACTCTGCCGGGGCCGAACCCCAACTAGAAGGAATAACCCTGCTCGACGCAAATGAACCAACACGGCCGCTTGGACTTTCTGTGAGCTCCTCGGGAATGGGTGAAACGGCCGATCCACGAATATTGAAAGGATGTTGAGATTGTCTGTAAGGAGGCACAGGAGCCAGGTTGGCATTATTATGAATATGATAGGAATCAGCAAGAGCAACTGGGAAATCCGGAATCGTGCCCACAGACGAAGTGCCTGATTGACGGAATAACTCCTCAGTCGCGATAGATATACGCGGCGTCGTATCGGTTGGGCTATCAACATCATCGTAACGGTCCTGTGGCACCTTTGGAGGAGGCATCTGCCGATAAGCCATCTGCTGGTGAAGTATCTGCTGACGGGGGATCTGATAATGGGTCATCTGTTCCTGAGACACTGGAGGGACAGGTGGAAAGTCCCGTCTGATATGAAGTGGACTTGGCGCGTAATCAGAGACCGAGTTCACGGAGTAAACCGAAGGCGACGGTATATCGCTGGGGTGTGGTGGTCTTTGGGGTGGAGGCCCTTTGGAAGGGTATGGCTTCGTGGGCGGCGGTGCCAGGGTCGTGTTATCGGGCAGCGGCCAGTTTGTCATGCGAGCGGGATCAGAGGCAGCATTCGAGGGTACAGCCGGTTGCCGGCGATCTCCAGGGCGCATGCCAGCTTCCAACATCTGCCTAGCATGCTTAACGGAGCCTTTTCTATCTGGACCATCTCCCCCCGACTTCGGAACTGGTTTCGGTGCCTTGGACGCCATTTTTTGGCCACTTGCCGATGAATCAATAATCTGAGATTAGCACACGGATTGGCAGTGGATAATAGGTATCGTTATAAGCCAGAGAGTCGGCGATACATATGAGGGAGGTGACTGCCAACTGCGCCGAAGAAAGGAGTGGTTGCCCGTGTTTGGTCGAGTGTTTCTTTTTGTATTCACAAATAAAATCCGATTAGGTCCGCCAGCTCGACAGAGATCGAGAAAAGAAAGAAAATCGAATCTGGCCTTTGACGAAAACGAAGAGTCGAAAAGTGCCTAGGGGTAGGTCTCTATGACGGTCACTGGCAGCTGGTGAGATAAGGCGAGAAATAGTCGACAATTGTAGAACAGATATCAATCTGACTAGTCAAAGGACAGTATAATGCCAAAGGACTTTAGAGCCACAGGCTGAAAGCTAGCACGGAATGAAGAGAATAGAAAAGATGGCTCTCAAAGCCTCTACTAGGTAAAGCTGGAGTTAGTATCCTTACAGATTGAAATTAAATAATTAAAGAAAAGAAAGATACTATACCTAGTAGTAAAGAATGATTGAGGAAAGAAACGAGTGAAAATATCCCTATTCACAATGCTACTATTGTGCGGTATTAACCTTGCACTGTTGTAGTGGTGGTGACTGGAAGTAACTTGGGATTATTATAGGCCGGCCCCTAACAATAGAATCATCAGTCAGGGAGAAGGGAAAAGGATAGTATCTATCTATCATGTTTATTCCGTTGTGTTTTATCTTCAATCCACTTACAGTACTCGGTACAGGGGGATCCAAAGAAGAACGAGCCTCGAGCTCTTGAACTTGAAGGTCAAGATCGGAAAAGAAAGACTGAAGAGAAGGAAGAAGAGCCCTTGGAAGCCCCGTCAAACAGCCATCTGAAGGAGGAGAGTCTGTAACCAGCCCGCACCAGGTGGGTAACAGTAATCAAAGATAGTTTGGCAGGCCCGGCGTTCCCAGGGCACAGCCAGCAGGGAGTATTATTATTAAATTAAACAGCCATAATAACGCTCCGTATTGTTGCTAGCTGCTAGCCTGCTACTCTAACATAGTGAACTCGAGCCAGGTGGAGTCACTCAGTCTTCGCCGCTGACAGAGGCTGGAACGCAAAGGCGATGGCTCCACAGCCATGGATGTGTACCTGGCACGGAGAACGGAGTAGACGATTAACTAAAACCTAGACAGTTAGCCCTCAAGAACATAATTAGCATACAGGGGAGGCCCGATACCAATTGATAGAAAGAATCATAGATAACACGTAGCTACCCCGTACTTCCTCACGAGTACGCCGCGTGGTATCCGTAGTATCCGTAGGATCCGTAGTCTCTGTGGGCTTTCGACGCTATGTCTCTCATCGTTCAGACAGCTCAAGCGAGATAATGTGAAAGAAGCCGTTGGTGAATCTTGACAGAGGGGACAATTGGGCGAATAGCAAGGCACAGCTGCATGCTCGAGGGAAGAGAAGTGAGTGGAGGCGATGGAGTACGGAGGAGTGGCTCCCCGACGCTACGTCTCATCTTCAGCCAAGGCGGTCATTAGCAGGCATCGTTATAGGACCGCCCACCCCGAAATTTCAATTCGAAACTCCGTGCATCAAATCATGTCAGTATAATCACACTCCGCCAGGGTTTTTTGTCCACGGTTCTATCTCTTGGTCTAAGACAGGGTGAAGGATTCTACTCTATACTACTTAAGTACATAACTGACTACATAACTGACTACCTAGGTAGCTTCTCTCATACGGGACAATAAATTACTATGACGAAGCGTAATTACCAGTGGAGCGGACATCAAGTGGATGAACAATACGAAAAAGAACGGCTTCGATGCCTCTCAATTGCTCTCCTGCCCAGAATTAAGAAACCAGGGAGTCGACCGTCCCTCTGAGCGCATCTCAGTCGTGTGATTATGTATAAAACAGTGAACACTCTGCACCATCAAGTCGCTAGAGCATCTAGGATCCGAGATCCAGCTGGACAAACCAATAATGCGATGGCTAGATATGAAAATTACGTATGCCCAGGCATTTTGGTGGAGGGTTTGGTACTCTATAAGGGGGAGAGGCTGGATTTTCCCCTGACTACACCCCGAGTACTATTACTATAGTAAGCAGCAGGAATTGATGCTAGGTAGAGGATAAATCAGGCAACCAGGCCATATCAAGGATAGTAAAACCCTTACTATAATTATAATATCAAGTATTATGGTTATGGGCATCTGCATGCTATACTAGAATAATAAATTAATAATAGTACATCTATAGTTATAGTGTATGATGAAGTAGCTACTAGCCAGTTAGTAACTAGTTATAAACTATTCATAGTATCAAGTAGTAATTAAATACCTCAGGGTTTCAAAGCATCTATTTTGTGTCACTATAGTATCATAGATAGATTAAAATCTAGACCCCTAACTACTGTCATTCAAATCCTATAGATCTAGCCATTGCTTAAAGATAGCCAATGTAGATCTTCGCAGCGTTGATATGTGGAGACTACCATATGTAGGTAGTATAAGATTTCTCCTCAGACTTCTATAGAAGAACCCTGAAAATCTATAGCTTATGCACAATATAGACTCACGAAGCTCGTTACATTATCAATACGAGAGTACATACATCTATATTGAACGAGTATTGATGTGGATAAATAGAAACATACCAACACGCTGTCTACTCATCCTCAATGATTCCTTTGCTCGATTGCCTTACGCAGTTCGAGAATCTTCTCTTCGGCCTCTTTCATTTCAACGACCGTACCCGCTAACCCAGACACGGGACCCTCCACGGCTTCCGTGAAAGATTTCTGCGCGTGGCGTAGAGACGGCGGAACCAAGATCCCATACCATGTGATAGGGTCCCAGGAGCGAAACACCTTTCTAGCAGGCTTGGGTTTCACAGATGCTGCAGCCTCGGTTTCCGAACCGCTAGTTGAAACCGACCGTTGCTCTCCCTCGTGTGAGTTCACACCTGGCTGTTCAGTAGGTGTTGGAGGTTCCATCGGCTTTTCTCCGCCATCGCCTCGCCCGGTTTCTTTGTCCTCTGTAGCAGGATTATCTTCTCGAGGGGCATGCGTTATCGTAAACGCATGTCTGGGAGTATCGGGTTGGCGATTTTCTTCAATGAAAGTTTCCGTGTCCGATGTGACCACCGTTGGCTCTAGCGATCTTCCACGTTACCCAGAACAATTAGCTATCGGGAACACGCTGATGGTGTACAGCTCCCACTCACATTTTCCGAGTGGCCTTCATGCGATCATCGTAGTAATCAACCCCATATCTTCGGCCGGGGGGCGACGAGTAATTCGCATGAGCAAGAGACAGAAATCCCTAGCAGTTCACAGTCAATAAGGGTCTCATAACAATTCATCCCCTCTGATTTCTTTCCGTACCGATGACAGACACTTTCCCAGCTCCACCTGAAGCTTCTGGTGTCGATCGAGAAGCTCAAGATACCTCTCAAGGGCCTGATCCAGAGACTCTAACAATTCCCCAGAGGTAACTTCTGCAACGACTGGTTTTCGTCCGCCTTCTTGTGAGCCGTCTGCTGGTTCGGAGGCACAGCGGGAGGCAGGCGGTGTTGGAATCTGCGCCATCGTGGGGACTGCAGTCTTCTTCAATGCAAGCAATGATTCCACGCGTAAAATCTCCAGTTCCAAACCCTTGTTTGCACCGAGATCGCCGTCCGCAGTCATCAACGTTGACCCGACTGGTTAGTTGAGGCCGAGCTCCGCGGAGGGTCAGAGCCGCAGCCGATAACTCCGTCATCGTGGCTCCGAGGCAAACGTGGAAGGGAAAAAAAAGGATTTGCCCGCCCTGCGCTTCTTGTACAACGCAGAGATCTCTAGCTTTGCATTCTATCTGTTTATATAACATTTTTCTACTCCATCCCTTGGGGTCGTTCATGAGCTGTCGAATCTAGCTTCACGAACCTCTCCAGCGCCACTGTCGGTCCGGGCTACTAGTAATTGCTAGCTTGCCTGTCTAGAATTCCCCGAGGTCCTGCGATAGCCAAATTCACGTCGTCTCGGTCACAGTTCTTTGGCCACTCGCGTCTTTTTTGCCCTCTTTCTTTTTTCTTCTTACGCTCCTCTATCTTTTTTCGACCTTTTTCATCAAATCTCCACTCTCCAGCTTCACCATGTCCGTTGCTACGCTGCAGCGGGATACCGCTTTTCAAGTTCGCTCTCTGGTGAGTAACCCGATGCCTGATATACCACCACCAACACCTTACCTCGTCTGGCATGGCAAGGGCCTCGTGGAAAACTCCAACTAACAGTTTCTAGTTTCGTTCTCTGCTCCGACAGTCTTCGCAGTTCTCCAACTACAACTTCCGCCAGTATGCTCTTCGGCGGACTCGGGATGCCTTTCGTGAGCACCAGACTGAGAAGGAGGAGCGGAGGATACAAGAATTGATGCAGGAGGGGTTACAGAATCTACGCATGTTGAAGGTTCGTGATGCGACAACCCTCTCACGGGGATCGCGTGGGCAAGAAGGGCAGCCATCTTGACCCCGCGGCGAGCTTCGCTACGATGCCAACCTGGAGATCGCCTAGAGGATAATTTGCGCTAACTATGCCCTCACAGAGACAAACAGTGATCAGTCAGTTCTACCAGTTGGACAAGTTGGTTGTTGAGGGCCAGAAATCAGTAAGTCATGATTTTGCCATATAAAATTTCTTCTGTCTGCTTTTGACAAGGTCCTGATCACTGTATAGGGAAAACAAACGGGCCATGAAGGCAATTTGGTTCGTCAGAAGGATACTGGGTAAGGGAAAAAAACCACCCCCCCCCCCCCCCGGCAACTCCACTGCTATTCTCGTTTGTTGTGAATTCTAACCTCTTCGACAGCTGGGACTAAGATGGATCAGAGCGCGGTATAGATTCTGGTTTCCACGGCCGGTTTTTATACCCGACTTCTTAAAAACCTATCTCTCCTTTTTTCTGGTGTTCGACCGGTTCCAGTGGAAGGATGGAACGGATACATAGATCAGGGGTGTTTTGTACTATTAATCTACATGATGGTTGGGGTATATCTTTTATTTATTAGCATTGCAGTATCTCCTGCGACTCTCCACTCACAATCAGTCCCTTTAGACCATGATTACTACCTGGATACTTGAAATTCCAAACTCACAAGGCTCGGAATCAGAATCGTGGATGTCCGTAGGTCACGTGAACGGACTTATTGCCGCCTGCGGTTATGATCGCAACGCGACAAGCGTTCGTTACTATCTATCTTGACCTCATGCCAGTCGCTGGCCAGGGACGTCTGTTAATCGATATATTTAATTTCCATTGATTATCCCATCATTATTTTCGTGTCATATTGGTCAAGATCTATTATCTGCCTTGAAGCCTGCTTGCAATGGCACCTACAGTAAGTTCATGACCGCGCGCCAACTTCTGGTCTCTATCTCATCAAGAACTTTTTCTTGATCCGAGAAACATTCGACTTGGGAAACTTCGATGTGAATGATTCCTATCCTGACACGATGCAGTTTAGGTCCTCCCGCTCCGGTCGGCAATTCGCCGATCAGACGGCGAACCGTAGCCGGACAGGCCAGATCGATCACGATGTTTTCGAAGGTTTACCGGTGCGTCGCTGGACACGGCAGCAGCTCACAGTCTCGCAAGAACCCAAGCCCGAGGATGCAGAGGCTCCCACGGAGGGCCTCCCCGCCAACAAGACTTTGCCAGAGCTTCCCATGCCCAGAGACAGCAACCTCCTGACCCCAATGAGCAAGGCGCTTCTGCGTGCAGCCCGCGCGGGCTGCATATACATTCGACACGTCAGCAAAGAGGTAGACGATGAGGAGAAGGAAGCCACAGATGTGGAGGAGCAGACGACACCACACCGGACAGAACGCAGCTTCACTGCTCGCAAGTGGGCGGTATTGCCGAAGCAGATGGAACCCGCCGAAGTTGAATTCCTGGCGAAAAGGAGGCCAGGGCTGCCATCGTTGTATGGTGCTGCTGCGGCTGCCGATGGTGCTGCAGCTGGCTCCTCGCTGCCCATGAGGAAGACCAAGTTTAAGAAGGTCGATCCTGTCACAGGGAACATCTCCGTCTATGAGGCTTGGGTGCCAGAAGGACATAAAATTGAGGGAGAGATCACGGAGGCCGACCAGATTGTGACAGAGAAGACCGATGTCGCTATTATCCCTCAAGCTCCTGCGCCGGGCACTGTTGTCGAAGGGGTAGGTGTCGTCAATGCCGAAGGAGTTGTTGTTGCGGAGGCAGGCTCTGCAGCTGTGTTGACGCCCCCTAGGAGGCGACCTCCTCCACCCAAGCGTAAGGCGAAGGGGCTCGGAAAGGGACGAAGAAAGAAGGTCATGTTCGCTCCCGGCGACGGAGCAGACGCGGCTCTAGTCCACGGCGCTGGTCTTGACCGAACAGACGGCGCTCTCGCCAAGGATGAAGATACAGATCCGTCTCATCTATCTGTCGACCAGTCCGCTCAGGAGGAGGACGAGGAGGAGGATGGCGATGAGGGAGACGAGAGCGATGACGGTGATGAGACCATGCTGGATGCCAAGACCCCAGAAGCCGAACCTCTGCCCACCACCGCTGAATCTACTGAGGGGCCTGCTGTAAAAACGAGTGCCACTATATCTGCTGAGCCTGGTATCAAGGTTGAATCGGAACCAGAACCCACCGCGGAGCCTATCAACGAGCCTGTGACGGATAAAGTTACAACGGAGATGGCTCTAGATACCCAGCCTTCGAATTCGGAGACTACTTCTGGCTTGCAGCCTTCAAATTCCCCTCAAATGGAACCGACGTCAGAGAGTCCAGGCGAGGCAGTTTCTCCTGAGAACTCCCAACAAGAAGTATCCACTACAACGATCTCAAATGAAGCGGTAGTTAAAAACCCGGCAGACCAGACAACAGAACAGCTCCCACAGGAATCAGTCTCTGAAGTTCGTCTTGTCGAGGATACAGAGATGACAGATGCTGTACCGCTCGAAAAGACGATTGCTGATTCCAGACCTTCCCTTGAAGCAGCAGAACCCAGCGTATCCGCTCCCACAGATGCTGACGAAGGGACCTCTACTGGAATAGCCGAGCCTGACACAGTAGGTGTCACAGCAGGGGCTGTTGAAAACACAGAACAGGCGGCATTGAGCCCTCCGCCAGACCAGGCTATCCCAGAGGCAGCAGCCGTCACGGAAGTCACAACAGAATCCGCGCCAAACACTACGGAGACTGTGGAGGCGGAAGCAACAGCCACAGAAGAGACGGTGCAAGCTCCGCAAGATCAAGAAGACAAGGTTGACTCCCACGAAATCGACCTCCTCGGTCGTCTAGAAGAAAGCCTAGACCAACCCGAGGCTCCAAATGGTACCTCCTCAGAGCAGCCCGCAGCACCTGAGCCGCCTGTCTCTCATCCAGAGGCCCAGCAGCGCTCGTCTCCGGTCCGACCAACTGCTATCGAGGAAATCTCGGGAGGAGAAGAGGAGCGCCCAGACGAAACGGGGCCAGAGAATCTACAGCCCCCGGGAAGTGTCGGTCCTGAAACGCCAAACCTAGAGGAAGAAAACCAGCCAGAGAACGCGCCAGGAGCCACGGCTCCCTCGAAATCGGCATCTCCGCCAGAACCAGAGCAGCGAGGTGAAGAAGAAGGAAAAGCCAGTGCGGCTTCTCCAGATGATACATTTGTCAATGATGAAGCTCCAGCTTCTACCGCCCCTCCGGAGTCTTCTGTTTCCCCTCTTGTTCCGGAGACGACAGATGAAGCACAAACAGCCGAAGAGCCCACGCCCGCCGCTGACGAAAATTAAGGCATGAACGGACTCGATGAGATGGGTATGCCTTGATCTTGATACCCTTATACGGTATGGTTGGACTCTTATTTGTTTATTATTTGCAGGATTGGGAAATTAGCAGTTCGCTTGGCGCTGAAGGATCCCTGGAGTTGGAACCCGACTTGTTGCAGTCGTTATGTACTCGAAGTAAATATGTACATTATAGTTGGTCAATAAAAACAGTTTATTGATTTCATCAGCTACCTACAACTTATGTGCTTTGAGTAGGTTTTTATATACGGCCTTGAACAGCTACTTTGCTGCTTATTTCGGGCCTTGTTTCTTATATATATACTTATATTGACGCCGGATAGACTATAATGAATGAATTATTTCTAGAAATATACTTTATAATAATATCCTTTGGTTCCTTTTTATATTCACTATTTTATGTGAGTATCAAAATTTCGCCGTTAAATAGATATATATCCCACATAAGCTAGAGAACCAGATAATATATGAACAGAACACTATTCCTAGAGAGCCATAGTAGAATCACACGAAGCTAGCAATAGTTTTAATTACTTGGCCTCGAGATTACTACTTAACTAGCTAAAACCTAATAGAACAAACAGCAAGTCGCCGCAGCAAGGTCTGCGTAACATCTCATAATAGTACAGCTCGAGCCCTTCAAGAACCAAAATGATAAAACAACATGAGCCGAATCCCTCATAACTAATTAGTGCTGCATCAAGTCCAATAGACATATATGAATATAAAAAGAACGGATAGAGGAAAAAGTAATGTAGATAGTTTCGACGCCGCCAATGGAGCCGGAGGGTTGCAAAGTAATGTCATGATAGCAGGGATACCAGTGGCCCGAAGGGCGTATAAAATAATCCAACGGAAGCCAGGCAATCCCTCATGATAGGGTCTTGAACATGTATAACCCCAGGAGTAAGACCTCGGGATTGTATGTTGAAGAATAGTACATCCCAGACGGTGGAAGGTGAGGCTGGGTGAACAAAAGATGTAATCTTGCGCCAAATGGCAAGTCCAATGAAGTTATTCGAATCCGCCAAGGGCTCAACTCTCTTCCCAGACAAAGCAGATCCTAGAAAAATGCTCTTATTGCCCGAAAGTTCTGGAATTCAACCGTGGACTCCTCATGTTGTCTTTTCGGCTGCCCTACTTGGAGCCTGTGGTCTTCTTCTGAATTTTGTTCGGCTGCTTTCGAACAGGCGTACCCTTTTTCGCGGCAGCGAGGATTTTGGCTTTGGTTTCTGCTGATGGTCGGTTCAATTTATTCCCTTTTGCTTTCGCTGGCCCCTCTTCGCTTGCATTGCCAGACCCTGTTGGCTTAGAGTGTGCAGCCGTTTTGACTTTCGCCTTACTCTTCACCTTGGGAAATCTAATATTGGCTTTTGACTTCACGACAGTTCTTTTTTGGGCCTTGGTAGCCTTAACAGCTGTCGACTTGTTTGTCTTTGTGGATGTCTTCGAGCCTGCCTTGGAGATGCTAGAAACGCTCTTTTTAGTCACAGTGGTTCGCGTCTTTGCAACGACTTTTTTGATCTTGGACGTGATCGATTTTGGGTTCAGAAGTTTGCGCTTCTTGTTCCCACTAGAAGTGGACTGGTCTTTGGCGTTGCTCTTCCGCTTGGTCCCAGCCAGGGTGACCGTGGTCTTCTTGGTCACTTTTTTCACAGCTTTCTTTTTGCTGTTCTCTGCCTCTTTAGCTTCCCTTGCTTCCTTTGCTTCTCTTCGGGCTTCCTTCTCCTTGGGTCGAGGACCCAGAATGCCACGGCATTTGGTGGCGCCGCATCGGCACTGCTGCACGTTCTTCTGGGAATATGGGCTGTGAAACGATTAATGCCCAAGCAATCAGTGGACTCAATTCTTCCGGGAAACTTACTCAAAGTTATAGTCATAAGTCAGTTCCTCTCCAGTCATGATGCCACGATCCCCGGCAAACAAGGCCATGCGTGGCTTCCCGGCCACGGTCCATTTCTCCATCCTACAATTAGGCTCACACGAGTGATTGACAAACCGAGCAATAGAGCCTCTTGTAGCATCTATGATCATATTCTGATCGAAGTACATAAGGTAATAGCACTGCAATTGTTAGAGAAGGGCGGAGGAGAAGAGGTGCGGTAGGTGAGTGAACCAGGCTTACCTCATTATTCTTATAATGAGTCCTCATCCGACTCTCACACTCGACCTGAGTGATAATTTCGCCGGTATACTCCACGATAACCTGGTTGGGCTCAAATGTCCGATTACTGCGGACGCCATAGCCCCGATCTTCCGTTTTGATGACTTCGACACCGACATTGTATTTACCTCCGGCCTTGCTTCTCTGCTTGAGCTCCTCGAAGCTCCGGTTGCCACATTCGGGCCCTAATCTGCAATTATCGTTGTCACATTCGTAGAACATGTAGCGATTCTGGCAATTTTCATCACAGCCAGTTTCTTCGGTACACATGCAAGTCGACAGTTCCATATGTTTGTTGGCTCTCCAGATACTGGCGGCTTCTCCGACGAAAACGTCTAGACTGGAGTCAGTGGCAATACATTCAGCTAGGTTCGCTGAAGATATGACTTACTCTTGTTCGTCTTTCTCCACTCGTCGGGTTTTGGTTGACCAGGGGGAAGTGGAGAGAATATGTCAAATGGTAACTGGAAGTCTCTACCGCCCTTTAAAAGCCGGTCGCCCGTAAACATGGGGAGAGGCAGGTATTTGCGCTGGAATTGGCCTTCGCTTCTTCTCCGCGAAGTCTTATGCCGATTTTGACTAGGACGAGAGTCCGTATGCTCTTGTCCAGTATACAAACCGTGAGAGAGCCAGCGCTTCACTTTTGGGCGTGCCACAGGCTTGGGCGTTTCGGGTTCATCCTTGACGACTGCATCGTTGTTGGAAGACGATAGCTTAATCAAATCGCCTTCTGACGCCCGTCTCCTTTTGGAAGCAGGAAGTTCGCTAGATTGTAGATCAGAGGATTCCTCCTTTGGAACATTTCTGGGCCTCAGGCTGGCTCGGCGACCAAGCTCCTTTCCTTTCTCCATCATATCCCGTGAGCGTTTCCCGAGAGCACTGCTAGCTCTCTCAACTAGGCCCGAGGCCTTCTCCAGTATACTTAAACGGGAAGAGCGTCGCCTCACTTGACCTGCATCATCCGCTGCCATGTCGATTTGATCTGGTTTCTCGCCCTCCGTCTTAGTTAAGACCTGCTCAAGGCGCTTTCGTAGAGTTCGCTGAAGCAAGGCCGGATGAGAATCATCATCCGGCTGAGGATCCTGCGATATTCTCGAGATCGGTGTGTCCGGGGCGTTTGCAGCCTCTTCTGCTTCCAGGGTGTCTTTGGTGAGCGTGGTCTGGCTCCATAAGGAGGATTCCATCACGGCTATGCTGTGCCGGAGCGACGAGGAGCGCGTCATTTTTCCTTCCGAGACGCCATTGACAAGTGTCTCGCCGGAGACAGTACGACTTTTCCCTCCTATTTGGGGTTTATCCTCCTCCATATCCAGCCCTGAGTTTTCCAGCTCCTCGATGTTCTTCAATGATGCGCGTGTCACACGTGTCGACGTTCGTCGCGGGGGAAGCCTTTCGTCCGTGGATGCGTTTTCATTGTTGCTAGAAGTCTCGGAGCGGCTGTTTTCGGGCGTGAGGAGCTGTCCCGTGAAGTCAACGCCCATGGTGTCCTCCGGGTGCTCATCGTTGTGCTGATTGAGGTCGGGGAGCGTTGCGGGCGTCGCGGTGGACGCGACGGATAATCTAGTCAAGCGGGCCATCTTGGAACCGTAAGTATCCGGCTGCGGGACTGCTCGCGGTTGGTAAAGTCGGGTCAAAACGAGCCCCTAAGTCGTAGTGTCCAGGATGGGTAAGCGGGCGCGTAGTGACGAGCCTGGCGAGCCTGGTGTTTCCTTCTTATCAACTGTCTGGGGGTTGCTCTACGCGTGGTAGGGCGCATTGAGAGCCAAGAGATGGCTCCCAGCGTGAACTTTGGAAACGAACAGTAACGACAACGGTGGGGATCGTCCAGAATCGGGGTCTCGGGCAAGGGAGGACGCAGCAGGAGTAAGATTGTTGCAGATGGCGGTATATCAGCCAGGAGGTGGGAGGAGTGCACAGTCCCCGGAACGGAGGCCGGGAATGTGACGGGACTATTAAGTAGGAAATGTACGACAACAAGGTCGATTCGATTCGATTCATTCTAGGCTTTCAGGCTCGCTTACCCGACGCTACCACCGCTTATTATTTCTTTATTTGTGCTTCTTATACATGGAATTTTGGCATAATCTATGAATCTGGCCTCCCCAGATGTCTTGAGGAAGATATAACTACATGGTTCAAATGGTATCGAGACCAGAACTAATCTAACAACGGTGAAGAAGAACATCTGGGGGGGGGGGGATAATATGAGAGATTATATAGTATTATCTTTGAAACGAAACAAATTAGGTATCATATTGAAGAGAAATCGCCCGTCATCTCAAGACATTCCGCGAATTTGATCGAGAGAAAATGGAAAAAGAAAAAGGTTGGGAGAAAGGAATGGAAGAATATAGGAAGGAAAAGCTGAAAAGAAAGTATAGAGTGCCGCTTCATAGCTGGCGATGATTATCACATATACCAAACCCATGACCTTTCAAAATGACTCCCAAACCAATGGGTATCAATACCTTTTAATAATAATGCATGCATCGAGAAACCAAGGAATTAGCTTTGCTCGCCCCTGCCAACATGTTGCAACTCTATATCTCCTTGAGCCTCGACATCTTTGGGCAGGTTTTTGCGCTTTTCCGCACCGAGGCGTTGATCGCCTTCCCGGTAAGGGCGCTTGAACTCCAGATATGTCGGCGGACGAGGACGGAGAAGAACAGAGGTCCAATTCTTGAAGAGACTCCCCTGTGTAAATGGCCGATGACGATCCGATTTTGCGAACTTTTGAGAATTGAGATATTCTCTAGTGGTTTCGCCTCGACCAGTTAAGAACAAATGATATGTCCACAGGGAGGCCGGATAGGGGCCGGCGACGACCCCGTATATCACCATAGCCCAGGGAACTCTTAATTTATTGATAGCAGTTCCAAACGAGATACCTTCCTGAGAACGGTATACCAGAATGTGGGCCAGACTCGCACCGATCAAGAACAATGAGAGAATAGTCGCAGAGCTCACAAAAATGAAGAAGTAGCGGTAGTTGCGACGCCCTACACAGTTGTTGAGCCACACGCAGTGATGATCTAGAGTCTCGATGCAATTGTCGCACACGCGGCAATGGTAGCATCGGGGTGGACGCCAGATATTGCAGGTCTTGCAGTACTTCACAGGCACATCCATAGCCGCAACATCGGAAGTAGCCAATTTGACCATAACCCAGTCATTCGTTGCTGGACCTATCGCCAATGGGTCATCAGTTGGATCTGTTGCTGGGATGGTATGCAGATTGCGTGGAATAATGCCGGGATCAACCACTGAAGCGTGGATAAACGAAGAGAAGCAAATGTAAAATAAGTATGCGAACAGAATAGGTATTGCCGGCGAGATGTTATGCCATAGCCATGGCGCTGAGTACCCAAAGAAAAGGCCGGAAGGTAGGACGACGAAGATTCCTGTTATGATATTGATCGGCTTATCTCTCGAATTCTGGAACCGCCCACCACCGAAAAAGATGGTATTCCCCAGGAAATATTCGTAGTTCTTCCCTAAGTTTTGCTTCCTAGGCATTCGTGCTTGTTTGACATCAAGAGATCCGGGCGACGAGCCGGCTGATGACAGTCGTTCTTGGCCATGCCCATCCTGACGGTCGTGGGCAACGTTCTTGTTCTGCAGGTTGAGAAATGAGAGAGAGGACCGGGCCGGCATGTCTGGCGTTTGATTGACTTTGAAATTTGTGCTGATGTTGAGATTCGTTTGCGTGGTTGCGTATGACCTATCCCGCTCGTGAAGAAGTCGCACACTATCTCCCAAACTCCTCACTGTTGTGTTGCCTGTTGGACTGGCATTCGAAGTGTTCCTATCCGAGATTATAGGGTCCGTGAACTCCGTACCTCGAGACGGTGGGACTTCCAGTTCCTGGGGATTCGATTGCGGGAACGTGCTGTTTGAGATCAAGCTTGCCCTATTTTGATTGCCCTGGTCAACTGAGGCTTCATTTGACACTGCGGTTTCTTTGGTGAGCGGGCGACCGCCGCGATGTGCCTGCAGCTTTTGCGAACTCATTGGCCGAAAAAAAGCCTGCGCCGTCAACGAGGGAATATGTGATCGACTTATTCGGCTTCCCGACGTGCCTGGCCTGCTTGCCACTTGGCTGGATGCTGCAAGAGAGGTCCTGTTCGACGGTCCTCTCAAAAACTGTGACGCTCGCGATTGGGTAGGATACGACGATAATCCGGTCGGTGCTTGCGATATCTCGCCGTCTTCTGAAGCCATATCCGTCACCCGGGATGATATCCCGCCAACAGATGGCGGCCTGGGCAGACCCAGAGCATGCTGTGTTATTGGGTTCGAAGCAGGGGCACTCTGTTCTGAACTGTGTGCTGACATAATTGTGACAGTTTGCGGAGGTAATTCTTGGGTGCTATAGAGTATCACACAAGATCATAATGCCATGCGACTGAACTAGAGTAGGGGCTTCGAGCGCGAATGATAAACATAGACGTCACGTCGAACAACGAGGGATCGGTGGGGAAGGGGCCGGACAAGAGTAATCCTCAAGTCCAGGTCGGTTAAATAAACGTAAAGAATCGAAAAAAGTAGCACCTATGCGAAAAAGAGTGTGTTGAAACTGAAGAAAAGAGATGGGGGATTGTTGAACCCCTTGTCCTCTCTAATGGAACGTATGCTACCAAGATGAGTCCTCGTGAAAAGAAAATGACGCCTGGCCAGTCAAACACTGCCGGAGAATAGCAACTGGTCTTTCAACGACAAATAGACTGGAAGATTGTCACGTCATGATGAAGAGGAAACGGGCATCAGCAACTCACATTGAGGCCCTGCCATTATTTTGCCAAGGAGGGCTTTGGCAGTTGGATGACTAAGCGACCAATAGCTGTCTGCGGGATGTCACCTGATGCGCCGGCAACATCATGGCCTGACGCCAGAAGAAACTCCCACCTCAAGACGAACCGCAACTCCCCCAAGTCGTTTGCAGACCTCCGCACCGACCGCACAACCAGCACCATGTCCTCAATTGCTGCTCTGGGCCTTCGCCGGGCCTTTGTCCGCCCCGCTGCTGTCCGCGTTCCTGCCAGACGCTTCGCGAGCACCAAGATGGCCGAGGCGAGCCTCGACAAGGCTCCTAAGCGTGACCCTGAGCTCTATGTACGAGTCGCCGTCCTCCAGCTAAATTTTTTTTCCGGCAGGGGCAATTGCATCTAACGAGATTATTAGGTCCTCCTCGGAGTTATGTCCGGAGCTTTCCTCATTGCTGGCTGGTGAATATCCCTCAATTTAGAAACCCTTCCTTTTCGCTCTCAGCACGGGAGATACCGGAAACCGCACACGACCACCACACAGCACAACTGAGCCAAGACATGAATTGCTGATTTGGATTTGAAAATCAAAACAGGTATTTTGGCAAGAAGCCCACCTCTGTGACCTCCGAGAGCAATGTCCGCATCGGCGAGAGCTCCATGCCCTGGGAGCGTGAAGATGATGGCGGCAAGATGTACAAGTACCAGTACCACCCCAACGGCGATACTAGCCAGGGTCTCCGCGCTGCTCCTAGCGCCCTGAACACTGTTATTGTTCCTAACGTCACCCTGCCTGCGGTATGTTCCTTGTACACGATTTTTTTCCTATCCATGGCATCGCAGTTCATGCCCATCGCATGATTCATCGAGGTATACTGATCTTTGTTTTTTTTTTTCAAAAGGATCTCCACGAACGATTCAACAAGTACGGCAAGGAGGAATGGGACTACTAAACTGTCACTAGGAAATCCAAGATGGGAGGTTCGAACCACTGCAGATGGTGGTTGTACACTAGAGCTGCTGTGAGGAGTAGAAAGGTAGCTGTCGCATGTGGAGAGAGAGAGAGAGAGAGAGAGTTTTGGTTGCAGAAGATCTGTCTATACTACCGTGTTTTCCAACGCAATTCGATTGGAGTTTCCCTTTGTTGAGTTTTTCCTTTTTTTTTGCGTAATTCAACAGTAGAAACAAGTAATTTAGATATGGAGATGTAGGAAAGTGGCTCAATTCGACGAGAGACCTTCTTATACACAAGAAATGGAGATCCAAGAATAATGATATCATTTAACAGATGATTGGAAGGGAAAGGATAGAAGTATGTCGGAACTGAAATTGAAAGCGAGAGGAAATTGCCCCTATATCATACAGGCTCGGTGAAAAACACGATTCATATCTTTGTTGCCTCGTTTCCTTCACTTGCAGGCCTCGGCTCTAGGGAATCCTGCTGCTCGACAGACTTCTCATCTCCCGGCACAGAAGCAGGGGCCTTGTTCGCGGCATTTTCACCGGCGGGCTGCCCAAATGTCTCGGGGTTTTGGCCTTCGACATCAGGATGGGGTGGTGCAATTCGTCCATCGACCACATCCACCTCGTGGGCGTTCTCTAGGCGAGTGCGAGTCTCATAGCGTGTTTCGAAGGAGACCTTGCCCTCTTTCTTGAGAGAAGCGACAAGATTCTCGTCGAGAACATTCCCTTCCTGGTCACGATACTCAACTCGAGCCTTGCTGCCCTTGAGGTAGTGCTCGGGAGGCTCAGGTGTGACAACTGGATCCTGTCCCTCATTCATCTCTCGCTGATTTTGCACCTGATTCACAACTGGAGCGTCTGCCTGTCGAGTGGGAATCGCCTGGGGCGCGTTCACATAAGTCTTATATTGGCTGAGCTAATGGTCCAATAGTCAGCTAATTAATGTCCAGTCTTTCTGGGCCGTCACCGCCTGGATTGCTATGCTGGGACACTTACATCTGTATGGAACAAGTTGCAATCGAAGTCCCATGTGTCAAAAAGTTTCACTTTATTGCAGGCGTCACGGGTCCATGGGTTGCCATAGGCAAGCGGCGAATAGAGGATAAATGTACCGATAGTCAAAGCGAGGAACGCGGCAATCAACCCCTTGCCAACAATCGGCCTCGATCCAAGACCAAGGCTGCGGATGCGATTTGCAAAAAAGTCAAACTCCTGGCACAGAACCATGATGGCAAAATACAAGGCTGGCAGGTAGTGGTGGAGGAATAACTGGCGAGCCATGAGGTAAAATGGGAAGTAGTGGAAAGCCCATCCAAGCACAGTACTGCCAATCTCATAATCGAAGCGCTTGAAGGTAACATTGCTGTAATCACCGCAGCTGCGTTGCCAGCGAATAGCGGAGAGACCCTTGAACAAGACATAGATGCCAATCGCAGCTGTCGAAGACCACCAGACGATAGGATTTCCCATGAGATAGACCTGGCGATGCTCCTTGCCCCAGAAGTTGATCCCTCGAAGCAGCAGGGGCCATGAAGGTGGGCGCGACTCCCAAGCGTGGGATTCCACCAGGCCGGCATTAGTGACCCACATGACTTTCTGAAGTTCCCAGAATTTGCCCAGAAATCCGGGATTTCTGTAGTTCACCTTTTCGGTATCCTCGGGTAACTGTGGGTGAGTGTTTGATTCAATGTACCAGATACTATTCGGGAGAGTGCCTCCTTTCGCACAGGTGACCTCTTGCTGCTCGTACGCCCAGTCCGGAAGCTTGACCTTGTGGGAAAATAACACGCAGCCAGTCATGATATGAATCAATCTGAACTTGGTTTGAATGGTTCGCAGCCTCTTCTTGGCTTCGGCGCCATCAGATAAGGACTTGACGATCTCAACACGGAACATGTCATTTGCATCACCGGCAAAACCCTCGTAACCATAGGCGGAAACCTCGTTCTGCCAATCCACATCAGTCACTGGAGCACGCTCATCGTGGGAATGGATTCGGCGATGGGTCATTTCGTGATAAAGTTTGATAATGGCGCCATCTTCAATGTATTCAGCGGAGATGTTATCCCAAGCCCATGGACCCTCCAATTCCCCATAAGGACCGAGGGGTTGGGTCTGGTTTTCAAGAAGGAAAATGTTGTTTTCATCCTTATGAGGATATAACGTAACCTGCTGCTGCTTGCTTCCTGTGGGGTACATATGACTGTGAGAATGAAGATAGCCTCCCTGCGTATTATGATGGCGGATGGACACGCGAGAGCCGAACACCACATCGGCAGGAACGTCTTGCATGCCTTTGTGGTTTAATGTCGCTTGGAACTCGGAGGACATGAACCCATCACCCTCTCCTGGGTTGACGAGGCAGAGGAAATGAACGGCAAACAAAGCGGTATAGAAAGTCAAGGGGATAATTATCAAACAGAATACACGAGCGAAAAAGTGTTTGAACCAGATACGCTGCATAAATATTCGTTAGCTTCCCATTTCAGGTAAGGCCGAGGGCTTGAATAGCAGCGACACTCACAGGCGTGACATTAGTTGTATCACCAATAAGTACCCAAAGTTGCAGCACTGTCAAAGAGCCAACCCAAGCAATAGTGAAGAGTCCAACCCATTTAATGCTAACAGTAGCACCCAGGCAAAGTCCTGTTGCGCTAAGCCAAAACCACCACGGTCCCTTGAAGGCGCTTGATGGTCCAAGCTCGTGCTGGTTGGTAAAACAAGTAAAAGACAGGGCTGTGAGAGCGGTGAAGAAGATCAATGGCGAATCCAGCAGGATCAGGCGAGACTGGGTAGTCAGGGCATTATCTGGTTTGAAGAGTCAGTAACCCCCTTCCAAGACATTGGTTTGAATCTGCATACCAAAAATCACAAGCACTGAGCCCAGTACAGACGTAGAGCTCCGGCACCCGGTTGCTTTGAGAGTTAAGAACATCAATGGTACGGTAAGAACACCCATGAGAGCAGGCAACATCCGCATAGCGACATAGGGCACGCCTGGTTCGAGATAATCTTTGCCAATATCCTTGAAGTCAAACTCCCCATCATATCCTGCTAACCACCCAGCTAGTGTAATGAGAAGCTTCGCCAACGGTGGATGGACATCCATAAAGAATTTGCCCTTAATGTATTTGGATGCGAACCCGCCAAAGCTAAGACACGGACAGTTAGCAGGGCACTCTCTCGACGCACTCGGGATAAGAAGGCACCGTACTGGACTTCATCGAATACGACGCTGGTCGGCTGGTAGATGCGAAAGAGACGGACAATCGCAGCGATGATCGTAACCCCGGCAAGCAGCTTGTAGTCGGACACCGGCAGCTTGAAGATATTGTTGTCCTTCACGCCATCAGATCCATAATGTGAAGCCTGTGTCGTCTCTTTCTTGCGATTCTTCGGTCTCGGGGAACGACTGGGCGAGCGCCCATTGCGGGCCATGGGCTTGACCTCGAGTGTAGATTTTGGCGGCATCAGGACGGATGCTCGTTCCTATCCTTGCATTCAAATTCGAAATCAAAAAGAAGAAAATGTTAGACCCTAGCAGGTCGTAGAGAAACTATGCCGAAAGGCAGCGTCGTGTCCAATGGACTGGAATAAAAGTGAGAAAAGCCCCAGCCTAGGGTGCTCTATCCAACCCACACGCCTAGAAGCAAGGTAGCAAAAGAAAAAGTATAGAAGATTAACGATAGTAATGAATTAAAGAAATGTAGCCCATGACAGGATAAGATAGTTGCACAGCACAGCCGTTTCTGGAGAAGAGCAAGCAAACACGTGTGGCCAGGTCAGGAGGTGGATGAATGCGGTTCAGGCCAGATCTTTGCCGGCTATTATGGCCAAACTATGTATTACTACCTCGCTCTGTAGGCCGCTCTTTACGGAGATCGTGACTAGAACGAAGAATACTTGAGAGAATTACAGTAGAGTCTATACCATAATTAAATGAAGCTCAACACATTTCCCATCTGTCTCTCCTGGCCGATCTCTACCAGCTGCTCCAGCCCATCCCGTGTTTACATGTTTCGATTCTTGAGCTGCGTCGAAATACGCGCGCGGCTAGTACCTGCCGCTAGCGCTGCCGCGCTAAGCCTGATGCAGAAATGAAGTCAACTGCTTCTGATCGCCGGCGATTGACAGCGCTCCTGGACCAGTTCAAACAGCCGCCCTGACAGCTTCTGTGCCAAGATGGCGTCGCCGGCAGAAAATGGAAATATATCAACGGCGCCCGAAGAAGTGAGCAAGCCGCCGGAGGGAGTGGTGTTGCCTCCGAAGGATATTCGAGGTGAGTGAGTCCTTTGCCGACCGCGTGAGGTGTCCGCCACTGACTGCTGGAATAGCGATTGTGGAAAAAACGGCTGGATATGTTGCTCGAAATGGTGCTGTATTCGAAGGTACGTGATCCGACGCGATTTGGAGCCCGTGGAGAGATCTGCGCAGTGATCTAACGTTCGGGTGTCTTATACAGATCGTGTCCGCGAGAAGGAGAGAAACAATCCTAAATTCTCCTTTCTGAACCCGGATGATGCATATGCTGCATTTTATCAATGGCGCTTGGTAGAGATCAAAGAAGGAAGGGGTACAGCAGTGTCTGCCGGTCGGCCGGGAGAGGCTGTATCGGCCGAGCCTGCAAAACCACAAGGGCCAGAGGAGCCCCCCGAGTTCCATTTTTCGGCTCGGATGCCCATCATAAACGCTCAAGATTTGGAGGTGGTCAAACTGACGGCGCTGTTTGTTGCCAAAAGGGGGAAATCATTCATGACTACTTTGTCTCAGCGAGAGGCGCGAAACTACCAGTTCGACTTCTTGCGCCCCCAGCACAGTCTCTATCAGTTCTTTACACGACTAGTGGACCAGTATACGATTCTACTACGCGCAGAAGGGCTTGATGCGGCTACTTCGGAAAAGCAGAGATTGGAGGAGTTGGAACAGAACGTGAACAACAAATACCGCATCCTTGACCGAGCCAAGCAACGAGCCGAGTGGGTGAAATACCAGGAGCAGCAGAAACAAAAGAAAGAGGAGGAAGAGGAGCAGGAGCGGATATCGTATGCTCAAATTGATTGGCACGACTTTGTTGTTGTTGAGACCGTCCTGTTCACCGAGACCGACGACCAGGCGGAACTCCCTCCCCCGACATCATTGACCGATCTGCAGTCCGCCTCACTAGAACAGAAAGCGATGATGTCTCTCAACCCTCTTCGCATCGAGGAGGCCATGCCCACAGACGAAGAAACCCCGAATTACTACAATGCCTACCCCATACAACCCGAATCGGTTCCGACACCACCTCTTCCGATCCCTTCGCCCTACCCCCCTCCACAGCAACCGGATTTTCCCCCTCCGGCACCAGCCGCTATGGACTACTCCATGGCGCATTACCCGCCACCCCAGGCAGTACCGGTATCTGCTGCCATGGACGAAGAGGAGCAACGGATCCAGGAGCGTGCCAATGCCCGGGACCAAGCTGCTGCTGCGCAGGCTGCCGCCAAAGCCGCCCCCGGCCAACAACCGATGCGCATCCGGTCCGACTATGTTCCACGGGCCCAGGCCCGCCGTCTCAACAACTCAGCTGCAACCGCGCTGTGCCCCAATTGTCACCAGCAGATCCCTGTTGCCGAGCTCGAGCAGCATATGCGCATTGAGCTGCTCGATCCCCGCTGGAAAGAGCAGCGTGCCAAAGCCGAGTCACGGAGCGCAACCACCAATCTCTCTACCGTGGACGTGGTCAACAACCTCAAACGCCTCGCTAGCCAACGCAGCGACGTCTTCGATTCCACCATCCTTCCGGGAGCCCCCGGGGGCCTCGACCCCGAGGAGGAGGCTCGCAGGAAAAGAATGGCTACAGGTGCCCCTACTGGATATGATGGAGCTGGTCCCAGCCCTGGTCCTGGCGGCGGTGCTCTCCCGGTCCCAATGGTCGGCCCTACAGGAGTGCCTGTTGCTGGACGGCCCCAGAGCATGAATATCCAAGAACAGATCAGGCATATTCACGAACGGGCCAAACAATGATGATTCTTGCCAAAACGTTGAAATTCAGGGAATCCAGGCGTGGTTTTTGCACCGTTACTATTTCTTCCTATGTGGAGTCGGTATTCAAATGATTCTTACATTGTTTTTGTTTCATCTCTTGGGGTTAGAGCTAGGTATCTGTTCATGTACCATATAGTTGACTTCTTTACCCTCAAACGTCTTTAATGACTTGTCAAATTATTCTAAGCGACGGTGTGAAACAGCACTTGGCTACCTAGGTAGGTACACAGTCGATTGGTATACAGATCTATCATGTAATAATCTAACTTCAATCTGAAATTGCTGCCGAAAAATGAGCCCAAAACATCAACTCTCATCAGTTGTCCAGAACCAAGGCACATTCACTTTGGCAAATTGGTGAGCCTATTAATATTGTCTCCAGAAGTGTATCGAAATCTCAAGAAAAATTAGGAAACATAGCTGAGAAAGAAATTATAAATACATATAGAGGGAATATATATGGCCCATCGTAATAATACACACGAGCTTAGTCGCTCGAAGGAATAGAAAGAAAAATGTTTGTTGAAGGTATCCACGAAATAAGGGCCAGAAGGGAAAAAATCTGCCCATGAGCCACAATATGTAAACGAGAAGATGAAATATAAGGGCTGTAGTAAGTATAAAAAAAGGTAGATGCTGGAATGGACGCGCGTCCTCGGATTCGTCTAGGAGGCAAGTGCAGAAATCGAAAATGGTATGAAAGTTCGTTTGCTGAGAAATCAACGTAATCATGGGCTGTTCGAGATTGGCTCGAGTTTGCTATTTGGAATCTCATCATTTTCGGTAGTGGTTTCATGGGTTGTCGTCGGTTCATCGACAGTTGTCGGGCTATCATTAGGTTCTTCAGCCGGAGTACTGGCGGTAGAATTTATTGGGATTTGTTCCTCCGTGGAAACTGGCCCAGATTCATCTTCATTAAAAAGCTCTGGTGTCTCTTCAGGCTCACCCTCGGCTGTCAGGCCAGTGATTGTTTCCTCTGCTTCGATGCTAGCAGGAGGATCAGCTGGGGTCTGTATTTCCGTAGACACAGATCTTGAATCATCTTCAGTTGATCCATTAGGCACTTCTTGAGGTTCACCATCCTCGAGGGGTGTGGTATAACCAGAATTAGGCTCAGGCTCATCAACAGCAGACTCCGGAATGTTCTCTGGAGTCAGACAGGTAGAATCGGCCGCTGGTTGTTGAACGTCGATGATTTTATGGGCTTCCATTTCGGAGGGTTCAATTTCATCTCCATTGGAATTCTGCGAGTTGTTCAGGGCAGGCGAGGAATGGTTAACCACTGGGATAACTCCTCCGCCGATTCGAGACCAAAACATCCTCTCCCGTAGACGAATTGTCTCTTCCCAGGCATCTTTTTCTTCCTCCGTGTCTTCTAGACGAATATGGCCGTCGAGGATGTGGCGAAGATAGCCGGTGAATTCACAACATGATCGGACCCTTTCCAGACACAGGATACACAACGAGTAACGTTGAGCAGTCTCACTCTCAGATGTTCGAAAACGGTGGGTTCTTTCATATTCCGCATCATTTCTGCGCTCTCCGCATAGCGAGCACGGTAAATTGAATACTTTGGCCGCGGTTGGCATTGGCTCAACCAGAAGACTACCCTCGCAAATGGCACTCATTACAGAACGCCGGGTAAGCCATGAGATACTGGGCGCGGCATCCAGCCTTAGAGTAGGCTCGATATCCTCCACCAGAACGCGCTTATAGAAACGTGTTTCCTTCAAAGGTGCGTGAGAACCAGCCTGCTGAGGCGAAGACACAGCCCCAGTTGGTGAGGCATTCTGACTAGACTTGGAGGGAGAAGATGCCGCTGATCCAAGACCTCCGGTAGCCAAACTAGCCAGGCCCATAACATTTAATCCGGAGTATGATCCGCTTGCAACTCGGCTCGGTGGTTTCGAACTCTTCGACGTGACTAACAAGTCACGAAAATCATCGTAAGCATGAATATCTGTACGGCAAGAGACCCTGAAAAACTGAGGAAAACTTGTCGAGGGGCCAGGGCAGACTTCTTCTGTAATCGGAGTCATGTCTGGAATTTCCAGGTCAGGAGTCTTCCGGAGCATTCCTTGCATTTGTTGGGCTACCGCCGGAGATGAGGGAGTAGTAATATCAGATTCGTCTTTTGCAATATTCATTTCCTGAATCACTAATTTCAGTTCCGAAAGCTGGTCTTGATTCGATGCAAGAAGTAATTCCGTATCCTTGATCTGTGAACGGAGTTGTTCGTTTTTCTTCTCGACAGCTTCACGTTCCAACTTGGCAGCGGCGACCATCTAAATTGACGTTAGGGATCTCATGAGACAGTATGAAGGTTTATAAACATATAACAGAAAACATACCTTGTTGGCTTCCTCGAAAAGAGCGGCCGTAAGAGTCTCGAGTTCCTGCTCGATACTTTTCTTGCCCCTCTCAGCGAGAGAACGCTGGGCTCTTTCCTCTGCAAGATCAGCCTTTAGACGCAATATTTCGTGTTCAGTATCAATTTTCTTGATCAGAACGCCTGCCGCAACATCCTGACGAAATTTCTGGTTCTCGGCTTCGAGTGTCCGTAACTTTTTCTGGGCATCTTCCAACTCCTGTCGAGTAGCCACAAGGGTATCATCCAGCGTGGTCTGGTTGTTGATAGCCTGAATCAGCTTGACACTTAATGCAGCAACCTCATTGCTGAGATCTGGATGGTGTGATGATTGAGAAGACTCCTCCGAGACTTCTGACGTGACAGTAAGCCTGGGGTCCCGCAAGGTGTTGAAGTCTCTTTCAGAGATCCCCTGTAGAGCCGATGTTGTACGCTTCAAAATATTATCATCATTTGCATTCTGTGCTAAATCATTCGTCGACTTGGCCCTGGTGACGGTCTTCCCGGGGGACAGAGATCGTTGACCGGAAGAGGTGTTACTCGAGCGTGAGAGCATAGTGGAGGGCGACAAGAAGCGGCGGTGTGAGTAAGTATGAAGAGAAATTAAACTGCATATAAATGGTTAATCAAGAGAGAAAATGGATGTGGTTGTCCTTCAAATCGTAGAACTTACTCGGCCATGATAATTATGAACAGAAGCCTGCCAGGTTCTCAACGGCTCTCAGTTCAGCAGAAAAAGAGCAGCTATAGTGAGTGAAGGTGATCTCGATTCTAGGCCGAGATTCCACCGGCCCTATCCTCTGATTTCGAGGCCTGGTGAATCAACGTCTGGACAAGTCCCTTAACGCAACGTCCCCGCAGGTGTAGGCTGGCAAGTCCCTAATCAATTGGATGACGGGTCATTGGGGCGGACACGGAGCGGATGCAAGCGGTATTCAAGTTGACCAAGGAGCGGAAAGATAAAATTGAGAGAGGAAAAAAAGGACAGAAAAACCAGGCTGGCGATGTAAGGACTGTGTAACGAGCTGATCACGGTGAAGGCCAAGAGAGGCTGGGTTGGGGCGAAGGCCGAGAGATCAGATCCGGCTTAGTCAGCGCAGCAACGGAATAATTTGGGCAAAATAATAGGCAGGCGTTCCTATCTTAAGCGCGAGCTTTCGTCAACCTCCCCCGCTTTCAGGCGAAGATGTTTCGTCATTTTTCGATGTCAGTGTGCCGACTAATGCCCGTGGAGATTGTACAAAAGCCACGTTTTTCACATTCCTTGGACGGAATTCCGGAGCTCGGTACTGGCGATAGATGAATGGAGTATTCTGCAATTGGACTAGTTAATTAACTAGTCATCTATTAATGTATGTTTGAAATGACGGCGGCTACATGACTATATACCAGTTATGTAGGTCAATAGCGTTCAATTGCATGTCTTATCGAATCTAAAGAAGGACACCCTGAACATGTTTTCCTTTGCTATCGATACAATGGAGATTCCCTAGCATGAAGCGATCTACTCCGTACGGAGTACAACCTTTCCAAGCCGATAATGACGACATGGCTGATACCGCAAGGGGCCATGCCATGTATCTCGTGGTTAAGTGGGTGCACCTCGAATTTCCACGCAACGTCCGTGTATAGAGGGTCGGACTGATCTTAATATGCAAGAGCCATCTAGGACAACAGGTTTTGTTGAGATTTCAAAAATATTCCGTACTCGGGAAACTGGGTAATGTAGTATGAGAGACTACTACTACCTACATATGCCCCCCCTCACTATGAGGAGGTACCTGTACACCCCTTCCAGAATAGGCGTAGCGTTGATCATATGACTACATCCGCCTTGGCCCTTGGCCGCAGGCGGCTAGGCGCTACTGTAGTGTACTACTAGGTAGTTACATGCCGTGCGGTATTCTTAGGTAGTCATCATGGTGCTTAATCGGCGTTTTTGTACATACTCATGCAGAGTAGCTGTCACCTACGAGGCCCCTACTTCTCTAAATTAAAACTTACTAGATTCTACTTACTTCGATCTATACATAAAATCTAGATGTGTAATTGTTACTACATTGTGAATGAGGGGGGCATAGTTATAGAGGCGCCCTAACAATACCCGCAGCATAGACCCCGCCACCCGGGTTTGCGGCCTCAGGCCTAAAGGTGGGGTCTGCCTGAAATGGAGAAACTTCATCTGAAAGCTGTGGGCAGACCCATATCAATTTGATCAGAAGTTATACCTTTCTGTTGCGAAGGCAGTGTGATTCTGATTTTTCAATTCACCAGGGTTCTTAAGGCTATCGCCCCATATCAAGCGTGAAGTACACAAAACCATGGCGGATGCAGAACTCGAAGAGGTCAGACACAGTTCCTATTTCAATATATAGATAGCACTGCGCAGAGATATCAAGTCATTTATTATCCAGGAAGCTCGCTAACTGGCTAAAAAAGATCCGGCGAGCCCGTCTTGCCCAACTACAACAACAGGGGGGCATGCGTGGAGGGCCTTCAGACGGTCAAGATGATCAACGGAAGTAAGTCTTCACATCTGAATGATTTTTAGATAAGCTTTGTCAAGCTTTGAAGTTTTTGCTCTATATTTGCCAGTCCGCTGAATTATGCTTTCTATATAGACAAGCAGAAGGTATATAGTCCTCATCCTCGTCCTCATTTCAAGAACTCTTTGACCCCCGAATCTCGAGGTCACGCAAGCATTTCTACAGCAACCACTCACACACATACATAGCCGACCGTCGTTCCGCCATTCTATCTCAAATCCTTGATCCCGCTGCTGCCGATCGTCTCGGTCGTATTCGCCTAGTCAAGGAGTCTCGGGCGGTGGACATCGAAAACAGACTCATCATGCTAGCTCAGACGGGCCAACTACGCCAGAAAGTCACGGAAGAGCAACTAAAGGAGCTACTGAATGCCGTCGCGGAGAATCAGCGCAAAGAGGAAGAAGAACACAAGATTGTGATCACCCGCCGTAAAGGTGGCTGGGATGATGATGATGACCTGTTGGACCTGTAAGGGCCTAGCAGCCAGAAAAAAAACCTATTTAAAAAAAAAGGAATACAACATGTCTCGCGTGGCACAGCTAGTTTCACACGTTTGGAATTCATGCTGATCGGGGCACTGTAATGGTGTTCATGAGCTATGGAATACAGCAAGCAAATACCCTTACAAATGAGCTTCAGAAGGTCCCTCATTCCGATATCCTGGACTTTTAATCTGTTTGTTCGAACAACTATACAAGTAACTAATATTACACTACCTGAAATCTAGAACCTGTTCCAAGTACTTCCGCGCATTTACGCTGTCTGTTGCCCCATTCTTTGCTTCTCCTCCTTCTGCTGTCTTCTAATCATTCGACGGATTTCTCTCAGATCCGGCGGTGCCTCAATGTTGAGTTCGCGACGTAGTTCGTCCACATTCTTTTCAAGTACTTCCTCCCAGTAAACGTTGATGAGCTCTTTGCTTGCAAGACCGCTCCGGACTGCCCAAGGGAGATGCAGGGAGAAAAATCTCTCCCGTTCCGCTGGCTTCAGCCGCACCATGGCAAAGAGACTCAGCCCTGTCATGGGAATCAGTGTGTTCAGGAACTCAAAGGCCTTGAGCGCGAGCTCGCCCTCCACAAAGATCGGCAGACCCGTCACGGCGTGATAGAAGTCGTGGCATTCCCGGTATCGCTGCATGACATATGCACACTCCTCATTGTCAATGTATTGAACCTGACTGCGAGTATCTGGCGATACGCCTTCCCGGTCTAGCCAAGCTGCATATGTACGGCCGACGGAGTTCTCAGGCAAGGATCGGAGATATGGTAAAGGCATAGTGCTGGAGGTAATACGGGGACGATCGCGTAAAATACGGCGGCCGGTGGCATCCGAGAGCATTGCATCGCGGAGTCGATATATGAAATACGGGGTGGCCGTTGCCTCGCCCAGGGTAGCAATCAGATCTTAGGTTAGCTCTAGGTTAGCTGCTCCTGCCGTACAAATCAAATCACCAATCGCACAGGACATCACCAGGTAAATATACCTCCTCGGCGGGGATTTATAAGAGACCCTACAGCTGATCCCACAGCTAGGGCGCCGCGCTCGATAAACGTGAGCGGGATATGACCTGGATAATTGGGCTGTGGGCGATTGAGGACGGAAAAGTGCCTCGGAAGCAGACAAGCAGGCGCAGTTGTCACAGGAGTCAAGAGACGCGCACTCGGCGCAATTTGCCTTGCCAGAACCGACATGGTTGTGTGTTTTTCGAACTCGTCATGACCCTGGCAAGATCAAAAGCTGCTGCTGAGGCTCGGGAAGTGGTACGACATCTCTGGTGGAGTCCCGATAATGGACCGATAAGGAAACGCTTCATACTCACAACTGCCAAAAAAGTTCCAGCACGGTTCGGAGCCCGACATGGATTACAGGACCGAGACTTGTACAAATAAATATGGATGAATCCGTGGAGATCGCCGTTTTTCATTTTTAATAAGCCGGCAGCTACCGCTCTTTATTTTTGAGTTGTTGGAGAACGCTCATGACAACTTAGCCTTACATTGTCTGCTCTAGTAGCCTTCCTATTTCACTGTCTTTGCCCACACATTTTGGTTTCAGACCTTAGAAATGGCCCAAGAACAACCAAATTGGTGGCCTGGAGAAGCCCATGAGAAATTTACAAAATGGGCTATCTCTCAGGGTGTTGAGGCGAGTGGGGTTTCTCCAGCAAGATTCCATGGCCGTGGTCTAGGCATGATAGCAACGAGGGGCATCGAAGTACGTACTGTATAGCTGTCTCGGTGTCGTTGGCTAATTTGATTTTAGAAAGGGGAGCTAATTCTGTCGGTCCCTCTTCAAGTGATGTTGACGACTGATTCCATCCCTTTATCCTTTGCTACCCGGTTTGCAGACGATATCTCTGTCCACGGGCTTCTTGCTGCGTTTCTCACACACGGTGAACCTAAAGATCTCGAGAAATATGACTTATGGAGGCTATCTTGGCCCATGCACCAAGAATTTAAGGACAGTATGCCCATTTTGTGGCCACAATCCCTGCGGACATCGAATACGAAAAATAACGATATATCGTCTCCAACCATCTGTTTGCCACCTTCAATATCAGGACTGTGGAATTCTTTTCAAAATGGAGCCCAGTTTCAGTATGAGTACGACCGTGATCACCAGGACCTTCTCCCTAAGCAGGAAAAAAGGCTGCTCGATGCTTGGGATCGTGTACTGGCAGTGTTTCCCGACACAGATTGGGACACGTATTCTTACTATTGGCTCATCGTCAACACGAGAAGCTTCTACTATCTGATGCCTGGCATTCAGCCGCCAGAAGACCGCAATGACGCGATGGCCTTGGTGCCGTTTGCGGATTACTTCAACCATTCCGATGTAGCTGTAAGTGAGCCTGTCTCATGTCATCTTTGGAAGGAATGCTTCTGGTCTTTTCGAATATCTTTTGACATTTTACGCTACATAAAGTGTGACGTGAACTTTGACGGGACAAGATACACATTTCGGGCAACCAAATCCTACGGTAATTCGCCTCAAATTACCCTTCCTTATCGTAGTCCGGACTGATCTAATGTGACTCTGTAGACAAGGGAGAAGAAATCTACATGAGTTACGGTCCTCATTCAAATGATTTTCTTTTTACCGAATGTTAGTCGCCACTATACGACATATACGGGCCAAATACTCATACTAACGCCATACAGATGGATTCTTCCTCGACGAAAATGATTATGAATCCTTATATCTTGATGACATCGTATTCCGAGACCTAAACGCGTCCCAAAAAGAAGAACTCAATCTACAGCAATATTACGGGTAAGCATCTCTTTACCCTCCTTTCATTTGTCTCGGGTTCATTACCGTCAAATCTGATCATGCCGGAACATCACAGTAACTACCAGCTCACTGCGTCTGGCGCCTGCTACCGGACCGAAATCGCTGCCTGTATAAAATACATGACTCGCCGGAACTGGCGAAACTATGTCCTCGGCCATTCGACCAAGGGCGTGGACGCTCGAAAAACAGAGTCTGTTATTCGCGGTTGGGTAAAGACTTATTCAAACGAGGCGAAGACAACCATTACTGCGCTGGAAGCTCTGCGATCCAACGAAGAGAATGTACCGTTCTCCAGTAATATCGATATGCTTTTGAAAAGATGGAAGCAGATAGAATGGCTATGCAACAACACTGCTGAGGCCATCTCTTAAGAGACAAATCAGTAGCCGGCAACTCTATTATATATATCCTAAAAATATTCCGATTCATCAGATCCTTAAGAGACATAAGCCAGTCTTCAGGCCTATTCTCCCAGAACATCAATAGGAATCGCCTTAGATTCTCGCTTGTTGTTCAACGTTTGTCTGGAAATGACCATATGTTTGACCATGTAATTTACCGCACACTTGATACCTAATTCCTCGCCCCTTCTGATGATATAGCCATTGATATACTCGATTTCCGTGGGCGTTCCGACACTGACATCTCGACGCATCGAACTGGTGTTCCCGGAAGTCTTGCTTGCCAGCTGCAGTACCATGCGCCGCAGGCGTTCTGGGTGGAACCGGTCTTCGATGCCTGGGATACCTTGTAATTCAGGTAACGCACAGATAACGCTGGAGATTTCCATCAAAAGCATTCGCATCAGACGATCAATACTGGTGTTGTAAAGCAACTCGCCATTATCGCAATCAAAGATTGAAGTGAGAGGATTGATCACAGAGTTCATGGCCAACTTCTCTAGCTGGTATAGGATTAACGAGGAAGGCGTCTCCGCAATTGCGACAAGCGGAGGTGTGAGAGTTAAAGTGCGGAGGAGGTATTTGGTTGTCGGCGCCCATCCATCGCCGAGGGGATTTGTAGTAGAGAGATCATTATGTGGTGGAATTGGACTGATGATCGTTGTGCCAATACCGCTATGTTCGACCTGGAAGTACTCCTTTCTCTTCAATCCATGGGATACGATGCCAAACATATAATGTGGGCGTGTTTGAGGATCAGTGAACACTCTGTCGTTGAGTTCTTGGATCGTTCCCATTCCATTCTGAAGTAGCAGCACCGTGGAGTCGGGCGTTAGACGATGACGGACCTTGTTGAGAGCCGCAACTGTTCGAGGAGCTTTCACGGCGACAATCAGGCATTCGATTTTCTCATTATCCTCCATTGCTTGCGATAACAAGTCTTGGCCCTCTATCTTGGACTCTGCAAGTCGGCGTCGAGGGCTCTCGGTGTCAACCGGCTCATTTTTCGATTGTTGATAAGAAATCGAGTACCACTTGTTTTCATCCAATACATTCACATCGAACCCGGTCTTGATGTCGTCCAGTCCATTGACATTGACAGCAAGACATCTTTTCTTTGATAGCCAAGCAGAATATATCTGCGGGTGGTGGAGCATCAAGGTTGTCGGGGGAGGAGATTGCCTACTTGCCAGTGAATGTGCCACAAATGTTCCAAGATTCCCCATCCCTAAAATGTGGATGCGCCCTGATAGCCGGCTGCCATTGGCCTCCTTGGATATTTCATCTACATCCTGCATCCACGACGGTCGACTCGACCCATTCGAGAGGAATCTCCTCGTGCTCTGTGGAGTGAAAATCAGCCGGACTGAAGAGTCCAGTTCGAAAATGCCGATCCGCCAAAGCGGACGGCAACACCTTGCGTGCAACACTTTGAAAAAACAAGAGTTTATAAATCTGTAGATCTAGGAGACAATTTCCGAAAAGCTAACTCTGCATAGATCACCCTCTGTTGGCTATAAAGCTTGAAGATGTAGATTCATTAATATCATTAGACAAGAATGATGCAGGCGGCCAAAGGAGGTCCAGAGTACATGAAAATACACACCGCCTGGTTCACCGCCTGTAGATAAAAAAAATACCCATCTTTCGGGCTTTCCATATCAGATAGTACCGAGCAGCCGTCCTTCCTTCAAGAACACTCTGCGATGGATATAGCTGACTTGACACCGCTGCTTGAGCAGCTAGAAGATAATGTCGAAGATCTTGAAGAACTTATACAGCCCTTGTTTGGCCGTGTGCTCTCAGAGACGTCCAAGAAATTGCCGGTTTTAGACAAGGCAAAGCTCCAAGTTTTGATAACATATACTTTGGAGTCCCTGATTTTTTGTATGTGGTTGATTGTCATTTAAAAGTTATATGTACTAACTCTTTGTTAGCTTATCTACGTCTCCAGGGCGTCAATGCCAAGGAGCATCCAGTCTTTAGAGAATTGACCAGAGTGAGACAGTACTTCGAGAAAATCAAAAACCTGGAAACAGAGCCAGAAAAGAGGACCTTGACCTTGGACAAGCAGGCAGCTGGTCGTTTTATCAAACATGGACTGGTGAGTTGGTATTTTCAATTGCTATCTGATCACCCGAAAACGAGATCCTAATTTGCATCACCAGGCCGGAAACAATAGAATCGACTTCGAACGTGCCGAGCGGGAAGCAAAGGAAAAGGCTGTTGCTCAGTTGAAGGCAAATATGGTAGCTAAGAGAATTGCGGATTCCCAAAAAACTACGCCAGCCTCCAAGTCTCGTTCGGGTTCGAGTGCCAATTCTGACCTCGAATCTGATGCTAGCGAGGTCGATGAAGGTGACAATTCTATGGCTTTAGATTCTCGCCCAGCTGAAGAACTGAAAGAATCAGATTCAGCTCACAAGTCAGACAAGATGGCAGCCAAGGTCGCTGCTAGACAGCCAAAAAGGCTCAGCAAAGAAAACCGAAAGAAAGTGAAAGATGAAAGACGGAAGAAGAAACAAGAGATGCGGAAATCCAAGGCCAAAAAATCATGAAGACAGAGATCGAACATCAAGTCATTCCTCAACCGTGGTTGACTGGTTCTGATACTCTTTGAAGTTATCATCTAAGAACAGCATCATGCGAGCCTTTTCCAGCGTCGATACCGATTTCAGGGCAGAATAAACTTCTACACCTGAATTCTGCTCCTCGTCAATCGAGCTCCTAGGCAGTTGCCGGTCTATTCTGATACCCCCTCTGTTTGACATAAGCTTGATTTGAACAAATCCCGCAATGGGATCTTTTGTTACCAAGTTTTCTTTACACTTTGCAGCGTGAAGAATATAATGAATAAATCTAATGCCCTCATGTATTCGAAAATTTTCATATGTTTTTGAATCCGCAACAGGAAGACTCTGTAGAGTAAGAAGCTTGGAGAAACAAAAGGAAGCAACCCGTAATACCCTTCAACACGGCCAAGTCCCCTTGAATTCACAGCCTTAGTGACTCATTGCGCGGAGACTCAAAGCATAACCCATGCCGAAGTACGGAGAAGCCCGGATGATAGCTAGGTCCTCTATGGACGTCAGCGCAAACTACTCAATGATCAATTGGCAATAAGCCGGTCTTGTCAGGTGACAGGCACGGCGACGGCGCACGGGAGGTTTCGCCTAAGTCCGTTGGACAGTCTAGTCCCATGGAAAGCTTAAGTAATACAGCGGGCCAACCAATCATCGTCGGTATTATTCGCAGCTGCATCGGAGTTTGTGGCTCTCAACCGCCGATATTCGAGTCTCTTCTTTTGTTGCCTCCATCAATCCGTGTATATTAATTCTGCTGCCTCCTTACAAACAGCTTTTGCTTCTAATTCCAACCACATCTCCTTCCCCCCACACACCTACAACAGCCGCAGCCACCATGCCTCGTCAACGTTCTACCCCTGCGCGCAGCGCTCCCAGCAGACCTACCGCCGCCCCTGCCCGGCCAGCTCCTCCTCCCCAGGCCCAGCAGCAGCACCAGCCTCACTCGACTGCTGCTCACCCTTACCCCCAGCAGGCTCACCAGCCCCCTCCGCAAGTCGTCCAGCAGAGCTCGGGGCCGGGTCTCTTTGGCCAGATGGCTTCCACTGCTGCGTAGGTTCTTTCCCGAACAGGATATTTCCTGTCAGATCTGCCCCCATCGATCTGGTGGTGATGAAGAAAAAAAAACATACTTCCGAATAAATTCTGCTTGAGATCTGACATGCTAATATTTTCTTTAATATAGTGGTGTTGCAGTCGGTTCCTCCATCGGACACGCCATCGGCGGTTTCTTCAGCGGCGGCTCCAGCGCTCCTGCCGAAGCCCAGCAGGCTCCTCCCCCCGCGCAGTCTCAGTCGATGGACAACGGGCTGTGGCAGAGCAGCGCGACTAACAGTGCCTGGGAAACCCCTGCATGCGAGGCCGACGTTCGCAATTTCCGCAAGTGTATGGATGAGAACCAGGGCAACATGTCCATTTGCGGTTGGTACCTGGACCAGCTGGTACGTCAATCGACAAATAATACCATAAATTCGATGAATCAATTTGCTAACAATTAGAAATAGAAAGCCTGCCAGGCCGCCGCTAAGCCTTACTAAGCTGTCATCATGCATTTCCGGGGGGTTAATTTGAGGGATGCAATCTACTTTTTTTTTCACAAATCCAGTCGCTTTTGATCGGGTCATGTATACCAACCAACATTTGTATTTTCAACGGTTCCATCCCTGGACCAGGGTCTCATAGAAGAGACACGAAGTAAGAGGATAAACTCGAACAAACAGAGCAAAAAATTGAAAAAGACGATATCACTAATGAAAGTGATCCCATTCCACTCTACAACCATTCTTTCCCTTATACATTCAATCTGCTACATCCGTAAAATAAGAATAATTATACGATATGGGGATTACCCGCATGATATAGTAGTGACCACGCCGGTACTTCTCAAGGCAAGGCCCCTGGATAAGACTCACTCATCCTGGGGTTCGAAGTTGAGCTGCAATAAGAATATTAGCAATCCTCGAATGAACAAACATCGACCTGCGGTGGGAATATCTCGCATACCTGGTTTCCGTTGTAGAATTGACTGTTATTTCTTTCATCATACTGATCCCTGAGGGTCCTGATATGGGGTCCTCGGGATGTGTTATAAGGCCTTGGGCGGCTGGCGCCGCCCATCGATGGAGTAGATTGTGTCTCCGGCACCGGTTGTGACTCACTTGGGGGCGGTTGTGTCTGGCCGTATCCCAGGAACGAGCCAACAAGACCTGAAACAGTAACGACGGCCGAGGAGACAAGCCCATAGGCTGCATATGCCCCGCGGACAGGAAGGCTGGACTCAGACCCGGTGTAGGCTTCTGTATAGGAAGAGATCGGAACCATGACCAGGCTCGCAGTTGGTCCCAGGCCAAGTTCTTGTAGCGTCTGCTCCTCTTCGGCGATGGTAAGATTCCGGTTAGGAAGCGGCGTCAGAATGTGTTTCAGGTTGAATGGCCGGCTCTCACCAGCCAGCTGTTCCTCAAGCCATGGTCGAACATGTCTCCGAATGGTTTGCGAAGGAGAGAAGCTCGACCGCACAGAGCTACCATCGAAGAGGCGGACGCTGAGACGATATTGGGTCGGCGGAGACGGTCCAGTTTCTTGAGGGGTTTGTGGAAGAGAAGAATGTATGTTGATCGGAGGGCTCTTGGGCTTGGAGACTTGCGGACTCGAGTCCCTCGTGACTTTATTCTGCTTCGCTGCAGCTGATGTCACTTGGCGTTCCTGCTTTGGCTGGACAGATTTCTGCGTCGCTGGGCTGGGGTTCTTGGTGAATTTACTCTTCTTCGACTGTTCGGTACTTTCGGTCTTCTTCTCAACTCCGTTATCACGCGGCTGACTTTCCCGTGTTGTGCTGGAAGCAGGTGACGGTTGAGGAGCTTGGTGGCTAGATACAGCAGGACGAGGTACCGGAACCATCTCGGGCGCATTTCCTCCTTCGGTCTGTTGCTGCGATAAGCGTACTGGCTCTGGCACGACGGGGGGAGGTGGCTGCTCTTCAAGAGCAGCTGTCAGTCGGCGGCGAAAGTCGTCTTTCGTAATGTCTGGGATAATGTATTCGCGCAACATTCCATTTCTAGGTATTGTCAGCCTATTAACTCATCTGAGTCTCCGAGTTTAAACCCACCTGATAACAACTACCGCCGGGAATTTGGCAATCGGACAGAAAGAGGTCAAAAACCCAACTTCCTGGCTTCCAGCCGACAACCGCAACAGCACTGATTTAGCCTTCAGAAGGGCTGCGAACTGCTAGTGCACTCAACAAATGAAACCTTAATCCGACACATTATGGAACGGTACCTCTTCGCCTGCGAAATACTCATCCTCCCATTCGGAGCTGGTGGGCGTGTCATCTATATTCGGGAACAGACGAGTCAGCGCCACCTAATTGACCGACACTATGGGTAGTAAACAAATAACAAACCTCGAACGAAACAGACAACAGCTTTGACCTCGCTCACAGCCAGGGCAATCCCTTCCTGGAGACTTCCTTCAAAAAACATGACGGAACACGCGCCAGTCGTGGTTCATGCTGTAGTTGCAGCACGTAGCTACTTGGAAGTGGACTCGGCGGAGATGCCCTTTGCTTATCGCCGCGTCCCACTTGAGCCCCGAACAATCGCGGGCCGACCTCAACACCCTCTGGTTCTGCGAATATTGTTTCCACAGATTTGGTTTAACGATACAGATTCATATGTTAGCTCTTCTAGAGCCTCTGTATAGCAATTGATAATGCGGCCGATCTTGTCGTTGTTCCGACACACAGCTACCAAAGCCTCGTGGCAGCTTCCTGCGCGAAATATCCGCAATAATGAATCCTCCCTAAATTTCGACTCGATCTGCGCAAGATGTCGGCGACAACAGACCCGATTCTACAGCTACAAGCAGCCAGCTGATGATCCCCGATGGCTGTCTGTTGTTGATCACCCCGCGCAGATTGTTCGGACTGGCCAAAAACATGGGCCAGGCCTCATTATTCTGGGTATGATGGGGTGCCAATCTGTTTCTATTTATGCCATTTATGTGAACTAATGATATTACTTCGTGTAGCTCTCATCCCTATTATTTCCTTTGGCCTTGGGGCGTGGCAGGTCCAGCGTCTTGAGTGGAAGACCAAGTTGATTGCAAAGGTCGAGGACCGCCTTGTCAAGCCCCCTCTGCCGCTTCCTCCACGAGTCGACCCGGATGCCATTTCGGAATTCGACTACCGCCGAGTACTTGCCACCGGCCACTTCCGACATGACCAGGAGATGCTTGTGGGACCCCGGATGCGGGAGGGCGAGGACGGATTTTTGGTTATAACACCTCTGGAGAGAGGTGAAGGACAGAGTACCGTCCTGGTTAACAGGGGCTGGATCTCCAAAAAGGCCAAGAGCCAGAAGGACAGAGCTTTGGGTTTGCCCCAAGGAGAGGTCACTGTGGAAGGATTGCTGCGCGAGCCGTGGAAGAAGAACATGTTTACGCCCGATAACAAGCCCGAGGAAGGGAAGTTTTACTTCCCGGATGTCTATCAGATGGCTGAATACACGGGCAGCCAGCCCGTGTGGATTGAAGAAACTATGGGTAAGAGAGAAGAAAGGCATATTGTACATGGTTATGAAGCTGACTGTGACTTCCTGCTCAGTGCCGGACTTGCTTGAGGCGTATGACCGGGAGGCGAAGGGCATTCCCATCGGCCGGGCTCCCGAGGTCAATCTCAAAAATAACCACACTCAATACATTTTCACCTGGTATGTCTTCCGTCGCAATGGACTGACTGAATTTTTACGACATTGGGAGGCTCCGGGTTCCTCTCTCTCATCCTCGGCATGTCGCTGACGCTCTCCAGGTTTGGACTTTCCTTTGCAACCTCCATCATGCTGTGGATGATCATCAGGAAGCGACCGAATGAAGCCATTCGACGGGTCCGCCAGAATAAAAGCTGGTGAAATTCGCACAAGATCATCTTTGCGTCTCGTAAGGTTGACGTTCATTGCATCCTGTACCATGTTTAAGTCTTTCAGGGAGGCATGGCAAGCCGCATGTCTTGTAGGAGTTCCTTCGGCAAATGTTTTTGAGCCAGTGAGAATATTGTGGTCGAGCTATTGGTATGACGTTGTCTGAATGGCAATTAGAGATCATCCGCAGGATGGAAAGGTTGTAAGATATGTTATATAGAGGAAAAAAACCAACCCACCTTCTCATTAGAGTTGCGACGTCACTCTCGTCGATTGTCTTTCGTCCTGCATGCTTGGAGTATGCCGCTAGATCCTCACTGGCTTGTTCAAAGAACCACGAGGACGCTTGCTCGACCGCTGCTAGGGTTGTTTTGCTGATCTTTGCCTTTGTGCCAACTCTTGCGCGCGCGAAGCGCATGGCCAGCTTTCGAACAACCCCGGAAGGCAAATTTGGAACAGGAATGCCATGCCGAGACAGCTTCTTCTGCTTTTTCCCAGGTTCGGACTGTTCATCACGCAAACCGCCTCCAACCAACCCTGGACTCTGGCTGAGAGAGATTCGTGGCGGAAGATTGAGGTCCAGGCCAAAGCCACCCGTAGCATCGTCTGCGGAAGAGACCGATCCAGCGTCTGCTTGCATATCCAAGGCGCCCTCATTAATGTCCACTGCATCCAACTCAAACCCGTCATCGTTGAGCGGCTCGCCCACATCGTCGCCGATGGCTGGTGCCACAGGAGACGGGAAATTAAAGTCAATATTAAATCTCCCTAGGTCCTCGGTTTCTCCGCTTTTTGAACATTAGCAGTAATTCAATCGTACAAGTGAACAAAAGATTGCCTACCCCCTGTCGAAAGCACCCTGGCTGATCAAAGTGTCATCGGCCCCTTCTTGTATTCCTGGAGAAGCACCGCCTTCCGATTCGGACTCCACTTGTGTCAGGTCACCAAAGTTTTCACTAAGTCTTGTACCCCCATAGCTCATCATGGAGAGCCGGCCTCTATCTTGATCCATGGTAGCCCTGCGTGGGTATTCGACAGTGATGTCTTCCTCATCAAAAGCGAGCGAGAGTCGAGGAGGACGCATTTCTGGGCTTCCCCCTTCCTCTTCTTCCGGACTTTCGTCGATTGGCAGAGAGAGTCTCGGTCTCTCGATGGCTGGTTCCCGATCTAATTCATCAATCTCGTCGATTTCCTCTTCAATAGGTTCGGGTTCGGGTTCTTCCTTAGGCGATGAGCGAATCGCCTCAGACGTAGGAGCCAAAGCTGTAATACATATAATTATTAGAGAACAAAACAGGGTCGGTCTGTCATTTGAACGAACCTCTGCCGAGATTTCTCAAGATATCAAAAGTGGTTTCTCTTTGCATTCGGAAGCTCTTCCTCCGGTCGCGACCTGGAGTATTTGCTGCGCGGCGCTGCATAGCACGAAGACCATAGGGCGTTGAAGGCGCGCCAGCACCCCTAGCTCGCGGTGTATACCGGCTTGCTGAACGGTTCCCAGAGGGTGTTGTTGTTGTGAGCCGGCTCGGTGTGAGCGGGTATCTATTATGAATGGGAAGTCGTTGGATCTGGACGCAATTCATCAATCCCAATTGTTTCCTATTTAGATCAAAAGCGCGAAGCATATTCACTAACTCTTGTAATAGTTGTGTCTCCTGGCGTGGAATCTACCTCAGAGCTCCCCGACAACCGGGGGCGGCCACGCGGTCTCGGTGTTGACATTATCAATGAAGTAGTCGGAACCTGATATGTACTGCTATATTGACAAGTGAAAAATATCAAGAAAAACAAGAGACTATTAGCCTACATGGACGAGACTCCACGTCACAGCAATTTCCCGCCAGAGATGGACACGAGGATGAGGAGGGGTGGGAATGTCCAGTTCGCGTCGCAGACTCTCAGTCACTTTGTCTGGTCTGGTCTGTGCGCTTATCGATAAACCCATGTCCCTGCTGACTCAGCAAAAAAAGTGCTTCGCGATGATGATCATGTTGGAGTTTGCGAAATCATCTCTCTTCTATAGCGATACTTTCGAGATTATCTACCGCGAAGAGGCTTGAATACCCGATTTCAGAAATGGCCGAAGTACCTCCAGTCTCTGGGCTTTCAGCCAAGGTGGAGAAGAAGCGGAAAAGACAGGCAGACGAGTCTACCAAAGAAGAGAGCAAAGCGACGAACGACAGCAAGCCCACAGAGGGACCGAGCAAGAAGAAGCAACGGCGGAAGAAGAACAAACAGGCGTCGAAAGAACAAGATATCAAGGACGAAGAGCGCAAAAATGGAATTGATGAGTCAATTGGGAAGATGGATGGGCGGCTGCTGGCGGATCATTTTGCGCAGAAGCTGAAGAGGCACAATAAGGAACTGACAGAGGTGGAAATCAGCGATCTCTATATCCCAGGTAAGATTGGCCACACTCGGTAGTGTTTTTCTAGACGATTTGTACCGTATTCTGACTATCCATTGCTCCAGACTCTGCATTCCTGGACACATCATCTTTCGAGGGCGCTAGGTCTATGGACAAACTTCCTGATTTCCTGAAGAACTTCAGTCCTAAAGGCTTTGATTTAAGTAAGGCTGCGGAGGAAAAGGGCAGCCCACACACCTTGGTAATCGCCGCTGCGGCTCTTAGAGCTGCTGATCTGGTTCGGTAAGCAGATTCGGGATATTCAACCACCTAGATACGCTTGGTATATTAACTGATATTCTAACACACATTAATAGAGGACTTCGAGCTTTCCAAACGAAAGAATCTATCGTTGGCAAATTATTCGCTAAGCACATTAAGTTGGAGGAAGCCAAACAGTTCCTCGAACGGGCACGGTACGGATCTTCCCCGGATGGTGTTATTCACTATCAGCTTGGATCTTCTAGCTAACATTTAACAGAATTGGCCTCGGCGTTGGAACACCTCAGCGGTTGTCTGATCTCATTGATTCAGGTAGGTCAATCTAAATTGCAATGGCCACGGGACTGAATATCCTTGTCACTAACACCGAGGACAGGAAAGCTCAAACTAGATCATCTGGAACGGATCGTGATTGATGGCTCACATATTGATCAAAAACAGCGCGGTGTCTTCGACATGAAGGAGACACATCTTCCGCTTCTACAGCTGCTTACTCGTTCTGAATTGCGGGATCGTTACGGGGCAAAGCAGAAGCGTATACAGATTCTGGTGTTTTGAAGGATGAGCATGTACATCGGCGTTTGGGCTGGTAATCTACCTCGAGTAGGTCTCATAGGTACAGATTCAATATGTTTTTTCAGCTATAATTAAATATATATCAACCCTTGACGTCTCCTGAATATATACTAGCCAATCATAATCCACAAAAATTGGACGGCTGCACCCATTAGTCTCACCGCCTTCAACCAACCAGCAGAAAACGTTTTCCCGCTTCCTATCTCGAATTTTTAACTCCACCGCCGAGCTTTTGCTCTATTTTACAACAGCTTTATTCTTCTGATTCAGCAATTGTTTGTCGCAGCGAGTTGGCGCAATAGATTAACAGTTTGGAGTCTATACATCCTTTGCCTGATTGATTATTCTACAGCCATATCTTCTGAGTATTTGAGTTTAACCGCGAGTACTGGACAAAATGGGCGATAAGAAGCGCAAGCTCGTGGAGGACGTGGTCGAACCTGAAGGCAAGAAAGCGAAGCGGGACGAAAATGGCAAGCGCGAAAAGTCCAAGAAAGAGGAGAAACGCAAGCGTGCTGAAGATGTTGCGACTGTAACCGAGCCTGTCGATACAAAGGCCGAAAAAGCGGACAAGAAGGACAAGAAGGACAAAAAGGAAAAGAAGGACAAGGAAGAAAAGAAGGAGAAGAAGGAAAAGAAGGAGAAGAAGGAAAAGAAGGAGAAGAAGGAGAAGAAGGAGAAGAAGAGCAAGAAGGAGAAGGCAGAAAAAGAAAGCGAAGAGACCCCAGCCGAAGATGCAATGGAGGTGGATTCTACCCCTGCAGAAAAGAATGGGCAGAAAGAGGAGCCTGTGAAGCCTGAAACTGAACAAGAGAAGAAGAAGAGCAAGATGGAGAAGAAGGAGAAGAAGGAGAAGAAGGAGAAGAAGAACAAGGACAATGAGGCGACGGAGAAGGGCAAGGCAGAGCCGGACAGTGCAGAGTCACAGGAACAGAATCAATCAGAGGATAGCCAGGGCTCGCAGCAGAAGTCCACCCGGTTCATTGCGTTTGTCGGTTAGTTGGACATTCTGCCTATCACGAGGGATTCTTCGAGGCTAACTGCATTTTTCTGCGTCCAGGAAACCTTCCCTATAGCGCAACTGTCGAATCGGTGACAAAGCATTTTGAAAAGAACCCCCCAGTCTCTGTGCGTGTCGCCACGGAAAAGGACAACCCGAAGAAATGTCGCGGGTTCGGCTTCGTCGAGTTTGACAACTTTGACCGCATGAAGACCTGTTTGAAGTTGTACCACCACTCCACATTTGACGACGGCAAGTCGCCAGCACGGAGAATCAATGTCGAGTTGACGTAAGCTATCGCTGAATTAAGTCTCCAGATCTCTCTTTTCAAAATGCTAACCTGTCGCCCAGCGCCGGTGGAGGTGGAAAGTCCGAAAACCGCAAAGCGAAAATCGAGTACAAGAATAAGAAACTCGACGACGAGCGCAACCGCAACGCTAAACGGATCCAACAGGAGAAGGCGAAGAAGTTCGACACGGACGGAAACGGGGAAGAAGCGCAGGACGAGTTCGCCGGTATCCATCCCAGTCGTAGAAACAGACTCTTATGAAACGTGACGTCGCAGACATCATGACGCCGTCCTTTTGCATCATTACGTGGTATAAAAGAATTTTCTCCTTTTTGTCTCCATTTTGACGACAAGAGTTCGATATCCCTTGACGTTGATATAGCTAGTTATACATTCAACCATATATTGGCATATCTATGAATATAGCGGTGTATAGAATCATACATGGATGAAGATGCGTGACGTAGCTCTAGTCAAGGGTAGCATGCAACAAGCCTAGTGCCTCCGGATGATGCTTCTAGTGAGTTCGATGTAATGAGCAGATAACTAGCAGCAGTCCATGTTTCATCTTGGAGCTGGTTAGCCTCCCGTACATATTCAACAATATGCTAGAAAAGAATCTATTACAAGATCGCTCTGGGATAAGTATATATAGCGCGTCAAAAACAATCTGGAAATGACTGACAGAATGCCCATGTACATTATTCATAAAAATGGGAGGAAATAAGGAGAGGAAAGGGGGGAAAACACCGATGATAGCACAGCTGAGGTTCTCAACACCGGGGAGAACAAACCGAGCTGTTCAGAGGCAAGTGAGTTCGAAAGACTAGTGAATAGAAAGCTTGATCCAGCTGTCTCATGATACAGCCCCTGGGTATGACATTCATAGCATGATCTTGCATGACATGGTACATCTTTATACTGAATTAGGAAATATCTGGCACCCTGTCAAAGAGGAGAGAAAATAGGAGGAAAGAAAAAAAAAATAGAAAAAGAGATATCAGGGCATAAGATGAGGCGAGGAGGGTAACCAAAAAAGAACGATGAAAATAGCATGAAGCTACCAGGACGCCGTATTAGTTGCTTATATGGTGGTGAGATATAAAAAAAGGCTTTACAAGATCAAGCATTTCTTGCTCTTAGGCTTCGCGGTGGGACGGGGATTGAGGACCGCCCTGGTAAGAAGATTCGTGAGCGCTTATTTTGATGGAAGAGGGCTGGAAGAAAGGAGACCTACCGGATCGCCTCGTCAAATACGCTTTTCAGATTGCGCTGTGTGAGAGCTGAACATTCCAGGTACTTATGGGCCCGGATCTCTTTGGCAACGGTAAGAGCTTGCTCGTAGGAGACGGGCTCCATTTTGCGGGCACGAAGCTGGTCGGCGGTCGCTCTATCGTCACGCAGATCAAGTTTGGTGCCGACAAGGATGATAGGAACGTTGGGTGCGTGGTGCTCGATCTCGGGAAACCACTGCCCATGGGTTAGGCTCGCTGAGCGATCACTCCCAGATGGGGGGGGGAGGCTTACCTTAGCTTTCACGTTGTCGAATGAAGGCGGGCTGACGATGGAGAAGCAGATCAGGAAGACATCTGTTTGTGGATAAGACAGCGGGCGCAGGCGATCGTAATCCTCTTGCCCTGCGGTATCCCACAGACCCAGACTGATGGGCCGACCATCTACCATAACACTGGCGGTGTAGTTATCGAATCTGGAGGAGATCGGTCAATCGCACAGTTTTAAGGTGTCCACGTAGATATAGAGACGCACACTGTAGGAATGTATTCTCCAGGGAATGCATTTGTTGTGTAAGAAATGAGCAGGCATGTCTAGGGGGGCGAGCTGTTAGGCACTGGGGGACCTTCTTCCACAAGCACATCGAGAGAGATAAGGACTGACTTTGCCAACTGCACCGTCACCAGTAACCACACACTATACAGGCACCAATGTATCAGCCCAATAGTCATAAATAGGAGGGGTGAACGATCTGAAGATTATCGATGGACACCCTGCATACCTTCAATGACTGAGTAGCTGGACCGGATGCCATCTTATACGGCTTCTTTTAAGTTATGCAGAGCAAAAAGTACGGTTTATAATCGAGTGGGAGAAGCAATTGCAGGCCAGCCGAGGTCATTCCACGATAGACGGCGAAGGAGAAGGAAGCGATGCGCAGAACACAAGCGATATCGACAAATATATTCGAGGGTATCTATGGGACGATGGGACGGTCAGTAGGGGAGATGGTGAATAAATTCGGGGCTGGAGACGGTGACAGGAAGCTAGGCCAGGTAGCTCTCTAGGTAGTATTTAGGGGCTCGAGGGGAGGGGACAAAAGAAGCGTACCTTTCAACGAACAAAGCAGACACTAGCCTCTCCGTTGTCCACAATGCAAGCAATAATAATATAAGAACATGCAACAGTAGCCCAGTCAGATAATGCAACTGATGTATAAGACGAAAAAAGCACAATGTGGTAAAGATTTGCGCGCAGGGTTGAGGGGAGAGAGGGGGGGGAAATGGGCTGGCGAGGAGACGGGACTAAAATGCCAGGCGGGGGCGGCACTGGAGCTGATATTCTGGCGCTTAGGCAGGACAGGGGGAAACCAGACCGCAGGAGCATGGAATCATCTGATCTGGATATAAAGGTTGAATTATATAACTAGTCTATCTCTACGACGTACGCTTGCAAACGACCGATAAAATAGGTTGCGCCTCCGCAGCCTGTGGCCCTGTGGCAGGCAGGAAGGCTGACTATCAAATCAATCAATAATAACCATGGGGGAAAAGACGACCAACACTAGGAGTGGAGCACTCCCTCCCAACCTCCAAAGAATTGGAATCCTCTTGCGGCACCAGCTCCAGCCTCCTGCATCCAAACTAAAACTTATCAGCGCCTAGGTAGTAGGTAATGGTCTACTATACAGCCTGTCGACCGCCACGCTGCAGCACAAATCTCCAATCGTTGGCACAGGGACCTCAAGCTTCAGCGTAGCCTTGGAAGGGTATGCCGCCAATCAGTCGTCTGCTCCCCCAATCGACAATAGGCTGTGTTCGATTGCTGCTGCCAATAGATTCTTTAGGATTCGCGCAGTAAACAACAATTGAGATGAGATATCAAGGTCTCAGCGCCCTGTTTATCTCCTGAAACTTTAAACCTGGTAGTGTTCGTGGCGTTGAACCAGAGCCATGCACCGACGATCCACTGGAGATTTCAGGTTTCACAGCCTGAGTGGTCGTGGAGAAGCTTTCCGGCCATCCGGAGACGACTTAAAAATGTAGATTTGCTGACAGGGCCAGCCATCCATGTATTGATGCATATTTGTCCTAATCTCTCCAAGACATAGATGCGAATAGTTATGCGCCATGTTGGGACTTGGATGAGGTTGAGATGGTGCCTGTGATGCCTGTGGCTCTCATCTGTTTGACCCAAATCTATGGCCTTCATTTCTTGGGAGTCGACTGATGAAGCAGACGAACTCGCATTGAGTAGTCGACCGTTGTCCTTTCGTTTCTAAGTCACTCAAGAAAACCCGTAAAATAACTCCATTTTCACGGCCCATACCATGCTCGATACCTTCTGCTACCAATTTCGTGGTCTTTGACGTCCAAGAGAGTGTGTAGAGGTCGAACTGTAAGGAAATGTTTCCAATGACCCAGAGAGAAAAGGTTGCGCTATATCCTCCGACCTGAACAGCTGCTATTAATGTAGATCGGTTCCCTCCTCGTCTGACAAAATTGGTCGCTCAGATAACTGGAGGAGCAACAAAAGAGTCGGGTATACCATCAAAAACCCAATTAAGAGAATCAAAAACCTCCGAGAAACCTGCTTCGCTGATAAATGCAGGGCCTTGGTCAAATTGTGGAGGGAGAATTAAGGATGACCCATCTAAGGAGCCGTCATGTTGTCTAGCAAGACCTGTGGATGAGATATTGGGGTTGGCTTGAGCAGCTACACCAGTCAGCGATCACACTTCTCAAGAATCCAAAACGCCAAGAAAACTCACATTGTACATCTTCTACGCTCTTCATAGGACGGAATCTCTGTCGCCAACGCCAGACTGTGTCATATACGTGGCTCATGCTCATCCGGCATCGAACTTTGAGTTGAAGAGCATCTTCTTCGCTGGCAGACCCTGGAGTTCCTGCATTCCACATCTGGGCGAGAATATCCGCCAAACGCACGGGCCGATCATGGTCCATGACGCTGATCCGTCGAATAGCCGAAATAGCCCCGTTGAATAACAGTTTGCCGTGCTCAAAATCGATATGACGATTGAATGCACTCTTGAGCAACTTCATGAGAGCAAATGCAGCCGAGACAATCATTTGGAGTATATAATTAGTAGCATGGCCAAGGAGCTCTCCGGGAGCAGTTTCAAGGTCTAGCACCCGTCCAAGGAAAGAAGTAGTTGCGATGAAGAGCTTCGTCAGATCATCACTCCGTGAACTGTTCCCGAGGAAGACGAAATATCGTAAGTGGAGCTCTGCTGCCCGTAGGTGAATCATGTTGATTTCTAGAAGCACATGTTAGTAAATAATAAGGGTCGTTATAAACTGGAAGAAACACAAGACATACGTGTCATACTACGACCGAAATCCAGTTCCATATCTTTGAGCTCATTTTCCAGAAGTTGTATAATCAGGAACTTTTCCGAGCTAATGAACTCTGCTGGGTCAGGCTTGCTGCTATACAGTGCCTTGGTGACCCTGTCGCAAAATTTCTCAATGCGAAGTCGAATCTTTAGGTCGTTGGGCAACCGATAGTCTGCGTCTTTCAATGATGCGGGTTCAAGTGCCCAGTCATAGATTGTGCTGGGGGGTTGGCCATAACCAGTGGCGACGCTGAGACAAAGGAAATACAAAGATTAGATCCCCCATGATTTTGGCATACATTCAAATATCCAAGAAGACTTACTTTTGTGCGACGATATTACAAATAATCCATGTTTGCAGGCGGTCCTTCATTTCCTCCCCCCGAACTTCCATCCGGAAGGTGGTAAATTCCTCAGCCTGGACGGGCCGGTGCAAGCCAAGTTGCATCGCAATCTGCATCATCAGACCACTCAGCATGAAGGTTGCATCGGTCCGTTGACTAGTTGTTGGTAAGGGCCATGTACAGAGAAGACAGAGTGCCTTAACCACATGGTAATCCTGAGGGACACCAGTAATCGTGGACCAGACAAGGCGACTGATTGGACCCGAAAGAGAACTCAAAAGTCCAGGTTCCAAAGGTGCACGACGACTGGCAACGCAAACGATGGTCCATGCCAGTAAGTTGGATACTTGAAAGTACTCTTCTGGGCCTTTCTGGGGGTCCAGCAAAGGGAGAAAAGGGTGATAGAATTGGAAGAAACTATGGGTATTAGAGCTTGACTGATGCTAGTACAAGAAGGGGAAATATACCGTTCAAAGAGTCTCGCGACCCTGATCTTTGACAAGGACACGTCTTCCAACCTCCAAAGATTGTCGTCTTGAGAAACGATCGAGCCATCTCTTCTCATCGTCAATGGAGTCGGGATGGAGTGGTGAGCCTCGATGGGGACCGAGACTGTCCGTATCCTGTTCGAAATTGCAGAATCAGGCGGGCAAAACACCTCGTCGGAGCACTGAGACAGTTCGTCACTGGCATGAAGATCTCCAGCCGCTGGCTGTTCACCATTAGCCAGTCGACGTCGGAGATCAGCAATCTCCTTTTCCATCTCCGCATTTCGTCTGTAGTAGTTAAATACCAATGCACACGTCAAACATCATTTTGGGGGAAATTGCACTCTACCTGCGTTTCGAGATGCGTTTAAAGCTTGGTTCTACTTTACACTCAATGTTCAACCGCCGGCAACGCGAGCACGCTGCAGCAGGCACCTGAACGATGTCACATCGTAGCTGTTGAGAGACAATGATACAGACTCAGCCAAAACCTCCAATACTTGCAAGTTGTCCAGCGCTGTCGAGGATTAAACGACAGGCTGGACTGAGGCATCGGGGTTGGCAAAGCTTACCTTCTGCTGTTTACACTCGTTGCAGGCCTTTCTACTCCCACCGCGCCGCTTCCCAGTGACCGGCTGGACTTTCTCCATTTCCCGGGACGCCGAACTGGTGTCTGGAAAGACAAAGGCAGAGACCGGCCGAGTAGTGATAGTACTGGGGATGCTCCGAAGACTGCTGTCGGGCCCCGGCGGCGAGACCAGGCTCCCCGATGTAGTCAGCCCATTAGCTGCTACCATACCTCTTTGGAAGTCCAGTTCCATAGGCATATGATCTTATCTCCCGGCAGAATGGAGCCGTGGGGGGTAGCAAAACGAATCAAAGTAAGTGGTAAATGCGATGCGTGAGAATGCCATGCGCCGGAAATCGGCAGAAAACTCACGATCTCGGCGTTTTCCCATTTGGGCTGGTGTTGCTGACTCAGCTGCGAGTCTCTATCCGTCGTACGGAGTACTACAGGTTGCCTTGGGCATCTACTCCTAGGCCTACTTTTTTTTAATGACAACCCGGACCAATTTTGTATTTGAAATCTATTATGGTTTTATTGGTGTTGATTGAGCAGATATTTTGAAATTCCATCTTCTCTACTCTAGAGTAACCAAAGATACGTAGGTAGTTATCTGTCTTTGCCCACGGGGAACAGGGAATACCAAGAGTGTTGTAAATCGTTAGTATTTCACAGGCCATTAGCTGAACATCATTATGGCAAGATAACTACATATGAATATAAAAACATGCCCTAAAGAAGGTTGATAATTAGTACAATTCCCCACCATCAAGATCCCCAGGAATAAAAATATTAATAGCCTGCTACTAGTAGTACTCTTAAGTGCGCCAACTGCGCTGTAACGCAGAGAGCCGCCGGACGTCACTTCCCCACAGGTGGCATCATCCTTGTGGACGGATCTACGAGCTTTAGGCTGCCGCGCAGTTGAAGGCTCGCTTGATAACCCCTTGATTTTCTCCTTGGTATCTACCCATTGCTCGGATCCCTTGAGATCAGTCGCTCTTTTCGAGTTCATGGCGGACGTAACCCTTCACGATGGCCCCGCGCCAGCTGCCGACGCCCCTCCGTCCAGTGCTGGGGTCTCTACTACAGAGCAGCCGGGAGTTGCAGTTGCGCCAGCAGCGGATCTTCCGGAGGAGGTGAAAAATCGTCTGGACCGGATATTGTACTCAGACGTATGTTGGCGGTGGAATTAGATAAGGCCAGGCTGCTAGTTGAGGAGGTGGCTAACATGATGTACAGATTGGTGTTTCGTTGCTCCTAACTCGTCTAAAGCAGTCTGTTTCTTCCGCCAGGGTTAGTGATGTGCCTTCCAGGTCGCCAGAATCCCCTGGAGTTCCAGCTGTACTGATAGGTTGCCCCAAAAACAGGATTATTCCACGTTTCTCAAAAAGAGAGCACAGATTGAAGAGGAGCATGCCCAAAGTTTGCGAAAACTGTCCCGCTCTACCCATGACGCTGCGCATCGAACTGAACACCGCCAGGAAAGCTATAGTCAGAGTTATGATGAAATCAGTCACTTGCATGAACGTATAGCGGATCATGGGATGCAGTATGCGGTGTCGCTTCACCAGATGGCCGATGATTTGCATGAGCACGTGGGTCGCATCGAGCGTGGCCGCAAGCAGTGGAAACAGACCGGTCTGAGTGCGGAGAAGAAGGTGCAAGAGGCTGAGGCTTCGGCGGACAAGGCCAAAGCAAAGTATGACTCTCTGGCGGAGCAGTACGATCGCGTCAAGACAGGTGACAAGCAGGGTGGGAAGTTTGGTCTGAAAGGACCCAAGTCCGCAGCTCAGCATGAAGAAGATTTGTTACGCAAGGTTCAGAATGCAGACAGTGACTATTCCGACAAAGTCCAGGCTGCACGGACGGCCAGGCAGGAGCTGGTTTCGACTCTTCGTCCTCAAGCTGTCCAAAACATCCAGCAGCTGATTGCGGAGTGCGATTCGGCGTTGACAGTACAAATGCAAAAATACGGTACATTATACGCCATCCTTGACCTGTTCGCATTGATCTAGACTATATCCCAACTGACCTCTTGCCCAGGAACCTTTTCTGAGAAGCTGTTGCTCGGTCAGAGTGTCTGTGTCGTCCCTGTCAAGAATGGGTCGCTTAATGGGGCCACCATACAAAAGAGCCTCAAGGACATTATCTTGCAGATTGATAACCAGAAGGACTTTCATGATTATATCTTCAGTCACGAAAATGATTCTGGTGCAGTGGCTTCTGAAGAGATCAAATACGAGCGTCATCCGGTGAATCCTACGCTTAGTCTTTCAGACACCCAAGGTCACTAACTTGAAGTCATAGACTCTTGCAACGGCCTCCGGAGGTCAATCGTCTGCTTCCCCATCGAGCACGCAAAACAGACGTCAGTCTGTTTTGCTATCCCAGTCCACCCCACAACCTGCTGCTCCTGCTCCGCCCTCTCACGCCCCTCCACAGAACGCCAACGCGACGCAGCAGTTACCATATCCAGCACACACCGAGCCTTCGATATCGGCACCGCCATTCCAACCCCCTTACCCCGTCAGTTCTGGTCCCCCTCAACAGGCCCCAGCACATGCTCCATTAACTGTGCGAAACACTCCAGCCATTCAGCTAGCTGGCAGCAATCCCCAGCCCCCCCACTTGCCACCGTTGAATCCAGTGTTCGGTGTCTCTTTGGACGACTTGTTCCGCAGGGACAGGACCCCTGTTCCTATGGTTGTTTGTAAATGCTTCCAGGCCATCGAGTTCTTCGGTCTAGACATGGAGGGCATTTACCGTCTTTCCGGAAGTGCCAATCATATCAACCATATGAAATCGCTTTTCAACAACGGTATGTTCTTCTTTGCTTGGCCTTGCTGTCTTTGGCTCGCCCTGATTCCTTTCTAGATTCATCACAGGTTGATTTTACCAACCCTGAGAGCTTTTATCACGATATCAACAGTGTCGCTGGTCTATTAAAGCAGTTTTTTAGAGAGCTCCCTGACCCTCTATTCACATTACGGTACTATTCAGAATTTATCAATGCGGCTCGTGAGTATACTTATGCCCTATATCACATATATAGAGCATTAATTTCATTCTTAGACATCGAAGACGACATAAAACGTCGAGACTCGATGCACGCTCTCATCAACAACCTACCGGATGCGCACTATGCTACTCTAAGGCTCTTAGTCCTGGTAAATATCTTGACAGCTAGTTTATGGCGTGTCTACAAGATCATCACTAACAAAAACGCAGCATTTGAACAAGATCCAGGAACACTCGGCCCAGAACCGCATGAACGCTGGAAACATTGCAATCTGCTTTGGGTACGTAATAATATCATTATTGCATGGCAATTCTTAATGCTGACCATGGGGCCAGGCCGACTCTCATGGGCGGCAACGCTGGTGGGAACATCGCAGATGCAGGTTGGCAAGTCCGAGTAATCGAGACTATCTTGGTGAATACGTTCCAGATCTTTGATGACGACTGATAGCACCATCCTCTTGACCATTTCCTGTGCAAGTAGGCTGTTTATGTCTTTTTTGATATGTCTTCTCTCCCCATGCGATACTCCCTTAGCATTTCTGTTGTGTACGAGAAAGCTTTCCTAGCGGACCCGGTTTGATTTTTTAATAAAATTGCCCGGGTATCTTCTACCTCCAGTTTCCAAGTTCGAACAGCTTATTGGAATTTTACGTTACAACGTAATAGGACACAGGCAGCCTGTAATAACAATGTCAGAATGGATGAAAAGGAGAATCTCAACCAGTGTATGCTGTACAGGAATATGATTATACATGAGAATTGCCAAGTTATGCTCGGGGGTAATACATGTGAGAAGTGTGGGAAAAAAAAGTCGAAGCTATAAATGCACGATGTTGATACAATATGAGACGGGCCTGCTTTTGCAATTTTTTGCTTTCTTGCATCCTGTAACTCAGCGTTTTCCACCGCCCATACTACTCTTCATGGCTTCGAGACGATCGGCCAACGAGACCCCGGAAGCGAAAAAGGGACTATCGAGATCCTCAACGGTGGTCGGAGTCGCATGGCCCCAGATGCGCCAGTCGTCTTCCTCACCAGTCCATCGGAATTTCTGGAGGACGATATACTCTGTGCAGTCCTGTTGTTTTGCAGGCTCGTTGGTGCTGGCCTCCTCGTTCTTCGAAGTGACCGTGGTCTTGCCGGTTGACTGGCGGCTCGTGATACGCAGGACCACCTGGCGGACACCGGAGTCTGGTAACTCGGGGATTTGGGTAGCACGATCCGAGACAACACGGACTCCGGTAAACAGCGTGCCGGGGGTGCGGAGGAATTTTTCCAGGGACCAAGTCACCTTCTGGTCCTTCGGGCGGTGCGAGATCCGAGAGGTCAGGCTGTTGGCAAGCCCTGTGCAGCAGATCTTGCGGATGGTAGCCACATCTCCACTAGCGGACAAGTCAACATAAGAAAGGGCAAAGGTCGAAACCATCAAGAACGGAGGATGTGAACGTACACTGCAAAGGATCTATACATGGCCTGGTAGAGGTCGCGAGCCACTTGTCGTCGTTCTTTCAAGCGGAGAGGGAGGCCTGTGTTGATCCATTTGCAGTATGCAAGAAGTCTATTGACAGGGAGATGTTACATTAGTAGTAAATTCTCGGATCACTCAGATTGCTTCAAATATCACAATGATAGTATTTAACTCGAGGCTTGGATCGCATACCCAATGAAATTCTGTGCTCCATTCTTCACCCAGAGCCACTCCATCTGCAGTCGTTCCCGCGGTTGTTCGAAGATTGACGGCATGTCCCTCCACAGCGGGCGAATATAGGTCCCCGGTAGCAGCCCGATGTCCTGTGGTAACTCCGATCTTGATAATTCCTTACTCCGAGTCTTGATACTCGGCTGAGCAGGCTGTTTCATGGTGAGCTGCTGAGCAATCCCGCGCGCCTGGCGCTGGGACGACTGGGAGAAGAACCGGCACTGGCATAAGGTCGTGGAATAGGTTTGAGATACGGTATTGCTAGATCGAGAGGCGAAGAAAAGTGGCCCGGCGGGCAGCCGTAATGGGGAGGCCATTCTGTGTAGCGGTGGGAGGAGGCAGCCACTTGACTTTGGGACGAATACTATCGCATCCAAAAAAAAGTTATTGATCCAACGGCGCAGTATTGGTTTTCTTCTGAGTCACGTGATATGTTCCCACCAGCGACTGCGCCGCCGCGGAGGCCAGGATCTCCTCCGTCCCGAGATGATAAATAGATGCAGTAGCAAAGCTCTCCCCAGCCACACTTCTCCTCGATCTATTCTCTGCTCTTCTCAGAGGCCGTGTATGTGCGTCTTCTTCCATTTTTCAGTTGTTTCAAGTCTAGCTGATAGGTATCGCTTCAATCGCTCACTGCTGACAACAGTGTAGACGAAACCCACACTCCCCACACTCAAGTCTATCTCTTCTTCTACGCAGATCGAAAATAGACAGTCTCTGTCTCTTCTTGGGCCGGGGCACGACCGCTTTTTGCATTTTATCTACCTCCTCCGGACCTTGTATTGTTTAGCAAATTCAAAGAGTTTTATCGCGCGGCGGCCGCATATGCCGTACCATAAGGCTGGCTCCTCCTCGTCGCGATGCCTCTCCTCCGCCCTTCCCTCTCCATACCCAAGTCTCCAGTGAACCCAACCTGATTGCATCGCATGTGCAAGCCAATCTGTCAAGACGACTGCCGGTTTTCCGAGTTTCTTCAAACGTGGCCGCCAAGGACAATTTCTCCTCGCACACCGCTCTAGCCGATATTCCTTCATCACCAGCATCGTCCGAGTCTCAAGCCCCCAATGGCTCCAGCGGTAACCCCAATCACACCAGCCATTCTGCTTTTCACCCGCGTGTGGCTGTGATCCTGGGCGTCGATCGGAAATGGCATCTTCCTCTCTTGATCGGCCGAGCCATGAGTACGGTGCCGGCCGCGTGGTGGGGGTTGCGATGCGCTTTCACCTTTCTGGCAGAGCTTCTTCATATTCGGCCGGGCATGGGACGCGAAGGGTGGGCAGCGGCAATCGTGGGTAATGGTGGACCGGACTGGGATGTTGAGAGGAGATTCCGGGTGACAGAGGTTGCATTGGCAATCATGTGGGTATGGAACGCTCGATCTACATACTTTTTCCCCCTCTACTTCCAAATGTTTCTACAAATGCTGACAGCTTTGAAACTAATAGTGCTGTGCCTCTGCATACTTATCCTATTTCTTTGCTGACTGTATGATGTCTCGGTGGTATGTATTTCCTCCACAAAGATTCAAAAGAAAAGAAAAATAAATACAATGGCGTTGTAGCCCCGCTGATTACCACCAGGCTTCTGAATTACACACCACCGGCGGTGATGATCCGGCTACTCACAACCAACGGCTTGATCGCCTATATCACATCTTGGGTTCTTTATCTTTCCGGCGCATCCTCGGATCCACGAATGCTTTTACCTGCTTGGATATCCATTACAACTGTAACTCGCACCCCAATATCTACCAAAAGAAAGGGGGAAAAAAGAAGCCAAAGCTGACTTATCTTCCCAGACCCTTACGTTTCTATACCATGCCACCCAGAACCGCACCATGATCAAGCGCGAGACCACTGCCTCCCTCCTTGTCGTTTCGGTCGCCAGTTTCGTCAGCCTGTCCTCTCTCTTACTGCAATTGCATCTCACGCGCGAGAACGAGCCGGAGGTACCTCTTTTCGTACTCTGTCGGAAGGTGCTCGATGCACTGCTGGCCATCTTCCTTCGGATGCGAGTCACAAACGATGCTGCGGGGGAGTTATAGTATAAGGGTTTCATTTTCATTCGTTTTAGATTTCTTTCTTTCTTTCCTTATAGTCGAAAATTTCTTTTCTTCTCTGTACAGTCGAGTTGGGACTTCAAATAGATCTCTGTTGCTACAGCGTTCCTATATCATATTATTTGACTTATGCAGACAAACCATATTTCCGACGGTAGCATGTCCAAGGGCCCTTTTGACTCGGGTAGAAAATAGGCGTCAAAAAGACAGGTATTGACGGGGTTGATCGAGAATAAAAGATGTAGTCATAGTCATAGGATTACGGAAGCGAAGCATGAATTACCCATGTCTTATCAAATGGGTAGCCATAGCAACATTGCTTTCCTAATAATAAATGAAGTTGAGAGAAGGAAATTGGAAAAGACTGAAGGCATCTCAACCCATGTGGATTGTAAGAAACATGTCATTTGCAGCGGGTTCCCCTCTCACAACGACACAATAATCATCAAAGAAAAAAGTGAAAGAGAAATAAAGAAACATCTTCATGCTGATAAAGGGTATCTACCAACGCCTCGTCCCATCATGATCCCGTCCTAATCATCTGATGACGCGCCTATCTCATTGATTATCAAACGAAAAGGCCCCATGGTCAGAGTCATAGCGCGTCATTTTCGACACCAGGGTCCTAGTCTATTGTGCCAAGCACAGAGGGTAAGAAAGCAAATGCAAGAAATTCCATGGTGTCCTTCGGGACGCCATATGCGATATCCGGCGGCGCGATGCAAGACCAGAAGGAGAAAGGATAAGCAGCTTGACTCATCCCAACTTCTCTGCGGGCAACATAGACTGTGGAGACGGAATCGGAACGGGCGTGGCGTTTAACCTAGAAGCCATGGACCTGGGAAGGGAGTTAGCAGCTGGAGACTTGGAGAATGTTTCAAGGAAGATAGATGGATTTACCTTGACGGTCTTGGCGTCAAGCTTGAGGCCTTGTTCGTCCTCGGTCAAGAAGTTCAAGACAACCTTGCGCTGATCTCCTTGCAACTGAATCACCTCACCCATCTCGGTGTCGTTGACGATGGTGCCATTGCACGCTATGTTGGTGTTAGCTTTAAAGATCATTACTTTCCCCCTCCTGATAGGAGGTTGGCAAGGGACGTACCGAACTCCTTCTTGACCACCTTGAGAATCTTCTTTTGATCAAACTTCTTGGGGAGACCCTGGACCGTGGTCAAGGTCTTTCGGCCATTGCGCTCTGTATGAAGATTGAGCGGTTAGTATGCACGAGCTTCACCGCCAGACGGACAGCTACCCTCGGCTAGCGAGGGCAACAGGGTTCCAACTGCAACATACGTTGAATTCGTATATGGATGTAGCTTTGAGACGTTCTAGTCTCGCCGGTGTCTTCGTCAGCTTCGGCGAAGGGGTCTGTGCAAGAAAACGGCACGTGTCAGCCTCGTACTCAAGACCAAGAAATATACCCCGCCAACAACCCAGAAAGAATTCAGGGAAACGTCAAGCTCTTAATATGTGATTCCAGTTTGCGGAATAACATATTAAAGAAGCGAAAGTCTTCTGAAAATAGAGAAATGGAACCGGAGACAGTGGGCGTGTCGTCCCAAATGGTTCAGATAGAGGGAAGGAGGGGTGGCGAGACCACTTACCGAAGGTCTTGAGGTTTTCGATGGACATAAACTCGGCCTTTTGTCGTAAACGGCTCTTAAAAGCGATTTGTAATAAGGAAGTTAGAGGTTGAGATTAAGATCTCTGAAAATCTAAACGATCGGGACTGAAGAATGTATGTGTTGGGAGTTACTAAATTCGAGTTGAATGGTGAGAGGGAGAAGGAGGCAGAAGCGCTGAAGAGCCTTTTGAGGGGCCTTGCGACCGTTCCTCCCTGTGGGGGAAGGCGGTGTAAGAAGGCACGACTAAGCGCCACCCAGATTGTTATTATTAGCCATGGCAAGGAGGGAATATGTTTTTTAATAAAAGTTGTATGGATTTTATGGTGATATTGATCAGGTTGTCGCTATGAATCAATTTAAACTGGAGATCCTCTAGAACACTTGGAGGTTGTCCATATCTAGTCTTACAACCAATATCAAGTAGTAGTCAACTATCACACCTAGACAACCTTGTAGAAGATAAGTATCTCGATTTTAGCGGTGAGGGAGAATTCCAGGGGTTTTGATTCTTCTGTAAAAGTCAAACTTCGTCGACAAAGAATATGTGCTGAAAACAAGTGCGGGCATATGATTGCCAGCTCGAATAAGTACCATGTCGTGGCAAGGAGCAATCCAACCAACCAAATGATGGACATGGCCAAGGCTGCACGGAGGCGGTTGTCTGATAAGTCCCTCAAGGATATTATACGTCAGCTAGTTGGAAGACGGCTGACACGTAGATTAATTGTTTTTAAAAACCAGGCTGTCAAGAATTGGAACGCTATTATAGTATTAGACGGAAATAGGTAAAACATATCGTTGGCACACGACAGCCTGGACCATTCTTGTTCAATCCACCACACCCCAGGTTGTAGTTATACATAGTCTCCCATTGAACGCCTTCCCGCACCGAACAGGTGGTATCCAGATATTCTTTCCTAGCACGTTTGAAAGGCAGCAGAGCGAATAGCTTTTCTATGGCGAAGGGATAGGCGGCGCGGCAGCACCCCCAGCACGGGTCGGAGGAGGGAAAAAAAGCGGGAAGTAGGTCTAAGTGAGTCATTAGTTAGGACTCTGATATAAACATAGCCCTCGAGGGAGACGCAAGTGGAAAAGGGGACATACAACTACCAAGGCCATCACTAAGAGGAGAGAGAAACGTTTAGTTGCGTAATCCTGTGTATGGGTGCGGGGAAATACTCACACGCCATGAGAACCGTCATATAGGCAGGCGTCGACGCGGTTGACTTCTGGTCGGGGCTTTCAGCGAGCCATGACTGAAGTGCGAAGACGAAGGAAGCCCTTTGGACTGTTAGTCTCCTCCGCATGACACTCATATTATCATTGAAATGTTCTCAACTCACCATCCGATCATCCTGTAGACAACATGTCTGTAAGCCCGCAACAGAGAGCATTCGATGAACCAGATAAAGCTCACCTATTCCTGGTGAACATCTACAGCCATGATCAGCTAATAATCACGAATAGTTGGTAGACAGTCAACCTACCGCAGCCATTGGTAGAGTACTCGACATCGTGCCTATCCCCCCAATGTCAGCAACCAGGGTGTTTGAAGGGCTATAGATCCCGATTTCCAGGGTCCTCCATACTAGACATGTCGACATCATTCTTCTTGTTCGGGGGCGCCACGTAGGGGATCACTGGAGAGACCGGGGGGAGACGATTAGTTCTGGGCAGAGATTCGTTTTTTGAGCATGGGAGTACACACCGAGGTCCACCCTCCGCATATCCTTCTTGGAAGCCATCTTTGATACTGAGCGATCTATTCAAGCCGGACCTGGGGAGCACAAGTGGCAAAGAGGACGGAGGTGAGCGCAGTCGGCGCCGCCAAGACCTTCCTTGGAGGTTCTGTCCGCATCTCGGTCATGACGCTAAGGACTCTAGCTCCTCCTGGGTACCTAGGTACTGTTTGCTTATCTGGTAACTACAGAGTACGGAGTAGTTCAATGCAACCCCAGGATTTGTGAAGGTGATTAGTGTTTAAATAATAATAAATAGATGTTTTAAGAAAGGCTGGAATTACTAAGACCATCTGGGGGTTTCGCCTAATACTTTTAATATTATCTTTATGAAGCTTCAGTGGTTCCAGGAGCATGGAGATAAAATAATAGAAAAGTTTAGTCCTAATCTTTCATTAATAGATATCTTATATGAGTAGTTTTTTATTGCTAATCGTATGGTCTAAGGGTTTCTGCCAATTAGTTATGTAGTAGATACCTACCTGATGCCTGTCAAGAGATAGGTTACAATAATGAAAGAATCTAGGTCTGAGACACTAGCCATTTCAACCCTGCCATTCTAGCCAGGAGTTCTCTCTGTATAGAGAGTATTTCATCGAGAATACAGGGTAATGTTATTTCCCTCCAGTTGTACAAAACTACTCCGACTTACGTGACGGAGTACTCTGAGGATGATACTCCGTACCTATGCCGCACCAGGGCCATCAATCAAGGGATTCCTGAGAACCTGTGCGACATGATAGATTTCGACTCTTCAAATCTTCCCACTGTCGATCCATACGGAGTAGTGAATCATATGTACTCCCTACAAGGGTTCTTTGCGGAGTATGCCACCCCTACCCGGTCGGTACTTTGTCCGTAATCCATTACTTAGGACTTCTGATAACCTATCGCTCACGACTCACCTGAACATGCAGAGATAAGACCAGGATTACAGACAGCCAGGCCAGGCCAGGGCTGGTGTTAGACATATTATTGACTCTCCCTACTCCCTATCTATCTCTCACCAATACAGACTAATGGTTCTATCATGCTGTGAGAACCATTTACTGTTGGCCGAGGTTTCTTTCAAGGAGTGGCTTGGTTGTCTCGGTCCTAGTACCTCGTAACTAGCTAACTATCTAGTTAGGTACTACCCAGACCGGAGGTAAAGCCACTTACCAAACAGAATTACATATGTAGTATTGGTGAGGGAGGGAGGGAGGGGAATTAATGCTTGCTATGTGTGCAGTTTGTATTTTGCATTAGTTAGTAGGTGTCGCTCTGTCGATCCTGCTGCCAGCATTTTCTTCTGGGTCCAAAATACGGTTGTACTACAGGGCAGAGGAAGACGGACTGCAGGTGTCCAGACCCACGACTGCTGTCCAGAGGTATCTATCCAGGCTTGAGATCAGTCGATGACTCCATGAGACAAGCGTACGGAGGGAGCACTGAGCACAGTACGGAGTAAGTAAGCAGTGGCAAGCAAGTAGTTCGTGTTGAATTGCTGATTACTGCGACTAGGTTGATAGGTTTCCAACCAATCGATCATCTGATGCCTTCTCGCTTTGAGGATCGCACCATATCCATACTGAATGATGATCCGATCTGGACCAGGGTGCGTGCACCACGGGAGCAAGTAGTTATGTAGTAGTATAATCGACCTGGGGCTGAAAGATGAAAAGCAAAAACCCGACCACTGTGAATGTGATGCTGCAACGTGTTGCGTTTGCCCCCTGTGTTGTAGGCACGACCCGCCCAGAATGCAAGATACGTACTACGGAGTAGTTACATAGTAGTAGTAAGGTCAGGTAGGAAACTCCGGAAGTCTCTACGGAGTAAAGCCCAGTCCCGTTATCGGCCGTCGCGGAAGGAGGAAAACCCCGGCGGTTTTCGATGGATCAGTCCATGGCGCCTTCCTTACGGAGCAAAGGTGATTGCCCCCTCAGCCCTTTTTAGTCCTGAACTCTCTATTTGGAAGAACCATTCAATAACTATAGATACGGTACTTACCTAGGTTAGGTAACCTAGTAGATAGGTAGGTACTAGTAGGTACCTGTATTCTGTATGATATTCTATAAGAATAATACCGATACAGTATTGACCACCACACTAGGACTAACTAGTAACTAGTAGTTTCCTCCTACATACGACGGACCATGCTCCGTAACTACTCCGTTGTACATGATTTCCATATTGCGATCCCATCTGTTATTTAGGTAGTTACCTACCTACTAACTCTGTATTGATCTGGATTATCCGCTTCGACGTATCCTCTTATGTCGGGTGCGTGATCCTGGCCTTGTGCAAACCTGTGCCTTCCCTCCCCACCTTTTGTTGGCTCACCAACCTTTCTCCGAGCCACTCTCCACCTCCGTCACGGGGATTTGCCGGCCGGCTGTCGATTATTACCTGCCCTCTGTCCTGTCCGAGCACCAAAGCCTTTCTTGAACCCTCGAAGTTCCCTTTCCCTTCGGTCCGAATGACGCTGGCTTTGCCGGTCACTGCCGTCTAAACACTGATTATCTCCCCTTGTTGAAACGATACATTCCATTCCGCTGTGTCCGTCCATTATCATCGTGTACTGTCGATAATAGGATAATAGCCTGCCTCCCTCTGTTCAACTCCTTCACGCCGAATCTGATGACCTCCGTTCCTTCCATACCTGTTCGCAACATGATTCTGAAATGATCCCCCATTCTTCCGCCGGTGTCCAACCGTGGGACCATCCACTGCGCGCCCTGAACAACGGTGCTGCGCGTGTGGAAAACGTCCAGGGTCCGCCTCAAGTAGCAGACCTTCCAACGGCGAGGCTACCTGCGCAGTCGCAGCTCAGACAGCCAGTGATAGTCGACCTGACTGCGAGCGGCCCCGATTCACAAGAGCCGCCTTCCAAGAGGCAGAAATTGGATACGCCTGCAGCCCCTACATCCGGAGATCCTCACATTACACCGTCGACAGCAGACCAGAAGAATGGCACGCTTGCCGCGGCTGGTTCTCGGCCCACAGCGCTTTCCTGGCGCGGCCGTCCGGCCTGGTCGTTCCAGGCCTTGATATCGGAGACATATGGCGCGGGTTCTCAAGGCGAAGGCCAGCAGCAGGAGGCGAAGTCTGCGTCGTCGCCGCCGCCGTTCCCCGTGCTTCCGGCGAACCTGTCACTTCCCGAAGCTGGGGGTGGAGATCCTGTCGGATCAAGAGAAAAATCCCCGGATCAAGAGGTTAAAACGACTCCTTATCGTATCAAGGTTCCTCTAGTGGCTCCAACCCTCAAGGGTGAAAGTAAGTCCTAGCAATCCGTGCGCTAATGAGAAAGGACACAATGGAAATGAACATTGACTAACTATTCTTCCGTCTCCTCCACAGAGGTCGCCGACTTTTCGCCATGGAACGGGAACCATCCTGAGGATATACTGAATGAGCAAACTGCAAAGCAAGGCTACTACGATCGGACCCAGGTCTCGCAAAATGAGTCGAATACTGCGCGCCCGTCGCTATATGCTCAGTTGAAACACCGTTCGGGATTGCAGATGCTTTCTTCGGTCTTTGCGGCGGCGTTGGAAAAACGCCAAAACCACAACATGGTTACGGCTCCATCGACCTTCAAGCCCCCACCCCGAGTCACCTTGACGGACAACAAGCGCGAGGCATGGCTTCGGGATCTTGCGAATCCGGCGGTACCTCTCCGGCGGTTGAGTCGGACCATCCCTCATGGCATTCGAGGCAAACTGCTTCTCGATCAATGTCTGAGCAAGTGGGTTCCTGTCGGACGGGCCGTATGGCTCGCAAAATGTGTAGGTGCGAATGAGATCCGTGCCTTCAAGAGGAAAGGCACTAGTGGTGCACTCGCCGTCGGCTTGGAAGTGAAGTGGGTTCGCGACTGGACGACCAGTGTGCAGCAGTTTATCGAAGGTGTTCTCAGTACTTGTGGAAAGGCCGACTGGAAAGTCAAGATGACATATGCGTACGTTGCCTAGTTTCTATGCCCATCTGCCTCCTTTTTTTTTTTTTCTGACTGACCAAATTGTAGCGTGAGCCTTACTTCGCGATTATTCTTCGAGCACCTGCTGGATCATGATCACTATCTCGAATGGATGTTATCGTCACTAGAAGCTGCGTCAACAAACGCATTGCCGCTTTGGCTTCTAATGTTGGGCATATACTGGGACAATATCATGCAGTACAGGAAACGAGGTCGCCGCCTGACGGAGATCTTACTGCAAAAGTTGCAACAGGTTACGAAATCAAAACAAGCAGGCCCTCTGCAACCGCTTGTCGATCGTCTTTCGCACTGCATCAAAAGAATTGTCCATGAACAGACTTCCTCTGCAGTCCTCCCGAATTGTTGGGACACATTCAAAGAGACTGTCGCGTCCTGCTTGGACTTGAACGAAAACGTGAACCGGTCCATCTTTCAGAGCTTGTCGGAGCGCAATGCGCGGGTTCAATACCCCAAAGATCCTCGTTGCAAGACGCAATATCCGTCCCAGCAGCGTATCATTCGATATCTCGATTCTGTTCGATCTACGCACGATATCCAATCGATATCATCCGCCTGTCTAGACACCGTGGAAGATAAAGCCCTCCTGGTCTTTAAACTCCTTGAGTGGAGTGCGACGCCTTTTCGCAGCGGCCTTTGCCGTGTATATACTGCCGTTCGCCTATTACGCAAGTGGAAAATTTCCGGAGTGGATGTCGATTCCCATATTCTTGCCTTTCTCCGAGGCGCGGCAGGAAATGTCAGGATAGACGCAAACAATATCTATCATGTCATCTCGGAGCTTGTGCGGTCTCAGACCTTCTCGGTGGGCAAATACCTGCAATGGCTCATGGCGAAGGGTGTGGCAAAGGATTCTGATGAGACTCAATCTACGGTTCGTATTTTCCTGGTTGATTGCTTGACCTTGGTTTACTGACACGTTCTCTAGGGAAAGTTGAGCGATGCACAGCTACTAGCGCAACTCCCGGTCAGTCGTCTACTGGAGCATGTACGCAACCTTCGCAACACTCTTCTCGACCGTGTCGGTATCTCTGCATTGGAAGAGTCTCGCATGATCGAACACGTTCGTGCTTGTGTTGCGCAGCGTCTTCCGCATATGTTTGACAGTGGCTTGGCTGATCTCAAGCACACTGAACTAGTGCCAGTGAGCCTGACTTGGGCAGTCAAATCGGAGATTGGTCAGTGGCTCCGTCGAGCAGTTGCTCAACATTATCAAAGTGGCGGTGCAAGGGCACCCGGCTCTAGAAGGTCCTTCTCCGGCAGTCTCGAGGTATCGGCCTTAACACCAGAGGAGTTTTACACTGTTCGCGATCTCTTCGAAACTTTTGGTGATCTCTCCATGCTTGCAGACGTCCTACACCATGCCTCTAATAGTGGAGACCCTATCGTGCTTGCTTCTGCTGCTGATACTTTGAACTACCATTATGACTCGTTCACTGTGATTGGTGCGACAACTGACTTGTTTCGACGACTGGTTGAGGCATCCGCTCGTTTGAAGAATATGGGCATCACGAGTCTGGACTTGGTATTCTCATTAATCGAGTTGGGGCTTCGTCTACCGACCGAATCCAGTACTGTGACTCTCCTCCGCCAGGAACTGGCCCGCATGGAGAACAGATCCGCTCTAGCGGTTCCATCGCCCCTATCCGATAATGTTCCCGATGCGCTCCATGGTTCTGACCCATCTTTCTACGACAAGTTGGAACAGCTATTATTGTCAGGGACCGGTCTTGATGAATTCACCTTAAACACAATCTTCCAATCTCTTGTCAAAAAGCTAGAATGTGGAGATCTCGGAGGAGAATTATCGCCGAATGAAATTTGCAGGCGCCTTGCACATTTAAGATCATTCAATCCGAAGCATTTTGATATATTGCTGGTCCGCTGGGTCTGTACGATCCTTAAATCACCCACTCGGCCATCGCTTCGTCACATTCTCGTCCCCCTCATCGGTGTTGGGTGTGTCACCATCCAAGCTTTCATTTCCCTGGCAAGGAAAATGTCCAAGGCCGAGACTGCCACAGCTTCTCTTCCTGATCTCGCAGGGCTGCAGCTGGACATTCTTGAGCTCCTTGTCTCACCGACACAAGAGACCCCCAAGTTCTACGATCTGGTAAGTCCCTTGCCAGGCTTCTCAGTTTTGTGGCCTCAAGTTAGTTCGAGCGCAATGCTGATATACTCGTTTCCTTATCTCACAATAGGTCGACTATCGTTTTCGGCTTGCACGCCAGGAGTTTCTCTCGAAGCACGTACAGGAAATTCTCGTCATTGCACATGAATCTGCAGTTGCAATCACTCAACAAAATGCAGGTTTAGATACAGACACCAGACGGGCCAAGTTCAAGAGCTACATGACTATATTACTCCGCCATGTGCTGATCAGCGATCCCGAGTGTGTCGGGCAAGATCATATGCAAAGACTCCTTGACCAGCACCCCGAAGCCACAGTTGCTCTCCAGCATGCATTGGACCTTCTTCTTGGGTTGGATGCCTCAGGATCAGGTTTGTCGAGTTGATTCCACACCTCCATGGCACTCTTTTTTCTAACTTGCATTTAGATTGCAAATCGAGCTTAGCTGAGGCAAATCAGCTGATCGACATGACCAATGACTTCTCTCTTCCATTCTGCCAGTTGAAGCTTCAGTCTCTGTTTAATACTAATACTGAAGACGGGGTTCGGGCCGGTATCGTTGATATGATGTTCAAAGCCGCGGTGGCGGATTCCCGCGCTAAGAGTTCTCATTGGGTTGACTTGGTAGCTTTGATGAATCGGGATGCCATCCAACAGATCCGAGAACGAGCTGAACGGGGCTTCTTTTCAATCACCCTCCCCAGTGACCATACAAACGAAGATTCTTCGGGACCGATTGAGAATATCACGTCATTCGAGGCCGCAAGGGTTTATCTCAAGGTTATTGAAGACCTGGCATACAGCATTCCCGACCACGGGGTATCGCATGTCGCTCCGATGCTGGTGGAAAAACTTGACCAGCTGCTTCACAGACTTATAACGACGCAGACAAACTTCCGGAGCATCGTTGGTAGCCGAGACGCCATGTTGACAGAACAAATTATTCAGTCCCGTTCCAACGTTGAAAGGGCCTTTGCTTTCTGGTTCTCGGCTCTTCTTCGGATGGTTGTCATTCATCGTCAAGCGTTTCACACTAATGCTGTGTCGGAACAATCCCGTCTCCTGGTATCCATCATTTCTATCGCGTTCGCCCGGTTCCCAGACAAGGTGTTGCGCATGTTCCCCAGCGCCGGTTACTTCCCTCGCCACGGTCAAGATGAAAACAACCGTCCGTGCCCTGGTGTTCTATTGCAGACGCACGCGTTGGACGTTGCTGCTTCTCTCATCGACACGTTCCCGGATGAGGCTCGACATCAATGCGCTCGAATGCTAAAGGAAAAATGCCCTCCCTTTATCCACTTCCAGAAAGACCCTCGTTTCCTCTACCTCCTCGGCCCTGCCATGGACGGTTCTCTGATCAATCTGTCGCAGCTTGCATCCCTTCCATCACCTGCTGCCTCCGGCTCCACACCTACGCCGGGACCGTCAGGGAACACTCTGATGGCGCCTGCTCCCTCCCATCAGCAGCCTTGCATGAGCTCTAGCTCATCATCTGTCCTCTCAGAAAATTCGGTCTTCATGGCGAACCGTCTACACCTTCAGCAACGCGGACGCGTTGTGGGTCCCTATCCCATCCGGCCTTGGGAACTTCTGGGCGACGCAGCTCCCATCCTCGGGGCAAATGATACCGCCATCGGTCTGGGGCTCTTTGAAGCAAGACGAGTCAGAGTGTGAATGAACACACTCGGTTCACCTGAAAATCCCCCTTGTCTATTTTCCATGTATATATGTCAACCCTCTTCATGTTATGTTTCTGCATGGTCCCATGTCCCACTCGTTTGACGTATATCTTTATACCTTTCTCATTTCGTGTCTTTTCAGCATGTTGAGTCCACGATATTCGTCCCCAAGCTGAACTTGCAAAAAGCAAGTCAGCCTCTCCCTCAGCTTCTGACATCTGTTTGTCTTCTATTCTGCATTGTCTCACGATCATGATGATTCAACCCATCGGCCTGGGTAAGGTATTTGTTGCATTGTTTTAGAGGATGGTAACCTTTTTTTTTCGTTACAAGCAGCTGGTTTCGGCCGTCAAGGCCTGTACATATACATAAACCGGCTGGGCGTTTTCCTGGAGAGGACTGATTGAGCGTGTTATCGTCATGTAAGTAGCATGGCATAGATAGGTTTTCGGTTGCATCTAGCCGTGTTTGAAATTCTATATGATTTCTTTTTTTTAAAAAAAAAATTCAATTCTCGTAACTATCTCGAATAATGTGTAGTTGATTTTCTTAGAATACTATCTCTCAACAAACATCTGATGGTTTTTTTTTTTTTTTTCACCATGAGTTGACAGCACGCCGGGACCGATTCCCTTTTCCACCGGCACTCTCATGAACACTGCTGGTAGGGGTAGGGGTAGGAGTCGAGTTGGAAGACGAGTTAGCCCACTTGTCCTGGAACCATTTGAGCTTCCTCGCCTGCTCGACCTCTAGCACGAATTCTTTGAGTTCCTCCTCGGTGAGCGTGAGATCGACGTCCTGGCAGTACTCGCGTACGTAGTCTTCCACGCTGCGGCCCGTTGTCGGCTGGCACTTTATGTCTAGTGGCAGTCTGCTGTAGCCCTGGTCTCGCCACCGCTTGATGGTCTCCGGGGACGGCAGGAGGGCGTGGGCGGGATCTTTGTTCGGGGCGGGTGGGAGGAGCGGGTTGCCATCGAGGTCTAGACGATGAAGATAAAAGATCTGGTCATTGGCGAAGAACTAGATTTTGTCAGAGAAACGAGGATGAAGAGGCAGAGTGCAGAATGGTGGGGAGGAGAAGAAGCTTACCCTGATTGCATCCGTGCAGTCGTCCACATAGGCAAAAGTGACGGTCGAGACGGTCGAAAAATAACTCCATGGTGAATAGCCGAAGGGAACTGACTCAATACGAAAGGCTTCGATCGGGCCCCAGCGTGCGAGTACATCGGTCACGTCGAAGTCGGTGATGGGGGCGCCTGTGCGGAATCCGAAACGAGCAGTTCCTACAATGTCAGTAACAGTCAACCATGGGGAGAGAATAGACACTCACTTTTCCCTTTTGCCTTTTCAATCCGCAGGAAACGCTTGTGCAAAAGGAGACATTCGGTCCATGCCAGCGCGGTTTTGGCATCCTCGATATGCTGTGAGAGGTTAGCAACTGGCATCGGCAGGAGATGGGATGGGTCTCTAGATTATTACTTCAAATTGTACAAATGCGCCTGGCAGTCCCTGTTTCTTGTCTTGCTTGACTTTGACGTGGCAGGGGCCGATGACAGAGAATTTCTTCTCCAAGTCTCGGACAAGTTTGTCAGGAGGGACTTCGGTTGAGAGACTGGTTGGTCTTGTCAGCAACGTTGACAGAACATAAAGGGCCATGGCACCTACTTTCCAACAAATACACATGCGTCTGGAGGAAACAGGCCCTGTGCATTCTTGGCCGAAGGCTTTTCATTCTTTCTGTCATGTCGACAGGGGTAGACGACGTTCTTCTGAGGGAATGTTTCATAAGTGGTGATCGTCATGATGGGTATAGTCTAATATAGTTGCTTTCACCTATGATATAGCACACAGGGTATGAAATGAAGGTGAGGTTCGTCGTGGTAATAGAGGTTACTGACAGGATGAAGGAACAGTGGTGGGATGAAGATAGATCAGAGACAAAGGGATGCTTATATCCATAGTCAAGTGATTGCCTATTTTCAACAGTTTGGTAACTTTGCTGTTCCAATATTGATCTCTGTGCAGAATAGGTCAAGTATCCTGGCGTCAAGCTTTCTCCCAGATCGGAGGTATACAAATCTGGAAATAGTGACGTTCAACCCACGGTTGAGACACCTCAGGCTTCAGCGCGAAAGCCGCTGCAGCCTTCTGACTCATGGCTCAGTAGAAGTATCTATTTTCTCATGAGCAGATGCTGGCAACCGGCAAAAGAGAAGGGGAAACAGACAGAGCTGGTGGTCTAGTACGGCGTATCCATATCCGCACCACCACTCCAGGGCAGTCAACAATAGCATGGAGGCATATTTGGTTCTTTTCAAATCCAATGCCTGCTAACAGCCAGGGCCTGAATTTCTAGATATATAATTAGAGAAAAAATAAAAGATTATCTTCAAACTATGTTTGTACACACAACCTTGATCACTAGTCATTCGTTTTGGCAGGCAGAAGTGGCATCCTGCCCAGGCAGCATCCCGGACAATGTACGCTACTCACTCCATCACCTCTGTATCGGATATAGCACGTATGGTGCTTGGTATAAATGTAGGAAGTTGTAAATAGAAAGGTATCAATAAAGTGTGTTGCAGCAACACCTTGTTCGCTATCAATCTTATCTTAGCGCCACTGGCGGAGTCGACATCATCTCTTCCGCTTCTCCCAACAATTGATTGTATCTTCATTTTTGCTGGCTTTCCAGTTTCACAAAAGGCGAGAAGAAGCTTGTTTCTATTTATTTCTATCCATATTTTATTGTTTCTCTTGAGAGCCATGATTCCAACCGCTCGATGCCTGGCTGCTAAGCCAGCCGGATTTATGAAGCGCAGCGCAGAGGAGCTCAGTCGTCTGTCCAGGATAGGTGTGTCTCAATTCCCCCCCCCCCCCATTAATCACTAACCGTGCTAACCGGGTGTTTTCCATTTCATAGCGTGGAACAGCGAGACCCTCTCGACCCCGACTAAACCTTATGTGCTCCTCGACTTCGAAGACGAGTCGAGCGTTGCCTCCTGCAAGACCATGGCCGACCGCGCAGTGGGAGGGTTCAGTACAGCCAGTCTTGACTACGTGCCCGGAGATCCCTCCACGAACACTCCGTCTCACGCGAGATTTCACGGGAGCATCTCCACCAAGCTCCCCAATAACTGGCGGGTGCAGAGGACTGGTACGTCTAACGGGTGGTAGAGGCGCATCTGGAGGCTATGGCGGGGACTAACCGCGGATGGGAAATATACAGGATACGCTGCCTTTCGCAACCAAGACCGTGGGTTCTGGATGTTTGGTCGGCTTTTCTGGGACGTAGACCCCTACAACTACCTTGCGCTGCGTGTCAAGTCGGACGGTCGTCGCTATACTGTGAACATCCAGACAGATTCGATTGTGGAGACAGATATCCACCAGCACAGATTGTACACACGGCACCACCGTGTCTTCGATTCCCCTTCTACTGTTTCTTCTCCGGATGAATCTACCCCCATGGATGACATGGATGAACTCGAGATGGAGACTCTCTACCCGCAAGGTATTCCCGCAGCTCTCTCAGACATGCCGACTCCGTCGACCGTCATGTCTTCGGCCAGCGCTACCACATCCGGATTGCCAGGCTGGGAGACAATCTTGCTCCCGTTCAATTCCTTTGTTCGCACGAATCATGGCATGGTGATGGAGCCACAGACAAATCTTCTTCGTCACAGGATAAAGAGTGTCGGTATCGGCTTGACTGATCGTGTGGAAGGCCCGTACGATCTCCGGATCCATCGTATTTGGGCGACAAACGGGATGAGCGAGGGAGAGATTGAGGAGGAGAGGCGCATCTGCGGTTCGGACGCGCTGCCGGTTGATGAGGGGGTGAGAACCGGCTGGACGGGTGACAGTCCTCAGAATGAAAAAGCGCAAGAAACACGAGGCAAAAAACCCAAGGGTCTGAAGGGACTTAGGGACGAGTGGAATCAGTGATTGATCCAAGAAGTATCTAATATTCTACATGTATCATACTGTTAACGTATCGTTTTTCTTCCTCCTTTTTCAGTATGTGTATATGTGTGTATAGCTCTCCTCCTGGCATACGTGGAATATGGTACAACACAAAAATCACATTTGAATACATTCAATTACCGCCAGTAATCTTCTCCCAGGCTTCCCTGTACTTGTCACCGGTCTTTTGCACGATCTCTTCCGGCATGCGAACCCCATCCTTGCCCTTGAGTCCCTCCTTCACCAGCCAGTCTCGCAGGAACTGCTTGTCAAAGCTTTGTTGACCGCGGCCCACTTCATAGGAGTCCTTGGGCCAGAAGCGGGAGGAGTCCGGGGTCAAGACCTCATCGACGAGGACGACCTCGTCAGTCTCTTCGTCAAGACCGAACTCGAACTTGGTGTCAGCGATGATGACGCCGCGAGTGAGGGCATAGGCATGGGCAGCCTTATACAGCTCGATGGCGAGAGAGGCAATCTTCGAGGCATAGGGCTCACCGACAATAGCAGCGGCTGGAAATAGAGACTCATGGTCAGCAGGGGGAGACGTATCTAAACATTGGGAATCGTAATCTAACGAACCTTGATCCGGATGAATGTTCTCATCGTGTTCGCCCTGCTCTGCCTTGGTACTAGGGGTATAGATTGGGCCATCAGGGAAGGCCTCGCTCTCCTTCAAGCCCGCGGCAACCTTGATACCATGCACGGTCCCCGACTTTTTATACTCGTTCCACGCAGAACCCGTGATGTAGCCGCGGACGATGGCCTCGACAGGGAACACTTTCAGCTTGCGCACCTGCATGCTCCGGTTTTGCAGGACGGGGTGCAGCGACGCGGGGACCTGGGGCGGGAGGTCGAGTGTGATAAAATGGGTGCGGAGAGAGGGGATGGCATCCGAGAGGATCTGGAACCATTTCTGCGTGCAGAGAGTCAGAAGAACACCCTTGTTAGGGATACCCTAAAGCAATTGAGTCAGCCAGATACATTCATGAAGCTCGAATTCATAAGGTGCGGTGATTGAGACTTACATTCTCCATGATCACATCGTAAGCGGAGATCCGGTCTGTCGCGATGAACAGGAGCGTCTTGTCGTCGACCTCGTACAGATCGCGCACCTTGCCCCGGGCAATTAGCGGTAGTGCGCCCTGGAGATCTGTGGTGGTCACTGTGCTTGTCATTCTGGCGGATATTGTCAACTGAGATAGCTAACAGAGAGGATTATTGATTGAGTCATGGAACGATAGAGGGACGTCTATCGATAAAGTAATTTTCCACTTTGGCGGGGTGATGCGGATGCCTTATTGTTGCCTGAGGCATAGATACTCATCGCGTGTTTTTCGTGTTTGGGTCCCTGCCATGGTTATCAAAGCATCAAGGTAGCGAGTAACTCGCTTTCTGAAGGGCATAATATTGCAATTACGAGTAAGAGATTTTCAAACAAGTCGATTCCTTGAAGCTGACAGAGCTCTAGGGTGACTAACCGGTGCTTCCCAGGCCGAAAAGCCTGCCCATACGAGTAGCTAGAGAGTACAACAGGGCGTGCTCTACTTTATTCCACCAACGGCGATTATCTTCCATGAAATCCAATCAGCTACTAAGCAGGAGAATGAGCACAATTTCAAGATGAGCCGTTATCTCACGCCTTCAAAGGTTGCTCTATTATGCTTGATCGCCATCTATACTGAAGGGGTTGTCTCCAATTCCTCGGCGATTCACGTGCTCTCGTTCCTGATTTCGTGTCTCATCCCTCTGGATGCGGCGGAGTCTTCGAGCTCGTCTTCCTCGAAATGGGAAAGACAGGGTTTGATCGACATTGCAGATTTTGAAGATGTCCTCTCATCTCACGCATCCTCCATTCCTGGCCGGTCGATCTGGGACCTGTTTCTTAGAAAGATCTGGTCCCTTGATTCCTGCGACGCCTTGGAGGTTTTCTTCGCGGAGATCAGTTCCTTACTCATGAAAACACGTGAAGAGCAGATCCAGGATAGGAACAATGGACTTGCCCCGGAGACCGGGTCCATGCGGCTCTCTCGATGCTCGCCTCTCGGCGCGTTCGTGAGACGAGCTCAGCTCGAATTCACCAGACTACAATTCCATGATTCGGTCAAACTCTGGAGAGGTTTTGTTAGATATCGATTGCCTACATATCACCTATGGGCCCGGAAGCATCCATCCGAGGAACAGGCAGCGGTAGACATCAACCTGCTTGAACTCGGCCTGGATCAAAGTAGCCATCTCGCGCAGGCGATCTATGGCAACGTCGAAGACGATTATGGGGACGAAAATGCCATAAGCACGAAGGATGTAGAGCGTCTGCTAGAGTTTCAGGTGGGAGAGCTGCAAAGTAGGCTGTTTCTTCTGCGCACTCGATGATTTCCTAACAGGGGTTCTAGGACTGGGAGGAAGAGTCCCCGATGAAATGCGGTCAAAGCTTGAGCAGGTGCTGGCGTCAGGCGCTACTATTCCTAGCTTGGTTCATTATTTACGGTAAATTCCTACGCTACGTGGTGTATTATCATGACGTGGCTAATGTGGTACCCAGATTTCTCGACGCCTGGAAAGCAGGCGACTACCCGTCCTCTTTTGACAACCTCCACCGCTACTTCGATTATACCATGCAGAGCCATGACCGCAGTTTTTATCAGTATGCATTACTGAACCTCGCTGTCCTCCAATCAGACTTTGGGTGCTATGGAGAGGCTGTCTCTGCCATGCAAGAAGCAGTCTCGATTGCTCGGGAATCGCATGATATGAATTGCTTGAACTTCTGTATGAGCTGGCTTTATCATTTTGGCAAGGCTTTCCCGGAACATATGAAGGACGTCCAGAACACAGGCATGCTAGGCAACGAAAAGGAAGGCCTCGTCTTCCTGAAAGCCAAAGCCAAAGAGACCGAAATGTGGAGCCTTTTGAGCACAACTCTTCTCAGTGAAGCAAAGCTTGAGCTTCAAAATGTATGTTCACTCGAAAAGATACCATAAGATTGTACCGTCGACTAATAGCAAACTTTTAGGGAGAAAGTCTTGCTTCGGCACTGGAGAACGTTGTACGGGCTTCGCATCTCAATGTCACGAAAGGCCTGACCAGCTCGACAGGCCCACAATTACTGCTTCAGACAGCACTGTACGCCAGAATTGGTATAACTTTTCACATCCATTCCTTTGTTATTTCCAGCTAAACAACCTCAGGGGTAACACATCTTTCTTGGCTCAGCACCGAGATATTCCGCGAGTGTTATGGGAGCAGGGCTCCGCTCGAGGATTATCTGAAAAGCACATTTCGCAATTGCCAATTGGTACGATATCCCGTCAAAACCTGAAGTCTTTGTTATTTGCTGACAAGCGGTCAAGCTTGCTCAGAAAGGTCGGTATAAGGAGGCTCTAGCCCGTATAAACCAGATCTCGCCTGATACTTTACGCTCCCTCAAGGCGAACCAACATTGGGTATTTTTCTCTGGATTTCTACAACTGAAATGGCAAATTAATAGGTGATGCTCTCTACTCCTTGAAATTATATGCTTGCTAACATTTTCTTCCAGAGATGATAAAGTCGCAGCGGAACACCTCTTGACCCAACTTCAATCCATTCAGGTTCCAGACAACGACCTGTCTCTCTTATTGGTATTTCTGACTATTGAATATGTCATCCGCAGCGGTGACTACGGGCGCGCTTTGAAACTACTAGAGAAATCCGTCCAGGCAATGCAACCCGAAACCTTCGACGTCAATTCACAGGTGAAGCTACTGTGTTTGAAAGCTCGCATCTTCGAAAAATCCGGACAGCCGCAACGCGGATTTTCTCTGGCCATGAGAGCCGCCAACATCGCCTACCGATCGCGACTTCTCCCTGGTCTCTGGGAAGCCATTACTGTTCTTGCGGGAGTGCTTCTAAGCTTGCGCGAATTCGAAGCCACCAACGAGATGGTTGAAAGTATCATGCCGCAGGTTCTCGAGTTCGAAGACTGCGATCTCGCGGCGCGGGCTTACTCGCTTCTCGTCGATGCGAACATGGGGATGGCCGGTACGCTGCGCCGCCAAACCAAGGCCGACTCTCCAGCCTGCAAGGAATACATGACCCGTGCGATGGGGTACGCCGACTGCGCCTACGATCAGTACGAGCAGCTCGAAGACATTAGGGGCCAGTGCGAGATCATGGCTAAAAAAGCGACACTCATGCATCTGACTGCTGACCGGGTTCTTGCAAATGACTATGCGGCAAAGTATCTGGACTTGCGAAAGCAGGCAAATCTAATCAGATAGTCATAATTATTGATGTCGGTATTTCTTTCTTTGCTCAAGATGAAGGATAAGAAATCCGAACTGCAAGCTTAAATAAGCAAAGTATTTTAATATCATTTAATCATGTCTGCCTTATTATTCATAGATAAGCTTTGCTCTATCATTAAGGTTGATACAAAACTATTTACGCCTTGTTGACTTATCGTGTAAGGCTTAAATGATGGTGTAGTAAATTCAAGGCTACTGCCAAACTGCGAGGGTACCAGGATTAATACCTTATTGAAAGATTACTGGAATTGATTCAATAGACTCAGGTACAGACAAAGGAAATGTTGATAAAGTATGGATGACAATGTAGGCTTGTCAAAATTTTTGTTGTCATTTGTCAATTGGTCTGGTAGGATCTTCGATTTGTTCGCTGTGGATCTCTGTGATAAATATACAGGACTGTCCTATCACCCTGGGAAGAAATGTCCCTGCGCTTTTCCGTGGTTTCTATAGGTGCAGGGTTTAGGTGGCCTTGTCCTTGTTGTGATAGTTCACGCTATCGTTCCAGCTAAAGAGGATATTAGCAGATAAATAAAGAGTATGAGAGACATGGAGAGGGAGGGTAGGGTAAAAAGCCAAAAGAAAGAAATGCTCTCGAGTAAAGAGTTATTATGAGAGCCGATAAGTAGATGAGACTTACAAAATGGTCTATGCAAAACAATAATGTTAGCAAATCTACTATAATGTACTGAAATTATAGTGCGAAACAAACCTTGTCACCATCTCCCCAAGGGAAGTTCTTGGAGCGGATATTCTGGTAAGGGTACTCCACGCGCTCCTCCAGAGGGGGCATGTGAGACCAGTGCTCCCAGTGCTCCTCCCAGAGGTTGTAGGCATTAAGGGCGCCGCCGATCACGCAGGGAACAACAGCACTAAGGCAATTATGAGGATTAGGAGATCTTAGAAGAAGGGCGCACATTGTCCGAGATACACGTACAAGATGGAAAGCTTCTTCCAGAGATCTGCCACGCCATTGAGTCAGCAGGTGTCGATAATATAAAACTCGAAACAATTTGAACTAATGAATTGGGGCTGGATTGGCAGAAAACTTACCGCTGGTGGCAGCAGCATGGTGCTTGACAGCCTCTCTCTCGCGGTTGAACGAGTTGTCGGCGATCCAAGGATACTTGGACTCAGTGCTGGCAAAACGGCGCTGAGCAGCAGCACGAAGCTGAGCACCGCGAGCCAGACGAGCAATGTTGCGTTGAGTGAACATCGTGAGCACTGGGGGGCTGAATTGCTTCAGTGACGGCGATGCGGATGCGGGTGGGATCGTGCCTTGAGGTCTGAGGTTCCGGGTTTAACACACGCAACAGGCCATTCGGTTTAGCGCCCTCGTGATTCGGCAACAGCCCATGCTTATGTCATCTGTGTGGCGTGATGTCATTCGAAAATGAAGTCACGTGAGACCCAATCGCGGCTGGAACGCGGTCTCGAACTGTCAGGGTGAAGCTACGCCCTTTAGCTCTCTATAGTAGGCCTGGAATAGTTTGTGGAGTCGGTTTTATCACTTGGTAACCGAGATCTACTCCAGGATATGCTGGATGTGCGCTGAAAATCCGCCGGAATGGGATTCCGTATCACTACGTGGAATGGTAAGTTGCCCATAGGTATCCCGTTTCTATCACAAGAGACTGACGGGTTTCTATTGTGACAGTCAATGGAATTCGGTGCGTTTGAATATATTGAGAATGTATTTTCTTTCTTGTCGACGGCTTGGAACTGACTAGGTCTCTTCAACAGGAACCCGTTCTCATATGAACCATGGCGAGGCAAACGAACTTTCGAGGTAATACAATGAAGCTGCCGATACTTATATCTCTAATATGTAACTAAGTACGCGGCAGGCCATGTTTGATATACTAGAGGCAGACATTGTCATTTTCCAAGAAACCAAAATACAACGAAAAGATCTCCGAGATGACATGGTACTAGTGCCGGGATGGGACTGCTATTTCAGCTTACCTAGAATAAAAAAAGGTTTGCGTTGTCTTTGACTTCTGCACTGGAGTACATCTTGAGTACTGACGGGAGGCATAAGGCTATTCTGGAGTTGTCATATATACACGCAATGCGACATGCGCTCCCATACGCGCCGAAGAAGGCCTGACTGGTACTCTCTGCGCCCCGAATTCTTCAGTCCCCTTCCGAGATCTGCCAGAGGACCAACAAATTGGGGGCTACCCAACAATTGAACAGCTTTCCAGTCTTGAGCTTGACGCAGCCACTATCGACTGTGAAGGGCGTTGTGTAGTCCTCGAGTTTCCAGCGTTTGTGGTGATCGGTGTCTACGCCCCCGCCAACCGTGACGAAACGCGGGATTCGTTTCGCCTCTGCTTTCTCGATGTGCTAGAAGCTCGTGTTCGGAACCTGGTAGCAATGGGTAAAAGAGTATTTGTTGCTGGGGATATCAATATTGCGCGGGAAGAAATCGATTCGGCGCATTTAGCAGAGGCTATCCGTAAAGGAACCGCAACAGAGGATGAATTTATAACAACACCAGCTCGTCGTGTATTTAACCAGTTACTATCCGGAGGCAAAGTCATTGGGGAACGAGATGAAGGGAGGGAACGGCCTGTACTGCATGATATTTGCAGGTCTTTTCATCCGAATCGCAAAGGCATGTATACGTGCTGGGAACAGCGGATAAATGCACGTCCAGGCAATTATGGTGCCCGGATTGATTATGTCTTGTGTAGTCTCGACATGAAAGACTGGTTCTGCGACTCGAACATCCAGGAAGGGTTGATGGTATGCTTAAATACCCTCAACTTGCAGAATATCACTAACAATCTCAGGGTTCTGACCATTGCCCTGTCTACGCTGTGTTGAAAGAATCCGTGTCCATTAATGGCACACAGACAAATATACGTGATCTTATGAACTCCCCGGGCATGTTTCTTAACGGAGAACGCCGACAAGAATTCTCTAATAAAAATTATCTACCACTCTCGGGACGTCTGATACCAGAATTTGACAAGAGGCGGAATATTAAGGACATGTTCTCTCGCACACCAACCAGCACTTTGCAGAAGTCAGCCTCCTCGATGTCAACGGCAGAAATTGCACCGTCGACTCCAAACACAGGGCCAGCAACACAGACTTCAGATCAGACGCCGAAAGAGACACCATCGACGCTTCTGACGGGTTCCAGTTCTTACTATGATAAATCTGCCAGGTCTTACACTCGCAAACGACCTGAGAAAGACGGCCCTCCGCTTGTTCCAAGCAAAAAATCTAAATCCGCAAGTGTGACCACACCAGGGCAGTCTACACTCAAAGGATTCTTCAAGCCAAAGAATAATACTAGCGCGACAGGAAGTGGTGAACAGGAGTCGTCTGAACCGAAAACAGGCTCTGCCACTGACCTCTCGCGGGTCTCTTCCTTCAAAGTTTCTGCTAAGTCCGAATCGACTGTCGGAGACTCACTTCCCACTCCAGCTGGCGACTCTGCAGAAGATACTCCTAGAACTGAAGCTCTCTCAGCGTCAGCAGATGACGAGATTTTCATTGACCCAATTGTTAGCAAGGAGGACTGGACGAAGTTGTTCACGAAGAAGCCCGTTCCCCGGTGCGAGTTCCATCAAGAACCCTGTATCAGAATGACAACCAAGAAACCAGGCATCAATTGTGGTAGATCATTTTGGATATGTTCCCGGCCTCTGGGGCCGAGCGGAAACAAGGAGAAGGGGACTCAGTGGCGGTGTCCGACGTTTATCTGGGCGAGCGATTGGAATCCGGCCGCGCAGTAGGCGATGCTGCTTGTTGCTTTTATCTGCGAGGCCTCGTAGAGATACCTTAGCAATGGTATTGAATAATCATTAGCATACTATGTGAATTCAAAGGACAATTTCATTTATTCGAATTGAGAAATAGGCCAGGGTGAACTCATATAAGATTTGGCCAGAACAACTATCCGACCCATTGTTTGCTGAAAGCACTCTAAAAAAAATAGATATTTTAGCACTTCAAAATGAACTTTGGCCATAGCTGGAGACTTATGACCGACTTCTCAGTTCGAGGCGTTAAAATAGGCTGTTGCTAAAGCTGTGTCGGGAGGAGTCCCAAGAGAAGGATCCAAGGAAATCCGGTTGGCCTTCAACGTGACGGCTTATAAGACTTCTAGTTGAACGAAATAGGATACTGAGGTGTCTTATAATTGATATTTAATATCTTAATTAATCTCTAGCTGCTACCTAAGCGCTACTAAGCTATGAGAGAACCCTAAACCGACGACGAGCTGGAGCTGGATATTACAAGTTTAATGTCCGCATGCAGATCAAAAATCAAGAAACGAAGGGGAAAGCACAAGGAAACGTCTTGATGAGAGAAATAAACATGGACACCCTCCGATGGTATGATGGGAAAGAAGAAACGCTCAACGATGCAGTAAACCGAAGCACCGATTACACCGAATCCCAGAAGACGAAACCAGGGAAGAAAGACAAGAAGAAAAATAGGGGGGAAACAATTCACAGGGAAATGGGCTAATATGACTGTCTCAACTATGGCCCGATAGCTGGTGTCAAGAATGAAGTAAAACAAATTATTGCATCGCAGCTCGTGTGGTAGGTAAGAAATGAAGCCATGAGAACGATATCTCAGTACCAGTTGATGAACTCGGAAAGATCACCTCCCTCGATAACATCAGAGTCGACAAAGTTGTAGTCCTGGAAAAGAACGTTCTTGTTGTCGTTCTGCACCTGGTGAACCAGAGTATCGAAAGGGTCGATGGGGTTGAAGCCGCTGAAGGCGTTCGCGTCGACCACCCATCCTTCAGGGATTGGTGCATTGAAAGTGAAGTTCATTGGAGACAGGTCCTGAGTGCCAAACTCGTGCACGCGGATGTCTTCGGCACTCATCGCAGGGCTGACAGCAGGAGTCTGCACGCTCGAGGGCGCACTCGCCGGGCTCGAAGGCTCAAAGAGAGGAGTCAAGTCCTGGTGCTTGGGGTACTGACGCGACGACCCACGGCGCTTCTTCTCAGAAGGCTTGCGAGGAGCATACTGGTAATCAGGATAGTCCTCAGCATGCTTCCGCTTGGCGCTCTCTGCTAGAGCTTTGTATTGTGCCTTGACATCTTCAGGCTCAGCTTTCCACTGCTTGCCAAGCATGACGGCTATTGCTATTAGTAAAAGTAATGATTTGGAGTGCCTCATTGACTTACAGATATCATTATTATGAAACTCAGGATGAGCCTCCCTGATTTTTGGATGATGCTCCTGACGGTAGAGAATGAATGCGTTGGGGGGGCGAGGAATCTTTGCATTCTTGGACTGGATGACAGCTTTACCGTGAGACTTGCTCGGAGACACAGCTCTTTCTTTGACAGACTTCTGAGCCAGTTCATGAGAAGCAACAGAGATAACCGAGCCCGAAAAGGCAGGGGTGCGCATGATACGCAGAGCGTTGATGGATTCATCAACGAAGGCCACAACGGGGCCACCGATGAGAGCGCTTTTGTACATGTCAGCTTCTCCTCTAATGAGAAAGGACCAAGAATGACTTACGAAAGCCGAGACTTGATTTTGTCCATGTTGGACTGGCCGATCGTATCAATGACATTGGTTGGCAACAGCACCTCGTTGTTAGTATAGTCAAGGTGACGCAGAGCATCCTGCCAAAGCAGCTCGGTCGCAGTGTCCGTAGACTCGACAACAGGCTTAATGGCGATGGGTACAGTAGCCATCTTTGGTTTGGGGTCTTTTTCTTTAATGTTTTGGAACGAATAGTTAAAGAAGAGAGAAAATGATAGCTCACTAGGCTACTCACGAGATATCGGGTGGATGGTAACAGAGAACGAACTTGAGATGAAGAGCTGGAGAAGGAGAGAGTATAGGAAAAGAAGAAGTTTGGAGAATCGAATAATGGCTCTCAAGAGCGTATTTTTTGTCTTGAGGTGGGAGGCTGGCCACTTTCTTTGTTTTCCTGCGGGCCAGTGAATACAAAGTGAAGCGTAACTTCGACCCCCCCCCCAAGTGAGAGCAACACTCTCTGACAACTTCTGATCTACTCTCACTTCACCCAGTTATTTATACCCCATCCTGCCTCCTTCTTTTTAAATACTCCCAGCCCCTCCTGATTCTTTCTCCTCCTCGACTACAACACCGTCTCTTCCTCCCGCTCATCAGACAGTCTCCTATTCTCACCCGCTACACTTGTCTCAGATTCGAAAACCACCAAGGACCTACATAATGGCTACAAGGAGAGAACAATCCGTGGTTCTTATTCTCAAACGCCTTGACGCTGTGGCTCAAGATCCCAATGCCTCCTCCGAAAAGAAAGAGATGGCAGCTCATATTACGGCCTCATTCCCCAGTCACCGTAATGTGTTCCGTCTCGTTGCCCAAGTTGATGCTCTTGTGAAGGGTAACCTGAGCATCCCTACATCTCATCGCATCCAGGAAGATGGCGAGGTGCAGAGTGCTGTCCGCCGTCACCAGCAATATGTTGACGCCATTGCTGAAAACTCGAACTACAAGCCTACTATCGGCGACCTCCAGGGACAGCCGATCGAGCTCGTCAGTATCCTTGACCCTGCTATCGAAAAGTCTATGGAAAAAACCCACTACAAGAGAGTATTATTTCACTCGACTCTGCTTTCCATGGAAAAGAAAGCAAATGAAGATCTTGCAAAGTGCATTGAGCAGTACGGGTACCATTGGATCTTCAGGGCGGGTCTCACGCAGTACTACATGACGTGAGTACATATCATAAATATGAAATTGTGATTTTGCTGACACTACCAGTAAATGTGTTGTCTCGCATCTCGATTTCTGGAACGCAGACTCGCGAAGCCGCAGATGTCGTATGAATGCTCAAAACATCTGCTACGAGGCAATGGATGCTCAGCTCAAGCTCAACGATGTTGAGAAAAGAATCTTGATAGAAGTCAGCCAGAGCCGCGACACCATCGTTCTTGGGTTCTGTAAGTACCATGCATGAGACAAATGATTTCTCGAAGCTAACATAATCAATAGGGAACTGGCTTTCTGAGCACAGAAATGCTTACCATGCCATGAAGGCCTGTCTTTTTCTTCTCAATAAGGTTGACTGTGAGGCAACTATGTCTTCTTAATATTCAAACTTTTGGCTAATGAAATCTCGACAGAAACCGGCAAGATAAAAATTTGCAGGCGCCAACCGGGTGTACATGGAGTAACGATTGACGACGACCCAGCCGACCTTGATGTTGCGAATGACTACCCCATTGTGTCTCTCTTTCTGTTTTTCGTGATTTATTTGGAGTTCTACACGAGCTGGTTCGGCGCTTCTACGGTTAATCAAGAGTGCTATTTTCTCCCTGCCTTTTCTTCGTTTTTTTTTTTTCAAATGATTCACCCCCCTGCGTAGCAGGAGTCGCTTCCTTGAAGGTCGCCGGTGTCTTATCTAATATGTCTTCACTTCTCTACGCGGTGGGCGCGACGGCACGGGCTTTGTTTCTTTGTTATTTTGCTTCATGGGTCATCATCACGAATAGGCGGGTTCTTTCCATCGTGGGCAAGCGTTTCCTCTATTGATATTCGATTCTGGGCAGAACGGACATGGCGTCTTTTTTTCTATTCTGTGGTTACTTTGTTTTTACGGGAGGCACAAGGGAAAGGTTGTGGTCGAAGAGTAGGGCTAGTCTCGATAGCTTACATAGTCAATTCAACAAAGTCAGTTGCAATGATGAGTATTCCAACATCTATCTAATTGTACTTCTCTCTGCATCCTGGGACTTGGTGTTCTGTATACTCAAATCGCGGAGAGATGCCTTAGGCAACGCAGGTTAATCTCAGGCTGGAGGGGGGGGGTCTTGCCGGAACCGGAAACGACTCGCAGCAACCAAAACGCCAGCCTCCCAGCAACCAAGACTCCAGCCCCCAGCAACCAGCCCCTTCATCAGACTTGCCAGCCTCCCAACTCTCAGATGAGAAATCTCCATTCACTACGACTCCACTCTCTCCTCTTCCCCTCCCTCCAGCCCCCCGTCAGCGAGACCACGTGGGCCAGGACCTGGCCGACTGAGCTTGTGTGGATTCTGAGAGCTGAACCCTTCAAAGCGAGAGGCCTACGCAACATATAGGGTAGGCCTATAGGTGCCTCAGGCTTTACCAGGTAGTCCCTGCTAGCACTTGGCTGCTAACGAGAGGAAACTACTCTGCCATTTGCAGATACTCTTATACTACCTGGGTAGGATGCGGTTCCTGTTCGACGCCACAAGCCCCGAGAAACTCTGAAAGACGATAGAAATTCCAAGGTTGGATCAGGCTGTTCTAGAACGAAGAAAGATTAAACTTGAGCTGACTGGATTCATTGCAGGACACTTCGAATGCCTCGGTTATCCATAGCACGCCAAGCTGCCAGCAGCCAATACATGGTTCATGGCGGATACTAGCATTCCAGAATCATGACCGAAACCAAACCGTTTTCCTTGTCTTTAGACGACATGGGCCCCGCTCGGCTCGGTGATAGGGTTGTCTCGAACAAAGCTGCAGTGTGCATTTTCCGGTCTGGTTTCCCATAGCAGTTCGCGAGATTACCCTCGATCAATGTCTCGGTTCGTATTAAAATAGCCGGCTTGCACGGTATCCCCTCTTTCCCCTGATTCGGACGAGATGCCATTGAGTAACTACTTGCAATGTCGAAATACTATTGAGTACTGACTAGCGGAATACATGTTTAGTACCTCCTGGGCCTTCGTATCCAACTCAGCTCATGTATACACAGCCTATATTCACTGTTCCTGCCGTCGATCACATGGTAAAGTACTGATACAGGTACTGGACTGACTCGTATCACTGCCAGACAAGTGACAAATAGTACCTACTACAAAGGGGGAATAAACTAGCAGAGTACTCCGTCTGGTACACTGCCATCTAATCGGCGACGAGTACGAGCCAGTTGACGTCAGATACTGCCCTCCTTTCCTACTCCGTCCACAGCTTGCGAAAAGTACGAAGGACGAACAAAGCCAGACAAAGAAATGAGGTCGCGATAAGATTACGGTCGGTGGACCCCTTTGATTCTTACGGGTCCTGCAAGAACTCCGCACTTTTGCTGCCAGCCAACCATAGGATAAGCCAGTGGACGGGAATACTATTAGCCTGCCCACCAATCTCAGTTGCGAACTTACGAAGGAGACTAGGTAGGAGGTACTCCCACCGAACCCTGGACGTGAATTAATCCAATGCTTCGATCAAAGAGGTACAGTCACTTTATTATAGTTAGAGTAACTACAGTAGAGGATAGACTTGGTATATACTACTATGAAATTGGTATTCAACGAGAGAACAGGACAGCAAGGAAAAAAGATCGGAGACAGGAGGTAGAAACCGCGAGGTGACATAGATAGATACAGGGAATCTAGAAAAATAGAAAGATGGACAGAAAAAAACGAGAGAATCACTCCTCCTGGTAGGAGATCTTGCGCATCTCGCCCAGACGCTGGCGGGCTCGAGCGAGACTGTTCTCCAGCTGAAGAATTTCGACCTGAAGAATATGATATCAGAAATAGCGAAAAGAGAAAAAAGAAAAAAGAGAGAGAGAGAGAAAGAAAGCTGGGATGGTGAGTAACGTACCTGCTGCTCCATCTCGCGGACTTTGAATTCGTGCGAGGAGAGCTTGGCGTAGTCGACAGCGTCGGAGTCGTCGCGGTTCTTTTCAGCAATGATGCTCTGGACCTGGCGGACGAGGGCGCGGCAGGCAGCGCCGACAGCCTTGCTGGCCGTCTCGAGGCGGTCCTGCGTCTGGCTCATAAAGGTGGCCTTGACGCGGCTGGCGGCGACGAGCTGGGCGGTGCTGGCGGCGACGTCGTTGGAGGCGACGATGAGCTGTTCGGGAGAGTTGCGGCCGGAGATGACGCCGTCGGCGGTCTCGATTAAGGTGTTGGTGGACGAGGCGACGGCTTTGGCGGCCGAGATGAGCCCCTCGGTCCAGCGGTTGTTCTTCTTGTAGAAGGCTGTGCGCGACGAGCTGCCGCGGCCCTCGCGCACGATCTCCTGCTGCGAGGCCGTCGCCGCGCGGATCAGCTCGGCGATCGCGCCCGTCACAGCCACCGCGGCCTCGAGGATGGAGTCGTGGATCTTCAGTTCGTAGGTCGAGTAGCCCGCGCGCGGCTTGTTGCGCAGCTTGGCGAGCCGCTGCGCCGCCGCGTCGATCGCGTCGGCGGCCTTGGTCAGCTCCGCATCCACCAGGTCGCCCAGGTCGCCGCTCGTGCTGATCTTGCTGCTCTTGGGAGCAAACGCGTCCACCAGCTTGGACAGCGACTGCAGGTCCCGCTGCACCTCCAGGTTGTTGTTGATCACCACATCCGTCTTCTGCAGCGGCTCCATGCCCTCCAGCCGGAAGGACTGCAGCCCGCGGAAAAAGCGTACCGTTGCCTGCGCCGACTTGCGCGCCGCGTTGAGGAGCTGGTCCGCGTTCTTGTCGTCGTTGGAGAAGCGGGTCAGCCCCTTGGTGTTGCTGAGCACGTCTGCCACCGAGCCCGAGAACACCGCCACCGTCCGGATGATCTCGGCGTGGGTGCTGTTTGGCCCATCGGCGATGAAGTTGTTGAACGCCGTCGAGAACTCGGTCGCCGAGGCGGACGCCTTCTCCACCTGCGAGAGCACGTACGGCGGCGACGCATTCTGATTACCAGCCTGCATCGACGAATCCAGCTCGTACAGAGCGTCGTCCACGCGCTGCACTCCAGCCTGCAAAACCGAATCGATGATGTCGTTGATCTTCGCCACAGTACCGTGCAACACGTGGTCGATCTGAGTGTCCAGAGCGTGGTCCACATCTCCTTGGCTCTACAACGAATTAATTAGCAGCTATTACACAACTGTCGATTGAAAGGTAGAGAGAGAGAGAGAGAGAGAGAGAAATTATTCGTACCAGCTTCAGCTCCTCGAGTTCCATCAAAGCCTGTTCCATGCCAGACTTGTAGACCTCGATCTCCTCGTCTTTCTCGCGCAGGGCCAGGTCGTGGTCGCCTTGTCGCTCAGAGTTCCTGGACGAGAAGTCTTCGAGCGCCCGGGTTTTGTTCTTTGCGGGGTCAGTTTAATGGAACATTTGCAAAAGGGTGAAAAAGGAGTAAAACGTACCCGCAGGGCTTCCTCCATATCGGCCATCTCACGGTTATACTTGGACAGCATGGCCGAGATCTCCGAGCCCTTTGCACGTTCGGCATTCTCGGCGCGGTCAATGGCAAAGCGGAGCTCGCGCTTGACCTTCTCCAGCTCCTCGCTGTTGCTGCCGCTCAGACGGTCCTTGTCGTGCAGGGCGCGGTCGCGCTCGCGGATCATGTCGGCCAGCTCGAGGTTCTTGGTCTTGAGTTCGCGCTCGAGCTTCTCGCGACGGTCGATTGCCTCCTGTGCCGAGGCTGCCTTGAGCTTGAGACTCTTGGTGGTCTGCAGCAGATCGAGGTGTTCCTGGCGCAGCTGCGAGTAGAGCTTGGCGAGGGCCTCGTACTTAGACCGCCAGCTGTTGACTTGTTCCTGCAAGGCCTTGATCTGCTCATCCTTGGACGAGTTCTGCATGTTCATATTCGCGCTGAGCTGATTCATCTGCTCCTCGAGATCCTTGACACGACGATCGTACTGCTGCAGCATCAGTTGGTCGCGCTCGTATTGGGCACGGGCGTTGAGGTTTTCCTGCTCCAACTCGGCCAGGCGGCCCTGGGTCTGGGTCTGATATTGGTCCCGTAGGAGCTGCTCCTGGGCCATGCGCTGTTGTTCGGCCTGGAGCCGCTGCTGTTCCTCAAAGTCCCGCTGGGCCTGTTGCTGCGCCATCAGTTGCTGCCGTTGCTGCTCCTCCCACTGCTGCTGGAGTCGTCTCTGCTCGGCTTCATACTCCTCCTGCTGACGCTTGGCTTCGTTGGTCCAGAAGTCGTTGATCGGCTCCGGGTCTGCCACGGCGGGCTTCGGGGGCGGAGAGGGCTCTCGCTCCACCTCTTTGGTCGGGCGCTTGGGTAACGTGGGGCGCTCCTCGTCCTCGCCCAGCAGGTTGGGCGGATCCTGGGGGAGCTTCGGAACCGTGATGAGACTGGTCAGATAGCGCAGGTTCGAGCACTCGTAGTAGAATCGCACAAGGCGGTAGTGCTGGGCGTCATAGCGTCCACGAAGGGGTTCCAGGGCCTCCAAATCGCCAGTGGCTATAAGAGTCAGTTATTTGGCAGTTCAGAGAGTAGATAGATAGACAGTTCGTACTAGTGTGCATAGCCCTCAGCATACTCGTGACAAACTTGTAGATGCCATAGCTTTCCTGCACGAGCGGCACAAGGGCAGAGATACGACACTCGTTATTGTTGCCGGCTTGGAAGTGCGAGAAGATCAGCTTCTGGAATGCATCGATCTGGTCCTGCAGCCCCATAAGATCGGAGATGGTCTCGTAACTTGGCTTTTTGTCAGCGTATTGTATTGTTGTAGAGAGAGGGGAAACACATTCGCATACCCTTCATTTGGATCGTTGATGGTCTTCAAACTAATGTATTCCTCGTACTCGAAAAGACCTAACGAGACATATCAGCCACACTAATTCGTCTTATTATATCGACACAGATGTATTCTCAACGCTTACCGTTGAACTCCGGGTGATTCCGATGGAACGAGAGCTTCGACTCGAGAAAGAAGACATATTCACGGATAAGAGGGCCATAACCTAGAAGGGGGAAAAAAAAAGTCAACAACTCCGAATGTATGTATTCCTCCTTCCAACCGTGGTATATATCGCACCTCGGATGCCATCGCCCGCCACCCCCCTCATCAAACTATCGATCCAATTGACATTCTGCAGCGCCTCGCGCACCACAACAGGATGTCCCTCTTGGAGCACCTTGTGAATGGTGATCAGGGCCTTGAACGTCTGGATCTCGTCGGCAAGAACGGGTTGTCTATAAAGTCCACGTCAGTACTGCCCGCCACCTCATCCCAGACACACGCAAGGGGAAGACCCCCAGTCATACACTTTCATGCCCGCCCAGAAGGCGCTAGACGATTTATGGTCCCACGTGTAAACGATGCAACTGCGAACATGTTTCCCTGTGTCGAGTCAGCGAACGTCCAGAACCCGCGTCGTTCGAATAGCAGAGATACCCCGGGGGAAGACATACGTTTCGGAGCGGTTTCCTCTGCACAACAATCATTTCATCAGTAAAAAGAAAAGAATGATATAACTCCCATTGCCACTCACCAATGCTTGTCGCTTTGCGAATATTGATCGCAAGATCGGCTTCCGTCCTATACCGGCGTGAGCACACTGCTTACTCCCTTTTGTTCCACTCCCCCCCCTCTTCCTGTCTGTCTGACTTTTATTTTTTTCTTCTTCTCCTCGACGATCGATAGAATCGTCTTACCTGCTCATCTTGAATGTAATGTATCTTGTCGTTCACTCAAGCGGTGGGGGAAGGATGAAGCGATCGGGTCGAAGGTGGTCCTTCAAGTGGCTTGTCTGTCCGCGGTGGGCTGTGGAGGCCCGGGCATAACAAGCTCCGAGACTAGTTGAGCGCTGTAGTGAAGAGGGGGCGAACTGGGAGAACAAAACAATCGAGGAGTACTTTGTAGACTTGAAAAGAAAAAAAAAAGAGAGCAAGATGGGGGGGAAATGTGAGTGTTCAATTTGGCATGAATGAGAGCGCCTCGAAGAATGGAGGCAATGACGTTTTGTTGTTCCGAGAAAGCTGGAGCCTGCGTTAATTCTTGGCAGTCCATAGGCAGTACAGTACTCTTCCTACATTTATGCAATAACTACTGGTCAAAGAGGAGTCGTAAAGAATACTATCTATTACTGAGTTGAACATGAGAAAAGTAGCCCCCGAGATAAGGTGACATTCATCGCACGACCTCGTCGGCACGATACTCCCTCCCCTGCGCCACGAGACTCGCCGCAGGCGCCTCGGGGCTTCGATACGGCTCGTTCCCGCGGCCGTCTGTCCATGATGCACTCGTAGCTGGCGCGGCAGTCTCGGCAGGGTAGTCTGGGAGATCGAAGTCCATGTCTGCGGCGGGACTGTTGGGTTCCGAGTCGTAAGGGGCTTCAACGACGAGCAGTTCTTCGTCGACGCGGTTCTCTTGCCCAGAAAGGACTTGTATGGGTTTCCGTTTCGGTAGCGGAGGTTTAGGCACCGGCCGTTTAGGCACCGGCCGTTTAGGCAAGTCTTCTTGAGGCCGATCGGGGAGAGGAGGGGGCACCGACGCCGCGGAAGATGGCGGTGACGGTAACGGTGGTACCGGTTTCCGCCTGGGTACTGTTAGGGATGAGCGCTTGAATCCTCCAAGCTTCGGCGGTGAAGGTAACGGGATGCCCGGTGGAGGCAGGGGATGACCACGTCCCATCGGATGCTCAGGGGTCCCGTCCTCTATGGGAATCCTGTCGCTATTACTATTGTTGTGGTTATTGTTGTTGTTGTGATGGTTGTGGTTCTGCTCGCCTCCTGTGCCTCCCTGTTTGGAGAACATATTCCAACTCCATTTCTTTGCCGCCGCGGCTGCTGCTGTTCCCAGAGACAAGGTGCCTTGCGACGCCGATTTACCCTCCATGGAAACGGAGGTTCCCATCGACCGGGCCAGGGTCTGCAGGGTGCTATTCCGGCGAGATATTTCGCGCGAAGACGGGTCTGATGTACTACCCGTGCTGTCCATACTGGCGGTATCAATGGTGTGCGTAGAGGCAGGCCGTTTCTGAGTGCCAGTGCCATGAGCAGTATTGGCATTGAGGTCAGAGGGAACTGGGGGCTCGACGACCGGGATTTCTGGGGGGATAGGTGGAGCAGAGATGTTGGTCAGCAGACTGTCTGAGGGAGGAGAACCAGCAGGAGTCCGGTTTGGAGAGCTTGGAGTCGAACGGCTAGATATCTCGATCATCGCACTGGCAGCGGCGCTGCTCTTTTCTTCTCCTCTCCCCTCGTAGGCGGCCTTGTCGACTTTGACATTCCCCGCCGTGACCACGGGGTCGGCCGCGTGGGAAAAGGTTTGAGACCGCATGGCGCGAGGAAGCGTGATGGCGCTCGGCGACGACGGTAGCTGCGAGTCCACGGCAGAAGAGGCAGCCCAGCTGCTGCTCGGACTGTCGGAGACAGATGCTCGCGAAGCTTTGCGCGATTTAAGGAAGGGGGCAGGGGGTACGGTATCCGGAAGCGACGGCATGCTCATGGTTCGTTCGTCCTTGAGTTTGAGGGTCTCAACCGAGGAATCTTCCTTCACGGCGGCGGCGGCGGCGGTGGGCACGGCAGTCTGGGTTTCGGATTCGTCGGGGATTTCCGCCTTGGCCCCTGACAGGCTGGGAACTTCTCGTTGCCAGATCCCGCCCCGGAAGGGCTGGGAGTGAGTATCCAGGAAGGGCACGTCATCCCAAAAGGGCAGCACAATGCTTTCAGCGACGACCTCTCGGATACGGCTTTCGATGGTGCGGAGAATGATGCCGTAGGTGATTTGTTTGGAACTAACGATCGGCTCGATGTCCATCACGATATTGGGCATGGATTCGAACGAGATCCAGAAGCGGTTGCTCGGAGGTGGCTTGAAGCGGAGCAGCCCATGGCCCTCGAGCTTCTTCAGCACAACGGCTAGCACGAGGTCAACCTCTCTGGCCTTGAAGCGCGGGCCTAGGTCAATGCGGACGGTGGCGGAGATCTCGACGCGGAAATTCCCTTGGTACTGGACATCTGCCTCGACGCAGCAGTTGCCGTCGACGGTCAAGTCCTTCAGCCGCGGGTTAGTTATAAACGGGGCCCCCTCGCCCATTTCGATTTTCTGTAGACCGATCTTGCTGATGAAATTTGGTTTCTTGATGCGGGAGATCTTCTTGGTGATCTTCTTGCGCAGGAATTGCTCCATCTCTGGCGTTTTGTACATGGCAAGGAACAGACGGCCGAGCACGGCATTGAGCCAGCGTGTCTGCAGCTGCTCCTCGGAAGAATGCAGGCGCTGCACGAGCGTGACAATATGCTTGAGGTCAAACTCCTGTTTCTTGGGCACAGGGCTAGCGGGCGAGTGGTCACCACCACCACCACCCATTTTCGCCTGGTTGTGCAGCATGGCAAAGTAAAAATCCTCCTTCTCCGACTGGTTTTCCGAGAACAGATAAAAGGGGGGTGTCGGGCCTCCCAGATCCGCGAGGGAGTCCAGCCGCCGCGATAGACAGATGGCGTTGCGTTTGATCCAGAGCTCCCCTTCTGGGATATCCCCTTCCCCCCCGCCGTGGATACTCACATCGTGGTGCGCAAGCGAGATGACGTACCGGACCTCGACCTGGTTTGCATCGTCATAGAGCATCAGATGGCCATGTCTACAGTAACATGATTAGCTACTGTATTTTCAAGGGTGTATATAATGTCCAACCTCAAGACAATGTAGAACACATTCCGCGCCCGCCTGACATTCTTCCCATTATTCTTCGCCGGCTCAATACTCGGCGCCTGTTTCCGATCGAACAAACTCCGGTACATCGCCTGGTAGACGCTGGGGCTCTCGGCGGCAATCACCTCGCCCGCGGGGGTCGTCCTTTCCGGCGGCTTCCCGTTCACGCCGCCAGGCACATACTCACGACAGACGGCAAAGTAACCCGCAGCCACATCGGACTCGTGAGTGCGCTGGAATTCTTCAGCCAACTCATCCGTACCGGACTTGAGGCTGAACGTGTCATCGTGGACACGGCGGAGGTCTTCTGCGGGGACGGTGGTGGATGACGCCGACGACGATGACGATGCCGACGACGACGACGACGATATACGCGGCGAGGAGGAGGAAGGAAGAGTCAGGTAGGCAAATAGTAGCACCGATATCAGAGTCAGAGGGAGAAAGGTGAGTCCGCCCAGGAGGTAGACGAACAGATAGCTACCGAAGGAACCCATCGGGGACCTGCGTCATCATGAGAAGGTGAAAGGACACGGTAGACTAGCTATAGCAGTTTCGCGGCAAGAACAGTAGGAAGGAAAAAAAGGGGAGGGGAGTAGAGTAGAATATTCAGAACGACCGGCGCACTATGCAGGAGAAAGCGAAGGGGTAACAGAAGAAGCAGGGAAGCTGCACGAGAGACTGGCTGAAGAGGAGTCGATCAGTCGATTGTCTCGACCTGGGCACGACGTATGTCATTTCCGCAGTGATTGGAGGGAATGTTACGAGGGTGGAACAAAGTTGCGCCGTACAGTATTATTGATTGTTATTATTATGATTTAAATATATAAGGATTTATTATTGTCTTTAATGATAATAACTGTTTTGATGGTATGAAATAGAGGCAGCTGGTAAGGTTGAAGTTGCTAACTAGTTCTAACTAATACAGTGAAAAGAGACAGTTCCTATGCTCTAGCAGTTAATATACATTTTCAGACATCGTACATTTGCGTCGAGGTCTATTCTCCGGGATTCCCTCGCTACTTCCTCCGCTTCATGGTCTTCTCACACATCTCAATCAGACCGGCCTTGGCCTCGCTGTCCGGAAAGTGGCTGATGGCAGCCACCGCTTTGTCGGCATATTCCTGGGCGAGGGCGCGGGTCTGTTCGACCCCGTTGCTACGGTAAACAATCTCGCGGGCCTAAGAAAGTTAGAAACGAAAAGAGAAAACAGAGAGAGGGAAGGAAAAAAGGATCGCACTCGTTGGACGTCTCCCTCACGGCCAAACTTGCGACCGACCAAGGGACCCAGCTCCGGGTTCTGCTTCCAGGCAAAGAGCAAGGGGGCGGTAGCCAGTCCCAGTTCGAGGTCCTGGCCGGCAGGCTTGCCGAGGTCGACGGCGCTGACGGTGTAGTCGAGCATGTCATCAACGAGCTGGAAGGCGAGACCGAGGTTGCGGCCGTAGGCGTAGGCGGCGTCAACGACCTCCGGGGCGCTGTTGCCGAGCAGGGCGGCGGCCCGGCAAGACTTGCTGATCAGGCTGGCGGTCTTGAGGTATGTCTTCTGCAGGTAGTAGTCGATGGTGTCGTCGGTGAAGACCGGGTGGGCCTCGTCCTGGGCGGTGTTCTTGAGCTGCATGAACTCGCCCTCAACCAGGTTGGCGATGACCGTGGCCAGCAGCTCCGTCACCTCCGGGTCACGCAGGCGCGCCAGCGCCACCGAGGCCCGTCCCAAGAGGAAATCCCCCGCCAGCACGGCCATCTTGTTCCCGAACTGCAGGTTCGCCGAGCTGGCGGACCGGCGTGTCACTGCATTGTCGATCACGTCGTCGTGCAGGAGCGATGCCGTGTGTATCAGTTCCGTGATCTCGGCCAGGCGCCGCTGTGAGGGGAGGATGTTCTCGTCGCCGATAAAGTCGTACTTGCTACCCGGGCTAGTATCCGGGTTCGCATCGACCAACACCTGAGGCGAGCTGATAGGGTCATTGATCGACGACGACGACAACGATGACAACGACGACGGAGGAGGAGGAGGAGATATCGACGACCGGGCTGCCTGAGGTGCCAACGCGGTAGCCTGGGACATTAGCAGGACCAGTAGCGGCCGCATGTGCTTGCCCTCGCTGCGGGTGTAGTACTTGGCAACCTTGTCAAGCATCGGATGGCCCGACCCCAGCAGTGACCGAATGTTCTTGGTCAAGAACTTGAGTTCCTTGCCCACCATCCGCAACGGGTCCACCGAAATCCCGGGGGGCGCCTTGGGCAGTCCTTTGGAGAAGAGTGTTTGCGCCGCCGATACCGCAGCGCCCAGCGGCGACACCTGTTTCCGCCGTGTAGGATGGTATCTCCGGATCTGCAGGTCCTCTCGCAGGCATTGCCAGCATATTTTGATCGTCCTCACCGTGGAGGGAGCTTCTCCTCCTGCTCGTGACGACAGCAACAGCCCGGAGGCCCGGGCAACTCGAGCTCGCATCCTCGGTAAGCCTGACAACAAAGGGACAAGAAAGAAGTCTATAGAAAGGACAAACAAAGAAAGAAAGGATTAAACACTCTAGAAAGAAAACAGAACGCACTCGAATTGGAGGCCGTCACGTCCACACTCGCAGGTGGTGGAAGCAGAAGGTGGTCGAGAACCTGCGGGAAGTTTTCGACGGGAGCTCTTCGGGCCGGCACGGACCTCGACCTCTACTATGTAACCAATTGTGACTATATACTATAGTTAACTATGTAATTACTAGAAGGAGAATTGCATTACATTAATCGACACTCTAAAGCACTACGCAAGAGGAGATAGAAAATGATTCAGTAAAATATAGGAAACACGAAAGATCACGCCGGCGAGTTGTATCCTGCACGGTTTCCCCCTAGTACACAGCCGAACGATAGATAAATGGGCAAAAAAAAAAAGTAACACAAGGATGGAAGATGTCTCCGTAGATCTGCCGGGAGAAGATGGGAGGGAAAGAAAAGACAGCCCATCGTCGCCGCGGTCAAGTCACTAGATTGCGTCGAAATCGCCGCCCGCATCCTCATCGTCCATGTCTCCTTCCTGGATTTCCTTGGCAAGCTCCCTTTCTCGCTCCCTGGCCTCCTGTGCGCTCTTCAACTCCAAGCGGTGCTGGTTCATAGGAAATCTCATGGCCTAAGGGACAATTAGATATTTGCTTCCGAAAAAAAAAAGAAAGAAAGAAAATGGTGTAAAAGTGATGGACAAAAAAAATGAGAGAAATACCTTAACGCTTTCATCGTGGAGGGTGAGACAAGCACGAATACGCTCGTGGAAAGCCTCGCCCGGCTCACGGGTGGCGTAGATGTCGCCAACCTCCTTGCTCTTCATGAAGCCGCGCTCGTGGTCCAGGGTCGCCTCGATGACTCCGTCGCGGATCGCCTTGGCAACGATGTACTCGGCGGATTCCTCGCTATCGAGCCCCAGACGGAGACAGATGTCACGCAGGGAGATCCGCGAGTACGACAGCGACATCATGCGGATGCCCGTCTTGATGACGTTCTGTCGCAGGCGCAGGATGAGCGTGTAGGTCCCGTCCTTGCGGAAGGTGGCGCTGTGCGTATTTACAATGTTCAAAAAGCCGTCCAGATCGCCCACGCTCACTGCCTGCACCAACAGGAAGTACGGGTGCATGGCCCGCTCGAGGGCCGGCTGACGGAAGATGGCCCGGTCGGGGATGTCGCCCATCAGCAGCTCCACCACAGCGAGGAGCTTATGAGACGCCTGGTAGAAGCCCCGGGCGCTGTGACTCGAGGGGGATTTCCGGGTTGCACCGATAAGGTGACCGTGCGCGTCAGTGTACTGGAGCTGGATGGCCCGGATGCGACCCAGGTAGTACAGGTACCGCGCGATCTGGTTGTTGGAGGCCGACGGAGGGAAGCGGTTGTGGGAGATGAGCAAGTCGGCCTGCGAAATGTGCGAGGTCGACAGGTAATTGCGCAGCAGCAGGGTCATCACGGTCGCCTGGGTGTCGACATCCTTGCGCAGAACCGCAGTCCGGAGGGCAGCCAGCAGAGGCTGGCGGATGGAGATGACCGTTGCTGAGGGCGAGGGTGGCAGCGGGGCTATTTGTTCGAAGAAGATGGAGTAATAAAAGTACACGCGAGCAGCCAGCGAGTCCAGGGTGCGGCGGTTCAGGGTCCGCAGTTGCTCGACGAGACTCGTCGAGAACGCAGCCCCCTTCTGGATCTCCTTCTTGTCGTAGAGATAGATCTGCACGAGGATGGCGAGGTACGTGTCCACCTCCGGGAGGACTTCCTTGGAGGTGGTCTTGTTCTTCTCGGCGTCCACGTCCATCTTCGAGCTGGCCGCGACGGCACTTTCGAACGCTCCCGACGCATCGATCGCATCGAGCAAGAAGGAGGCCGTCAAGCTCGAAGCCGGATACGTCTCCACGATGACCTCTGTCAACACATCCGGCGTGATGTGTTTACGCATCGAGGATATGGAACGCAGGACCCGGAGTGTGAATCGGGGGTCGAAATGTGTGACGGCTCGTTCGAGAAGGGTAAAATTGGCTTTGATGTCTACAACAACTCATATATGGCATTAGAGAGTAGTTCCCCCCTCCCTCTTCCCCAAAATTGGTAATTGTAAGGCAAATTTCCAGACGTACCTTGAATGGCTTTGGCCCTGGGGTCGACTTCCTCGGTCTTCTGGGCATCCTCCTCTGCACCCTCCATGGCGACGTCTCCCTCTTGGTCCTGATCGGGATCGGTAGATAACCTCGACCCCTTGGTCGGAGGCACTACAACTGTCATCTTCTCGTCACCTTTCCGGTCCTTACTGGTGTTGTTGATGGAGGATGTAGGCCCACCTGCCGTCTCCTCTCCCATCTCCACATCCTCCTTGCCATTGACGCCATTCTCCACAGGGTCGGAGCCGTTGGTGTGCGGCTGCTCACTGCCCTCCATGTTGGTGTTCGCTAGGCCGTTCTTCGTCGAGCCGGGTTTCTTGGTCGGGACCGCCTTGGCCGCCTTGTTGGGAGCCGCGCGGGTGGGCGCGGGCTTGTCCTTGTTCGAGCTAGAGCTCTGCGAGTTGGAGCGCGCCTTCTCGCCGTTCGCAGATGAGGACGGGTCGGACTTGTTGTTGGAGCGCAGAGAACGCCTCTCGGCCGGCATCTTTTCCAGCTCTGGGGCTCGGCTGAACAGCAGAGAACCGTAGCACCGGACTGAGGAAGGGGGATAAAGAAACAGGTGAGGGTGTGGCGGGCAAGAATCAACCAGATCAACGCACAAAAAGCACAGGGGAGCCTAGCAGTCCACAGACCAGACAGTCGATGAGATGTAGGGGGGCTGGGGGGGTGAGCAAGATGGTGGATGAAGTGGTGATGTGATGTCAAGGTTGACTCTAAGATGTTTCCAGAGGCGACGACAGCTGTTGCTTAGTCAGTATCGGCAGCTCTGGGACTCAAGTCAGGCTTCAGGGCGCGCGTGTCGAGTGGCACCGGGTGATCAACAGACAGCGTTTGTGTTATTCTAATAAGAATAAAAACAGAGGGGATAATATGAAGCGATCAGGAGAAGCTGGTCTGGGAAGAATCTGCTCCCACAAGGTACAACAGGCCCATCTGCACCTCCCGGCCTTGCCACCTCAGAGGGCTTGGCGGCCTGAGGCAGCAACAGCTGACGAAGGACTGTCGACAACAAACAATGGAACCAGCGGCTGCCACGCCAGCAACAGACTGCGTCTGCGAGCGCAGTAGGAGGTTTTTGTGTCGTTATCGGGTGTGTCCTTGATCGCGCGGGATTTATTGTTCAAACCTCTCAGAGCAGTTACAACACGATGGCGTTGCTCGAGAGTCACCTGGAGCAAATCGCCCTCTCATCCAACGCAATCTCAGAGCTGCCGTAAGTTGTTGAATGACTGCGTTTCTCCATCTGATGAAGACAAGCCGGCTGATCGTTCTGCAGCTTCCCTCCGCCACGGATATTTACGAATGCTCTACTCGGCCCCCACGATATCACCACGTTGATCCGCGACACGGAGACTCATGAGCGTGCTCTATTCCAGCTGGACCCTTCTGCGAAGCCCACCAGGTCGTCGCAGCGACGGACGACGCGATGGGGGGGCGAGGCGGAGGGAGGGTCGATGGCTAGCCGTATCTATGTCGCACGGAACAACCGCAGCCAGTCGGCGGTCGCGAGAGTGCTAGGCCCCGATATGATGGAAGAGATTAAACGGTCCGCAGGCACTTCTACGAGAGGATCCCGCGGGGAAGTGGATATCGATGTGCTTCTGAAAGGCGCGGAGATCCTCTGTAACGTATAGTGAGTGAAATACGTCGGGTGATCCTTGCAGAGGCTATATAACTAACGCAGAACATATATAGCCCCGTCGCTGGTGCGCAGGAGAAGATCGCAACACTCCGATACCGCCACGAGACGATAGCAGAGTCCCTGTCCCGGCTGGAGGAGCGTGTGGATCATAACACCGCCGAGCTCGAGCAGATGAGTCGGTCCTACGGAGATGGATATGATGATTATGGGACCACCAGTGCTCAGTCTGAGATCCCAACCATCACAGATGAAGACATAGAACGAGAATTACAAGAAATCGCAGCCCTAGAACGCAGGAAGCGCAAGCTAGAAGAACGCGTGAGCGGTATGGAAAGGGATCTCGGCGATCTATTAGGCTGAGCTTGCGTATCGACAAATATACTACCTCTTAATAGGAGTCTTTCTCGGACATTCTGTGTAGTAGTAGGCTATGAAATAAATATTAGAATAGTCCTCGTAATATAATTATTGATATTGTACTTGAGCACCTCAGTGAACGGATATAAACAATAATTATATCTTTATAATGCAGTTGAGAATAAATATAATAGGAGTTAGTTCCTATATAATATTAATACTAAAGAAAATCTATATATACTCTTGATACTACTCCAGCGATCATTATTATTGAATATCAATCGTGTCTATTCATCACAATAGGAAGACTCAATAGAAAATTATCTACATCTCACCATGACTATGACATCCAACAAAAGCGTCCGCCAAGCCTTTGAGCCTCCAGGCGATCTCCGCGTCTGCTGTCCGCCGGACCAACCTCCTCGTTCAGGCCTGCCCGGCTGTCTGAATTAAGCCTCTGGGATCCTGCGATCAGATTCAATATCTCTTTGTGTTCTCGTTCCTGCTCGAAGAAAAGACATCGTTCTGTCAGCGGGAATAGTTCTTATTGTCCCTCTGCCGAACGCATTCGCCATCGCGCAATCGCCTCCACCTTGTCTCGTGCCAGAAAGATCTACCGCCGAGAAGTTAGAAGAGACGCAACACAAAGTACAAGGAGGATAAGAAGAATAAGACGAGGGGGAGGATCAGCGTTTACAAGATGGACGGCTCTGCTCCTCCACCCGGGCAGGCGGGCGCTGTCCCGCCGCAGCATTCGAACCTGATCCGGACAGACCAGGTACAAAAGCTGCCGCATCTCAATGACCAGCAAAAGGCGCAGCACACGCAACTTGTACGGAACCTGTGGGAAATATTGAACAGTCGAGACACCCAGAACCCTGAATACCAGGCCGCCCATATCAAGCTCACGCAGCTGTCGCAGACGCTGATGAAAGGCATGCGCCTGTTCCAGCAGAATCGCCAGCAGGCAGCCGCCGCTGCGCAGGGCCAGCCTCCAGTGCAGCGGACACAGTCTGCGAACCCGCAGTCGTTTGCCCAGTTGCTGCCGCAGATCCAGCAGAAGGTCAATAGCCTGCAGTTCTTTCTCCCACCCAACACCAGCAAGGAGCAGATGCAGAACTGGCTTCCCGAGGCCAGGCTGCGGTATGGTATTGCGCTGCAGAAACAGGAGGTCGGTCGGGCACGCATAACGGAGCTGCGGGCGCAGTACCAGCAGCGGCAGAGTGCGGGGGGGATGAGCCCAGAAGAGCTGCAGGAGCTCAAGACTCGCCAGGCAGCAGCAGAGAAGCTGTTCCGCGAGGGCAGTGAATTTCTCGCCAAGTTCAAAGAGCAGCAGGAGGCCTTCAAAGCACAGCAGCCCAACCCCCAACTCACCCGACCGGCGGGCGTACAGGGTGTTTCCGCCCCCGTCCACCCGGCACAGCCCAGTCAGGACCAGACCGCGACCCTCTCTTCCTCCATGGCCGGAGCACCTCCCACCGGTCACCCAGGACAAGCACCCACGCCTGCTCCGCACACCATCAACTCTGCCGTCAACGCTGCGCGAAACCAGGCGGGACAGCAAGCAGCAGCCGTCGCAGCAGGGTCGCCGTCGACCGCCCAGCAGGGTCCCGCTACCGGTGGTCACCCCTCGCAACAACCCCCGACACAGCAGGTAGCCACGCCTGGTGCAGCGGGGATCACCTTCAGCCAAGCTGCGAACCTCGACGGAGCGACACCTACGCCCACCAGCGCTTCTCAGGCAGCAGCGAACGGCCCTCCCCGACCACTGTCGCACCAGGCCGCGATGGCGCAAGCCGCCCAGAATTACAGCAACCTCAACCAGCAGCAGCAACAGCAGCAACAGCAACAGCAACAGCAGCAGCAGCAGCATCCTTCTCAACCGCAGCAAGCGTCTCAGCAGAATCATCAGCAGAACATGGCCCAGGCGGCTGCCAACCCGCACGCCCACCCGCAGGGCTACAACCCGAACCGCACGGCCGAAAACAATACCCGCAACATCACCATGGCGATCCCCAAGAACCTCAACGTGCCGACCCCGGAACCCGTCGCCATGGCGCCCGCGCGTCCCTCGCTCTCCGGCGGTCCCAGCCACGGCGCGATGGGCATGATGGGCCAGCCCGCCATCCAGAAACACCCCGGTTACGTGCTCGAAGGCGAGGGTCAGCGTGTTCTCAGCAAGAAAATGCTCGATACCCTCGTCCGCCAGGTCACTGGTGGGGGGGAAGGTGAAGGTCTCACCCCTGATGCCGAAGAGGTATTTTTTTTCCCCCCTTCTTCCTCTTTTTCTTCCTTACATTGGTGTTGAAGTGATCCTCTTTTCTAATGTTTTTAGTTCATTCTGCAAATGGCCGACGACTTCGTCGACGACGTGATCACCGCTGCATGCCGCCTCGCCAAGCTGCGCCCTTCTTCGACCCTCGAGATCCGCGACCTCCAGCTCGTCCTGGAACGCAACTACAACATGCGCATCTCGGGCTTCTCCACCGACGATCTGCGCACCGTCAAGAAACCCCAGCCTACCCAGGGCTGGACGCAGAAAATGTCGGCCGTCCAGGCTGCAAAGGTTACCCAGGGCAAGGCCGAGTAATTACCCTAGTTATCTGTGTTTCGAATATCTCTCATTACCAATGATCACCAAGGAGGGAGTCAGGGTTCGGTTTACGGCGTTTTTTTTTAATAAGAAAGTTGGTTCACGAAATAAGGATAGGTAAATTTTCTTTCTTAACTTTACTTATCTTGCTGTTCTGCAGGAGACTTGAAATATGTATGCAAAAGTCTACTCTATCAAAATCTAGATAGTTGGCGCCTTAAGTACACGCTTCATAGGAAAATACAGGTAAAAAAAAAGGGGAGTAGCAAACAACACAACATTCATACACAGTGGTATGAAGACAAGAAGGGAAGTTTCCAATGTGTCTGATGAACTAGGGGATAAAAGGGGGCAAAGGCAAAGTACAGAGATAAACAGCGTTGAGTTAATGGGTGGTTTTGATACAGGGGAATAGAATAGGAAAGCAGAGCGGGGGTATAACAGACAAATTCTCAGCGCTGATATAGGGGGATTGGGGGGTGGGGGGAAGGAAGGAAGGAAATTGAGAGAATGAGTGAATAAGAAGAAGAAAAAAAAAAAAATGAATGAATGAATGTCGTATGATTTGAGGTAATGGATGGGATATGTAGCAAGGTAAGTCGTGGTAACATAAGACTTCTGGAAATGAAAAGGAGCGCTCAACGAATAGAGCCTCAATTGGCTCATGCAAATAGACAGCGCTGAACGGACAGAAAAGAGCAAGTCTAATCGGAAAGGAAAAGGAGGGGGGAAACAAGGTGAAGTAAAAGCTATTGGCTCTTCTCCTTTCCCTTGGCGGACGCCCTGTGCTGGCGGTCCTGGCTGCGCTGGCTATGGCCGCCAATACTACTCGCCTCGCCCGCTTCGTCGACAATGGGCAGGGTGGAGGGAGGGCCCGGCGACGCATCCGCGGGATCCCAGACGGTTGCAATGGTGCGTGGCTGGATACTCGACGAGTCCTTGGCGGCGGCTTGCCTCTCCGCCATCTGCATCGTCCGTTCGATGGACGAGGCGCGCGACTGGCGTTGCTCTGCATCCTGCGCCTCGCGATGACGTTCGGCCTCTTCCTTCGACATGGTGATGCCGGTCACAAACTTTATGAACCGGTCACCGTAGCCTTCGGGGGGGATGGGGGAGATCTGCGTCCGATCTTGCGAGATACCCTTGAAGAAGTGCTCCATTTTTTTGAGCATTCCGTACTGCATCGTTAGATTATTCAGAAATGAAGAAAAAGAAAGGGGGGGGGGACACACATGAGTAAGACAGTCAATAATCCCCAGGTAATAGATTTCTTGTCCAGCGGCGCCGTTTTCATGTGTCGCCCGGAATCCCCCATCATCCGAATAGAAAATGTGGAACTTGCGTTCATCAAGGATTTCGTCGGGCATCTTAGCCGCAGCCTGGTCGAGTGGGACGGGTCGTTCCTTTTTGATCAGCATGCGCAGCTCGCGCGCCTTGCGCTCGTTCTCCAGCTTGGACGGTGTGCGCATCAGCATCTCTGGCGCCTCTTCCTCACGATCGCCACCGGGCTGGAAGACCTGCAGGGTCTTGTCGCGCAACTTCTCCTCATTGCCGCGGCTCATGTCGTGGATGCCGACCAGCAGGGAGTAATCCATAATCTTGAGGCGTTGCAGTAGCTCGACATCTCGCCTGAGCTGGGCAATGAATACCTCGCGCTTATCGGGCCCACACTCGAGGCGCCGGTTGCGGCGCAGCCAGTTCAGGTCCTTGAGGGTGGCACGGGGGTTCTTCTCCAGGTCTTCTTCGCGCAGATCGCGGCCGACGGTCGACCCCTTGAGATCAAAGGTCTCGTGGATGTCTCGGTGTGGCGGGAAGAGGTTGTTCATGACGACGAAGTGGATCTTGCGGCCGTATGCCATCTTGACGCGGTGCAGGCCGTAGAACTGGGAGATGAGGGTGTTTGGGTTTTGCTCGACATGCTTGTAGTACTCGGGCAGGATCCGCCGCAGCAGCTTATGCTCGGAGTGGTGGATGGTCTTGATGATGTACTTGTAGTCGCGCGAGAAGTAGAAGAAGCTCCCGCTCTTGCCCGGGGATCCGAGCTCGGAGAGGATGTATTTGCTGGTCAGGGACATGAGGTAGTCGGCCGGGTCGAGGCGGAACTTGGCACGGAGATGGCGAAAGACCCATGGGGCGTAGTCCTTGAACTTGAAGTCGTACTTGGCAGATGGGGTCAGTTCGTTGCCGGTGATATCGAAGGAGAACTTGTGCTTGGCTTCAAAGTCCGCCGGCGTCAACTCGCGGTCAAACTTGGCATTGATCCGTGACACCGTGAACCGGATGCCGGTCAGCATGTTGTAAGCCGTCACCCAATTGACATGGTTCTGGTCGACCTTGGTGCCGACGATGACGCGTTCATCATCATCGTCCTCGCGACGCCGCCGCCGTGACGCTCGCCGCTGCTTGATGGCCTCCGCCCAGCGGGCCGCATCATCATCCGGCATGGTGTCATCCAGGAGGATATCGGACTGATTCGATCTTGTTGCCCGGCGGGCAAGACTGAAGGATGGTCGGCGAATGCCCGCCGTCGGCGACAGACGACCGCTGCTCAAAGCGGTCGCTGCGGCCGCAGCATCGTCTGCGGCCTGGTCTCGGCTGTTGCGACGGCCACCCGTAGAATTTCGGGGAACCTGCAGGGTATGTCGTTGGCGAAGGGTCGAACTCGGGGTGCTGTCAACGGAGGGACAGGCGGGATCGAGATTACCGGTACCGGTGGCCGTGGTGGGTGCCGGCGGGGAGGAGTATCGATAGGGAGGCACGGCGGCAGTCATCGAAGTAGTCGCCCGGGGACCCAGAAGGTCCGCATCTGGCGATAGAGGTTCGCTCTCATCCGGCGGGTAGGTGGTAGATAGGTATGTTGCGGAGCCATTCGCCTGAGCGGGTTCCAGGCCCCCCCGCATCGAGTCGGCTATCGAAGCCGGTCGGTCTCCATTGACCAAGGGTTTCCCGTTTGGCAATCGGTGATGTTGCTGCTGCTGCTGCTGCTGTTGAGGAAGATAGGGGTGATAGGCTTGGTAATGAGTGTCCGAAGAAGTCCCATTGGGAAGCTGATCCGAGACCGAAGCAGCCGCGGAGCCAGCGCCGGTTGCGATAACGTCGGAGGATTTACGGACAGGATCCTTTTCCAGCGTTGTCGAGGGTCGGCCACCATCGCGCCCGTCGCGGGTCGAGCCAGTGCCCAGGGAATAGGTGCTTCCCTCCTTGGACTGGAGCGGATCTCGCGTATAGGAGCTGACACTCGACCGCGGCCCCGCCAGCGAGTATGCACTGCCATTCTTGAGGTTTGTCAGCAGCTGACGGTCGGTCTGGTGGTGGTTGTGTGGTTCCAGGTGGCCCGAGTCGCCATTGGGCCAGTTGGTCCAAAGAAATGTATTTCCCACAGCCGATTTGTCGTGGGTCTTGACTTGCGATGAGTCGATAGAGCGAGGGTGCGAGGCGGTCAGCGTCGCTGTCGCTGTTTGATAGGGGGCGTCGCTAGAGAACGATGGCATAATTGTGGTGGTGGTGGTTTCTCTTTTTTTTTTTCTTTTTTTTTTTGCCTTTGTAGCCGAGATGATTCCTCTGTCCGGGCAACGGGGCGGTTCGGTCGACGTCAACGTCTTCCCCCCCCCTCTCTCTCTGTTTCTCTCAGAAAAAGATCAGAATACCGGCAGCAAGACCGGAAATTTAGAGATTGGAGAGGAGAGAAGAAAACTGTTTTTTTTCAAGGACGCAGTCACGGGAAGAATCGACAAGCTAGAGCCAGCCGAGAAGGGCGAGGCAGTGAACTCAGCGGCGAATGATAAGCATGTTCTGCTCAAGCGACGGCAGTGACAGCAGCAAAGAAAAAAAAAATTAAAATAATGACGTGTCTAAGGCGACCAAGGGACTGAGGGAATGGTACGAGGAGTGAGTCGTTCGATAGTAGACAGGCTGCAGAGAGCGAGGGAGTTTGTCGACACGAAGACAAGACGCTGGGCGGCGGCGGTGCTGGTTGCTAGCAGGAAGGACGGTCGGGCAAAGGAGAAGAGGAAGAGGGAGAGAGAGACGTGAGGGAGAGCTGAACTATGACTGGGGGCTTGGCGTTACAGCACAGTACAGTACTCTCCTTAAGTGGGTTTGCTCTATCAATATGTTTGTTTATAATATCAGAGTGATAAAAGTTATGGCTACTTATTTTTCTATGTAAATACTAAGATATTCTCTTATATATTAAACAAGTGCTGTGAATTAAGAGTTGTGGCATGATACCAGTAGAATCATTAATACTGTACCTACCTACTAAGGTACCTACTAGTTATACCTAAACTCGGGTACCTAGGTAACAGTAACTAACAGTAACAGGTACCTAGTAGTTAACTATAATACCCAAGTACCTCTATTTATGTCCATTAACTATGCATAATTACATCTATACAGGTACAATGTATTCCTCAAGTGCCATTCCCAAAGTTAAAAGTGTATTTATAAAGAAATATTGTAAATTATTCTTCTATATATTATATGGTCATTATATCGCAGGGTATATATAAACTAATATAGATAAAAATAGAATGTGTACAGTACTTACCCCTCGGATCTCCTCCATCCGACCCTTACAGTATGATCAACGCATGTCAAGCTCATAGTACGGAGTAGAGACAATGGTAATAGTCCGTACTTTACTCTATAGTATATACGAGAAGAGTATCACGGTTCAATGGTAGTATAGTTCTTGGAGTATAGTTCTTGATGGTTTAGAAGATGATGTGTTGCTATACTATTTTTTTTATACTGACTGATATAAATATATTTTCTCTATAGTACCCTCAAGAGTCAGACATGGCATACCCTACAAGATCACTACCTACTACGTACTCAGTCTATACATCGAGCACAATCAAGAACCGAAGTCATTTCATTCACCTAGCGCTCGCCCGCAGATGAGCTCACTAAATAGACATTCCCTTACGAAACCCACCACAGGACGCCACCCAGACCAACTCGCACAGAAAGCACAGAGGAAAAAAAAGAAAACAAAAACAAACGAAAGCATAGCGTGGAACCAAACAGATATCCCAGAAGAGCCAAGACATCGAAATCAGGGGCACCGAGAAAAAAAACAAACAAAAGTTACAGCCGAAGAGAAGGGGTACAGCGCACAAGATATCACGAGAGACACAGCATCATGAACAACCCGATGAGGGATGGAGGGGGGTCTATTTCTTGACTGACGTCTTCTTCTTGACAGAAGGCGTCTTCTCTACCGGCTTGGTGGTCTTGGTAACCCGGCCGGACTTGGTCGTGCGCTCGACCTTTTCCTTCTCCACAATGGCGGGAGCCTACAGAAAGTGTCAGTTCAAAGGCAAAGGAATCGAGGAGAGAGAGAGAGAGAGAGAGATAGAACATACCAAACCAGAGGCCTTGCGGGGCTTGGCAGTGTTGGCCTTGGGCTTCGCAGCCGACTTCTTGGTGGTAGCAGTAGCAGAGGCCTTCTTGGCCGAGGGCTTCGCAGCCGACTTCTCAGTCGACTTCTTGGTAGCAGAGGCCTTGGTGGTGGAGGCCTTGGGGGTGGCGGCCTTGGTCGCCGAGGCGGCAGTCTTCTAATTACGTCAACAAAAAAAACCGACGCAGCACAGGCTGTAAGAAGTATACTGACCTTGGCAGCCGGTTTGGCAGCCGGCTTAGCGGCGGGCTCCTTCTTCGCAAGCTTCACAGGACCAGAGGGACCTATACGTGTCAGTTATTTCTCTCATTTTTGGGCAAAACTGACAGGGAGATGGGAAGCTACCTTTAGGCTGGGTGAACTCGCCCTTCTCAACGCCGGCCTTGATGGCCTTGTTGAACTGGGCATCGAAGGCGGCCTTGCTGGTGATGGCGATCTTGTTGTTCGCCTCGACGTACTTCTTGATGGACTGGCGGCTATATAGCGATACACCGATCAGCTCTTGTGTCATGTGTGTTATGATGGCAAAATGCGACGGACGCGACGCGCGCGCCAAAGGAAAAAAAAATAACATACCTGCTACCATTACGCTCTTTGAGCTGTCGAAAAGAGTTAGCATCAGATGATCAAAGAGTATTTATTTTATTTTATTTTTCTCAAAAAAAATACAAAAAAAAACGCGTCGTGGGGGGAAGGGTTTTGTGCGGTTGTGGGAGGGGGGGGGAACGTGTCACGGTCGGGCAGGCTGTCCCAACCCTGGACCCGCGACGGCGTGATTAACTCACGTTCAGGATAGCATCCTTGATCATATCTATATGGATGGAATCAGTATCGACTGGCGACTCTGGTGATGGCCTCGGAATCCCGGCGCGATCGCGTGGGGAGCGAAGATCAGGGAAAACATACCGCGGTAGGAAGCGTGGGCCGGGGCGGCCTTCTTGGACGCGCTGGTGGTGGCTTTCTTGGGAGGCATGGCTGTGGTTTGTGTGGGTGTGGAGAGTATATAACAAGTAGGTGGGAAGATGAGAAGGAGTATCTGAGGATCGTCTGGTATATAGCCGACTTTCGTTCCGAGCAAAAGGCGTATGTGCAAGAGGGCGAGGAATGCAAGAGAAACAGAGGCGAGGAAGGGAGGCCGCGGGGCATCCCGAGCTTTATAGGGCGGGCGGGTGTTGACCCAAATCACTCGCGCAGAAACAACAGCTCAGGCCTGGCCGGTCATGGGATGGGCTGGGCGTGTGTTCCATGGTTGAGTAGCCTTGATGAAGGAAGCTTGGTTGAACAGGTTGTTTTTGTGGTTTGATCTGTGAGTGAGTGTGAAGTGGTCTATATCAGAGCTGGATGGTTGGGAGGTCTTGTTTCCTCGCGTCGCAGCCTTTTCTCTCTTCCAGGTCTTCCGGCTGATCGCTACGATTCTCCAGATGCTGATTTTCTCTCTGTGCTTGGTTCTATGGGTAAGAATTCCCTTCTATCGCCTCGCCTACTGATCTCTTCTATAAATATTTATAGTTAGACATGATCTCTCCTCGGTAGATGCGCAAGACACTGCAGATGCTAAGATCATGCTCCTTGCATACTCACGAGGTGGTGGCATATTGAGTGAGGCTAATTCATTGATATTTCATATGAGATAGTCTGGAATCTGGATGAATATACTATTTATGAGTAAGGTCGCTCTTGTTATTAATTTATAAATAGGTAATAACCTATACCTATGTCTCAAGATCTTGTTCTGTTCAGAGTACCGAATTCCTCCCAATAACCAGGTAGTTATCCTGTAGAATGCCGAAAACTCAACGTAACAAGTCCATTACTTCGATTAAAACGAGACAAAGTATTTTGGAATACCTATATATACTAGCTACCCAGATAAATAGTCCATTAGCCCCTGATATGTGTGTTCTGGGAGGAAGATCCCTTCTAGATCGCCGTACTCGGCAGTGGTTGATGCCATACCCAACGGACGCCCGCCGTGGGAAAAAAGAACAACCTGGACGAACTAATCAGAAGCACTGGATTACAATAATACCGATGAAAATTTTAAATAATTTATTTGAATACATCCCTTCTAGACAGCGCCCCGAGGCTTCGATTTGGCCTCCTTTTTCGCCTTGGCCTCCTCCTTCTTGCGCTTCTTCTGCTCCTGCAGCTTCTCCTCGTGCTTCCGCTTCTGCGTTGCCTTTTCGGCGTCTGTCTTGGCCACCGGCTTGAAGAACCCTTCCAGTCGCGACTGCTGCGCCGTCTTGAGGTTCTTCTCCAGCCGAGCCGCGCCGTTGCGCACGCGGTCTTCGTTGAACCCCTTATCCTTGACCAGGAAGGTGATCAACCCCTCGATGTCCGGCGCCTCCCACTTGAAATCGCACGCGGGATCGCTGGCCTCGCGTACGTCGGGGTGCAGGAACAGCTCGCGCGCGTCCTGGTACGGCCAGTCTTCCGGGATCACGTATTTCTTCTTTGGATCCTGCTCGATCGACTCGATCACCTTCTCTAGGCTGCCGCAGTCCCGGATCATCTTGAGAGCTGTGTTCGGGCCCACTTTCGGGATGGGCTCTAGATAGTCGCACCCGAGTAGAATGCACAAGTCAATGAACTAGAGCATGTAAGTTGAATGATCCGTAGATTGCATCCGCTCTCCGCAAGGTATTGTCTTACCTGATTGCGGTCCATGCCGAGCCCTTCAAGAGCACGATCTAAGTGAATCTCCTGGATAGGCTCTTTCCGCTGCTCGCTAAAGGTCAAGTGTCGCAGAAGGATCGGCGAGTCGAAACACAGCGTGTCCATGTCTTCCGACGCCGCCGCGTAGACCTTCCCTGCCCGGGCCAGTGCGGCACACTGCGCTTCGGCCTCCGTGGGCGCATCGATGTATGGGATCCCCATGAGCTTCAGCAGCTTCTTGCATTCCGCGTTGTGCTCCCGGGTCACTCGAACGGTCCGCCGCGAGAACTTCTCGACGTCCTCCGCCGTGCCTGTCTCCTTGGCCTCCTCATGGGCCTCTGTGGCTTCCGCCTTGCGTGCTACCCGCTTCGCCAACTCGCCCGACTTTAACTTGGGCGGCGCCCCGTCAAATACGTAAAGCGGCTTGATCCCGTTGTCGACCATCCGTAGCGTCCGATAAAACATGCCCATCAGATGCGATGTCGTCTCGCCCGTCTCGCTCATCAGCTGCTGACCCTCGGATCGCACGGCAATGAGGAAACTGTAGATACTCATGGACCTGCTTGGATTAGCTTCATCACTAAAACAAGAACAACAACATACGCATCCTATAAACTCCAATTAGCATCTTCTGGCTCATGTTCAATCCAATAGGTACATCACGTACAATGGCCACCTTGCGACCGAAGTGGTTCTTGATCTCGCCCGTCTTGACAGCATCGGGCGCATTTTCAGAGATAACCTGGTAGAGCTCTATAAAGTCAGCAACAGTAACCACTTGATGAAAACATAACCCCAATCGCCGCATCGTCTATACTCGAAATCACGTACGTTTAATACCCATTGTGCTGATGAGGTGTTGCTTGCACCTTCCAGACCTCGCAGTTGCCAAAAAAACACGAGACGCGCTGCTCATGACGCGCATCCTTTCATTAGACCGTATTGGGAATAGCCTGATCTACGACACCCACATCGCAGCACGTGACTAGAAATCCCCCTTCCCCCCGCGTCTAGCCAATTTGGGACTAGAGGCCCCAGACCTGCGCCTAAACCTATTCGGCAGTTCCTCCTGTTTGTCATCCGATAAGCTGAAGGCAGGAAGGAAGGTCCCCCCCCTTCTTATTCACGGTGTACGGAGAGTCGTTCTGGTACAGATGACCCCTTGCGTCGGCCAGGAACTGATGCGATAGTGAGTGCGGTCTGTGTTACACGGGAGGAGGATGAATCTCGATTCATGATGAAGCGGAGTCGCACGCATTTCGAGTCGTCAAGCAATGGAGACCCCTCCGCTGCCTCGCCGCAGGGAGCGTTCCCGCCGAATAATGGCTCCGAGGATGACTCGCGGCAGCCTGGCAGGTATATCCCGAAGATCTCGCGTAGGATCCGCGCGTGCACGGAATGCAAGCGACACAAGGTTCGGTGTGATATGAAGGCGGGGGAGGCGGTATGTCATCGGTGTCGGCGCATGAACTTGGACTGCGTCGTGAACAAGAGTCTGCAGACATTGTTGGAGGATGAAGCGGAGTATGTTTCTTTCCTTCTTCGCATATCTGTGAGACTGAAATACATCATTGATTATTTGCTGACATTTAATTTTCTCTAGCTGGAAGTCGATGATCGAGCTCGCGGTGGCGGATCTGCTCCGGAAAGCAGAGTTGCCGGAGCTGTCATACTATCAATCATGCGATGGAACCCCAGAAACGCTCTCGAAGAAAGGGGATCGGAAGGAGTCGACTGTCTCGACGGAGGAATTAGCAACGGCTCTCATGAGCAGTAGAGCGAACCTGGCCATGGGTAGTGCGTCTGGGGCTGCGGGTTACGGATACCAGCGACAACAGCCTCAATATTTAATTGAACGGGAAGACGGCGGAGCTTCGTCGCTGGTAACCGCCCCGATGGGAAGCCTTTACGAGGTTACTCAACTGGAGCATTTTCGCAAGGACTCGCCGAGCCGGCAGGATGCACCGGACCAAACGCTAGGAGCGGATTTCATTTCTAGAGGGGTGGTGGCCCTTCAAGAGGCCGAAGAGCTGTTCCAACACTTTGACCAAGTGCTCAACCGCTATCTGTGGGACGGGATCCTACTCGTCCATAAGGACTTGGTGTCTGTCCGCAAGTCTTCCTCCATGCTTTCGGCGGCTATTCTTGCCGTCACCGCACTGCACATGCCGACCAAGGAGCGCATCTACGATACCTGCTACGTCGAATTTGCGAGGCTGGCATCCGAGTCCATGCTCGGCCACCGCCACTCCCTCGATGACCTGCGGGCCCTGTGCATTGGGGCTTTCTGGCTTGCGGACGTGAGCTGGAAGCTGTCCGGCTACGCGGTTCGCATTGCCACGGAGCGTAACGTGCACCAGTCCTACCGTAAGGCGGCGCAGGGCTCCCCAGAACATATAGAACAAGTCCGGCTATGGTATCTTCTTTACGTATGTCTCATTGAAGAAGGCCCTGGGGCTCCTTTGGACTGAAATTTATGCTGACTTGTTTAGGTGCTGGAACACCATTTCTCGATTGCATATGGCCGACCACCCATCATCCACGAAGACCCGACCATCACAAACCATAACACGCTCACACTCTCCCCGACAGTCTCCCAGCCGGATCTTCGCCTACACTGTCAAGTTGATCTGTTCATCGTTCTGACCCGAATCTACCACGCTTTTGGTCCGGACGTCGATCTGGAAGTGCCGGAAAGCGACTTCCCCACACTTGATCGCTTTGACGCAGATATCAGGGGCTGGGAGACTACTTGGAGTCCGCGGCTGATAGGAAGCCGGCATGTTGGCGCGTACCCAATCAAAGCCATCTGGCTACACTCTCATTTCTCCCGCCTACAATTGAACTCGGTCGCCCTACGGACCTACCACTCCTCCTCCTCTGCACGGGTGATGTCTCCTGAGCGCAAGAAACGTGCCAACATTGCCATTGACTCCGCCATTGCCACCCTTCAGGTCGTCCTCGACGAGCCGGACATCCAGCGAGCATTAGTCGGCGTGCCCCTCTACCTGCACAGCATGATCACGTTTGCAGCGGTGTTTCTCCTCAAGATCGCCGTCAAGACGGGGCCCCCGGGTCAGCTGAATTCCATTGCGTCGGCGGGACTCCTTATCGACCCCAATCACGTTCGGAATCTGGTTGCACGGGTTGTCGAGTTGATGGTGTCCTGCAGTCAGCGGGCGGGAGAGCGCCATCTCAGTCATCATATCGCTCGTGGGTTGGGAAAGATGCTTGCCGGGCTGGAGGAGTGGGACAAACGGTGCACACAGCAACATCAGCAGCAGCAGCAACAACAACCACAGCAACAACAAAAACAACAGCCCTCCGGTCATCACGCCGCGCACACGCCTCTCCCATCACTCTTCAAACCGGCCGTCATTTCGAGTTCCCAGTCCCGCGCCGAGCACGACACGATTCTGAGCCACCCACCCCCTTTGATAGGGGTAGCTCCTCTCTCCGCCGAGCGGAACACCGGCTTCGGCCTGACGATGCCACAGGAGAAGCACCAGCCAGGTCTCTCCGAGGGTTCTGCGGACCCCATGATGGCCGACCTGTGGGGATTTGACGAGGAGTATTTTCCCACGGGGGTGTTTGACTTTCTTCAGTCGCAGATGCCGGCTTAATCCTCTTCCTGTACCCAGATTCTTGCTGTAGACTTACTGTGTATATTCATAGTCCCGGACAGCATACGAAGAATATAGACTATACACTAATTACCACTATTACTATTACCACTATTACTATTACTACTATTACTATTAAATTTACTATTACTATTAAATTTACTATTAGTTATTACTGTACTGAAGCTTATCGATAATCGGCCACCTTCGCCGACGGATCCTCGGCCCATATCTCAACCAGCCGAGGACTCCTAACCGAAGCTCTATTATCAGTGATACAGCTTCCCATCAATTTGAAGCGAGCTCATTTCTCCCTATCTCATAACAAGAGTGAATTGAACTGATTATCGACGCGAGTTCTCCCCTGCTTTCAGCGATTCACGATGAACCGAACACTCTTCCGAGCGGCACGTCATCTTCGTGCGAAACAGCCGATTCCTATTACGCCCTCTCCGCTCGTCTCACGCGGGTACTCTACCGCCCTGTTCGACTGGGAAGACCCCCTGGCAGCATCTGAATTATACACGGCGGAGGAGCTGGCGATCCGGGAGACAGCACGGCAGTACTGCCAGGAACGATTGATGCCTCGGGTGCTCGAGGCGTACCGGAACGAAGACTACGACCGACGGATCTTGGAGGAGATGGGCGAGCTGGGACTGCTCGGGGCTTCTATCGAGGGGTACGGATGCGCCGGGGCGAGCACGGTGGCGTCGGGCCTGATCACGAAGGAAGTCGAGCGGGTGGATTCCGGGTACCGGTCTGGGATGTCTGTGCAGAGCTCGCTTGTGATGACGGGGATCTACGAGTTCGGGACGACGGAGCAGAAAGAGCGGTTCCTGCCCGGGTTAGCCAGGGGAACGATAGCGGGATGTTTTGGCCTGACGGAGCCGAATCACGGATCGGATCCGGGCTCGATGGAGACGGTTGCGAGGGAGCATCCGACGAAAAAGGGCTGTTACTTGCTGTCCGGGACGAAGACGTGGATCACCAACTCGCCTATCTCGGACGTGATGCTCGTCTGGGCTAAGTTGGAGAGCACGGGCAAGATCCGTGGGTTTCTCGTCGAGCGCGACGGTTGTCCGCCGGGGACGCTGGAGACCCCCGCGATCAAGAACAAGAGCGCGTTGCGTGCCTCGATCACGGGCATGATTCAGATGGACGATTGCCCCGTGCCCGCGGAGAACATGTTCCCGGACGTCGAGGGGCTCAAGGGCCCGTTTACCTGTCTGAACAGCGCGCGGCTGGGGATCGCCTTTGGCGCCATGGGAGCGCTGGAGGACTGTCTCGACCGTGCTCGCACCTACGCCCTTGAACGCAAGCAGTTCAGGGGCAACCCGCTTGCCAAATACCAGCTTGTGCAGAAGAAGTTGGCCGACGCCGCCACGGACGCCGCCTACGGCACCCTGGCGGCGGTCCAGGTCGCTCGTCTCAAAGACGCGGGCACCATGGCCCCCGAAATGATTTCCATGATCAAGCGGCAGAACTGCGATCGTGCCCTTGCGAACGCCCGGGTGTAAGTTCCCTCCTCCTCCTCCTCCTCCTCCTCCTCCTCTCTTCTCTTCCGTGGAACGCGACTGACCAACCTCACAGACTCCAAGAAGTGTTTGGCGGCAATGCCACCAGCGACGAATACCACATCGGTCGACATGTGGCCAATCTTTTCGTTGTGCAGACATACGAGGGCCAGAGTGATATCCACTGTAAGTTCTCTATCCCTCTGTCATCAACACCGAGGTTTCGAGTACACTGACTGACTCGACTCTACAGCGCTGATCTTGGGTCGGGCTATTACTGGAGTCCAAGCGTTTGTTTAGAGTGTATCTGTAGAGCGAATGAACTATCCAGACACAATGAGTGAGTACCTACCTAAGGTAGAGTAGGTACTACTAACCTGTCTATGTACTGAGTACTCCTGCCTGTCCCCAATACAAATCACATGACATCCAATTAGGGAAATGGGACGGGTGCTCTCATCCCGAAACACGGACGAGGCTCAATGAGGGCGTCATCTTCGATCCTGGTGTGGTTCAAGGCTGTAACCCGAAGCCTTTGCCTTTGCCTTCCTTCGCCTTCGCCTTCGCCTTAGCCTGTAGCCCTACCATGTAGAATCTCAGCGTCTCCAGTATCTTCAGTGGTCGGCAGTGGAGTGCAATTTTTTCCAGGACCCGCCACTGTCATCACCGAATTACTCCAGTCATACGGCACCCGAACAGAGACTGCAGGTGGCGATATGAGGAGAACACCCGGCCGGGAATTCGAATAGGCAGCATACAGCAGAATTATCGACGCGGCTTCCTCTAATTATTAACCATATCCTCGCCCATTAATAATTGCTGACCGAATCGGCGGAGGCTCAGCGTGGCTGTGGTCAAATCGTATCGGTATTGTAAACCGGGTTACCGCTGCTGCTGCCCGTGATCTCCCCGTCTCGCTCGTCTTTCTTTCAGCCCAATTTCCACCTCTCGTCTTCTTCTCTCTCCCTCTCCCTCCCTCCCTCTCTCTCTCTCTCTCCACCGATCAACGGCTAATTCCATTTCTGTGAGTACCAACCTATATATTTGCATGTCTTGGCCTTGTTGTCGATTGTCTTTTTTTTATTTTCCTATTTAATTATATTTTCTCTCTCTCGCTCTCTCTCTCTCTCTCTCTCTGACTGACTCATTACCAACGCAGAACACCCATACCTAATACCCGCCTGCTCATCCAAGAGAAACCGTCTCTCCTTGACCCTATATCATCCTCAGAATGGCTCTTAAGAGAATTAACAAGGAACTCACTGACCTCGGCCGGTAAGAGAGGATTCCTCCCTTGTGATGCGCTGATGGAACTGGCGTCACTGTCGGTCGTCTTTGATCCCTCACCCCACCACTGCGGGGTGTTGGTTGTCGGAACGACTTGGGTGGCAGAATGTCATTCCATTCCATCCTCACCTCATATCCCTTCATCTTTACTAACTGTCATGTTCTTAGTGATCCACCCTCTTCCTGCTCTGCCGGCCCTGTTGGCGATGATCTGGTACGCAATTACCCCTCCTTGGACCTTTCCGCCCGCCGGATGGCGGGGCTATCTATCTGCAGGCGTTGTCGACGACCACACCAACAAAACTACAACGGTGCTGACATGATGTTTTCTTATTCCAGTTTCACTGGCAAGCGACGATAATGGGTCCTGTGAGTACTCGAGACTTGTTCTCTTCACACCCGGGATTATGAATGAGCTAATATTGTATATAGGGTGACTCGCCGTACTCTGGAGGTGTTTTCTTCTTGTCGATTCACTTCCCCACCGACTACCCCTTCAAGCCTCCCAAGGTCACCTTCACTACTCGCATCTATCACCCCAACATCAACTCGAACGGCAGCATTTGTCTCGACATCCTGAGGGACCAATGGAGCCCTGCCCTTACAATCTCTAAAGGTTGGCTTATTCTTCTTTGATTTGCATTTTCTAAAAAGGAAAAAAAAAAAAAAAAAAAAAAACACCACGCTAACTATGTAATGTAGTGTTACTTTCCATCTGCTCGATGCTCACTGACCCCAACCCCGACGATCCCCTTGTGCCCGAGATCGCGCATGTGTACAAGACCGATCGTCCCCGATACGAGGCAACCGCGCGGGAGTGGACTCGCAAATACGCCATTTGATCTTCGCACATCCGAAAACAAACAAAAAAAAAAAAACACCATGCTTGTCATCAACCTCGCTTCTGCGTCTTCTTCCCCTCCGTTAGATCAGATCCGAAAGCCTGGCGTACCGTGATCGTAGATCCTTTCCTTGTTTTCTCTGTGAAACATTTGCGTGCCCTTGACCCTCCGCTTTTTTTCCACCCTCTTCCTCTATTTTTTTATTTTCCTTACGTTTTCTTTATTTTTTGGCGGGAAATGTCATATCAGACGATCATTATGACCTTCTCTCATCATGCATTCATGGCATTACTATTTTTCACCGGGAACGAATAAATTTAAACACTGATGACTGAAAAGAGAACTTGAACTTTGTTGTGTGGTTTGGGGCGAGGCGGGCGAGACCAGCGATGGACGGTCGGGGAGGGGATGTTGTCATCGTGAGATAGGAATGAGTTGCGATGATCTAACCTTTACTGTAGTCTGTAGTTGTACGTAATTGACATACTTGAGCATATTTCCTCGAGTCTATCTTGGATCATAAGGACTACTATTCTAGAGCCTAACCCAGAGATTCTATTGTAGTACGTAGTCCAATTATAAACAGACTGGATCTGATTTGATTTACATGTGTAGACTTGAGTCGAACGCCGTAGATGCATAGCAGAAAATATGTGAAAGAAAGAGAGCATAAAAGAAAAAAGAAGAAGAAGAAAGAAGAAAAAGAAGAAGAAAAGACTATGCTTGACTCCTACTAGCTCTAGACGCCTTGGACGGCGCGACACTCCCACTCGCTTTAACAGTCTGCTGCGAGGCATGCGAGGCATGCGAGACACGCGAGGCATGGCTAGAAACCTGGCTGATGGAGTCGCTAGGACGGACGGGCTCGTCGAAGCGGCTGGAGCGCTTGGAGACGTGCGAGTCGGCAGCCTTGGAGTGGGAGGAGTGGAGGGAGCGAGCAGCGTGCGACGGCGAGTGGGAGTGGATGGAGGGGGCGGAGGAGCGGCGGGAGTCGCCGATCTGGCTGACCGAGTCGGCGGGCGAGACGTACGAGTCCACGTCCAGTGTGTCCGGGAAGATGGCGGCGCTCCCCGCCATGCTCTGGGGAGGGTGGGGGATGTGCCGCGCGGAGACGCCCGACTTGTTGCTGGCCGTCGCTGTGCTGCGGTAGGAGGAGGCGACAGACCCCTCGGGGAGTGGGATCTGGCGCGCCGTCCGGGTGCTGGAGGCAGTGCTGTTGTTGGCTAGCGATTTGGCAACCGAGTGGTGGGAAGAGTGGTGGGAGGAACGGCCGTCGTCGTATGCCTTGGACGCTGCCTTGATCGTCGACGCGGTGTACGTGCTGCCCCGCTCGAAATTCTCTTGCGCTGGCTCGTGGTAGCTGCTGATAAACGTGCTCGGGTTGCACGGGAAGCTCTGCGACCGGGTAACCGATGGTGGGTACTCAATGGCACGCAGCGGGAGTTCTCGCGTGCTGCTATACACGCTGCCCTCCGAGGACCGCCGGCCGTTCTCATCCAAATAGACGCTCCGTGTCTGGTTGGGTGGGGGGTAGAACTCGGTGCCCTCGTAGATAGTGTCAGCGCGTGGGTTCTTCGACATTACACTGCGAGAATATGTCGACGCCGCATCCTGCTGGCGAGAGTAGGTGCTTCGGGCGGGGGCAGCTTCGATCGCCTGGAACATGGGCGGGGCCTGGGCCTGGCTCTGGACCTGCGAGAGGGTCTGAGAAGCGGTAGAGGCGAGCAGTCGAGGCAAGTCCTGGGGTGTATATTCCGGCGGGGCCGTCTGAGAGGATGTCTCGGACTGAGAGTCTCCCTTCACCATTGCATACGCGATGGCAGCGCCTGCTGCAGCCCCTAGAAGGGTGCCCACAATGGTTTTGGCCACCGTGCTTCCATCGTCTGACTTCGGTTGCGGCTGCTGCTGCTGCAATGTTTGATGATAGATGTTGTAGGTAGTGGTAGAGGTGGAAGGAGCAGAAGGAGCTACAGAGGGCGCCTTGACCTCTCGGGAGACAACCGTTGGCGCGGCTCGCTCAACGGCCCGCTCAACGACCGTCGGTGCCTTGGAGTAGTAGGACTTGGTCTCGGAGACGACCGATTTGGTGACCGATTTGGCGACGGACCTGGGCGGCGCAATGCTTTCGGTTTTGACTGAGCTGACTTTGGAGGTGGCCCTGGAGACCACCGAACCATTCTCGATCAGATTCAGGGCGGGACCGCTGCTGACAACTGACTTGGCCGCCGAGGTAGGGGGCCGGTAGACGGCCTCAATGCTGTTGCCATCGACGTCAATCACGGCAGCGCTGTAGTAGCCTGAGTCGGAGTCGCGAGTCTTGGGCTCTCCATGGATCTTGCCCCCTGCCTTGAGGGCGCAGATAAAAAAGGAGCCCACAGCATCTTTCGAAGGAGCAGGAAAGGCGACATGAGTGGCACCGGCAGGAGTACTAATCAGTCAGGTTATTACGGTGTCGTATCCTGGAAGGACAATAAAAAAAGACTTACCCAGGCTTTTGCTCAGTGATCCAAAAGTCCGCCGGCTCTCCTGGTTTCTGGCCGAAGCCAATATAATCGTCATGACGACCGATGAACTGGTACCCGAGGGGCTGGAGGCATGATAGGAAGAATGAGGTTGAGGTTGGAAGATGGGAGACAGTTAGGGTCAGGTGCGAAACAGGCATGATCGCGTGGCAGGCCTAGCAAGTCTGCCGCGTAGCCAGGACAGAAGAAGAAGATACAATAGAAGAGAAGCGGAAGTAATATTGATGGTATGAATTCCTAGAACAAATGAATCTCTCCGTGGTGGGGGTGGTTGGGACACAGATATATGTAGGAGACAACACACTCTCTGCATCGATTGAGTCATACATAGAGAGGGTCCCAAAAAAAGAAAGGCCGAAGCAGACGACACCTGCAGTTGTTTCATCGCCGGAGCGAGATGGACGAGGCCATTCCGACGAATGCCCAACCTGCATTTCACGACCAGGGGGGAGGTAGCATTTGCCTCCACCGTCTAGCCTCGCATTTTGCAGGCAGAATCGCCTTCCCCCTCTCGCACCAAACCTAAAGACGAAGTCGTCTCTGCAGGCCGGATGCAGTCCTGCTGCCCGTCTCCTCGACCATGACCGAGACTCACCTTCCAGCTTCCCCTATCGGAGCGTCGTCGAGGGAGGGGTGGGAGGGGCAGACGAAGGAGACCCATCCACGCGGCGGCCACTTTTGTGCAGGTGGCCGTCAGAGACTCAGAGCGTGCCAGGTCATCGTGGGGGAAAAAACACGGACCCGTAAATAAGGGACCGTCATAACCAGTCATCGCCGCTTCGCTGTTACAGGTTTACCGTCCTCGACCAAAGATGACCGAGAAACCCGGCGGGATGACCGAGAAGGAACTGAAAAGGTGAGGCGACACTGGGCGGCAGAACACGGATTGGGCTTCTTCCCTGGAAAATGGATAAAGGGACGGACATTGGGAGTGACTGGACACTGGACAAGTCCCAGTGGAACAGCTCTATAGGCTCTGGCCATGGGGCGTTAGCTGGCGGGTGGTTCGAATCACTGCTCGTTCGTTGGCTTTGGGCATTTCTGCGGCAGTTAGTCGCTAGAGTGCGTTGTCTGACCGCTAGAGCGCATCCACTGCACTTTGCCTACCTAAGTTGTGTGCCCAGTCAGTTCGTCGGACAGGCTGTGGTCAGGAAAAAGAAACGAGGGGCCATGCAGGACGATCGACGAAGTCAAAGTCGAGGAAGGAAGAAGAAAGAGTCTTCCAGGTTCCAACGCGTTTCTTAGGGGGTTGTCCTAATCCAGCTAGACGCTAACCGTGACTTGATGCTCCCAGTGTTCAGTGCTCACAACCAGGTCACTACAGGTCCCTTCACTGTACAGCCTCTGGAACTAGAGATCGAGAATCAATCATTTACGAAGTGCGAAGGAATAAAGATTCCCATCTTATCCTCCATACGCTGGCGGAAAAACAGGTCCACTTGCTTCCTGTGTGCCACGTCGAGAGAGAGAGAGAGAGACCGACCCCAGCCACCGAGAAGCTTACTATACCGATTATTCCGTCTCCCGCTGCATATTACAAAAGACAGTCTATACAAGGAACTGGACAGGAGAAGTGTAAGATGTGGACAGCATATGAACTGGCGGTGTTCCGAGACAGCCTATGCGGGTAGAGCTCTATACGAGCCACTTGGCGTGAAATCCAAACGTCTACATGAAGCAAGTAGGTTTCTCGTGTCTTAAAATACCGAAAGGTAGACGCGACGGTCTGATCAATTGTTCATTAAGCGGATAGCTGAATGGATTCTGTTAAAGGGGCCCTGGCAAGAGTTTTTTTTTTGTTTGTTGGATCCGTGTCTTCGGGAACTGTTTCGTGTCTCACAAAAATCAATGTAGAAGATAGTCGATTATCGGCGGTTGTTTGTCGAGCGGGTACAAACCTATCAAGGAGGGCTTAGCAGGAGCGCAAGAGCAGGTCGCAAACACCAGACCCTGCCTTGAGAGGCTGTCGAACCTGCACGTCTTGTTGTGAAAACTGAATCAGATCCGGACAGTGTCTCAATGCAGCGGTTCCGTTGGCCGATCTTGGAACCTTGCCAAACAGCGCCAGGACCCCCGGAACAGACCTCGATGTTGTGATCTTGGCCATCCGGCATCGCCCTGTTCCATGGAGTTCCAAGATGCACAAAATTGAAAAAAAAAACAGAAGCCAATTGACAAGAGAGAGACAAAAGAAAACAGAGAAATACAAATCTGGACAGGAGTCCAGAATTAAACAGGAAAATAAGTAAAGAAATGTAGATACTCCACTAAAGGATCGATCAGCAGATGGAGAAACCTGTAGGCAGTCATATATATTCCTCGGGAAGCCTGTTTAGTCAAATTGGCATGCCATCGCGTTCAATATTTGCCATCGGTGAGTTTTTTTGAGCCGGTTTAGTATTTGATCGGTCGTCGTCGTCCGTCGTCCGTCGTCCGTCGCCGTCAAGCCTCGGACAGGGTGGGTGGCTGAAGGGGTTCAGGGAATCCGAAGAACACAAGGCTCATAGAATGTCCCAGACCTCCTCGGCAGCGTGGCAAAACTTACTACAGGCCACACTGGCACTCAGACTGTAATTACTGATACTGATCGTATCGTCCTTGAAGGTGTCGGCAAAGTCGTCGTGACCCTTGGCCATCGCGCCGACGAAAATGCAGATACTCTCCTTGGGCTTCAGCGTTTCGATGTAGTCCTTGACGCGCACCACGGGGGCCTCGAAGCTCATGGTCACCTTGCGGCAGTTCGGGGGCAGGTGGTCCGTGATCGGGTTCTTGATGACTTTCAACAGCTTCTCTTGCGAATTGGTGGAGCGGATCGACAGACGGTGCAGCAGCTGGACCATCAGACCAGCGAACCGCTTGAATGTGCGAGGAATGCGGACAGTCGGGTTGACCTCGATCAAAACACCCTTGGCCGTGTGGATGTAAATCTGAAGCTTGCCCGCCTTGTTGATCGGCGAGTCGAGGAGGGTGAGCAGGCACTGCATTTGTAAGCCACTGAACCAAAACCATATCAAAGAAGCCAGAATTCTAACCTGATGTGTAATATCCGGGCGAGCCTCGCTGATGTCTCGGTTCATCTTGCGCATGATTCCAATGTGTTCGTCGCTGTTCAACAGCGAGTACTTCTCCTCACGGGCAGCCCCGTTCCGTCCGCCATGAGAGGCCCGGTAGGTCTCAAGACTGGCATTGGAAAGCACCACAATCAAACGCTGCGTGTCTTTATCATGAGCCGGAATCGGGGTATGTTGTTCGGCCACGAGCTGGGGGAGCTCGGGAGGCGGGCAAGACTGAGTCCCTGATACTCGAGTCATATTAGCTTTCCCTCTTCTCTCTTTTTCTTTCTTTTTTCTTCTTGCCAAATATAGGCTCTGCTCAAAAAACTGTGGTGGATGAAAGACTCAGATGCTACTTACTGGCTCTCTTACGCTTGCCTGCGGTCTGGGGGGATTCGGACATCTTGCCTGTAGGAAAATATTTTCAGGCCACGAAAGCAACAAAGAACTCTCTGATTGATTTGAGTGGAGTAGTCCTCTCGAAACAGAAACAAGCCACAGCCAGATAAATTTTCAAGAAACTGCTCGAGTGAGGGTAATATTTGAGCAGTTTCTGCAACGCGTGAGGTGGAGAAAAAGTCGCTGATGGCGGACAGACGGGCATTTTTTAGTTCTTCCACGAAACTCCGACTTTCGCACCCCGCAATCCCTCAACGATAAGTTTGCATCTCTCCGGGAGAACTATTTGAAGGAGGACTCTTAATTTATCCATTGGGAGAGACGGAATTTTCGCAGATGGAGTCAATAAAAAGACACAAGGAAAAACGAGCAGCATTGATTGATGACTTCTTCTCGGGCTGGTTATTCACAGGCATACTGATGATCCCAAGAGTCAATTCTTTGGTTCTCCTTTACGTCGACATCAACGATAAAATCTCGCCTATACCGGTACATTGAGGAATGCAGAGTACTTGAATCTATGCATGCATCTTGAACTGACAGATAGACCGAAGGCCAGGATAGACTGAGGACTCGGCGAAACAATATCGGATTTCGGAGCAATAAACGATTTCGGAGTAACTACTACACTGCACAGTGGCAATACTATACTGTCATTTAGAGGTACGGAGTACAGGATGTCTCTAATACTACTAGGTCAAGAATATGATGTGACAGTGGTGTCATGGCGAAAGAGCAATTCTGATCTCTCAGATGATTGGAATCTAGGATTCTGTACAACCTGTTGTACTACCATGTAGTACCAGGTCCCCCGCATCCTTACGACAGCTCTACAGACAAGCTTGAACCTCAGGAATCAGGAAAGCGGAAGTCACATGTGTTGTCGATGGCTGTTGCTTGTCTCAAGAAAGAGGTTTGCGGTGGGCGTCACCTCTACGCTTATATTCGATAACTAATTGTATCGACAAGGCTTAGGCCTAGGTGATAGAGCCACTCTGGTCGATCCACTTGGGCTCTTCCACCAGGCTGTTCATATGATGCCTGTATATCACGCCCCTGGAGACTTTCATAGGTCGTCGGGTATTTATCCCAGAGCAACGCCAGGGAATTTTTCCACCTCGCCGACAACTGCTAACGCGTAATTGGACTGTGGTGTTAAGAGAAAAGCAAAACTACAGGAATTAATCACAGGTACGGAGTGCCTCGCAGACTGATTATGGAGTAATGAAGGGACCTTCTTCTTTCACTTTGCTGAGAAGCTACGCAGCGAATGACAGACAACAGAGAGAGGAGACAAAGCACTGTTCTCTGAGATCGCGTGTGATTGTCAAGGGTAGGACAATCCTTATCATTCCACTGGCGCAGGCTGCTTAGCCAGCCATACGGAGTGCTGGCAAGCATGTTGTCCTAGTGTATGTAGTATGTACTATGTAGTACCTATTAGGCGCAAGGGCATGGATTGGGGGAGGAGGCTGGGGATCCACGCCCATCCTTTCCACCCAGCAAGGCAGATCTGGCATCCCCGCGCCAGCCAACAAGAAGTGGTATGTGTCGCCAGATACAGTCCTCACAGCTACCGCCACACCAGTGGTCCAGCAAGAATCATTATTAAAGGGGGCGAGGGGCATCCCGTGCAGTTGGAACGCAGGCCCACATCCTCCCTCCAGCCAACAGCGAGTACGAGGTATGGAGTATTATACGCCTGGGTTCGAACAGCTTTAAAGTTTCGATTCCAACCAGAGCCCTCAGATGATGATACGTAGAGAAGAATTAAAGCTCTCGACGAGGCCACCAGTTGTTTAGGCTGCGGCTTCTCGTGTCATCATTCAGCAGGCTGAGTCGAAGCAGGCCGACCTCCACCATCTCAGCCGAGTCCGACTGAGCATCTCCTATAACGAGAACCGTCCGTGACCTCGCGTGTTATTGCTCTGCCTTACAAAATCGCGGGCTTTTCTTGTCAGTCAGTTAGTTAGGCTACCCAGCTAGCCACCTGGGAGGTCATTAACCTACTCCATATCCCCCCCCCTTGTACACAGTCAGTACAGGGGTCAGAAGCTGCCAAGTTCCAACCCTTCCGACGTCTCCCCACAGCCGATCACTCGATCTTCGATCTTCGCCACCGTTCAAGCCTGTCGGGCTGAGACAATAGGTATTAGTGAGGGAAAGCTGGTCTGGTAATTTGGTAAGCTCGTCAATCCGTGCCCACCCGACCGTTGGCCGAGTGGGACGCCCATCGCCTTCCTCATTTGTCTGTGACACGGACTGGAAGCAATATGACCCAGTTGGGACTAGCGCCCTGGGATCGCGTTCCGTCACTGATCAGCTTACGTAGGATTTGCTCCCGCAGAAGCCCGTCCTTTGGGGGGCAAAAAAAATAATAATAATAGGGCAGAGACGACAACACGTCAGTCGCCTGCTTCCCCTCTTACGGTGAACCCCTTGATCCAACCCATTGTCGATGTGCAGTCTACTCTGAGAGGAGATGCCGTGGACAGTCACGAATTCTTTCAAGCGGTACGTACCCTGGTTGCGGCCCCCATGCTACGCGCAGAGGAGAAGGGAGAGAGAGACGCGCTCTACCTACTGACTGACACGCCGCGGTCTAGAGGCCTCATGAAAACGTACGGAAGACCGGTATGGCGCGTGTTTGACGACGACCAGCACCCAGCCGCGAAGAAACGACGCGTGCAGTCGGGCCATGAGTCCGACGATGCGGAATTGAGCCTGCAGTATGCCATACGCGAATCGTCAGCCGCCATCCTGTCGAGTCCATCGCGTCGCAACTCGGTCGTGCTCTCCGAAGCGACTCAGGAGGAGGACGACCTGTCGACACCCCCCTCGTCGCCGCCGCCACGGCTGAGCCCGCCGGTCAACACGCGCAAGCCGACCTTTGCCTTTCTTAAACGGAAACATTCGTCAACCAAGGAGGCAAGCAATGCCTCCCCGCTCACAGAGGTCAACTCCAACAGCGTGCGCCCGTCGACGGAGCCGCCAAAGAAGAAATTACAGCAGCAACAGCAACAGCAACAGCAACCGGTCCTGAAGCAGATGCAGATCGATCTGGGCACTGAGACGCGCAAGACTTGTGCTACATGTGGCATGGAATACATCCCATCTAACGCCGAGGACGCTGCGCTACACAAGAAATTTCACGATCGGAACTCTACGGGGGTGGACCTTGGCAAGGCGTTTATGCGAGGGAACGCGTCGCGCTGGGTCTACGAAGCCACACGCTTCGAGGAAGGATACGTCGTGATTGTGGATCGCAAGGCTTCTCCCACCACCAAGGGTCAGGCGAAGAAGGTGTTGGAGGTGATCAACAAGGAGCTATCGGCTCCGGACATCGCGGACGACGTTCTCTGGAGTCAGATCGAACCGCCTCAACATCTCCAACAGCAGCAGCAGCAGCAGCAAGGGGATGCACCGCCCGAGAAAGCCGATCGATACAAGGTATTTCTTCACATGAAAGACAGCCGCTGCGTTGGGCTGTGTCTTACGGAGCGCATCTGGGAATCCCGAGCTGTTGAGCGACCGTCGCCACCTGCCAGTGACCAGCCCAACGGCCATGACTCATCCATCACTGCTGGGGACCAGCCCTACCCAGCCATCGTGGGCATTTCACGTATCTGGACGTCAGGTTCCTCGCGTCGCAAGGGCATCGCCATGGACCTCCTCGACTGCGTGGTGAGCAACTTCATCTACGGGATGGAGATCCCCAAGGCCAAGATCGCCTTTAGCCAGCCTACAGAAAGTGGTAAGCGGCTAGCAGAGGCCTTTTTTGGCTCTGAGGAGCAGTGGCACGTCTACAACGAGAGCTGAGAACACCGCGCGCTGGTAGACATTAACGTGGAGGATGCCTAATCCTGATTACCCCCTTTCAATTTTCCTTGGTCGTGCACGGTTCGATTTCGGGCGGAAGGCAGCAGCAGCAGCCGGGGAGCAACCTCACACGTACATGCAGCCTCTCTCTCCGAGGCATCTCTCCTTGTGTATAATCTCCTGGTGGTTGGGAAGGGAGTCTCTTTTACTCATCGGTCCTTCCCGTTTCCCCCCCTTTTACGTTCCTCCTATTCTACTGTAACATAGCCTTTTACTTTGGTCAGATTTCCCCCTTTATTTTTGGGTCGTCTTTTTTCCTTTCTTCTTTTCTTCTTTTACTCAGAGACTCGGCGTATACGCAAAGCTAGCAATCGCATCGGTATACTCAAGAGAAAACGAAAGATTTTTTTTTTCCAATATTTGTATCCAATCGTTTTACAGTTTCCAAACGTTGTTCGTTCCGTGGTGTACCGGAACCAGCGCAGATAACAATAGCGACCAAATCTACGTGCTAGGCAGGTAACAGATCCTGTCTTCCTTTCCCAACGTCCCCGCCTTGTTGATCTGATCTGGTTTTCTCATGCTGGAGTTTGTCCAGTTCCTTTGCGATGTCTGGATTAAATCCTTTCCGCCATAGGCAGTTTAAGGGTGAGTGACGCTATTCCCGCAGCTTCCGAGGGAGGTCGATTACGATAAAGGGACCCAGGGTGCTCGATAGCATTTCTTCGTTGAATCGAGACACAGCACGTAATTCTTTGTCGGTTCATCATTACTGATCGCTGCAGATACGGCAAGACAGTCAATATCCTCTGTGAAATACTCCGACGTCGCGTTCTCTCCGGGTTCGTCGTCATCATCGCCGTCCCACCGTGTTCCGGATGCCCCCCCCCACGAGCGACCTCCATCAGACGCCGACGACTCTAGATCATCCGATGAAGGGCAAGCTGGCCATGATCCGTTCCAGCCGGACCCTAACCTGAGCGATAGCAATAGCGACGAGGAGACCGGGGAGGATTCCGATTCTCCTGCTCTGAACAATGGTTGTCTACTATCTGCCAATTTCGATCCACCAAGAGCCCCCTCACCCATCTCCGCCATTGGCATCACGACACCGGCGGCTACCGCAGAAAAGGATGAAGCAGTAGTGAAGCAGACTGTGGTACATAATGATGGGCTGTTGAGTGGTGGGAACACTAGTCTTGGTGGTGGCAAGACGGACGGCCCTGGCCAGGCCGACGCTGATCATCCTCCGGTAGCATCGGTAAGCATCAGACGCCGTTCAGAGGCGGAGAATCTATGCTCTGATGATGTCGAGCCCAAGGCTCTTGCGACTCACCCAGTCACCAAGGAGAAGAAACCGCCGCCACCACCCAGATCGCATCACGGGAAGCGTATCAGTATCAGTTCTGATATGATGATTTCCGGGAGACCTCTGCCGCCGCCGAGTAATCCTAGTAGCCCTCCATCAATGACCTCGAGCACGCCGCCTCGGGCACATCGACTATCTCAACCAACTCTAAGTTACTCATCGGTCAGGGCAACGAATGAACCGCCAGCTACCGACACGATCACCCGCAGTCGGTCTCAACATAAACGTCCACCTACCCCTCCGTTGGCTCGTCGACGCAGCCAGCTTGTGAGGTCCAAGTCCACGGCATCCCGTAATGAGCCGTCTCCGCTAGGGTTGCGCCAAGATAACCTGGAGTCGGGCTTCCCCTCTTCCTCCCCCTCTTCTTCTTCTTCTTCTAGCACAGAATCCAAGTCAACCCCTGGACTGCGGCATCTAGAACCTCTGGAGGGTGCTCCCCGTCTGGATCACCTGTCTAGAAGGGTTGCTCCAGGAAAAGAGAATATCGCTCAACCTACTTTTACACTGACGGATGATTCTCCCGATCCAGCGTCGCTTCAAGACCTCCGACGTGCCTCGTTGAAAGCCTCGCGACGGATCTCTTATGTGAACGGTCTGACGCTGAGTTCCAGCAATCAACCTCTGCCGCCGCCACCACCACCACCACCTCGACGACTGCGAGCGTTGAGCAAGGGGAGCACAGACAGTAAGCGTCCCCCGGTGGACGCGACCGAGAATGCACGCGACATGGACGAGGGCGTCTCATTCCGACCGTCAAATGCCAGCGACATCCTCGCAGATCTCTCAAGATTACAGAAAGAAGTGGATGATCTGCGAGGACACTACGAGAACCGGAAAGACAGCCAGTAGCAGGATTGCCGGCTGGGATTCGGTATATACTATACGTATAGACAGGTCACAAGCGCGTAGGTCTGGGAGGAACAGGGGTTTCCACTGGCTGTATTCGATAGCTCTTGATAGCTTTTTATGCAATGTTATGATATTCACGACTCAAGTCTATCTCGCCTGATGATCGCCAAGTAGTAGCTACCCCTCCCTCAGCCTGAATCAGTGAGCAGCCCCAAGAAGAAACCTGGCAGTAATTAGCAGAGCCCATTTTGTATCTTATAAACGCCTCCAGATAAATCGAACCAATTTCATCTCACCCTCCCCATACGTATATGGTTTCCCAGGAGCAGCCTCGAAAGTATGATGCCCGCAGATCGCCAAAGTGATGACGTCGCGCGGGCGCCCTCGACCGTTTCGGGGCGCATCGTGACTCCACCGCCAGGGAGGAAGTGGTGATAACCTCCTCTTCCTTCGCTTTCTCGTCGATTTCTCGGCCGTTGGTTAATCAACCCAAGTTATTGGTTACTCTCCGGCCGAGCTACGAGTCTACAAGCCACAAGTTGGCTTGGTCTGTGACGGTCTCTTGTCCTGCGGTTGTTGAAGGCCTTCAGCTGAACTGCGCTGCCTTGAGGTAGAACAGCCCTGCATAGTTATCATTGTTTGAAGTCCATATTGTCATCGCTATTATCGTTAATTCTATTCTCATACCTTCTTGTTCTCTTCGTGTCACTGCTGTTGCTGTTTCTACTCCGTACTTCTCATATCCTCCTACGCTGTATTGCTGTTCAAAAAGGTCTCTTCGTGTCCTCAACAGTTGACATTTGAGGCTATCACAAAAGTATTTATCACCCTCTCTCTCTGGTATATCTGATTTCTGCTAACCTGACAACATATGGCGACTTCGACGCCCACACTGATCAATCTCCCCCCGCCTCCCTCCGATCCCGTCACACCATCGGATATGGGCCCGTAAGCCTCATACTTTTTTTTTTCTTTCGATTGTTTTATCTATCATACAAAGAAGATAGCTTGGTTGACATGGATTGGTTATAGAGGTACTCCCAACTCCGGCACGACATCACTCTCTGCGCTGTCGACAACCGCGATCAAAGATGGCCACCAGGGCCAACCGCACCCGTACGCGCGGCATGCCCACCATTCCTCCTCGACGTCCATGGCGTCTACGAACACACTCGAGGCCGAACGTGCGGACCGTATCTCCCGGCTTGCCGGACTGGAGCGCGTAGCAACCGCTCGCGGCAGCGGTGCCAGCGGCCAACAACCGCAGGGACCTACCTCTGCTGCCGTGGCTGCGGGCCACGTCTCCGGTTACTTTGACAACTATCCGGCTCTGAGGGAGCGCAGCACCGTGGGAAGCGCCAGCGCGACGGGCAGCGTGGGCGGCCGTACGACTTGGGCCAGCGGAAGCGATGCCTTTGACGCCGACAAAATGAGCGAGGGCCCGGACGACGGGACCTCTAGCGTGGGCAACCTCAGCGATGAGGGTGATACGCGGAGCCTAGTCGGGTTCGGCGAGGGAGCCAGCAGCACCATCAGTGGGCCGACTTCTAGTCATCCGGGCCTTCATCGCTTGTCATCGGGGGGAGGGCGGCCGGCCCCTCTCGGTAGCCCGACTATGACAACGACTAGTCGGGGCAACCACCACCAACAACTACAGCAGCAGCAGTACCAACAGTACCAGCCGTACCATCCCTCTGCTCCGTCAACCACTGCACAATCGTTATCCACCATCGAGAATACGGCTCTTCCCCCGTCGCCGTCGCCGGCAGGGTCGACTACCCCGGAGCCCACGACAGCAGCCGAGACGGCGGCAGCGGTGGACGCCCGCATGGTTGATGGCATGACATACGACCCAGACGTGGTTGACACGACAGCGCGGACGCCGCGCTTGGTGACGCCGTACGACCGGAGCCCTACTTCGGGGGTCTCTCAACAAGCAGAGATGTAGTCTTTACTACCTCTGTCTGTCTCATAAGTAGAAAAAGAAAAAAAAAGAAACTTATCTCAGTGAACGACTTGATGACTCGGTTGTACTTCTACGGTGAAAATCAGGATATGGAATCGGAAAGTGTCTTTCAAAGCGATCCTGATCGAGATGATTCCACTCGCTGCTAGGTTGATTCTGCTGTCCATTTTGAATGAGATATAATTGTCGTGTTTTGGCTAGGGAAATATCTATACGGAGTACTATTTATTATCTCTATTGTGTCGATAAAGTAAACCCACAAAACAAGATAGACACTACTCCGTAGACTCTCTCTAGACACCCTACAATATACTCTTAAGCAATTAGTAGTAACCATAGGAAATAAATAGCTGATAATGAGATTCTTGTGGGTATTAACTACGTACCACGTAGACTGTTGTCAGCGTGCATTGTGCGTCACTGGCTGCAAGCCCAAAATTTTTCCCTCCGCCTCAAACCAAGTCTTTCTTTCGACTCTTCTTCTTTTCTCTCTCCCACCTCTCGCTCTCGCCCCCCCCCTCCCCTCCCCCCGCGCCGCGCCTCTCCTCCGCCCTACAGACCTCCAGTCCAATTCTTCATTGCTGGCATTGACTTGTCAAGCACGGAAGTGTCAAGTTTCTCAAAGGACCGGAGAGCCCGACAAAGAAGTGCTCGAACGCTCGACCCCATCCACGTTCCCGCGCTGTGAATCAGACAGACACGACAACTACTTTTCCACCCCCCCACGAATTTTTTTTTTTTTTGCCTGAAAGACAGTCAAACAATACTCTATTTAGCGAGTCCCAGTTACCGCTTGATTCTCTGCCTGCTTGTATTCAACAGCAGCTAGAACCCGAGGAAGAATTACAAAGTCTGTTGATTGATCGAGTCGCCTAAACTCGTTTCTCGTCGGGTACCCTTCAGACGGGCACCAGCAAGTTTATCAAAATCTTCTAGCTTCTATTCCTTCTTCTTCTTTTTATTTCAAGAACACGATGGCAGCTCCTACACAGCTTTCATGTGCGTGTTATTTCTGTGCTCTGCTTAAAACCTGTGTTGTGCTGTGCTGACTGCCTGCTCTAGTTCGCACGCTCAAGGGAATCGGCATTTTGGATGCTGCGCCCGTTTATGAGCCTTTGTCGGGGTTTGTGAGGTATATCAAAAGCGTGCCCTGCTTGAGCTGGTCTTGTAGGCTAATGTTAAAATGTTCTAGACCTGAGGGCAACCTTCGCTGCAGCGCCTATTCTCCGTGCGGTCGGTACTTTGCTTGGGCATCTGCGGATAGGTACGTGCTGCAATTGCGCAGGGTGGCTTGGATTTTTTTTTCTTTTTTCTTTTTTTCTTTCTTTCCAAGAGAATGGTACTGACCGCCCATGTAGCGTTACTATCATCGATCCCTCCGTCGGACACGTAGTGACCACCCTCCTCGCCGAGAATGTGTTTGAACTTGGTTTTTCGCCACTCGGGACCTACGTGATCACATGGCAGCGCCCGGGGAAGGACGAGAATGGCGACGCCGTCAAGAACCTCAAGGTGTGGCGCGTGGTTGAGAGCTCGCCGGACGACGCACACGTGGCCGTCGGTAGCTTCGTTCAGAAGTCGCAAACGGGCTGGAACCTGCAGTACACGGCCGACGAGCGGTACTGCGCACGTGTCGTGACCAACGAAGTACAATTCTACCAGAGCGAGAACTTGTCGACCGTCTGGAACAAGTTGCGTGTCGAGGGCGTCTCCGACTTTGCCATCTCCCCCGGCAAGACGCACTCTGTGGCTGTTTTTATCCCCGAACGCAAGGGCCAACCGGCCGCGGTCAAGGTCTTTGTCGTCCCGCAGTTCACCGCGCCTGTCTCCCAAAAGAGTTTCTTCAAGGGCGACAAGGTCCAATTGAAATGGAACAGCTCCGGCACCACCCTCATCGTGCTGGCTCAGACAGAGGTCGACAAGACTGGCAAGAGCTATTATGGAGAGACCACTCTTTATCTGCTCAACGCTAACGGTGGCTTTGATTCCCGGGTTGACCTCGGTAGGAAAACCCCCCTTTTTTTTTTCCCACTTGTTCTGCTCAGGTTTCCCTTCTAACTTCTTCTAGATAAGGAAGGTCCTATTCACGATGTCACCTGGTCTCCCAACTCGAAAGAGTTTGGAGTCGTGTATGGCTACATGCCGGCAAAGACGACCATCTTTAACTTCCGCGGTGTCGCCAAGCATAGCTTTGCTCTCGGGCCCCGGAATACCATTTTGTTCTCCCCCCACGGTCGGTTTGTCCTGGTGGCCGGCTTCGGTAACCTGGCGGGTCAGATGGATATCTACGATCTGGACAAGGATTATGCCAAGATTGCGACTGTTGAAGCATCCAACGCCAGTGTCTGCGAGTGGTCACCGGACGGCAAGTACATCCTGACGGCTACCACTAGCCCCCGGCTGCGCGTGGATAACGGCCTGCGGATCTGGCACGTCGGCGGTGGCTTGATGTACAACGAGGATATGAACGAACTGTATCAAGTGTCCTGGCGGCCTCAGAGCACCATCCAGCACCCGCTGAGCAACCCACTAAACCCGGTGCCTGTCCCGCATGCATCGGCGCTCGCCTACCTCGCAACCCGGAAAGCCCCCGTGAAACCCGCGGGTGCTTACCGGCCCCCGGGAGCTCGCGGCCAGCTGACTCCCCTGGCCTTTAAACGGGAGGACGAGGGCGGCGCTGCCTTTGTGCGCGAGGGCGCATCATCAATTGGCGGCGCTGGCAACGGTCTGAACGGGTTTGGCCGGGCGCGGCGCCGTGACATACCAGGCGCCGAGCCCGCGGAGGAGTTCCTGCCTCCTGGTGCGGCGCCTGGCGGCGGCGTGGCGCTTCCTCCGGGGGCGGACGCCGAGAAACTATCCAAGTCGGCGGCAAAGAACAAGAAGAAGCGGGAAGCGAAGAAGGCAAAGGAAGCCTCGGACAAGCCTGGTCCCGATGGCGAGCTGGCGCCGCCTGCCGGACCATCAAGTGACCGCAGCCCTGATCGCCGGGGCGAGCGAAGCCACTCGCGCACTCGCTCTAAGAACCACAACCAGGAGCGTAAGCACAACGGTGGTCATGCCAACGGTGGCCCCGGGGGTCACAAGGCCAAAGCCGCGCCTGAGGCGGCAGCCCCCGTTGCGGAGCCCGTCGCGGCCGACGGAGGCGCCGCATCGACGGCGCAGGACAAGAAGATCCGCGGGCTGCTGAAGAAGATCCGGGCGATCGATGAATTGAAGATGCGTCTTGCGTCCGGAGAGAAGCTGGAGGACACGCAGATGAAGAAGATCCAGACGGAGGACTCTGTGCGCAAGGAACTGGACGGTTTAGGATATAACTAGTGGTTGATTACGCCCTTTGCTAGCGGTACAATCTAGCTAGAGAAGATAACTTTGAATACTACACAATCTATGTCAACATGCGTGTACTGTACAAGAAGACTGCAAGCCGCTCAGAGAGAGAGAGAGAGAGAGAGAGAGAGAAGCCTAATAATCATCTACGACCCCCCTCTCCATCTCCTGGCGTTTTCTCTCGTCCGTGACCTCCCACCACCAGCTATTCAGCTTCCGGGCCTCGGACAGATCGGCACGTTGCTCCCGCGTCTCATGCCACGGCTTGTGCGCAAAGATGTAGTGCACGTTCTTGACGCACTCGTCCTTCCAGATGGCGGCGTGGGCGTTTTCCAGCCTCAGCGTTTTGAGCGCATTATACACGTACGGCAGGGCGACCCACCGCGCCCGAAACACATCCGAGAGCAGCTCCTGGTCCGGGAAATTGTACGCCTCTATCCTGTCCGCGTCGGCGAGGGCTTCCTCGATCATCGCCCAGGCAGGTTTGCCCGGGTTGATCACCAGCAGGCCGCTGTTGAGCATCCCCACGCCGGCGCTGGAGGGGGGCGCTTCCTTCTGGGCCTTGTCTGGGTGGGGATGTTGAGCCGTCAAGGCGCAATTGGAGGGAATCCTAAACATTTAGCATATTTACGAATTTTTTTTTCTTCTTTTTTTGAAAACAGGGGCTTCTGAAAATACCAATGAGAAGGATAGTGTGGCTTTTTCATCGGATTGCAGGCACAGGCATGAGAAGCCGCAAAGATCCGGTGGTGCAGAGTGCCCGGCGCATCGAGCGGGAGGTCCATGATCTCGTCCATGTTATGGCGCACGAGCATGTCGCTGTCGAGCAGGACGACGCGGTCGTACTCGTCCCACAGCGTGAAGGCGACCAGCTTCGTCCAGGTGTCGTTGAAGCGCGGGTCTTCCTCGTACCGGCGCGACGAGGCCGGCACCACGGCTTCCACGCGCTGGTAGGGGATCCCCCGCGCCTGGAGCAGGGGGAGGCCCTCTGCCTGCGGGAAGGCATCGGTGTACAGCGCAACGAGCGGGTATGCGCTTTGCACCCGTTGCAAGGAGTAGGCCAGCGTCAACAGGCCGGGCAGGTAGTCCAGGTTCGTGATCACAGTGGCCCAGACGCGGCGTGCTAGATTAGACGTTAGCGGGGGGGGGGGGAAGGAGGGATTGTTCGTACTCGATGCTTCAAGACTTACTCTTGGGATCATCCATGGTGGTATATCTGATGCCTCGACCACAGCAAGGAAGATCTCTATCAACCAAATCTACTGCAAGTCATAACTGTTCGAGGCAGAGCTGATGACAGATCTGATATACTTTATCCATGGAGGGGCTGTCCCGATAGAGCCTAGCGGTATTTGCTGGCGATAGCTGCATTATCGCAGGTGAAGAATGTTTTGGCGTTGGGTTCCCATTGGATATAAAGCACACCATTTGCTGCTAAAGTAACCTTGATGCGTAAGAAAATTGACTGATACGGTACTACAGGGTACGGTGTTTTACGGTTTGATGTCCCACGTCTCGGCCTGTATGGCGGATGAATCGCCCTGATGTGAATGTCTCAGTCGTAGAATCACACGGATATGGTGAATAGACTGGCTCCTGCAACGACTGATCAGGACGAGCAATAGCGCATGACAGGCAGGGACAAGCCGGCGAGGCTTGTTGGAAAGATAGGTAGGTGGGAGGCTCTTCGTTGCTCTAGAAGCAAGGCTTACTAGAGACGAGAAAAAGCCATTGATATCTCGCAGCCGATACAGAGCTTATTCCTGCTTGAGACAGGAATTTCAAGGCATGGATCTCGCCTTGCGCTCCACCTTGCAGCGCGATGTTTGTAAAGAGAATAAAAGCAGAGAAGAAAGAAAAAAAAAGAAAGAAAGAAAGAAAGGGGAAAAATAAGACAAAGGGTATCGATTAGATAGGGATACGATATCATGCAAAGATGCGTGCCTTTTTGGTCGGACTGGCGATCCGCAGGGACCGAGCGCCGCCTGCCATGCCGGACAACAGTCGGTCCATCCCATCGACGTCCAGCTCGCCTCGACGTAACATGAGCTGGTCCGTCTCGGCGGTGGGCTGCTCAGATAGACGTGGGGAGAGGGTCCTGGCGGTGGTTTCCGGTTCAGCGAGGCGGGGGGCAAGGATCATGACCCAGTGCTCGGCCGTGATGAGGATATCAAAGGTCTTTTGTCCGGGCGCCTTCCGGGCTTTGCTCTGCGCAACAGGAAGATGGCAGATGCCCTTGAGCTTCTCGCCCATCAGCTGCACGTCGGGGATGGCAGACACTCGGCATCGATTCGAGGAGTCAAACGTGCCCATGGCTTTGGTGGCGTTGCGCCACAGGGACAGCAGGCTGGGGACGATCGCACTCTGGTCGCCGTGGCGGAATAGGATAGCCTCTTCTGGTAGAGAGTCTCGGGTCGTGTTTGTCTGGTGTACAGAGATCTGTCCGGTAAGAGACCTGCTAGGCGCAACCATACTAGACCCCTTAAGCAGCCCGTCTTCGCGGATCCGTTTCGTCGAGGGAGTCATGGGCGCGAACCTCGGCCGCTGCTCCGTGCTGGAGGTGCTGCGTCCATCGGATGATGGCTTTCCAGACGCAGACGGCGAACCGAGGATACGTCCAGTCACCGAGAAGGCTGTCAGCGAGCCACCGGTGATCCCTTGCACACTCGACTGGCGGTGTAGCGGTCCCTTGACACTCCCCGGACCGGCTCCCTCGAGATCCCACACCCCCCACTCTCCGTCCGCCATCAAGACCATGACAGCGCGACCCCCTAGGACCCATTCGGCATGGATGACAGCCTTGCGGCGTACCGGACCAGACCCAGGCTGCTCAAATCCAGTGTAGAGAGAAATGAGCCATTTGCCTTCCGGTTCCACTGCTTCAGCATTGGATTTGGGGGCGCTTGACCCTGTTCGGGTGCTTCTGGAAGACCTGGCAGACAGGCAGGAATAGACCTTGACGCACCCGCTACTGAAAGATGCTAGCAGGGTGGAGTGGCGTTTCGACGGGTACGGGGACGGGTTGAACACGATATTCTCCGCCGGCGCGGGCATGTAGCTCCGCTGGATGGGTTGAATACCATCCTCGGACAGCGTATACACCTTATTTGCACCCGCCGATCCTTCAATAATGGGAATCCGGTAAATCAGCAGCTTGCCGGACGCTTCGGCAGAATGAGTCGCCACAAGCAGATCCCACTGGCTTGCATCCTCTACGTCTTCCTCGCAGGTGAAAGTTATGGCAACTCCCTTGGGGATCTCCTGATGAGAGAAGATCCCGTTGATAGAGAGAGTCTGGGCTCCCCACGCACCCTCTGTTTCCTCAGGATGTGGTGGAACGAGTGGCAACGCCACGACCCGAGTCGAATAGTCGGCACAAACCGCCGCCACAACAATCATCTCGGACAAGATTGAGGGGAACGGATCTAGCGCAGAGCGTGCTGTCGCAGGGAGAACGGGCGGGACGGCCAGGTCCAGCACGCGACTTCCCAGGGGGATGTCAATCTGACGGATAATGTCTTCGTACGGATGTGTGGGATCAACCTCAGTCTCCTCTTCGAGAAACTCGTAGGTCGGTCGCTGTGTCTGCTGCTGTGGTCTCGGTGGCGCTGCCGATGTGTCCTCCTCGTCCGAGTCGATGATCATCACTACATCGTCGTTGGCTGCCGTAGCTTTGGCCTTGGGATTCTCTTCCGAAACCGACTCTTTCCTCTGACCAAACGGTTTCCCTCCTCGCCAAGTGACCCTGATTCCATTTTCATATCCGTAGAGTATAATCGACGAGCCGTTTGGGGCAAGCAGTGGATAGCCCTTGGCAACGTGGACGCGGTGAGGGAGCTGGTAACTAAACCAGTGAGCAGGTCTCAACATAGAAATCAACACAGAAAGCCGCTACCTTAACTGTAATCCATCATCCCTCTGCCTGACCAACGGCCTGGCAGTCATAGAAGACGCCATTGCCCCCAAGGGTGGCGAAGACAAAGCTTGAGGAGATAGATAGCAAGGGACCAGCAACAAAGCCAGGTGCAGTCACTGCTGAGTGTAGCCCAGTCAAAATAATAGCATAAGCTTCTCGACCATCTAGCAGGCCCAGATAAACGACAGAAATCGCTGGAACAAGGCTCCCAGTTTGTGTGTAGATGGAAGAGCAGAATGTGGTTTGTGTTTGAGGAAGAAGACTGAAAAAGTTGTTGTGGTTTTGGCTTCCTGCTGAGGAAATTCCGCGTCCAGCGCGTCCCTCCCCCCCCCGAACGTCAATCCAAACCACTACAAAGCAGTGCTCAAGCAACAGGCGTCGATTGCGCGTTCCCAGTTATTTGAATGGTGAGAATGGACATGATCCAGTCTCTGGCTTATCGTGCCAGAATTTCCCCTGCAACGGCTCAACGTTCGCACCGATAATGGCGACGGTCCGGTCCTTGGGCCTTCACGAGCCTGCCGCCCTCTCGTTCCTGATCGCAGAGAATATTCTCCCTCCGGAGCCATCTGACGAGCTATACACGTGGAGAACGAGTTCGGACGAGAGCAGTGAACGGCCGGTGGACGATGAGATTGTCTATACCAAGACCTGCGTCATCTGGTCTCGAGGCGGGGTGATCAAGAGGGTGTTCCGATTCGACGCTGAGAAAGAAAAGATACGACATGCTCTGTTCACCCATTTCGCGGTGGGGAAGGTCGAGAATATTGGGGGGAGTAACGCTCAGAGAGACAGGGCGCGAGATGCAGCATGGAGTCGGGACGTCCAACATCCAGAGGGGGCGTTGGACTTGAACGGGATAGCAGACCCTGGTAGATCGGCGACGAGCAAGCTTTCGCGAGCCTTGGTTGTGGTTCTCAAGTCTCAAGCTCACATATTCTTTCTATCGGGCAATAGCCATGTGATTCCTCTGCCTTTCGAGGTGGATACGGTATTCGCTACTCCACGGGGACTACTTTTCCAAAGACAGGTTCCCGACGAGGATCCTAAAGCATATCCAATGGCGCCGCCAAACTCGTTCATGTCTACGCTACCTTTGCATACGGACTTCCGGTCATCCCAGGTCTCCAATGTGTCCACGGGAAGGTTCAAGGCGTCGTTGTCGGCGATTTCTCCTGCCCAGGGCGCCGCCAGCTGGAAGACGAGACAAAAGAATGAGGCCAGGGGTCTCCCGCGAGTGTTTTCCCTCATGGACCCTCATTCAGAGATGGGCTTGGTTATGACTAGCCAGACCTCGAGGGCCCTGGGGAATAAGGGCAGATCGTCAGGATTTGTCTCGCTGGATCCGGCAGATGAGATCGTTTACGTGTCTCCGAAAGACGAACTGGCCACCCACACGGACTCATTGTCAAAAGGCCCATTGATCCTGGTTGTGACTCACAATGCCACGACCGCTATGTATACCATCTGGACTGCGAGATATAGAGATGATCAGGCCGGGCCAGCAAGCAAGAAGAAAAGGAGGAAGGAGACCGGAGGCACGCGGTCCAAAAGAAGAAGCTCGCATTTCAGCATGGGAACCGGCGCTACAACACCTGCAGCACGCCCATCTGGTGCGAGGGAGAGCTTTGGGCCTCGAGTTGATAATTGGAATGCTAGCATAATGTCGCATTCACAGACCGAGAGTAGGCCCAATCCAGAGGAAGACTTGGTATCCAGGATTGGCCAAGATTTCAGTGACATCGGTGTCCCTTTGAAACAATCTCGGCGCGTCAGCTCTTTGCTTGCGCGTGCGGATCTCGCCAGCAGCCAGGACCGGATTACTTTCTCGGACCTGGCTACGGGGAGCCAAAGCACTCCAGGTCCCCATGGAGGACCTAGACAATCGATGGGCAGTGTAAGCAACCGGGGAAGCTTCGGATTCAACCCTCGAGGGTCCCTCCCACCTGGTACCGGATCCATCTACAGCGCTGCGTCCAGCAGTTTTGTCGATGCCCCCGTTGATCGACTCTTGGAAGAGCTCAACAGTGAGAGTCTATTTGAAGGCTTTGAAAATATGGATCTCAAAGAGTCTACCTCGGGTCTCCCAGAAGAGATGCTCCTCTCGAAAGTAGAAAGTTTTCCTTCAAAACATTCCGGTGGCTTTCAGATCCCGCGAAAATCGAACGCTTCTCGGCGACTACGAATCTGCACATTACCATCTTCTACAAATGTCGAATCTTTGAAGAACGGGGAATCATCTTCCTTGGCGGTCTGCATTGTGGATCGAGAGAAGAAAACAATGAGTATCCTCAACCTAAAACTAGACGGGGTAGCCCTCCCGAAGAAGGACAAATACTCCTCGAAGAAAACAAAAGGAAAGATGGCGGCTTTGGAAGAGCGCTCGCTTCTTGTACAAGCAGTCGGGTTGCAAACCTTTCCAAATGTGCTTGATGCTTGCAAGGTCGTCGACGGCGATGTTTCAAAAATCCTGGTTTTGAGTGTGACGGACGACGGCAAATACGAATTATCTTTGCAATCGCCTTGGAGCTGCACAGTCAAGATTAACGTGCCTTCTAAGCTGATGTTGTATGAACCTAACGGAATATCCCCCTTGATGCTTTCGAGTCGACCCAGAGAAAGCAGCATAAAGCGAGTCATGACAGAGTCACCTCTGGAGATGCAGGGATTCGATCACCCGTCCCTTCAGGGGCGGTTCGATGTTGTGGACACCCAAAAGAGACGACACAAGCTGCAATTACGAATGGAACCCAGCAACGAATTGGTGAAGAAGATTCTAAGAGTTTGCAAGCTTGTTACCCGAGATGCAGACAAAGCAGGTGACAGCCTACTAGTAGGGTGGTGGGAAACGATGAAATGGCTTCGAATGCAGGAAGAGAACGAAAATGATGACGAATGGACAGCCATGATTCTTGTCCTCTTCTCCATGGCCCTCCCTTTCCTCGAAAGCCCGTCGGCGCAGACACCACCAGTTCGGCAGCGGCGCCGAAAGAAGGGTCCCCTCAGGTCGAGCAGTGGCAGCTACGTGGACTCAGAGAGCTGGGAAACGATGCTCGATCGATCATCGGGGTCTACCGGCGTGGTGGCGCCATGGATGACGAGTAGTTCATGGAGCTGGATTCTCGAGCAAGATGAGGAACCTAAACCATCCAAGATAGATGGCATTGATCCGAATTGGTCGACCAATCGGCTGAACTCATACCTCCTTCGTTGCATCTCTTTGGCTCGCGAGTTCCTCCAGAGTCCTGCAGGCATTGCAGCAGCTGGACCTGAAGGATACCTCCCTACTGCGGACCCTGCTAACCCAAATACTCGTCGGACGGTTCTTTCTACCTTGCTGGTCGGGTTGCATCTTTTGCGCGAAGAGCAGAAATTGTCGATCGGCGAGACGGAACGTGCTGGGAATCCCCTGGGCCTCCTTATTCCAGTGCTGGCCCAAATCGGCCGGTGGCTTGGATGGAAGTCATGGACTTGGAAAGACCAGGCGTACTACGGTCTTGAACTGGCCAATATCGATCGGTGGCTTTTTGATGATACCCAGATTTCACATCTTGACATACCGCCTGAAATCTTCCCTCCTCCGTCGATTTTCTCATGGCTGGAACACGCATGGCAACGGCCTTCGTCACCGTTTCTGACACTGATCGATCTCGTGTCCGTGTCAGGTCGTTCTAGTTCTAGAAATGGAAAGTTGTGGAAGGAATGTTTTGCCCTCACTCCACGAACGCTTGCATTCAACGGCTTTCTTGCTGAAATACACGATACGTCAACCGTGCTTGAACGAATGACCCTTCTGCATCGCTGGGGTCTATCTGGGAGTATAATCGAAACCTTCCCCGAGGGCGTGAGTGCGCGGCTATATGAGATTGTGATGCAATCCCAGATCTCCGCTTCGACCTCCTGGAGCCCGGATCTTCTGGAACTGATTGACCGGGACGATCTCTACATGTCAATCAGCAAGAGCGACTCGCATCCATCTGCAGCACCGCCCCAGCCGGCTGTATCCCACGACGCAGTACGCGACTTCCATCACATCGGGAGCTCAACACTAGAAATCGACACAGTGAATTCGTTCGAGGCGTCTGCCGAGGCCGACCGGTTCTCTGTTACACGACTAATTTTCCGTGAAGACAAGCGCTTTGTCGAGGCATCGCGGTTACTGAACCAATCTAAAGCCCCCGTGGCAGAGTGCATCCCCGAGCCCGACTGGTCTGATTCTGATCTGCTCGAAGCGCAGAAGGAAGTGGTGCAGCTGGTGACGCTGCGGACATTATCCATTCCTGCCGGACGGGCGATGCTGACGTTTAGTGGTCGACTGCCCCTACTGACGGAGAAACTTCCCATACCCTCATTTTCGCTGCAGTGCGTGATGAAACCGTCAAATGTCACAATCAGCGCAGAGAGAACCTCTTTCAGCGAGGAAAAGGTGTGCTGGGCATTCTTCCACAACGGGGTGTCGACGGGGTTGGCGATCTCGAGGGCTTCCAAGGGCATCGATACTTCATGGATCCTCTTCAACAAACCACAAGAACTGACAAACCGGCATGCCGGGTTTCTGCTTGCCCTCGGCCTCAACGGCCATCTCAAGTCTTTGGCAAAATGGGTAGCCTTTAAATACCTAACGCCCAAACACACCATGACGTCTATCGGCCTTTTGATCGGCCTGTCCGCATCGTACATCGGAACGATGGACACACTCATTACCAGGCTATTGTCCGTCCATGTGACACGAATGCTACCCATGGGAGCTGCAGAGTTAAATTTATCAGCAGTGACACAGACGGCAGGAATCATGGGCATCGGCCTATTGTACTGCAATTCCCAACATCGGCGGATGAGCGAGGTCATGCTGTCCGAGATTGAGAACGTGGATCAAGAGGAGGGCCACGAGGATCTGCGCAATGAAGGGTACCGATTGGCCGCCGGATTTGCACTGGGCTTCATTAATCTGGGCAAAGGCAAGGATTTACGCGGGATGCGGGACATGCACATCGTGGAGCGCCTGCTGGCGGTGGCCGTTGGGACGCGGAACGTCGATCTAGCACACATCCTCGACCGGGCGACAGCGGGGGCGACGATTGCGCTGATGATGATCTTCATGAAGACCAATGACGAGGTGCTGGCGCAGAAGATCGACATACCGGACACGACCGTGCGGTTTGACTATGTGCGGCCGGACCTGTTCCTGCTACGTACCCTGGCGCGTCACCTCATCCTGTGGGACGGTATCCAGTCGACCGACGAGTGGTTTACTCAGAGCTTGCCCAAGATCTACCGGCGACGGTATCGGCTGACGGGGGTACGGCGGCTGAAGAGCGACGACATGCCGTTTTTCAACATTGTGGCCGGTCTCTGCCTCACACTGGGGCTGCGGTACGCCGGGTCCGCACAGCCGGCGGTGCGTGACTTGCTGCTGTCGTACCTGGACCAATTCATCCGGATCTGCCGCCTGCCCGCACTCAGTTACGACGGGAAGCTGGCACGGAACTCGGTGCGCAACTGCCAGGACGTGGTGGCGCTGTCGGCTGCGACGGTGATGGCGGGCACAGGAGACCTAGCGCTATTGCGGCGGCTGCGCTCGCTGCACGGACGCGTGGACGCAGACACGCCGTACGGCAGCCACATGGCAGCGCACATGGCGCTGGGCCTGCTCTTCTTGGGCGGCGGAAGCTACACGCTGGGTACCTCGGACCTGGCGATCGGCGCGCTGCTTTGCGCGCTGTACCCTATCTTCCCGACCACGGTGCTCGATAACAAGTGCCACCTGCAGGCCTTCCGACATCTGTGGGTACTCGCCGCAGAGCCACGGTGCCTGGTGCCGCGCGACTTGGACTCGCGACGGCCTGTCTCCGGTCCGCTGACGCTGACGATGCTCGACGGCGCCGTCCGTCAAGCGACAGCGCCCTGCCTGCTGCCGGACCTTAGCACCCTGGCGCAGGTCGAGATCCGCAGCCCGGACCACTGGCCGCTTGTGCTCGATTTTTCAGGCAGCGAGCTGCTGCGCGACAAGTTCCGTCGAGGCGACCAGTCAATCTACCTGCGACGACGGACGACCAACCCCTCTTCTCCTTCTTCTCCTCCTTCTCCTTCTACAACTGCTACATCTTCTACATCCGTCTTTGTCTCAACCATGGCTGCCCTCAGCGACGCCAAGGACATCCTCAACAACAACAGTGTGGCAGTCACCCCTTCCGCCACGCAAGTCCAGAACACAATATGGGACTGGATCTTCAACCTTGAAGCCCTGCGCAATCTGGACGTCCGGGAGCGCTCGCTCGTACTCCCACCTGCCCCGACGCGGGCCCGGATGCCCTGGCTCCGTCCCTCGGTGGTAGACAGTCGACTGGTGCTCGAATCGACGGTTGCAGAGCTGACAGCATCTGGCGATTTACTGCGTGATGATCTGTGGCAGTTGCGGTTGCTTTGTCGTGATGGGTCTGACGGGGGTACAGATACTACTACTGCTGCTGCTGCTGCTGCTGCTGCTGCTGCTGCTGCTACTGATCTCTGGCTACGCAGAGACCTACTTGAGGAACTCCGGTGGAAGATATGGGGCGTCCAGATCGGAGATAGACTATGAATGAGTATGCGTATGGATAGAATAGTAATATGATATGTTCATGACTTCTTTACAAACTGTTGTAATAGATTCAGATGACTTCACTATGTAGTTCGCATTTTATCACCCAAGAGTCCACGATCCCCCCCACCACCCTGCTGCCATAACCAGACACCTTCAACAGCCCATGCTGTCGCAGAGGCGTGTCTAGTAGGGCCGGAGGGGTTTACAGTTGTTGTTGTTGTTGTTGTTGTTGTTGTTGTAGTAGTAGTAGTATCTGCAGAAGTAGTCTTACTTTGATCGGACCCCGCCTCTGCCAACATGCCGTCAACGACCTTCTCCCGTTCGATGACCTCCCACAAGCCCTCGACGAGACGCGATCCACGTTCGCCGAACTGGCCCTTTCCAAGCCTGTAGAGTATGCGACCGAGAAGCTGCCACGCAAAACAGCGCTGGGCGGGGAAAGAAGACCGGCTCAGCAGGCCCAGTTCGGGGATGGTATACCCTGCTGCTTGTGGGTCGGCGCCATGATGGTGTAGACCGAGAGAAGTGGGGAGAGCGAGTGAGGTGGCGGGAGAGAGGAGGGAGCCCGTCAGCGAGAAGCGGAGGGCGGAGGGAGCGACGGAGACGGCGGTGCTGGAGGGGTGGTACGCTGATCTCGGTTTTATGCCTTCTTGGTCGTCTTCGCCGTCTTCACCATCACTAATATCGGGCTGTAGCCATGATAGAGCGGCTGGATCGTGAGTTATCTCGGGGAAGTAGTGTGCTTGTAGGTCGGCGAGAAAGGAGGGGGAGGACGGGTCCAGATTCGGCATGGGGGATGAGCGAGGAGGCGGGGTAGGGAAGTGGAAGGAGGCAGGTAGGTCGGATGCTGGATGAAGATCTGGTGGAAGAACCGTGGGAGGGAGGTCGTCAAAGGCTTTCTTGATTTGTGCTGGTTGAGCCGGTTCGATCTGTGGCTCTGCTGATGAATGAGACTCGGGTTTAGACGCTGGCGTTGGTTCTGGTTCCGGGTCCGGTTTTTGTGTCTCTTCCTCCATTTCACTGATTCTAGCTCTGCGTAGAAACCTCTCAAGCAAGCCTGGATCCATTGACTCGATCAACTCCGCCCGTTCTTCTTGGATCTGCGTGGCCGACATGGCCGCGATCTGGCGGGCATTTTCTTCCCCGATGGCCTCTTTTTCATCTTGAACAGAGTTACTAGACTTCTGCTGCTGCTGCTGCTCTTGTTTCTGCTGTGCTAAGCGTTGTTTGAACGCCGATTTTGTTCGTAGGCGATGCTGAGGAAAGCCCGTGCCTGAGGGGGGTTTCGGCGGCGCGGGGGCGGCGGCGGAGGGGGTGCGCTCCTGGATCTCGCCGATCAGATCGAAGGAGCTGATAGTGGATGGCGATGGTATGACAGGAGTGCCTGCATCATCGTCTAGATCGACGACAAAGCGCTCTCCTCGAAACGCCATGCTGTAGAGACTGGCCGTAGCTTATGGAGGGACTCGCTAGAAATACCTTCTTACTCTGGAGGATGGATCGGAAAGAGGGAAATGCCTTACATAAGCATGGGATGCGGCTCAAAAGGCTAAATGTCACGCTTGGGCTCAATATGGTTAGTGCAGTGGTCCGTGACACTAGTATCCTCAATACCATTGTTACAGACGTCTTTGACGAATATATGTAGTAGTACGAGTATCAAGATGGTTATCAATATCCAGGTAGTCTAGAGAAATTAGTATGTTCAATCTGTATAACTTACGTCAACTCTTAATCTTTAGTTATATCGAGTTACACTAGTTCTCAATCTTCTATACTACCATTAGTTGCTGTATACAACTGCCGAATACTGTACCGTGTATTGTATGTAACAAACCCTGAGTATTAATCCTATAACCAAGTAAATAATATTTGATTCTTGACTTGATACTCTGGAATGATAAGCACAACTTATAGACTCAATGAGACGAATTATTCTTATTTATTGTTATAGTACACAATCATCATAAGGATCTTCTTCTATAAAGTAGTACTATAGACTATCCTATTCTTCAATATCAACCTCACTACCGATCCAACTCCCTGTAGTTCACTGTACCTAATTATGATCCCCAGTGCCCCTTGAATTCTGCTCTTGCTCCTACCCTACGTCTTTCATCTCTATTCCTTTAGGCCTCCTTTTTTGCATCTCTTCTCCTCTCTCTCTCTCTCTCTCTCTCTCTTCCTGTCTCTCCTTCCTCTCTGCTAGACCTCCACCTTCGCTCAACTACTCCCATCCAACGCAATCGTCTCGAGAGGTTCTTGTTCTTTTTTTTCTTTTGATGTTCCGCCCTTGCCAACACTCCCCCATTCCTGCTTTCTGCCCTGCCGTTTCCCCTCGGCTTTGCTCCTGATTTGCATTTTGTCGTGTCGGACGGAGCATTTCAGTCAACCTTGCAACGCTGGCACCGACTTCAACATCACCACCTCATCCGTCTCCCCTTCTCTTCCTTCTCGGTATTTTCCTGATCCATCTCGAGGATCCCGATAATTTCCCATTCGTTTGATTCTTGATCGCTCTTCCCTCGCGTTTGTCACACTGAATCATCTTGTCTGGTCTGGCGGTTCTAAATCTCCCTCCGACCGTCGACTATCTATCATCCACACGGTATCTTATCCTCATAATTCTCTTGCCACTCACTACTACCCATATCTTTCCATATTAATGTCTCGATAGATGTCGAACGAACCCCCCGGCGCCGTTTGGCCCCCGTCGGACGACCCAGGGCGAGGCCGCGTTGCCGCCACCACAACCGCTCCTACCACCACCTCCTCCTCCTCCTCCACCACCACCACCGCAGTCACAGCTCCGACCACGACGCGTCGCTCACGACGTAAGAAGGACGACGCCGATCCCGACGGCGATAAGGCCAAGACGAATCTCAACGGCGCTCAAGCTCTCCCGCCAGCCGAAATCCAACCCGAAAAGGAGCTGAAGGACAAGGATCCCAAGCCACGCGCCCGCCGTCCCCGCGAAAAGTCCTCCTCGGCCGTCTCCTCCACCAACACCCCTTCATCAACCTCGCGCAAGAAGCCCAAGCTGGAGGCCGCCGACAGCCTCCAGCAGGCCCGGCTCCCGGACCTGCTGGCGGCTTCGTCCGCTGGGGGACTGCAGACTCCCAAGGCCGAGCCGCATCAACCACTGCTGCAGCAGCAGCAACAACAACAACAACAACAACAACAGTCTCTCCCACCGACACCTTCGCAAGGGACACCACTCCAGCTCTTTCATCACCAGCAGCCGCAGTATCATACCCCATATCACCAGCCACCACCGTCGCAGTCTCCTCCGCCACCCGTTTCTTCCTACACCAGTCAGCCGCCAACCAGTACCACCACCACCACCACCACCACTACCGCCGGTCCCTCTACCTCATATCTCTCTCAATCCTTCCCGCCGCCTCGGCCGCAATCGCAACCCCCCCCGTCACAGTCACAAACAGCGGCCCCGGCAGTGACCAGGACCAGTGGTCAGAACTACGATCCCATCCGGTCGGCCTTTGGAGGCACTCCGTTCAGCCCCCCGACACAGAACAATTCCCATACTGCCACAAATTACAATGTCTCGCCACATACCTCCTCGTATCGGGCCAGTGCCTCCCCTGCCATCTCCAGCATCATCGACCCGCCGCCGGCGCCCAAGGAGCCCACACAGCCCCTCTCCCAGTCAGCATACGGGACCTCGGTGCTTCCGGCAACCACGATAAGATCTTCGTCTCTAGCCCCCTCGTCCCTACCGGCGTCTCCCTCCCCGGTGCAATCGTCACAAAAGCTGCGACCACCGGAATCATCGATCAGTGCAGCTCCTACCACCGCTACCACCACCACCATCGCTTCACAACCGTCAGAATCATCGCAACAGCCGCAAGCTACAGCTCCCGCCATGATGGAGGTGGATACCGATCAGTCGCAGCAGCCACAGACCGCTACGAATTCCAAGGTGTCGTCAAAACCGGCAACCAAAAAGGAGAAGGGCACCTCCACTGCTCCACCATCGAGTGCCCCCTCCCCGAAACCGACTCGTCCGGCCAAAGAGGCCCCGCCCCTGCCACAGGGCTCTGGCCTCATCTCTACCGCGCTGTTCGGCGTCGACGACAGCACTTCAAGCTCGCCTCGCAGCACTCCCAGCATTATCCTGCACGTACCCCTACAAGGCACCGGCAACCAGATCATCAACTTTGCCCGTCTGGCGGAAGAGCAGTACGGCTTTGCTGCGTTGCATCCGCGTCTAGCTGCCCACCGTGAACGATTGGCTCGCGTGGCCGCCGCGGGCGCCGCCCTGGAAAAGACCGACCGCGGGGGGAAAGCATTCTCGGCTGGCGAAAGCGCCGACGAGGATCTCAGTCTTGACATGGAGCGGGACAGCGACCTAGACGGCGACATTGCGATGGGCGGCATGGCCGCGCTGAATGGGCGCGCGGGGTTGGCCCCGGAGGCCGAGGACAGCACCAAGAAGCGCCGCAAGAAGAAGATGGAGGACTACGACCGCGACGATCCATTCGTCGATGACAGCGAGTTGGCTTGGCAGGAACAGGCCGCGGCCAGCAAGGACGGCTTCTTTGTTTACAGTGGACCATTGGTGGCGGAGGGAGAAAAGGTCCAAGTCGAGAGGTATATTTTTTTTTTCTTTTTTTTTTCTTTTTCTTGTCTATGCATTCCTGCATTTCCCGATTGCTAACTTACTTAGGGCCGATGGGACTATCAAACGAGGCCGAGGCCGTGGCCGAGGTTCCGGTCGGGGTCGCGGGACGACAACAACACACCAGCATCTTGCCATCGCGGCTGCGGTGCCCGTCTCGCAGGAGACCGGCCTGCCGCTGCGCGGACCAGGGTCGCGCGGAGGCAATGCAAACCGCAAGCCGCGCGTATCCAAGGCGGCGCGACAGGCGATGGAGTCCGACAAGGACAAGACCACTGGGACGAACCATACGGGCAATACGACAGAAGCCTCACGCGGGGGACGAGGAGGAGGAGGAGGAGGAGGAGCAGCAGGAGGAGCAGCAGGAGCAGGAGGAGGGACTCCGCGCGGGTCGAGTAGTCGCGGAGGGAAACCTTCTACTACTACTACTACTACTACTACCACTACCACTAACGCATCTACTGCGCCTACTTCTGGTCCAGCATCTGCTACCACAGGGTCCACGGCACCTGCGTCGGCGTCGACATCTACGCCGGGGATGGTGGATCTAGCACCCGCGCCGGCCAAGGTAGGCCTGACGTCGGGCTACGGCCAGGAATTGATGATGAAGTGAAGGAGTTTTTTTTTTCTTCATGTATCGTATGGATATTTTTTTTTTCTATTGATTATTTGGATGTGTGATGTTGGTTTGGTGTTTAGGTGGGGTGTTGGGGTATAGATAAGTGAAGAATTACCTACCTAACTAGGTAGGTAGGTACTTTTCAGGCAATGATTGAATAGGATTGAGTATCTTGCTATGAAAGAGCTATGGAGACTACGAAGATGAAAGGTAGATAGAACTATACAATTGACTAACGCCCTCCATGCATCTAATATCAAAACATGACGAAGATTGAATACGAGGAAAAGAAAGAACAGATTTGAAATGAGAAGAGAGAGGAAGAGGATTTATTCATTTGCATGGCGCCACCCGGTTGAAACAGGCGACGCCGACGCCGACGGGGCAGGCCGGACAGGCAAGGCAGCAGGCTGTAGCGGGAGAGCGGGTCTTGAAGAGGAAGAGGAAGAAGAGGAAGAGCCGATGCGTGTATTATGGGAGCTCGCCGAGCGGGGCATATACGGGGGCCGCAACGGGGAAGAGATGGAGCCAGAGCTGTCGATGGGAGAAGGGACGGAGGAGTAGTCTGGGGTGGAAAGGCTAGGTCGGGAGGGGCGACGGCCTGGTCTCTCTCGGTCTCCGTTGCGGTCTCGAGCGGAATGATACTCGCGCTCTCGCTCGCGGATGTGATGGTAGTACTCTCGATCGCGACGGTCGAGCGGCGGGCTTTCGAGGGAGAGATGCTCGAGGGACAGCGCACGGGTGGGGTCGGCGTACGCTGCTTGGCGGGAGTCGGAGTAAGAATTCTGGCGAGAGGAGGAGTAGGAATTCTGGCGAGAGGAGGAGGAGTAGGAATTCTGACGCGAGTCCGAGTACGAATTCTGGCGAGAGGAGGAGTAGTGGTATCGCGGGTTGGAGCTGGGCCGAGCGTCCGAGGCAATGTTCAGCGGGATGTCGCCGGAGATCGAGCTTGGGGTTGGGCTCGCTCGGGGAGGTCTTGAGGGTACAGAATGCGGCGGCGGTGGCGGCTGCTGCTGCTGCTGCTGCTGCTGTTGCTGCTGTTGCTGCTGTTGCTGTGGCGGTTGCTGCGGTGGTCTGGATGGCCTACTGCTCGGACGTGGCGGAGGAACCTGTGGTGAGCTGCTGGTGTCCTTGAGAGATTTAGGGGCCGGGGGTGCCAGGTAGGATTTGCGGTTGTGACGCTCCATCATGCTGATGGCCCATTCTTGAAGGTCGACGGGAGTGCGTTTGGCGGCCTGGAGGAAGGCATCCTTGTCCTGATTGGGGGGGTTAGAGGAGTATATTAAATGGAATCAAAAACTTCAAGGTCATACGTATAGCTCTCGCGGGGTTGGCCGCTCCTCGGACTTCTTCAACAAACATTTGGCCACGAACTCATGTAGGATCGGGGGGAAGGCATCGCTTTTGGGCAGCTTTGGTGCCGGCTCGTGGACAATCTGCTGGAGCAGGTCCAGGATGCCCATGGGACCGACACTGGCGCGGTCGCCCGCGGGCCCGTCGACCAAGTCAAAGGGGAACCGGCCGACGGCGAGCTCCATGACGGTGAGGCCGACGCTCCACACGTCCGAGCGGACGGTGTAGGCGCCACCCTGGATACGTTCCGGAGCCATGTAGGTGGAGGTGCCGACAAACGTGTCGGCGATGGAGTTGACGGTCTCGGTGGCGACGCCAAAATCACACAGCTTGATGTTGCCGCGCGAGTTGACGAGGATGTTGGACGGCTTGATGTCGCGATGCATGATGCGGTGCGCCTCGTACAGGTAGACCAGCCCAGCCAGCACCGACTCGGTAATCTTGCCCAGCACATCGACTCTCACGGGGCCGAAATCTTTCGAGATGCGATCCAGGGACCTAGAGAGGCGTCCGACGTCAGTATTCCCTCAAGGCAGCAGGGACACTGGCAAAAACACACCCGCAGTCCATGTATTCCATGCACAACACAATATCTCGGGCCTCATTCTGAAACGCCCCATAAAAAGTCACAATGTAAGGGGAGTTGCAGTGATGGCCCACCTGCAGCTCGCGGAGGATCTGCTTCCTCACATTCTCTTTAGCGTCGACGCGGATGATCTATCTCGTTAGCCGTCTGTTCATCCATCCAACTGGTCCGTCGATCTGATTTCTTTATAAACCGTACCTTCCTGGCCATCACCACCTTGGTTGTAGCATGCATCACCTTCGAGACCGTCCCTCCGTTGCCGGCGCCGAGCTCCTTGAGCGGGACGAGATCCTCGCTGCGGAGATCCAGCTGGAACTCGAGTCCGATCTCCAACGTGTCCGCCCTGTTGCCGTCTGTGTTTCCAATGGCGCCGGGAACCTGAGCATCGCCGTCGGATGGGTTCGAGGTCGCTTTCGGCGTGGCATTCAAGGCAAGGCCCTTGACATTCTTGCGTTTCAGCGTGCGAGCCTTGAACGGGTCCGCCATGATGAATGAATGACTGGGGAATTGATTCCGTAGGTGAGTCGGGGGGTCTTCTTCTTTCGTTCCCTTGATCCGATTCGATATATCTCCTTCCCCTTCACCCTTGTTTTTTTTTTTTTTTTCCTTTGTTGATGGGAATGTCCTGTGCGGGCGGGGAGGGGGGAAGAGGGAGAGGGAGAGAGGGAGAGGGAGAGGGAGGGGGGAGGGACAGTGAAGCGCCCGACTGCCGGGCCTGTTCAAGGCGAGAAGCCTTCTCTCTGAATCTGTTGCAGCTGTCTGCCGGTTGCTGCTGGCTGGAGAAGTGATGCCTGGGCTGCGATGAAGCACGAATGAGATAACGAGGGCGAGTCGCTGCGGCAGGCGCGCAGTGTTGGCGGCACGGATTGGGCCGGACGAGGGAGGGACAACAGGCGCCCAATCCAGGGGAAAGCCAGGCGAACAGGGGGGGGAGGGGCGCGGCGAGAAGCTGGAGGCGAGATGAGGCGTGTTCGGATGCTGGAGGCTGGAGGCTGTCGTGTGGGCGATGGACGGCGGCTGTGAGCTGCTCCAGAACGTCCAGCGTGGTGACAATCAGAGTGAAACACGGCAAAGGCAAGCGACGTCTCAGATGGCCGACGGACGACGGACCGACGTGGCCTTGTCGATATCTGGAGAAAAAGGTCCGTATGGCCTACAGTCTGGTGTTGAAGATGTGCTTTTCGACAGCTGGTAGATTAAACCTCGACTGCAGGTTGTAGATTGCTATTATTGTTTTTTTATCCAGAAGAGCTGGTTCTATCTACCCTGTGCCCTGGGATCCTTCTGTTGATGCCGGTGTCCTACGTCTGGAAATCGAGGAATACAGGGTCAGATATTTGGTAAATATCTGCCTGGTAGGAGTTCCTTGCCTGGGAGGCTCTGGCGAGCGGTTTTAGAATGATATTGGCCCCAATACCAATGGCCTCCTGCGCAGAATACGATACGAATAGGCTCAATAGTGTCTTGGAGGAGTGAGAGATAATCATGTGATGTCATGTGATATCATGTGATTGAGTCATGTGATGCAATATATTAGTAATCCATCACGTGTTACATGCCGCCACATCCATACCTATTACATCCTAGCGCGCACCGCCACTTCTACGCTGTGGCTGGAGATCCTCGTCCGGGGCAGCTCGCAGCCTCTCACTTTCCTCCCGGGCCATTTTATCTCTCTCCTCTCTCCGTCTGGCTGCCTTCCGTGCCAGTCTTTCTTTTTTTTTTTTTTCGTTTCTGTTCAATTTCAGCTGTCTACAGCAAAAGCAAGATGAGCACCCGCGACCTGGTGGAAGGCGAGGCTGTGCTGGACGACGAGGAAAACGACGAGCACTCCGAAGACTATGATGGCGAGGTCCGCGAAGGTGCTGGGACGGCTGGGGGTTACGACGACTCCAGCGAGGAGGACGAGGAGGAAGACGATGACGAGGAGGCGGCGCGTGCGGTATGTCCACGCTACTAATGCACCCATCAGTTGGTGATGGTGTTGTTGTTGTTGTTGCTCTGCCGACTCGCCGTGACTGACATGGGCGTTTTTCTGTTTTGGCTAGGTCCGCGAAGGCTTCATTGTCGACGAGGATGAGGAGTTAGAGGAGCGCGCAGAGCGCCGACGAGAGAAGAGGAAACGTCGCCGGGAGGAACGGGAGCGCGAAGATGAGCATCTTGATGAGGAAGATCTCGAGCTCATCGGCGAGCTCAACCCGGACTTTCAGCCTCCCGTTGCCGCAGAGGTAAGGAAGGCATTGTCAATGTCCCATCTTCGCTTTCTGATATTCTTGTTTTTTTCTTTTACTGAATCAACATCATTTATAGCAATCTAAATTCAAACGTCTTAAGCGTGGCCACAAAGACCGCGACCCCCGACAACCCTCCCAGGGGATCGACGATATGTTCAATTCCGACGAGGAGGAAGACACAGGTGACTACGCCCAGTTGAGCCATCGCAGAACCGCCCACGATGAAATGGATGACTTCATCGAAGAGGATGTCTTTTCCGATGACGAGCTCCAGCAGGAGCGGGAGGATCTGGAGATCGCTCGCCCCGCCAGGAAAGGCATAACGGGGCTGGGTGCTACTGAAGCGGCGGGACTGGACGAAAACGCCCTCGAGGATATGCGTGCGGCTTTCGGCGACGGCAACGAGTACCTGTTTGCACTGGAGATGGAGGAACAAGAGCAGGAGCAGGAGGTGGATGAGGAAAAACACCTGAATCTCAAGGACGTTTTCGAGCCGTCGCAGTTGGCGGAGAAGATGTTGACCGAGGAGGACAATGAGATCCGACTGCTCGACGAACCAGAACGCCACCAGATCGCCCGCAAGCCGTATCGCCATGTCGTCCTCACCGAGGAGCAGTTCCGGGAGGAAGCGGCCTGGATCTCAAACCTGATGCTCCTCAAGAAGCGCCTCGACCCGGAGTTGCGGGACCCCTTCCAGCGCTCGGTTGCCAAGGTTCTCGAATTTCTTGTCACCGATGACTGGGAGGTCCCCTTCATCTTCCAGCACCGCAAGGACTACATGATCCACGCCTCCAAGGTGCTTGTCGACGACGACGATGACGACGACGACGACAACAACAATCACCGCCACCCTGATGGGCCACGCTACACCATGAAAGCCGAAAAGCTTCTCAACATGACCGACCTATGGGACATCTTCGACCACGACCTCAAGTTCAAAGCCCTCGTCGACAAGCGCAACACCATCCAAAAGACCTACGACAATCTCAACAGTGTCTTCACCGTCAGCGACCCCATCGTCGATGACATGCTGGCCACCGCCGTCACCATGGAAGAGCTCCAAGACGTGCAGGACTACATCCACTTCCAGTACGCCTCGCAGCTACGCGACCTGGCCCTGGTCAACGGCAGTGGCGAGGCCAACGGCGAATCCCAGCGCCGCAAGGCCACGGGCAAGAGCTTCTTCGAACGGGTCCGCAACGGCAAGGCCTACGCCCTAGTACGAGCCTTTGGCATCACGGCCGATGCCTTTGCCCAGAATGCCCTGAAGGAGGGTCGCCGGCAGTACACCGAGGATCCCAGCGAGCGACCCGAGGAGCTGGCTGACGGCCTGCTGGATACGGACTTTTCCAATTCCTCCAACGCCCTGTCGGCAGCCAAGCGCATGTTTGCCGAGGAACTGGTCATGAGCCCCAAGATGCGTAAAGTCATCCGTCAGGCCTACTACATGAACGGGGTGGTCGACTGCTTCCGCACCGACAAGGGCCTCAAACGCATCGACGAGCAGCATCCGTACTACGAATTCAAGTACCTGCGCAACCAGCAACTCAGCGATATCGCGCGCCAGCCCGAGCTGTACCTGCGCATGCTCAAGGCAGAGGAGGAAGGCCTGGTGGAGGTCAAGGTCCGGTTCGAAAATTTCGACCACTTCCGGCAACGGTTATATGCGGATATCGAGTCGGATAATTTCAGCGAGGTCGCCGATGCCTGGAACCGGATCCGTCGCGATGTACTTGACCTGGCGCTGGGCAAGTTAGAACGACTGATCAACCGCAGCGTCAAGGAGAACATCCGGCAGGAGTGTGAGAACCACGTCGCCAAGGAATGCCGCGAAGCCTTCTCGCAGCGGCTGGACCAGGCGCCCTACAAGCCCAAGGGCATGATTCTGGGGACGGTACCCCGCGTGCTCGCGCTATCCACGGGGACTGGTATCGTGGGCCGCGAGCCCATCCATTGGACCTACGTCGAGGAAGATGGACGCGTGCTGGAGAACGGCAAGTTCAAGGATCTCTCCGTCGGGGACAGGGACCGCGGGATCGCCGACGGTAAGGACGTGGCGGATCTAGTGGATCTCATCAAGCGACGCAAGCCGGACGTAATCGGTGTTTCCGGCATGTCACCCGAGGCACGCCGTCTATACAAGCTACTGTCTGAGCTTGTGGATCGAAAGGATCTTCGGGGCGCGCCTTACACAGACGACCATGACGACGAGGTGAGCGATCCCCTGGAAGTGGTCATTGTCAACGACGAGGTGGCGCGCCTGTACCAGAACAGCGAGCGGGCCAAGAAGGACCACCCGGGCTTTGCGCCCCTGACTCATTACTGTGTCGCCCTGGCCAAGTACCTGCAGAATCCTCTCAAGGAATATGCATCCCTGGGCCGCGACATTGTCTCCATCCAGTTCAGACCGGGCCAGCAGCTGGTGACCCAGGAACTACTGCTGAAGCAGTTGGAGACGGCGCTGGTGGACATGGTCAACCTGGTCGGGGTGGACATGAACGAAGCGGTGAGCGACACGGCGACGGCCAACCTGCTGCCATACGTGTGTGGTCTGGGCCCGCGCAAGGCCGCCCATCTGGTCAAGATCGTGAACATGAACGGCGGCATGGTGAACAACCGGGTAGAGCTGCTCGGGGTCAACGCGCAGTACCCGGCGATGGGAGTCAAGGTGTGGAATAATTGCGCGAGTTTCCTGTACATTGACTTTGAGAATGCGGACCCGGACGCGGACCCGCTGGACAACACACGTGTGCACCCGGAAGACTACGACATCGCCCGCAAGATGGCGGCCGACGCGCTTGAGTTGGACGAGGAGGACATCAAGGCGGAGACGGACGAGAACGGACAGGGGGCGATCGTACGCAAGCTGTTCCGGGAGGAGGCGCAGGACCGCGTCAACGACCTGATCCTGGAGGAGTATGCCGAGCAGCTGGAGAAGAACCTGAACCAACGCAAGCGAGCGACGCTAGAGACCATCCGGGCAGAGCTACAACAACCGTACGAGGAGCTGCGGAAGCAGTTTGTCACGCTCAGCACGGACGACATCTTCACCATGTTCACGGGGGAGACGGCGGAGACGCTGAGGGAGGAGATGGTGGTGCCCATCTCGATCAAGCGCATCACGGATGACCACATCGACGGCAAGCTGGACTGCGGGATCGACGCGGTGGTGCCGGAGAACGAGATGACGGACCGGTACGACATCCCCGTGCGGACGCTGTACAGCATGCACCAGACCGTGCCCGCCAAGATCCTGTTCCTGAACCGCAAGAATTTCACCTGCAACGTCTCGCTGCGGGAGGAGCAGGTGAGCCGGGCGTATCGCAAGCCGCCGGCGCACTTTGGAAGCGAGTGGGATGAGCGCCAGGAGCAACAGGACCGCGAGGCGCTGCAGGAGACGACGCAGCGCGACGGGCGGACGATGCGGGTGATCAAGCACCCCTTGTTCCGGCCGTTCAACTCGACGCAGGCGGTGGAGTTCCTGGGCACGCAGAGTCGCGGCGACGTCGTGATCCGGCCGTCGTCCAACGGCCCGGACCATCTGGCCGTGACGTGGAAGGTGGCCGACGGGGTCTACCAGCATATCGACGTGCTCGAGTTGGACAAGGCCAACGAGTTCTCGGTCGGGCGCACGCTGAAGATCGGTGGCCGCTACACGTACAGCGATCTGGACGATCTGATCGTCAACCACGTCCAGGCGATGGCCAAGAAGGTTGATGAGATGATGCTGCACGAGAAGTACCAGGCAATCAGCAAAAGCGATACCGGTCTGTTTTCTTCTCTTCTTCTTCTTCTTCTCAGACATTCCTCCAGGCTAACACTTTCTTCACAGAACAATGGCTCGAAAAGTACACCGAGGCGAACCCCAAACGGTCCTCGTACGCCTTCTGCCTGGATCCCCGGCATCCAGGCTACTTCTTCCTGTGTTTCAAGGCTGGGAAGAGCGTGCCGGTGCACAGCTGGCCGGTCAAAGTGATCCCCCAGGGCTATGAGCTGCAGCGCAACCAGTACCCGGACATGCGTGCGCTGTGCAATGGCTTCAAGCTGCTGTTTATGAACATGCAGTCGGGCAAGCGGCGATAAATCTCCATTCTCTTCTATCCTGTCTTCCTGTCTTCCTGTCTTCCTGTCTTCCTGTCTTCCTGAGCATCGAGATCGAATGGTGTTCTTCTTGTTCTCTTCTTCCACCGATTTTCTTTCCCATATGGTTCTTGTAACTTATAGTGGACATGGCGTTGCGATAGTTGAATTCCAGTCATCTTCTTCAATCTTGTCTAATATTCGGCTTTGGATATGATTATATGGTTCTAGTAGTGAGATGTCCACGGTATATATTGTAGCCAAAAACAACAATAAGATTCTACACCAAAGTCCAATTAAGAATGAAATAATTACCCTGATAGTTCTACTTCTTGAAGATTACTTTCTTCAAAGTAATACTTTTAATTAGCCAAAGCTCCCCTTTGTCAGCTGCTGGGGTTAAATCTCACCTCTTCCTCAACCTTCCGCGACTCTCACTCCCTTCCACTCCCTCTTTCAACATCCCCCCGAACCTTTCTCCCAGCATTCCACGCCGCACCAATTCTTCTCCCTGCCCTCCATCTCAGCGGATCGATGGCCGTTGGGCCCTGCTCTTCCTCTGGTCGACTCGGAGACTGACTGTTTCCTGCCAGCCTACGCGCACTCCCCCTAAAGAATCCTCCTCCCAGGACCGAGTCGTCGCGCCACGTCAGCCTCTCGAGACGTTCGCCGGTGTGCCCTACGGTGCCTCTCGGGCTCTGAAGATCCTTGGATCTGCCCTGATCGATTTGAGAAATCACACTGCTACGACGCCCTGTGATTCACCAGAGCAGAACGTTCAGCCATGGTGGGAATGGAGGAGCTCGAGATCCACAGCAAGGTAGGTAACAAAAGGGGCCCAGCTCGCTCCTCCTCCGCCCAGGCCTGTGTCTACTTCTGCTTGCGTGCTGATTCGGAACCCAAATAAACAATCTAGTCGTATCTCGTCCGTTGGATCCATGTCAAGCCCGAGCATACCATCTCCTGGAGCATCCAGCCGCATCGCAGATCGCTGAACTTTGGCGTCTTCAAGCATCCCGGCCATTCCGCCCTCAGCGTCCCCGCGACCGACGAGACGGCCAACACGAATCCGAATGCCGTGGCAAATACCAATCCCAATAATAACCCCAATAACCCCAATGCGGGCGTCTCTACGGCCGTCGAGAAGCTGACGGGGATCGGTCTCAAGCCCATCAAGTGGATTGGAAGGTGTGAGGCCGACAAGATCACCACCGGCACCCTCGACGTCTCGGTCCACGATGGCGGCAACTACGCTCTCGTCTTCGATAATACCTTCTCCAAGACCACCGGGAAGATGGTCACCTTTGTCCTGTTGACATATCCGACCGCCGTTCCGCCGCAGTCCGGCCATGCCTCGCGCCATGCTCCTGGCGTCGCGGCGGCGGCGGCGGCGGCGACCACCGTCGATCTACCTAGCCTGCACTCCAACCTCCAGGATGGAGGCTCGACGGAATCCTTAAGACAAGCTCGGAATTGGGGGCGGTCAGCGTCCGGGACGCATTTGAAGCAGCAACAACAACAACAACAACAACAACAACAACAACAACAGCAGCCACCGCCGCCGCAACCCTTGCCCAGGAGTAAGAGCAGCTTGGACTCGTCGTCGACAGTGGCGGCCATGGCCGTGGCCCCGGTGCATACGGGTATACTCCACAAGCGGCGACGGAAGAAACATCAAGGATGGGCGCGCCGGTTCTTCTCGCTCGACTTCACCTCCTCCACGCTGTCGTACTACCACGACCGGAACTCGGCGGCGTTGCGCGGCGCGATCCCGCTCTCCCTCGCCGCCGTCGCGACTAACGACAAGACGCGCGAGATCTCCATTGACTCGGGTGCCGAGATCTGGCATCTGCGTGCCCACAATGACAATGACTTCCAGTTGTGGAAGCGTGCCCTCGAGAAGGCCTCGTCTCACTCCCTGGCTGACACTGTGAGGCCGACGGACCTGCCGTCGCTCATTCGTATTCCCACCCAGCGCATGGCCACCGTCAGCCCAGAGGAGGAGCGCGAGTGGACCCGCGTCGAGAGTCTCGTCAGTTTCATCTCTGGCTCCAGAGATGCCGTCCGTCGCCTCGCCCAGAATACTGACCCGAAGTACTTCACCCCGCCAACGGCCGTGTTCAATGACCACCAACGCGGCCGCGCCCGTTCGCCTAGCCCGCATAACCATAGCCACCATCACCCTCCTCCTCCACCGACGCCCATCGAGGCCAATGGTGATGACTCGCAGTCCCAGTCACACTTATCGCAATCCCAGCAGCACCAACGACGCGAGCGCCGCCCGTCGTTTTGGCGTCGCAAGTCAAATGCCGCGGCTTACCCGGTCACCCTCAAACCGTTGGTTACGTCGCAGCTAGCCGTGCCGAGTCCTGCAGTGGCAGCAGCGATAGCGACCCCGACGGCGACCTCGACGGCGGCAGCAGCAGATGTCGCCTCGCTCGCCGGAGACCGCAAGCCCGCCAGTCTTGCCAGCCATACCGCTGATTCACCGCCGGACGAGATGCATGGCCATCTCATGGCCGTGTTGCGCGATCTCGACCACGTCGTGGCCGAATTTTCTAACCTCATCGCCGAAAGCAAATATCGACGGCACCCGCCGCAGTTGACCGTGTCGTCACGCCGAAGTATCGAGTCGGACCTGTCCCAGGAGTTCTTCGATGCTACGGATGGCGGTGGTCAGAGCCCCTTCCTGACGATTCACGGCGATAGCGACGATGAAGCTGGGCAGAGAGGCGATAGAGCGGTAGATGCAGCGGCGGCGACAAGAACAACGTCGGCAGCAACTGCAGCAAGTAAAGAAGAGGAAGACGACGACGACGACGACGAAGAAGAAGAAGTAGAGGAGGAAATTGCTGATGACGACGCATCATCATCGGCAGATAGTTTGGATGGCGAGACGGCCAACGGGGGAACAGGGCCGCTGCGTCCCCGCTCGGCCTCGTTGTTCCCTGTGAAACCAAAGGCTCTGGCACCTCTGCCCCTGGACCCGGTTCGCCGCCGGGCGACCATCACAGCGCCGACGGTCATGCCGCCGAGTCTTATCGGGTTTCTGCGCAAAAATGTGGGCAAAGACCTGTCCCAGGTCACGATGCCTGTCTCGGCCAACGAGCCACTGTCGTTGCTGCAGCGGGCGGCGGAGGTGCTCGAGTACTCAACGCTGTTGGACCAGGCGGCGGCTATCCCTGTTGGTAGTGGTGGTAGTGGTAGCCACAGCGGTCTGGAGCGACTGCTCTATGTGACTGCGTTTGCGGTGTCGTCTCTGTCTGCGGGCCGGGTGCGCGAGCGGGCGATCCGCAAGCCGTTCAACCCGATGCTGGGGGAGACGTTTGAGCTGGTACGCGAGGACCGCGGGTTCCGCTTCGTCGCAGAGAAGGTGTCGCACCGCCCCGTGCAGCTGGCGTACCAGGCGGACAGCAAGGAATGGAGCCTGTCGCAGTCGCCGCTGCCGGCGCAGAAATTTTGGGGCAAGTCGGCGGAGATCACGACGGAGGGGAAAGTACGGCTGAGCCTGCACGGGAGCGGCGAACGGTTCAGCTGGTCGGTGGCGACGCAGTTCCTGCGCAACATCATCGCGGGGGAGAAGTACGTGGAGCCGACGGGGGAGATGGTGGTGTTTAGCGAGACGACGGGGCTCAAGACCGTCACGGCCTTCAAGGCGGGCGGGATGTTCTCCGGACGCAGCGAGGAGGTGACCACCCGCGCGTTTGACTCGACGGGCCAGGAGCTGCCGCTGGGCATGACAGGGACGTGGACAACGGCTCTGACCATGACCAAGAATGGCAACCCGACCAATATCACCATGTGGACGGCGGGCCCGCTGGTGCCACACGCCCCCAAGCACTACGGCCTGACGACGTTTGCCGCCACTCTGAACGAGGTGACGACCATCGAGCAGCATCGACTACCCCCGACGGACTCGCGGCTGCGGCCTGACCAGCGCGCCCTGGAGGACGGCGATCTGGACCGCGCCGAGGCCGTCAAGCTGCGCCTGGAGGAAGGGCAGCGCGCGCGCCGGCGCGACATGGAGGCCGCGGGCACGAGCTGGACGCCGCGCTGGTTCAGTCGCGCGGACAGCGCCACCGTCGGCTGTGATGAGGTTGCCTGGCGCCTGAAGACGGGCAAGGATGGATACTGGGAGGAACGGGGCCGGGGGGTGTGGACGGGTGTTGTTCCTGTTTTTCAATAGTATATAAGATAACCAATACATAGAATCTTCACTTCATAGTATATTAATCTAGTATACTATCTATTAACTTTCGACTGTATTAGCTATCTACTATCTAGTATGTTAAATATTGTATTCAACGACTCAAGTCAACAACACACTCATCATTCATTATTTTCTCATAACTAGGAGTAACTAGATTATACATATATACATATGTAGTTTAAGGGTGTATACATATAAGTATACCTGTTTCTAGACGGCCGTCTCGTTCGTACTCGGGCGATTCGCCGTCGCCGCCGCTTGAGCCTCCTGTCCCTGTTTGTTGGCGGCAGTCCAGTCGTTCATGCGGACGGCGACGACCTTATCACGGGCGACCTTGCGCATGTAGCGGGTCCAAAGGATGAAGAGCAGACCGGCGGCGAGAGCAGCACCGACAACACTACCCACGACGATACCTGCGATCTGGCCGCCGGAGAGGCCGGATTTGGCCTTGGCGGTAGCGGTAGCGGTGGCTGTTGTGGTGGTCGTGGCGGTGGTCGTGGTTGTCTCGGAGACGTTGAAGCAGTACGGGTCAGCGTCCGAAGCAGAGTACGTGGCGTACACGATATCGGCGCACGCGTAGTAGGTGTGGTTGGTGGTGCTCTCGAAGGCGGCGACGTATCTCAGCTGGATGGTCGCGTTCGAGCCTGCCGTCACCGTTGAGGGGGGGTTGGAGATGGAGTAGCATTCATGGCCGGGCTCGACTTCTGGGATATCAGTTCCGGGGATGAGAGTCGTAAAGTCGGAGTTGCTGGTGGGGTCTGTAGTTATATATATTAGTATAACCCATATCTCATATAGTATTCTATATATATATATATATATGTATATATATATATGTATATATATATATGATGATAAGATCTTACTGTCAGAGTAGGCAATGGCGATTCTGACGTCGTAGGCCTCATCTTGCATAACAATCGACACGGCACCGTTCGCTAGGAGTATTGTTAGCATACACACACTTTCTAAGATACTATATAGTATACGTACTCAGAGGGAACGTGGTACGAGTGGTGACGCCCGCGTTGGAACCACAAGGAGCCGTTGTGTCCACAGAAGCACCCCAGGTACGGTCGGTGGGCCACAGGAAGGCGGCAGCGCCCATGCTTGTGTCTACGTCTGCAGCGAAGACATTGAGGCACAGGCTAGCCAGAGCCAAGAGCGTAGAGCGATACATGATAGGCTTAGAAAACGCGACAAGGAAGAGGAGAAAGGGGGAGATGGGGAAGGAGGAAGGGGGGAGGAGTTTGAAGAGGACTGCTTGTTTGACCTTGAGGATTTCGTGAATACGAGAGCGACAACGTCGGCTTTTTAAACTTTTCCTGTCAAGCACAGGGCCGCTAGGCGTGTTCGATTTGATAACCAACGGGATCTCACCGGAGCGGAAAAGAAAGCAAAAATCAACTTCCAGATGGGGGGGGGGGGGAAAGAAAACCCGGCAGGAATCCGACGGTCGATGCTACCACGTGAAAGAAGAAAAAGGTGGCGTGGACAAGGGATGATCCTGTCGGAGTGGTTCGCAGCCTGCTGGATGGATGCCAGTGAGGTAGTATCGTAATAGTGCCACTGGGCAGACCACATAGTTAGTGTGCCCTCATAAGAGTCCGTATTAAGGGCTCCATAAAGAGCTCCATTTCCTGCGGTGCAAGTTCGGATCAGATTAGATGATTTAGATGATTGAGATGATTGATAAGATTAGATAGGTGGGGGGCTCCGCTCAGCCATTGGCTGTTGCCCATGCTAGCGTGGGTTTAGTGGCTGAATTGCGGTGGAGTCTGCCCAGGCTGGAATGGCTCCATAACAAGCAAATTTCTCACGGACCCTGCCCACGGCGCCTCTCCAAGACCCTGCCACTGCTTAGGTAGCTATTCCCCGTAGAGGTGCGGCCGAAAGAGAGAGGGGTAAAGTGTCGGCCGATTTCGAGTTGAGAAAGACGAGCTTTCCTTTGCTCTTTCTTCCCTTGGGTTGCCTTCTTTTCTTTCTTCCTATTCTTTCATTCATTCTTTTTTTTTTGCTTCGTTTCTGATCTTAGTAGTAGTTAGCTAAGACGTCGGCTATGAAAGTTGGAAATGGGCCAAGCTTTGGCCAACCTTTTCCCTCCGACTTCGCCGTAACTAGCTCCTGTAGGCGCTGCACAGCGCGACTAGAAAGCAGACGCTACGGTTAGCGTGGGAGACCTCCCATGGCACCTCCGGCCATCCATGGCCATCCAGCTTCTAAAAACTTGCATTCTTTGTATGCGCGATTAAACACGGAAGATGCTTGGCGGACAAGCTGGGTTGGTGGTCCAGGAACGGCGGACTGGTAAACGGAGTCATAAAGCCACAGACTATATGCTCCGGTGGAGACGGCACGGCAAGATTGAGCGAGAACCGTCGTATTCAGTGGCCACACTCGGAACATCCTAGCCGTCAGGAAGTCACTGCTGCGCATAGCTTAAAAAGGGCTGTTGTATCCTGCCGAAAGAGAGGAGGTCATCGATCCATCCATCTGTTCAATTGTATAAGAAGACAAGGTTTAAAACCCTTCCGTCCGTCGATCCTTTTTTCTTTTTTCCAAGACAATCTTTCCTCTCTGGACAATCGTTCAAATCAATAACCAATCTCCCCTGCCAAGATGTTCCGTCTTTTCTCTCTCGCGGCGCTGATCGCTGTCTTCATCTCCTCCGCCCTGGCCGTGCGTTTCCCCGGCCGCTCGGCTCTTCTCCACAAGCGTGAGGACATTGCTCCCGGCAGCCCTCTGTATGAGTGCCATTTGGACTGTGGTATGTCTCTCTCTCCCTCTCCCTCTCTCTTTCCCTTTCATCGTCTTCTCTTCAAATGTTCTTTCCTAATATTCTTAGGCGAGGTTATCCTCATGTCCGAGGACTCCGGATATTGCGACAACTCCAACTTCACCACCTACCTGACCGGCTGCCTTGACTGCGCCGTCTCTGAGGGTATCTGGCAGTACTACGGCTCCGAGGTCAAGGCTGCTGCCGAGGCCTGCGGTGACGATGACACGCCCGTTTCCTCCTCCGCCGCTGCCTCCGCCACTGCCACTGCCACCGGCACTGCTGCCACTGCTGCCACTGCCACCGCTACCGGTGCCTCCACTGCCACTGCTGTATGTGATCTTCTTTTTTTTTTTTTTCCGCCTGTCGTATATGACCTTCAACCGTATGATCGATGTATGCTCATTGTATGCTTGTTGAACAGTCCGGCGCCTCCGCTTCTTCCACCTCTACCTCCACCAGCGGCGCTTCTGGCCTCAAGCAGAATGCCGTCCTGGTTGCCCTGACGGGAGCCTTCGTGTGGGCTCTGTCCGCATAAATCCATCTCCTATCCTGAAACCCTCGGGGCTGAAGAAAACGATGGAGCTTGTGTCGTCATGAACAGATGCCAACTTCCATCCGTTGGATTGTACTAGTATTATCCTTTTTCCCCAAAGTTTGAATTTGTACAGGGGTCAATCCCGAAAGACATTCATTTCAAACCACCAGGAAAAGTCGATCGCAGAGTCTCAAGGCATCTGCTCTGCCCGTCTGTTAATTTAATTCTTTCCCCTCCCCCAACCCAACCCAAGATAGGAATAGTGATCGATCGTCATATAATTCAAACCAAATATATTTATTATACCGTCTCATGATTCGTAGTGTCCATTTGTATTGTCCATAACATAATATAATTTCTGTAATGCCTTCCAAAACTACCGAGTTTCAAGTGTGTTCATGTTCAAATTTCATCATCAGAATGGTCGTGCACTGCCCACCGGCGCGCATTGAGTTTCGACTTGGTCGACTTGCGAGCAGCCGAGCGGTGGGATTGGGGCGTCATGCGGACCATGACGGGGAGACTGTCGAGAACGGCCCGGTTACCCTGGTAGTAATGCTCGGCAAACCCGCCCTGCAGGATGCGACGGAGCGAGTTGAGATGGATCCATTTCCACCACCGGTCGATGTTCATCACCCCGTCCCGCCCGATCTTCACCTTGAGCTTGCTGCCGTAGTGCCGGTGCGTGTCGTGGTTGAGCGCCGTGTTATACATCGGGCCGCGCCGCGGGTTCTCCACCGTCGTGAGGATGGACGTGAAATTTGTGTGCAAGGTTTTCTTGTCCCGCTTGCTGATGCGTTTGTTGTGGATCGTGGACAGCGTCTGCAGCTGCCGTTGCAGTTCCGGCGTGTTGTGATACGGATTGTATCGCTTGATAAGCTTGTTGGAGCGTTGGACACTGCCGCCACCGCTCATCGAAACGAACGACGGCTCCTCTTCTTCACTGTCCGCTCCATCTCCATCTCCATCTTCTTCTTCGTCCTCGTCGTCATCGTCGTCTTCCCGCGGCGTATAGCTCTTTTCGTACAGTAAAGCGATATTCTCACCCGCCGCAATCTGCACAGCAGAGTCGTTACTGTCAAGCTGGTCAATGAAGATCTGGATCGCTTCTTCGCTTTCCTCCTCCATGTCCTCAATCTCGGTCGCCATGAGTCCCCATTCCTGGAGGGCAGCGGTCACACATTCTGCATTATCGGGCGCGTCGATGGATTGGCCGTCCGATGCGATAATGTCCAGGAAGAAGGTCATCTGCTCGGCGATGCTGTCTTCGCCAGCGCCACCGAGGAGCGTGCACACGCTCAGGCAATGGATGGCTGCAGTCTTCACAACGGTAGATGTCGAATCGCGAATCGCTCGCGTTACCACCGGCTCGACATTCTCGTAGATAGTGCTGTCAGCCGCGGTGATTGTAAGGAGTTCCAGTGCCCGCAACGCCAGGGTGGTTTCGCGCACACTCGACTCAAACTTGATGCTTTTACAGAAAGCTCCAACCAGCTCTCCAACGTACGTTCGGATCTCCTCCTCCACATAGTGGAACTTGGCCAGCCGGACGAAGGCCGCAAAGGCTTCTTCTCGGCCCTGGATGCTGCTTCGCTTGCGATCCAGAATCTCTTGAATTCGGTCACCCAGCTCTTCGGGCCAGTCGCTATTATCTTGCTCAGGGTTATCGGCAAGATCTTGATCATCAAGCGAGGCAATACTATATCTCAAATGATTAGCATCATTATTTCTCTCATATTATTGTTTTTCCAAGTTTTTCTTTTCCATTTTCAAGCGGTGACGTAATCGCCAAAACCTCACCAATGGAAAAAAAAAGGACCAAAAAAATCAAGCAGCAATACAGAATTCCACTCACCTCCAGGCAGTATCATCACTCAAGTCGGCGGCGTCCTCATCATCCGATGCATGTCTGCTGGCGTTGCGAGAGGATTGTCTTGAGTTCTGAACGGAGCTCGCACGAGAGGTCGCACGGGAGGCTTCGCGGGAGGCCGCTTTGCGAGAAACGGTTTTGCCGCTCTCGAGGACTTGTCGACGCAAGTCCGGCATCATGAACAGCCTGTATCAAGAACCCAGGCGGAGATGTTATAAAGACGGTTCTTGTCGACTTCCCTCAGCAAAGGAGAAAATTTTTAGTAAAGGCGATTCAGAGGTGGGGTATAATCGGCACTAGGTAGCAGGTTCTAGGTACTCTGTAGTAACTAGCAGATAAGATCTTTGATTGATAGTTGGAGTATAAGTTGGCAGACAACTCAGACGCAGTTGGCTATCCTATGGGTATGGAGGTTTTGGAAATATCCTTCTTATTGAGATCAAGAACATAATCAGTCGATAAGGGAAGATACATGGGAAAGATATCCTGAAGGAGAGAGAGAGAGAGAGAGAGACTCGACCGGACTGGGGGAAATGGAAGCCTGAACTTTGTTCGTCCAAAATACATCATTCGGACGCTCCAGTGGGGGCGGTGAAGCTGGCGCCTGACAAATCCATTGGACCAGAGCCGTTGCTGCCTTATCTACACGTGACCATATATTGGTGCCTGATAAGGCATCAAATATAGTATGATCATACCATATTTCATGGTATGACTGGAGCCTACTGATAGGTACCTAGGGTAAGGAGGAGAGAGAAAAGGGTATCTTCCATTCATTTCTTTTAGAATATCATCACCTCCGCTGCAGAACCAAATCGAGGATTTTCTTCGCCTGGGTTCCTTCGAGGTATTCCCGGCCTTCTCTCCTCCGTTCATCCACGTCCTCATCCTCGTCCGTCATCTCCAGGTCTATTTGTAGACTTGCTTCGTAGGCTGTTGTGACCGTTTCCTCGTCCACGGGAACCCCGCCCTGAACGAGGACCCGGATACACTGCGCCAGCCGTGCGATTTCTCGACGAGTCTGGGGGCCAATCTCGTCATTCTGACTCGAGTAGATCGAACTGGAAACCATCTCCTCCATGCGGGTGATCGAGACACTCTCCGTGGTCGACGAGGCAGCGGCGGAGCCGTCTGCGTGCTTATGGATCCAAATGTACCCGTTCACTCCCAGAATGATATCTACATCACCGCCGCCGTTGGCTGTCGGGAGGGTGAACACCTGTCTGCGCGATCGGACGACACCCGTCGCACCGGCCGAAGATGCCGAACCTGCGCCCCCCTTGACAGTCGAGCTGGAGGCGCCGCTGCCCCCTGTGCCGGCCACGGCGAGAAACACGCCGTTCCGTAGTTTTCCGTATTTCAGCGACCGAGTATGTAACGACGCTGCCCCGTCAGAGTGTACGCTCTGCACCTCGGCGACGACCAAATCGCCTTCGCTGAAGAATGTGCGGATCTGGAGCTCGTCTGCACTGGTTCTGCGCCGCAGGATTCCTCCAGGCAGGTTGATCGCTGACAAGGGAAGTTGGGCCAGCAGCGGAGCCGCCACATCCACTTTCCACCGTCGGGACTGGACCTCGACGATGCGGCCGACTACAAGATCGCCGATCTCGGGGGTGTAGCGGGCTCGGATGGGATGCACTGAAAGCAGCTTGTTGGTCTTGTGGACAGTACCAGCAACCGTAGCAATGATAGACGTCGAGAGTGGGTTCGTGAAAGTTCCATGGCCTCTGTTTTTTTTTTAAAAAAAAAAAGGTGGGTTAGGGTGAGCGAGACTGGGCAAACCGCTCTAGAAGAAAGAATACGAACCTCATCCATTGCGGATCATCAGTCACCAATTCTCCTGGAGTGACGATTCCCGCTCCAATTTTTCCGTCGCCAAACAGACGAGGCTTCTTGTTCGGTTGTGATGTAAGCTCGACGCCGCCGTCAGAATCAATCGACATGGAATCGGCGTCAGAATAGCCACGAGACGCATCGACATCCTCCACAACGGGAGGAAGAATAGTAATCGCCATATCCTCTTGGACAAAGACCAGGTAAGTCGTAAACCAGGTCTGCTCTTGTTCCTTTTTTTTTTTTTTTTCGCAGTCTCAGAATCCAGACCAAGTCAAACTTCTTGTTCACAGAAAGCGGCGGATTTCGATGCTTGGAAAGCAAACAGAACAAACAGGCTGCTTGCGCTAATCCTATCCCGGTCATTGCTGTTCAACCACATAGTTAGTAGGTACCTAGGTACTCATAGTACATATTACAGTGATCTGAAACGTGGTCGAGTCTTATTTCTTTACTTATTCGATGTCTCCGAGTCGTAGTATCACATAGGTTGGCTTTTGTTGAAATATTGATTCCGCCACTAACCAGTAATCAAACCCGGAGGATGTGGAAGATCTTTCAAGTTCAGAGAGTCCTTAGCGGTCAAAAAACAGTGAAGAGAATAAACTAGTAATAGATTTAAAGTGAATTAAGCATTTTCAAATAAAGTAATAAACAGTGAAATTCTCATGCCCCCGCGCCTGTGGATTTTTTGGAAGGACGTTTGGCAGTAGAGCCTGCGTCGTCCTTCTTCTTTCGGCTCCGACTGCTACCTCCCTTTGGTCTATACCCCGTATCATCATCACGCTTGCGTTTACCTTTGGGTGTAGGCCCGACTTCGAGAAGAATGCCGTCTTCGTCATAGACGTCCTCCTCTTTGCGAGCTTGCGTCGAAGCGCGCTTCGAGGAGCGGAGGTTCGAAGGGCGAGGGCCGGACTTCTCTGATGCGACTTCATTCTCGTTAAAAGACAGATGACTTTGGTTCCTTCGCAGCCAGTTGTGCACCGAAACAGGGTTTCGCAAAGCAATCTCTCGTTCCCGCTCAGCAGGAGTGGGCTTATCAGAGACCCGGGCAAGTTGCCGAACCGCCAACTCATCCCCTAGCCCTGCGTCGATATTCAGACAATATTCGGTCTCATGTTCAGGAGTGAGGTAGCCGAGATTGTGCTCCAGCTCGTCGTCGGTGCGATTGGCCTCTGTCTGTAGACTCGTGTGAGGGATCTTTGACAGGGTGTGGTACTGCATTGCCGGCGCAAACTCCTTCGAAAGTCGTAGGGTATCCAAGCGCATGTCGTTTGACAGTGGAAACTGTTCTTTGGGAGACGGCAGGTGGTTTGAGTCCGCAGAAGCACTGAGATCGTATCGCAAGCTGGGCGCTATCTGGAGGCTTTCATTGAACTCGAGAAGTACTTCCAATAGCTGACTGTAGCAGCAGAAGAGACAAATCAGTAAGCATTGTTCATTTTTCATTTTTTTTTTTTGGTCTTTCCAACATTTTCCACATACTCGTTTTGCTCCTGGATCCTTTTGGAGATCTCCTGGATCCGAGATTCTTCGCGAATCAGGGTGCTATTCTCTCCCATTTCAAGTTCAAACTTGATCTTCATTTTCGCAAACTTCTTCCTAAAGAATCTCTGTCAGTCCTGCGATCTTTTTGTCTGGCAGTGTCGCCTACTTGAATGACTTGTATGACTGTTTAGTAGGGGCAGCTGCTGGTCGCATATCCGGTAAGCTCCCAGCAACGGATTGCACCTCGTCTGCCTCCGGGTTCATAATGCCGAACTTAGAATGGATAGCCTTTGCAATATTCGACACTTCTCGGCCAAACCACCAGTGAAAGGCTGAATTCTTTGTAGCTGAGAAAGGATTGGAGAAGCTTGCTGTCAAGCATTGTCGACCTTGCCCTGTGCTGCCAAGCCGGGGGCGGACTGCGTCTGCGGTAGATACAGCCGGCCGTAAAAAGTTTCCCTCATGTGGAAGAACTTCTGCACTGTGGGCTGTCGCTGGAATCATATGAAGTACTATCGACATATCAATTATTTTTTTTTTGAATCGAATCCATACAGCGAAGATGGCAAGTGCTACTGAAAGCGCCCAAAAAAAGCGAAAGCTGCAGGATGGCCCCGAGATTGAAATCGACGTATCTGCGCCCGAGCCTCCGTCAAAGAAAGCGCTGCGCAAGGCCAAAAAGAAGGGAGCAGAAACACCTGCCGATGCTTCCTCTGAAGAGAAGACAGAGGTTGCTGCAACTGAAGCGAAGCCTGCAAAGGAAACACGATCAGACTACGGCATCTGGATTGGAAACCTCCCGTTCACTACGAACAAAGATGATATACGCAAATTCTTCACGAGCAATTGCTCGTTCTCCGACGCTACCATAACTCGAATCCATCTCCCCAAGGGCGCTGCGAGGAATAATGTCACTCAGAACAGAGGATTCGCTTATGTCGACTTTGCGACCAGCAAAGCGCTGAAGGAGGCCATGGGTCTCAGCGAGCAGCTCATTCTCGGCCGCCGGGTCCTCATCAAAGATGCAAAGAACTTCGAGGGAAGACCGGAGAAGTCGCAGGAAGAGGGCAAATCCGCCGCCGCATCGAACTCCGGCAACCCTCCGTCGAAACGTATCTTTGTCGGCAATCTTGGCTTTGACGCCACCAAGGAACTCATCGAAGAACACTTTGCAACATGCGGCACCGTTTCCAACGTGCACGTTGCCACATTCCAAGACACGGGAAAGTGCAAGGGCTACGCCTGGGTTGAGTTTGAGGATCTCGCCGCCGCCGAGGCGGCTGTGAGGGGGTTCATGATGGTCAACGAAGACGACGAAGACGAAGATGAAGCGGACGACGCTAGTTCTGATGAGAAGGAGAAATCGCGGAAACCGAAGAAACCGAGACAAAGGCGGGTCTGGGTCAATCAACTTCTCGGTCGACGGATGAGAATGGAGTTTGCCGAAGACGCGACGACACGATACAAGAAGCGATTTGGAAAGGAAGGAGAGGGAAGGAAGAACGATACCGCTGATATCACCGAGGTCGAAAACGGCGAGCACCAAGACTCTCAACCGGTCAGACAACGGAAGCCCAAGCCAGCAGTCGAGGATAACTCGCGATACTCCAAGGAGACCGTGCAAAGACTCAGCGGTGCGATCATCGCGGCCAAGGGACAGAAGACCACATTTGATTGATGTTTTTTTTTCTCCATGCTATTTCCTCCCTCTACCCATTGTATAAATATAAACCAGTAGTTACTGAAGCTTGCATATTATGGGCTGTGAGATACCTTCCTTGGGCAATTGACCGTAGTCTGTAATCTACAAACACGAGGCTCCTTTCTGAGTTTCCAGGTATTGTCGGGATAATATTGATTTTTTCGTCTCCAGCGTCCGAGAATATCCGTTGCAGCACCTGCCACCCTGTAAAAAGGCCGGTAGATATCACCGTGCGATAATAATATCCTGTTGAATCAAGCGTGAGGGATAATAATAGACCTGAGCCCAGCCAGAATCCGGTGTTTTGGGTGCCTTCGAGGGCGAGGTGGCGCTAAGCCCGATTGGGCCGTTTGACATCGTGAGAGATGTCATGGCTCATGCTCAGAACCCATCAAGACCACTCCCCCACGACGTTCCACCACCACACGGTCTCTCCGGCGCCCCCTGTCTGCTTCGCTGAGGTGCATCTACCATCGAACCCGGCTGCTTGATTTTTAGACTTTGGCCAGAGCGGGAAAGTGTCGCTATCCGCTTGTTTTCCTCGAGGGTCGCCGTTTTTCCGCCTCCAATCCTTGCAAGCAGTTTGTACGCCCGCGGCAGGTTGATTATTGTCGGTGCCTCGCACCAGTCCTCCCAACCCCCCAAAGTCGGGAAGCGTCAAAACTAGGCGTTCCTGTGTCAGCTTCTCTCCGATTTTGGATCAAATGGCTCCCTCCCATCGACGAAACATTGGCGCCAGCCGGCGGAAGCGAAGGGACGAAGAAGGCGAAGATGAGGGCTCGGTGAATGGAGAACTGGAGGATGACTCACTGAGTGAAGGATCGGTCGGAACCCACCAGGACGAAGACGATGACGATGACGATGCGGATGGAGAAGTCAGCAACGGGAGCGAAGATGAAGCTGCTCCTGGTTCCGGCCAAGCGGGCTACAAGAACAATGGCACAGCCCATGCAGGAGTGCGGGACACGGCCCAACAGGGCGACAATAAGGCTGTCCCCGCAAAGAAGGGGCCTTCCACACAAGCCATATCGGATACCGAGACGATGATGAATGGGTTAAAGATTTCTGAACACACGAGTGATACGGCCGAGGTGCATTATGACGAGCTGGAAGGGTCTGACCGACAGACTGCTTCTGCAGAACCCAAGCGTGAGACATTTGCGGAAAAGAAGCGCCGCGAAAATGAGAAATACGTCAAGGAGCGGGATGAAAATCCAGCCTTTGTGCCAACGCGAGGAAGCTTCTTTCTACACGACAAACGTTCAACGGACCCTGGCTCCAACGGCCACCGACCGTTCAACAAGTCAAAGACAAGACCATACGGACTCATCGTTGACGGGAACGTACGAAAGTATGTCACCTCATTTTCCAGGAAGGCCTCTTTGGGGAGAAACTGGCGGGATTGCTAACACTAGGGACAGGAATCCACCCAAATCAGATGCTAGTGAAGGACAGTGGACTCATGACCTTCATGACACCGTTGCTGGGGACGACCGATTTCCTTCCAAGTCTCCCGTCGTGTCTTCTACCGGCTCCCTCTCCGGTCTCTCCAAGCCCGTCCCGACCGCTCCTCGTTCTTCACCTCCCAACCGCTCATTTTCCACAACGGTGTTGATTGGAAATGTGCCTGTTGTGGTTTCCCTGCCAGGCATGGCCAACCCTATTCCCTTCCCTGCCGTTCCTAAAAGACAATACACCCGTCTGCCCCAGCATCGGCCACCTTTACGGCGAGACAAACCGGTTCGGATTTCCTTGCCTGGCCAACAGCCCAGGTATATCTATCCTTCAACCGAACGTTCGTTCATCTTCATCCCTCGGGCATTGCGTCCCAACCAGCAGGGATTCCGTGGCCGGGGACGTGGTGGCTTCTATAGCGGACGGCGCTCGAGTTTCTACGCGAACAGTGCCTACTCAGCCAGCGTCACCATGAGTCGGAGATCGTCGCTGGGCATGCCCACGCCTCAGGAGGGATTCCCTTCGCCGGCGGGCTCGGTCATGTCCAGGCAAACCGTGGTCACGACGGAGAATGGCAAACCAGTCGTCCGTCTTCCACCCCCCAGACCCCTTGGAGGCATTGTACCCCCAGGCCCGGTCAATGCGCCTGTTGTGGCAGGAATCCCGCCTCCACTTCCTGCTGCCGCCCCTGTCCCATTCGCTCAACCCCAACCACAATACCCACCCTATCGGGAAAGCCGCCCCGCGATGATTCCCATGCACCAACCTCGCCCCCAGAAGGCCGTGTCTGTTGCTGACATCGAGACTCCGGCAAATCTGGGGTTCAACCCCCCGCAGCCTCAACAGGAACAGCCGTTCCACCAACAAGTCCCGATGTCTGTCAACGGCCCAGTCTATGGTCATGACGCACCTGCTTCGCTGCAGGGGCCTCCTTCTAGCCAGGTTTCCGTGACGCCTCTGTCGCATATTCCCGACCGAGCTGTCCACGCCCAGCCGTTTCAACCCTACGGTTTCCAGCAGCCTCAGGGATTCTATCCGCCTTCCTTCCCTTCTGGTTCGATGTATTACCCCCTGCCCGGCACTGAATACTCGCCCTATACCCATACGGCTGCCGGTCCGGGAGCCTCTGTCCCCCCCCCATTTGCACCTCCGGGCCAGCAGGTGCCGTATGTGGTGCCTGGTCCACCGCCCGCCGAGCAGGCTTCGCAGGCCGGCACGGTGGCACACGAGGCTGGCGGCACTGTCTATTATTATGATGCTTCTCAGATGTACGGCAACCCGTCCTTCACCATGTCTGCCTCGGGACCCGGCGGAGTTGTCGGTATGGGTGGCATGATGACACCTCCTGGGACTACCTACTATTATCCTCAACCGCAGGGTGTCTTTTACTCGGCTCAGTAGATGATCATCTACCCCTATTTATTGGTTTTCGCTTTTCTTTCATCCATTCCATTCCCTGTTCTGCTCTTCATCTTTTCGAATCTCCCTGTGTTTGTGCATTACGCTTGCCGAGATTTACGATTTCGCCATCTATGGCAGTTTTTTCTCTTTTACCTTCATCCGATACTCATGCTATCCACTTTGATTTGAAGCCTTGCCTTTTCTATTTGTCTTCTTTGTGCTTTTCGTCTTGTCTGCTATTAGATCAGGCCCCTTTTCTTTTTTCTTTTTTCTTTACTTCTTTTTTTTTCCTTTCGCTTCTCCCTCCTTCCCTTTCTGATTCTTTTCCTTTCCTTTTACTTTTTTTTTCTCAACTTTTCTTTGCTTCTTTCTTTCTTTTTTCTCGATGCCTTTTAGCGGTCGTCATCCTCTTCATCTATTGTCATCCTGCAATTCCTGCAGGTGCCGCGTATTCGACTGGGATCTACCCTCATTCTGATTGATGTTCAGCCATGCTTGTTCTGACTCCTGATGATGATGATGATGATACTCGTCGATCTCTACGGACCTTGAAGAGGCCTTCGCGGTGCAAACTTCATCCCTTCTCCCTCCCCCCATCTTTTCCCCCTGTCTCCCAACTTTGTCGTGGTTTATTCCTGGTTGATGATTTTCGTTTGGCTGTTCCTCGCCCTTCTTTCGACTAGCAGCGTGGTTTGTGAGGTGTGCATGCGAGGTAAACTAAAAGTAGTTGAATGATTCCATTTCATGAGCACTCATGCTATGTAATGAAATTGGTCGAGGTAATTACCGAGTACCTATTAGTAGCTATAGCTATACCTACCTAGGTACCTCTTATGTAGTAACTTCCTAAGTACTTTCTACCTACTGCACTGTACTCGTAATACTGCAGTATACGGGGATACGATGGTCACGGGACCGCTAACCCGGAATGGCAACTTGAGGACCAGGCAGCTTCCGTTCAAGGCAAGGCAGCCAATCAGCACCCACCCTCCGCCTCACCGCCCTTGCCGGATGCAGATGACCATGGTTGACCTCACAGGCTCTCAGCAGGCAGTCAATCGCCCTGCCTCGTCCCACGGGCCTGCGACCTCATCCTCCTCCCCTCCTCCTCCTCCTCCTCCTTCTCTTTCCATCCTCCCTTTCTTTTCCCACCCTTCCGTCATCTCCATCTATCCATCTACCCATCACTACGACTGCTTGCTGATCCTTTTCTCTTGGTGTCGGTTATCGACTCCGGTTGTGGTTCGGCGGTGTGCTCATTCCCATCTTCCCTTATCTCTCTCAGCCGTCTTACTACTTACTCCCTCTCTCTCTCTACGCGGTTGCCTCGCCCCTGTTCCCCAGCTCTCTTCGCCCCCCCCATCAACAGCCATGGCGTCCTACAGCCCCAAGACAACTCCCGTTGGGCCAGATACTATAATCACCATCAAGGTGCTCTACAATGACAGCACTCGACGCTTCAAGCTCCCTCTGAGGGATCTGGGGGCTCGTGTCTTCCCCGAGAAGGTATGTCTCCACTCTAGGTCCGACCGGGGGCTCTCTCCTTTTAGGTGCAACCCTTGTGTACCATGACATGTGTTCCCCTACGGTTTAAATTGGCCGATGTTGCATGTTATTTGTTGACTGTCATTTAATTCGATTCATTGTCTCGCATTGAACAGCTAATCTGACGGTGGGAATAGCTCCGCCAGCTTCTCGGCATTCCGGCGGATGAAAACGTCATCCTTGAACGCTATTCCGACAGCGCCGCTTCCTACATCCAGCTGGACAGCGAGAACCTCGCGGTTTACAAACAACTTTACCGGGCGGCCAAGGCCAAATTGAAGCTTCGAATTAAGGTTGTCGACGTCGTTGCCTCAGAACCCACCGAGGCAGCAGCCCCGTCTCCGGTGCTAGAGAGTGCGGGTGAGCAGACCGACTCCCCCCGCCCGAGCTATCTCGATACCGTTTTGAGCGCTCCGCTCCCCACAGTGGAAACCGAGGAGGCTTCCACACCTTCTGCCGGCATGGTCCCCGAGGTGGTCATGGACGTCGGTGCTGCCAGCTTGACCGGCGAGACCGCCCAGTGGACCGTCGAGGACTCGGCGTCTACCCCGTCTCGCTACAGAGACTTTGTCTACAGCCAGAATGACCTCGGCTGTCAGGTGCCCTCTCATTCTTCGTCTGCCGGAGTATTCTGCATCGAGTGCAACAACTGCGGTCGGTCCATTCCTAACGAACACTATCACTGCAGCAAGTGCGAGGACGGCGACTACGACCTGTGCCTGCAGTGCGTTGAGGCAGGCATATATTGCCAGGGTCCCGATCATTGGTTGATCAAGCGATTTGTCAAAGACGGCACGATCACCAACAGTGTCACCGAGACTGTTCCCCCTCGTAAGGTCTCTGCCAACGAAGAGGCGGTCAAGCCCACCGATCCTCCCCTCCCCGAGGAGGCTCCAGAGAAGACACCGGAGACTCCATCCGATACGTCCGCCTCCACTGCGAATGCGGAGGCTCGTATCTGCAACACGTGTCTCAAAGGTAAGCATCCTTATATTAAGATCCGCACCAAGGTTGATGATGATGATGATGATGATGATGTTTTTTTTTTAATCTGACTTATTTCCACACAGAGTTTGAGGAGGCCAAGATGGTCACTTGCAGTGACTGTGAAGACTATGATCTATGCATGACCTGCTTGCTCAGGGATGCACATGGCCACCATCCCGCCCATACCTTCACGCTTCTTCGTGACCGTAAATTCTGTCTCAAGAGTCTGGTCAAGTCTCGCTGTGCCCCGGGACGCCACCACCAGCATGCAGCCATCTGTGATGGCTGTGACAAGGTGAGCTTTTTTTTTTACTATTTTTCACTATGGGACAATTGAACTCAGGCTAAAATCTCCTACCTAGCGTATCATTGGTGTCCGCCACAAATGTCTGGCGTGCCCGGACTGGGACTATTGCGCAGAGTGCGTGTTGACTGCTTCCGAGAGTCACCCACTTCACCGGTTTGTGCCGATCTATGATGCTATCGCGGAACCGGCCCATCACCATGAAGTTCACTACGGTGTTTTCTGTGATGGTCCTCTCTGCAAGAGCAAGCCCTCCGCCGGCTATATCACCGGTGTGCGTTATAAGTGCGCCGTGTGCAACGACACCGATTTCTGCGCCAGCTGCGAGGCGCTGCCCACCAACACTCACAACCGCACACATCCCCTGATCAAGTTCAAGACTCCCGTGCGAAACGTAACCGTCGACACCCTCGATGTCAACCCTCGCAATGGGGCCGCCATGAATCTGGGAGACCGTGTCCAGAAGTCCGCGTCCACCCAGGCTAGTGCCCCGATTGAGCTTGTCGGCCACTCGGCCACGATTGTTGAGAAGCAGGTGGAGGAGGAAGTAAAAGAGGAAGAAGAAGAAGAAGAAGAGACCCCCCAACCTGAAGAGCAGCTGGAGTTGGCTGTGGAACCTACTCCTGCAGTTGAAGAGACGAAGTCTGCTGTGTCTCTTCCCCCCCGGGACACTGATTACCAGGCCTTCTATATCCGTGACACTGTCGAGGATGGCACCAAGATGCCACCGGACCATGTCTTCGAACAAACGTGGACCCTGTACAACCCGGGCCCTCTTTCGTGGCCTGCTGGCAGCGATGTCCGCTTTGTTGGTGGAGACTCAATGTTCAATGTCGACACCAACCACCCATCGAGTGTTGATTCTATCAACGCGGCGATGCAAAGCAACAAGCTGCCCGGTGCTATCGCTCCCGGTATGTCTGCAGACTTCACCGTGACCCTCCGGACCCCCAGTCGCCAAGGTGCGGCCATTTCCTATTGGCGTATGAAGCTCCCCAATGGCACTCCGTTCGGTCACCGATTGTGGTGCGACGTTCAGGTGCGGGAGGAAGAGGAGGAGGATACCACGGCGCCCGAGGCTAAGCCTGAGGAAGCCTCCTCCAATGCCGATGAGTCTTCCGAGCAGAGTGGAAGCACGATGATCTTCCCCACGTTGGATAAAGAGTCCCCTGTCACCAGTACGCACGAAGCCATGACTGCCGCCCCCCCTGCCCCGTCTCTGTCCAACGCCTCGGAGCGGGATGTCCTCGAAGACGTCGAAAGCCTGACACTTGAAGACGATGATACCGATGCTGGCTTCTTGACGGACGAAGAGTACGACATCCTCGATGCCAGTGACCATGAATTCCTGGATGCTCGGCAGGCGCAATAAGTAACCCTGTCATCCCTGGCACGGCGATCAAGACCATTGTGAAAAAAAAAAAAATAAAAAAAATAAAGCAAAGATTGGGGGACGAGAAAAAGTGTGTCGACAAGCAGGGACTGAGAGAGTCGGTAACAACAAGCGGTTTCCATCGTCCCAGTGTCGGTCGAGCTCTCTTGTCGATGCAGGTTCAACGACAGTAGGGTATTATCATTTTTTCTTTTTCTTTTACGCATCTTGTGCTTAACACCAGAAATCTATTTCCCAAGCAATGTTTCTCTCTGGTTCTTATTATCTGTTCCTGTCTCTTTATGCTCATGTCTATTTTGGGGACTCTTAATCAATCAATTTGTTCGTATTATCTATCCATGTCGAGGAGGTAATATAAAACTTCCTCTATCGTTCTCTCTACCTAGGTAGTTGGTTATTTACCTTGGTTCGGCATTCTCTACCATGGCATGTGATACAACTGTACCAATGTAGACTTGATCTGCCTCGCACCACTTTACTCAGAACTTTCTCAACTTGTCTCATCTATCCATGCTGAAGCTTCTCACAATGAAAAGCGTAACAAGCCTGGCTATAGTTGCCCTTGTGCTCGCAACAGCCTGCATCCCCATACATCATCGATTGACCGTTGCCGGGGTATTCAGGCATCCACGCCGCGCAGCAGTCTCCAACCTCGTGAGAATCGCAGACACAGTGCACTGCGAAGACCTGCACTTCTACGAGCCTGCGAATCTGCTGTTCACGGCGTGCGAGGATATCAAGACGACGCGGTTCAAGTGGTTTCCCCCGCTGGCGATCTTTGATGAACCGCTCACTGCGCGGGGGTCGATTCACGTCATCGAGCCGGAGGCGAGTATTTTCTTTACCCCCCTTTTTTTTTTATTTTCTTCTTACTGGTTCGTGATAGTCTAAAGAATCTACCCGGCTGGAGTTTGAGAACTTCTCCGGCCCGTTCTCGACTCATGGGATAGATGTGATTGCCGACCCAGACAGGGAAGAGGCGGTGTATATCTTTGCGGTCAACCATCAGGCGAACGCAGAGACGGAGGAGGGGATTCCCAAGGCGAGCTCGCAGATCGAGCTGTTCCATCATGTTCTCGGGACGACGAGGGTGCGACATGTGCGCTCGATGCGGCACGAGTCCATCACGACACCCAACGATATCTATGCGTGGACCCCTTCGTCCTTCCTGGTGACGAACGATCATTTCTATCGTGACGGAGCGATGCGAACAGTTGAGGACGTGGTGACGGCCTGTCGGTGGACGAACATCATCCACGTCCAGATCGAGGAGATGCATTCTCTCGACGCTACGGGTGGGATCCGCGCCACGGAAGCTTTGAGGGGTTTACACAACAACAACGGGCTGGGCCATGGAGCGGGCGATGAGGAAGTATTGGTCTCTGATTCAGGCGGGGGTGTCTTTTACCGGGCAGTTCTTGAGAAACCAGAAACCAGTACGACAGGCGTACGGATCCGCCTTGTCGAAAGCATACGCATGGACTCGAGCATCGATAACCCGACGTACTATCGCGATCCATACGGGACAAATGCAAGCGGATACATCCTAGCAGGCCTGAGTCGGTCGGTCGATCTCGCACGCTCAAGCAGGGACCCTTCCGCCACGGAGCCCGTGATGGTGTGGTATCTGCGGCGAGGAGATGCAGGCTGGGACAAGCATCTGATCTTCGAAGACGATGGGTCCACCATTCGCTCGGCAGCTACGGCGGTGCTTGTTCCCAGAGCAGGAGCAGTGGATGGTCGTCAGGCATGGCTTTTCGTCACGGGCTTTCTTTCCGAGAGCATTGTCGCTGTTTCGGTGGACCTTCTTTAGGATAGTATGCTTGCATAAACTAGGTACTACTCAAGCAGACTTGGGAAAGATTGAAGACCTGTCTAGCTGCTAATAGTTCAATGCCTTGACAATCTCCTCGGTACCCAACACATCTGCAAACTCCCCCCGCAAGCTCGCCACGGAGACCGCATGTATCGTCTCGGCGTCGATCCCGTCTTTGGCCCATGTGGCCGTCGCGTCTGCCACGAGAACCACCCGGCCCTGGTCAACGACTACTTCCCGGCTGTTATGCGTCCCATCTGGGCGCACCTGCACCGGTTCCGTGAACCGGTCCACAACGCCCAGATTGGCCGCCATGCGCACCGTCGTCGACACGCAATGGTCGGTGGTCAGCCCCGCGAAGACGACCTGGCGGATCCCCCGCTCGCGGAGGTGCGCCTCGAGCCCCGTCCCAATGAAGGAGGAGTTGACGTGCTTCCAGAAGACGGCCTCGGAGCCGTCTGGCGCTGGTACCGCAAAGTCCAGTGGACGGATCCCTTGCTCTGGATGTGCTGGGTGCAGCGGGCTGGTCTCGGATAGAGACGAGTGGAAAACGTGAATAACCTCAAGCCGTGCGGAGGATGTTGCTGGCGTTGTTTTTATGGCTTTGCGGAAGGCCTCCAGCAGGGCTTGCAGGTTGGCTTCATACTGCGGGTTGGAGCGCTGCGTGCCCCAGTGCGTTGGATGGGAGAAGGCCGCTTGGTTGTCAATGAGCACAAGGGCAGTGGGGAATGAGAAGTCGATAGACATTGAGACAAATGTAGATGAAGGGATAATAACACATCTTGTAGGGACTCGAGATTCTTGTCGAGAAGATGTCCTGATTTGAATAATTCTATGACTCAATGGGTGCCTTGGTGCCTTGGTGCCTTACTAAGCCTGAGGCATAGTTCTGCCTGAGGATGCAATTCTTAATTTCACTTCACGCTCTTCCCCTGGTTTCTGGTGCTCCGTTCCCAGTTGTTTTCTAATTCTTTTCTAATCTCTAGGTTTAATGTTAATGCGCTAGATAAAATGTCTTCTGCTCTTCACGGCCGCTGCGCCGTCTTCGCTCGTTCATATACCAACGCCTTCGCTTCTTCGCCGACTCGACTCGCGGTAGCCCTCGAGGGCTTCATACCAAAGTCTGACTTTCGCAGGCACCTGTCTGCTACGTGCTACAGACAGCAGCAGACACGGCCACCATCCACATCCCTTCGATCAAAATCCCAACTCTCATCGCCGTCATCATCATCGTCGTCGTCGTCTTTCTCCGTCAGCAATGTCAATCCCCCGTCAAGCACATTACCGGCCGAGCTAGCCCTGCCAGAACCAGTGGCTTCGTCAGCTCCCCCGGCAGATAAGCTGAAGCGTTACGTCGCTCTCGGTCGAGCATACTATACCTTCTACAAGACCGGGTTGAAGAACGTGTACCAGAACTACCGGGCGTCGCTCCCCCAGCGCCGCAGCCTAGGACTCCCCGTCTTCCCTCCGACGTCTCCTCACTCCTCGCCAGAGTCCGTAAAGATTAGCCGGGCAGACTTCCAACTCGTCCGTCGCGCGGCGCACGACATGCGCCGCATGATCCCCTTCACGCTGGTCCTCATCGTGTGCGGCGAGTTCACCCCGCTGATCGTCCTCGCCCTCGGCGACGCCATCACCCCATTCACCTGCCGGATTCCCCGCCAGGTAGCCAAAACCACCCGCCAGCGAGGGGAGCGCAAACGTGCCGCCCTCGCAGACCATCAGGCCCGCACTGCCGGCTCGGTGACACCCCCCGGTCCAGGATCGGAGCAGGAGCTGGATCTCCTTGCCCGCCGGTTCGTCGATGAAGCTTGGATCGCCGCCGCGTCGGGGCCGGAGGTCCTCTGCGCGGCCTCCGTCTTCGGCCTTGTCGGCTCGCATCGTTCTTCTTCCTTCTCCCCTTCGCAGCTGTTTGTCCGTCATCGCTTGCGCCGCTACGCTCAGTACCTCGCTCTCGACGATCGGCTTATCCGCCAGGCTGGTGGGGTAGAAGGCATGACCGCCCAGGAGGTACGTATCGCTGTCGAAGAACGCGGCGGCGTAGGTGTCGCGGCGGAAGCGGAGGGTGCCCTTGCTGAAAGGGAGGAGAGAAGGTGGTTGGAGAGGTGGTTGAAGAAGTCTACCTTGTAATTGTACTATACCTATACATTTTCTGATATGAATTGTTTATATACTGCAGTCTGCACTATATCTGTAGTTATTGAATCGCTACTTTGTAAGCGATCAACTATTTACGCTAATATTTGGGATATCCGACATTTTCCAGACTTTCTAGACTTCAACCCCCTTGCCCACGGACCTGCTTCGCCCAACGCAATCCACACGAGTTACACAGATCGCGGTTCCCGGACGGCCCACGGCGCCATTCGGGCGTATTGCGCGTGCTGCACATGACGCAGCTCTTCTCCACGAGCAGCGAGGCCTTCTTGCGCTTCCGTTTGCGTCGCTGGTTGAGCAGGAAGTGCAGCTCGTCCGCCAGGGCTTTGTTCTTCTTCTCCAGGCCGCGCAGCTCGGCTTGCCAGCTGGATCCCCGGGTGGGCTTCAGCTCGGCGAATATGGTAGCTTCGTCGAGCGGGAGGAGCGATTGTAGACTTGATGCTGCTGCGTTGCCGGTATCGGGAACCGCGGTTGAGGACGACGAGGAGTCTTGTATCGGCTGGCTGACTGGTACGAGTGCTAGCGAGGTTGTTGTAGTGGGAGTAGGAGTAGTATTATTATTATTATTATCTGCTTCATTGTTACCTGCGGTGGTGGACTCTGCTGCAGCGGCAGGCACATTCGGTGCGTTAGATTTGATCAGCCGAACATGAGCGACGAGAAATATGGGTTTAGCGCCTTGGTCTGCGTCGCCGGGGTAGAATGTGGTCTGCGCGCGGAGCGAGTGGCCTTTCCGATGCTGCATCTCATGGGAGAAGCAGGCCTGGCGCCTGCTTCGGCACGTCTCCAGCGCCTGCATCATCTCCGGAACGGACTCGACATTGATCAGATCCTGGAAACTCTTGCCAACCAGGTCATCAGGTTGGCGGCCCAGGACAGGGCGGGCCTTGGAGGAGATGAAGAGGATCATGCCTGACAGGGAGATCTTGGCCCACAGGTCGTTTTCCTCGATCCGCTGGCCGCCAACGGCGGCAACCCGGTCGAGGCAGTAGACGGGCCGCTCGCGGCCGGCCAGCACCAGGTATCGTCTGCCGCGGTTTGGCTCGATGTGCCAGGACCCATGACTCTCAAACCACGTGTAGCCACTGTTCTTCTTGCGGACACGATACACGAAGCTGATCGGGGCCGTGGTGGTGCTGGCCTTTAGCTCGCGGACCACGGGGCCAATGTCGCTTGGGTGGCAGATGGTCGAGAGCGTCTTGTTCACCAGCTCGTGCACCTCGTACTCGAGGATCCGCGGACAGGACGGCGACAGATAGAGAAACTCAGTGTCAAAGGACAACACGTGGATGAGGTCGTCCGAGTTTTCCACAAGGATGCGGTCCATATAATGCCGCGGCAGCTCCGACCCAGCCACCCCAACCGTGTTGAGGATGGCCGACACCTCCTCAGGGCGGAAGTGCACGTTCAGATCCGGGTTCACTCGGTAGATATCTGCCGTCGGGACGACGTACGATGGAAGCTGCTCGCGCTGGTAGTTGATCACATATGTGCCATCTAATCGTTTCTTAGCAAGAGGATTGCAGATAAACGGGTGAAAACAGGTCATGGTCTCACATACCAGGATTCCGCCGGGTGACTGCGTCAGGTTTCTCGACCAAGTCCACCTGGAAGCCCACATAAAACTGGTACTCGTTGTCATTCCCGCGAATCGGGATCATGGTGATGAGATTCATAAACGGCTGGCCGCCCTTGCGGTAGTTAATCAGGCTGGCCTGGATTTCGCTTCGCTCGGTGATCGTATTCCTCAGGCGGAACGCTGTGTGGTCGTCGACGAATTTCCGCCTAGTTCCGGCTGGCACTTGGCCGTCTGGCCCCTGCAGGAAGCGGCAGTTTCGGCCGACGATTTCATCTTTGGTGTAGCCCGTTAAACGTTCGAAAGCATCTGAAACGTACACGATGGGATGGTCATCCTTGGTAATATCGCACAGAACAAAGGCACATGATAAGTCGACAGCCCCGATATGGATTTTCGGATTCGACCTGGTAGCGACTTGAGCCTAGATAGCATGTTAATGTTTGAAAGATGTCTAGCAAACAGCAGACATGTCAAATACCAAAACGCCCATGATATCAAAACCACTGCTAGAATAAATGTTGGAAAAGGAAGACGTCTCGTTGGACGAGGGCAATCTCGATCGTGAGGAAGAATCGCCTATACCATCCACCATGTGTTTTAGAAAAAGAAAAGAAGAAGACGGCTCGGGTCTTATCATCTTTTTGGTTTTCCTACTTACCTCGAGTCGGTGCTGTCACCGGTGTCGTCATCGTCGTTGTCGGTCTTTTTGGTCGGATAGCCTTGGGCTGAGACACCCGCCGTGAGTCCGCAGGCGTGCTTGATGGTACGATAAGAGGTTGCGAGCGAGTTGTTGGGACATTTCCCACCTGCGACCTCTCCGACGGCTCTGCGGCCATGGCGTGCTTGTTGGCCCCCGACATTTCCACATTGACATTATGATGATGGTGATGATGATGATGATGTTGATGATGATTATGCTCTTGCTGCTGTTGCTGCTGCTGCTGTTGTTGTTGTTGCTGCTGCTGCGATGACGCAAAGGCGTTATGCATCTGCATTTGCGGGTTGAGCGCAGGGTATGCCGTCATGCGGCTCATACTCATGTGCTGGACTTCCACCGTGACTCCCGGGTTCATATTCCTATCGAGGTTCGGCGATGAGTCGTAGAAGATGTACGGATTACTAGGCACGGCGGACATGGGGATGGCGGCCCCGGACGCGGACAGGTGGTCATAGGCGGAGTACATGGGATTTGCCATCCGGCTGTCCATCTGGATTGCATCCATCGGGTGACGAAACCCGTGCATCTGTAAATCATGGTGGGAGGGAACGATAACGGCCGTAGAGTTGGCCATCATGGCGTTCGATCCTCGTGAAGGTGCTGCCAGGGCATACTGGCGGGCATCGCCCATAGTACCAGACAGCGAGAGGGTGGCGGGGGGTCCGTCGGAGTCGTCATCGTCGGCGCTGAGATTGTCTAGCGAACGATGAAACCGTATCGGATCGTCGAGATAGACACCTTCGATGGATGAAGAAGCATCCAGCAGCGAGGCATCTCTCCCAAACGACGAGCCAGCAGCGACGGCGTAGGTGTCGTCCAGTGGCGCACTCGGCTCAGCCATCGGATACGACTCGAGATAGTAGGCATCGTAGTCGCGCATGTCCCGGCGGGCCATGGTGGGCAAGGGGAGCAGCAGGCGACACGAACAGCTCTTCACCAGAGGGCGGCGAGAATTACTCCCGGAGGCGAAAAATCAATCAAGCGTCGTACCGGAGCGGGTTGTGCGCTTCGTCTGGGAGGAGGGGGGGGTTCGGGTCGTGGAGGACATAGTCGACAGACAGCAAACGGCGGCCTCGGTGAGACTCCCAACAGGCAGTGCTGGAAACTGGCGGCAGGAGTGGTTCGATGGGCAGCTCACAGTGAGCACCATGGAGTAATGCGAAGGCGAGAGAAGACCTCTCCAGTCGTTGAATGCTGGGTTGGAGGCAGCGTTGGACAGGTCAATATTTGGGGATATGCTGAGTCAGCGGTACTTTTAGATAGTCCTGGATAAGACAATAAATCACCTGTCTTTCAACGGTCCATTGTTTCTTTTCTTTTCTTTTCTTTTTTAAGAAAAAAAAAAAAATATGATAGGCATTATGTAGTAGAGATGTTGTTATTCCAAATTCTTCTATTCTTTATTGTTGAGGTAGCGAATCCCTCATTACTCGTCAACACTACATATTGTGTATCAACTGCAGTTATTGAGTATAACACTGATTAGTATAAAGGTAGGTAAATCTCTACTTTTCTATCAATCAGTTCTACATAATCAACTCTTAAGAATTAAAGCTATCAATATACTCTGCAGTACTCTGTACTCTGTACTCTGTAGTAATAATCCTAGTCCTTAACTAGTCGATCTTAAGACAGCGGAAATTTCCCGACATGCCAATATTCCACCACAATTAGTTGTTGTCGTCTGCGATCTCTTCCTCTCTAACCACTCTTATTCTGCCTTTGCAGGTCCTTTCCTTAGTCTTGCTTGCTTTGTTTGCTTTTTTCTCTTTAATTGTCACTCCTTCAGCCGTGTCGTGTTGCTCCACCAGCCGAGTCCTTATTCCTTGCTGCCCGTGGCCCCCTTGTCGCCTCGAGTGCTTCGAACTGCCCCTTCATTCTTCAGCCTGGTCGAGACGCTCGTTTCTCCCTCCCTCTCTCTCTCTCCCTTTCACTCGCTCACTCGCTCACTCGTTCACCCGCTCGCTTCTTGTCTTGTATGTGTGTCTCTCGCTGCCTACATTCCCCGCGCGACACCCCCTGATCTCCGAGCCTGCGAAAATCGACCCGCCCTCATGTCGGACAAGATCTCGATCACCATCTGCGGGGATGGTGGATGTGGTATGTCATTTGCTTGCTGTTGAAGATCTCAATTCTATTGCTGATTGTCTTCGATGCGTCTAGGTAAATCTTCGATTACTCTTCGGTTGGTCCGCAGTCAATGGATACACGAGTATGCTAGATTTCCCCCCCCCCCCCCCCTTTTAGAAAAGAAACAAAAATAAGGCGTCGCTAATTCATTAGATATGATCCTACAATCGGTAAAAATAATAATCATAATAATAACGTGATGCGTTGTGTATTCTGACAGCCAATAGAGGACTCTTATTCCGTAACCCGGACGATTGACGGACTCCCATACTTTCTTTCCATTACCGACACTGCTGGCCAGGAGGAATACCGGGGACTATGGGCTGCTTCGAATCTGAAGTCAGATGCTTTTCTACTCGTGTACGACATCACCAGCGCAGACAGCCTGACTGCGCTGGACTACTTTGTCGACATGATCGGGCTCGAGGCCGAGCAGCGACTGGAGGATAACAGCCGTCTGCGCAAACAGCTCGGGGCCAGCGCCAAGGGCGTTGATGTCGGGATGCCGCCCCCGGTCAAGATCGTGGCAGGCAACAAATGTGATTTGAAAGATGCTCGTGTCATCTCCGCGCGGGAAGGACTCGAATATGCGCGCAAGAATGGCTGTGGCTTCATGGAGACGAGCGCCAGAGAAATGGTCAATATCGAAGAAACATTTGCCTGTATGCTCTTCTCTTCTTCTTCCTCTTCTTTTTTTTTTCTAACGTTGTCAGTGCTTGTTCGTCGCGTCGTCGAGGCCCGCCGCGAATATTACGACCAATCTCCATCCGGGAATAATGCGCGCAAGACCGGATCTACCGGGGTGCAGACGACGGGGCTCGCCGTGGAGGAAAAATCGGCCAAGGAGGCCAACGCACGCCAAAGCCGGTTCCTCGGTCTGGGCAAGGGTCTACTCAAGCGCGCCAGCCGGGTCAGTACCACCACAGCAGAAGACTCGGCAGTCTTCAACTCGGCAGAAGACGAGCCCAAGGAAAAGCAGAAGCAGCCTGCAGGAGGCACGCAGGCGCAGGCGCCGCCGTCGCCGCACGAGAGGGATGCCGGGCCCTCAGCACGGACAAGCGTGTGGAAACGACTTATCTGTTGGTGAGGCCGGGATTCATGCAGAGAAGTAGACACGACCGGTTTTCCTCTTTTCCTTCTGTCTTGTCTTGTCATTCAATGCTTCCATATACCCCTTATGTGCCTCTTACCTGTTTTCCTTCTGTACAGTAATGTTGATGCTTTCTCTCTCTCTCTCTCTCTCTCTTATGTGTTATACTACACCTTCCTTACTGTTCCTTCCTCTACATACTGTCCTTCTCTTGAGTGTTAATGAATTCAATTAGTAGCCTAGGATAAGTTTCGTATCTTTCAGTCTTGCCAAAGCTACGGTACTCCGTTTACACTCAACTACAGCCACCAGCCTTATCACGGCCCCTTATTCGTACTCGTATCTTGTGTATCTACTTAGAGTTCTTATTCTATTATTATATTACTCCAGATATGCGGAGTCCGCATGCAGATGCCGAGTCAGACAATTAACAATAAACACTCTATAGAGTACCTACTACGTAGAGAGCGTACACCGTACTCGTATCTCGTATCCCTTATGCAGATCTCGTATCTGCATAGTGAACTGAACTGTCCCACCTTACCTTACTTATGGAACATAAACCCCGTCCGAAGTGAACTAGTAAACTACCCAGGTAGTCCACCTGCATCTAACGGTAATTAGTGGCGGAAGCGGAGTTTACTCGTCGGAACGGAAGTAGAGTCCATACGGAGTACATTGTAAGTATATTCTTTCGATCATCTAGTAGTATAAAGTAGTTACTAAGATAGTAATAGTAATAGTAGTTACTAAGATAGTATATAGTAGTCAATACACCAGTCAGGCGAAGTCTATGCGAGGTGAGCATACGATACACGTATTACATATACCGCGTAAATACAATACATAGTAATGACCATCCTGCGCATATCCTCCGCGGATCCTCCGACCAGATAACTCTTAATAATAAATCCCTCAATCAGACGATTACTGTACTAGCTGTAGTACCAAGGTAGTGTAGGAGTAGTTTTGACTAAGATGAGTAGTGCATTTATTGCTACCCAGCCTTATATATTAATCCAAGCCTTGTATACATTGCGACAAGCAAAAACCTCCCCCCTACGAAGCAGCATCATGTCCCGCCATTCAGGCTCGTTGATTGCGTTGACGTACCGACTGGGTTCGACGCAGAAGCCAGATCCGGGTTCTCGCGCGGGCAGCCCCGCGACAGCAGGGACATTGATGTATTTGCCCGTGTAGAACTGGAAGGCGGGCTCGGTGCTGTGGACCTCGAGATGGATGCCGTTCTTGGGGTGGTGGAAGGCCGCGAGGAGCTTCAGCGGGAGCGGGCGCGTATCCTTGGGGACGGCGGTAGGGTCTGTCTCCATGACGAAACAGTCGTCGATGGAGGGCGCCGAGTCGCCCAGCGTGAAGGGGGAGGTCACCTTGTGTGGGAAGGGGGCGATCGAGCCGTGCGGGATTCCCGTCTCGTCGACAGGGAGATAATTGTCTGTCGACAGCTGGGCGATGGTGCCGCTTAGATCGGGGTCGCCGGTCAAATTGAAGTAACTGCCACTTAGCTAACGAATGGGAATGGAAATGAATTCAAATTACCTATGGTTGGTGATGTTGACGACCGTCTCTTCACATTCATCACCGACAAATTCCACCTCGTACTCGGCTTCAAGGACGGTCTTGGTGACGGTGTCTGCCTCGGTAGTAATGGTATACCACACCCTCAGCTCAAGGGTACCAGGAAACCCCTGGTCGCCGTCCTGGCTGCGGAGGGTGAAGAGGAGGGCATCTTTGTCGTGACGCTTGACGGACAAGGGACCGTCGAACACGCACTTCCCCCACCCTTTTACCCCGCCGTGCAGCGAGTTGGGCCCATTGTTCTGCGCGAGGGTATATTCGCGTCCGTTGAGGTTGGCAATCACCCCGTTCTTGATGCGGTTGGCGACGCGGCCGATGGTTTCGCCAAAGTGAGCGGTGTTGTGTTGCTCGTAGAGCTCTTGGGTGGGGAACCCGAGCACGATGTTCTGCTCTCCGACGCGAAACTCTTGGATGATGCCTCCGAGAGGGAGGAATGAAATAGACATTCTGAGAAGAACGAGAAAGATAGTTGAAATTCTAATGAAATTGTATGAGATTGTAAATGAATGTAGCTATTGAGACTCCAGTGGGTTTAAATCACCCCGCAGTCATTGCGGAAGAGCCCGCCGGCTATATTGATATAGGCTAAGTCATTCAGCCTGTAGAGGTTGAGTATTAGTAGAGTAGTAGAGTAGTAGAGTAGTAGAATATTAGTAGAATAAGTAGAATATTAGTAGTAGAGTAGTAGAATATTAGTAGTAGAGTAGTAGTAGAGTAGTAGAAGAATATTAGTAGAGTATATCATAACAATTACTGAGAATTGTATGGTAAAGGTACCTATAGTATCTAGTTCTGTAACAGGACTAGGTACTAGGTACCTAAGGTAACTATGTATTAATGCAATTCTTAGTAAGCAGCGTACGAAATGTCGTCCGTGTCCGTCAATCTCGGCGCGCTTCTCGCCTCCGAGCCGAACGGAGTCGGTGCCTACGGAGGGCGAACTTCCGTTGACCTGTTCAGAGTATAGGAGAGTACAGAGTACCTATTGACTATAGTATATAGTATAGTATACCAGTATATAGTATATAGTATAGTATAGTATATACTTCTTAGGTACTTTAGTATAGTAATGATGGTGAGTGTAGATGACTTCCTTCCTAAACAAGACAACCCAGATAGGTAAATTGCCGCATATCGGAAGATCGGCATCACTATAAACTACTAGTTGCTCCGTACTACCAACATCGTAGAATGCTCCGACAAAAGATCGGTTTCTCCACATGTACTGTACAGTGTACCTAGTACACAATCATAGTAACGATGTAGTTATATACTATTGACAATACACTTGGTAGGATTTACTTATTGACTCAATCTAGTAATACTACAGGACAAAACCTGACTTTAGTCCTTGGTGTATCCAACTCCTCCGTCCTCCGTGAGGGACGGACATACTTCGGAGATATCGGACAAGGATGGATTCCGTAGAGCAAATCCCACTAAATTAATCTGATCTGTTTAGTCATGGCGTCTTGGTAAACAGACTATGAGAATAATAAAATAGAAAATGTAATAGAATGATAGAATAGAAAATAGAATAGAAAATAGAATAGAAAATAGAATAGAACATAGAATAGCTTTAATCATTCATACTCCGTACTCTGTAAATCCAACGCTCCAATTACCCGTCCCGTTAATCAACCAGCCAGAACTCCTTTCGACAATCATCACTGTACAACGATCGACATGTAAGTATACATGTGTGTCATTAAACGAAGGAAAAAAGAAAGAAAAAAAGAGAGAAAAGAAAGAACGAAGAATGAGTGGAGAGAGAGAGGGGGGGGGGTCGACTAGATAGACGTAATTTCCGGCGGGTTGGGATTAAAGAACTGGTTGAAATCGTCAAAATCCGCCTTGCTGTCCATGTAGGACCCCACGCCGCCCATACAGCTGATGGACAGGTTACGGCCGAACAGCGGGGAGGACGACATGGGCGGCTCATCAAAGGAGAGGGGACCACCCGTTGTGTTAAAGTCAGGGCCCATGAGATCCATCTCGTCGAAGCCGCCGGTGAAATGTTGATGTGCGGGGGGCCACGCCTGCGGGCCGCCCTGCAGGGCGATCGGGTTCACCACACCCCCCGCCGACAGGGAGGACAGCTGTGCGGGTAGCAGGGGCTGCTGCTGCTGCTGCTGCTGCTGCTGCTGCTGCTGCTGCTGCTGCTGCTGCTGCTGCTCGATCTTGATCATCGGTGACGACGAGCAGACGGGTGAGGTAGGGATGATCAACGGCTGGGCGCGCGTCAGTGGACTATACTCTGGTGGTGTCGGGGGGAGATGTCGCTGCGCTTGTTGTTGGTGTTGTTGGTGTTGTTGTTGCTGGTACTGCGGCTGTTGAAAGGAGGAAAATGAACAATTCGGAGCAGTGATGGGCGACTGGGCGCTGTCAGAGCTGCCGCCGTCGGAGGATTCCTGTCGTTGCATCGTGCCGGCGCTATGTCGCCACAGGTCGCGCTGCATGAGCTCCGTATTCTCTTCAAAGTGCTCCCCCTTGGTCAGATCCAACGCGCCGAGCCGGGTCAACAGGTCGTGGGTGAGCGGGTGGCCGTTGGGCTCGCACGGTAAGGGATCGCCCAGCCAGCCTTCTCCTTCTTGAGCGCGTCGGTATAGTTCTTGCAGACCGTTGACCAGCCATACTTGTTGTTGCTCCAGCATTTCCACATACCTTAATCGTCAGCGTCCAGGTTTACCATTAAGTTGATAGTTATAATCATATAAAAAGAAACTCACCCCTTAGGGTACACCTTGTCGTGGGCCTTTTTCCGCTCTCCAAAAACGCAAATCGCATTGTCTGCTCGACACCGACCACACGGGTTGGCTCCGTCGCACTGAGAAGGGCATTTTTAGCAAATATGAATCTTCCCTTCTAGCCATGTAAAGACCGCCTCACTTTTGATTTCTTCAATCGACACCGGTCACAGGCCTTGCAGACCCGTTTGCGGACATTGTTATCCGAATGGGAGGAATGTTCTGACGTGGGTGATGACTGGCGCGCCGCCATGTTCAGAAGTAGAGGTAGGAGTAGAAGTAGTTATATAGTATAAGAGGTATATGCACAAATGCAAACGAAATCTTTTTGTTTTAAGAGTCAACCTGGGGGTGATATAATAATGAACACCGGGCGACGGTTAAGCTCTCGAAGCACCGTGGATAGGCAAGGTAAGAAAGTAAGAGAAAGTAAGGTAAGAAGGTAACAAGGTAAGCAGGTAAGCAGGTACGTAGAGCAAGCCAAGGTAACATAAACAGGATGATGACGATGATGGCCTGAGGTTGCAACCCAGTCTAGAACCGTAAAGTGACACTGGAGCTTCCGCGCATCCAAAGTTAGAGGGAGATGAAATCATGGTGGGCGAGCGCTGGCTTTAGTAGCTACCTACTACCTACTAACTATTCGACAGTGGACACGCTTTCAACTCCGTATGATTGACGACACCCGGTTCAGCACGATCTGATCGGAGCATGCTGATCACAGGGCCGAGCTTTTTTTTTTTTTTTTCTTTTCTTTTTTTCTTTTTTTCTTATTTTTCTTATTTTTCTTGGTTCAATATCGAGGGTGGAACCAATTCCCTCCCCCCCCCTCCTCTCTTGGAGCTCCATGGAGAATCCGAAGCGAAAAGAACAATGACAAGGTTCCACGCTAGCAAACAGGGCCTGGACTCAGTATCGTAGGTAAAGTAGGTAAAGTAACTGGTAGCCCAGGGTAAACTACAGTAATCAGGAGGAAACTGCAGAGTAATCATGTACAGGGGCTACTCATAAGCAGGAGTAGAGTAATAACTACCTAACATTAGTGCTGAGTAGGAGGTACTTACTTACTACGGAGGACTATGAAACTAGTATGACGGTTGGCTGAGTAAGAATAGCTCCAGTGACAAATTGACGGGCCGTAATGTAATTTACAGTGAGCGTACCGGAGACAATTCTCGGCTCTATCCGCTTATAAATCCGCAATTCCGCTATATCCGGATTCCGAGTCGAAGAATAGAATTGAATCCCTATTATCAATACTTATTACATACCTAGGTAGGTAGTTATTAGAGTTCTTAGATACGCAACTATTAGTTACTGTAGAGTTACTGTAGAAGTTTCTACAGTAACTAGGTACCTACCTTGGTACAGTAGATGCTGTAGTAGGTAGAGAACCGTACCGTACTGTACCGTTCGATCGTTTGTAACCAGCCGAGTATCCAGATACCGGACCCCAAAAGCCGCGCTCGGTCCTGGTTTTTCCCCCTTTGGGAGTACGAGTAACTTTGTGTATGTCCTCGTACTTGTTCATACGCGTATGCGCTTATGCATTCGGCTGCATCTCCCGACTGGCTGTTACATAATACTTATGAACTGGGCATAACTAAACGGCTACTGTGACCCGTTTGTAGTATAATTATCATACTAAGGTAGTTACCTATTGACTTAACTGTAGTATGAGGTAACTACTGTTGAACTGAACTGACTATTAGAGATTAGTTGAACCTTTATGACCAACAACGGTACCTAATGTAGTACAACTTTACTATGGGCGGTCTGGATGCGGCTGTCATGACGTCGACACTGCCATAAGTGGATTACTCGACAGTTTAATGGCTCTGACTTAGTCATTTAGAATAACACCTAGGTACCTTAGGTAACCTAAGGAGAGCCAGCACATAACTAAGGTTCGCCGCCCAATGCTGACCTGACTGACTGGCCCAATGCTGACGCATGCAGACATGATGACCAGGAAGGCTGAAATACCTGTTTAAGGACTTAGTATCATCTCTCATTGCATTCTAGTAGACCTAGGTAGGTATCAAGGTAGTGATTAGCTACAGAGTAGTTAACTAACCAGCAGGTAAGGTAGGTAGGTAGTTACTTGGTGATCATGTGGCGGTATCTGGTGTGGCAGTGTGGCAGTGTGGCTAGTAATACCACGTGACACCCCTCCTGACCCAGTGACCCGTGACCCGTCACCCGTCACCCCGCATTGAGATACAGATACTCAGATAATGACCTCCCCTCCCCTCAGTAAACAGACAACTCACAGCACACACCATGGCTGCGGCGTATGGGGACCTGCGGCACCTGCTTCCAGGGAACTACAAGCGACTGATCACCGCCTGGCTGGAGGAAGACTGTCCCAGCTTTGATTATGGCGGCTTCGTGGTGGGGGAGACGCAGGGAGAGGCCCGGCTATTAGGGAAGGCAAGGGTAAATCATCTGCAATAATCTACATTCTCTTATAATAATACTAATGATAATAATCTAGGGCGTTGTCGCCGGCGTTCCTTTTGTCGACGAGGTATTCTCCCAACTAGGATGCAAGTAAGAAAACATATACTCAAACCCATACTCAAACTTATACCTATACATATACTGAACTCTACAGAGTTACCTGGCACATCCGGGAAGGCGAGTCCATCGACCCGATCAAGCACTGCGCAACGGTAACAGGGCCCATCCGGCAGATCCTACTCGGCGAGCGCGTCGCCCTCAACATCCTCGCCCGCTGCTCCGGCATCGCCACCAAGACATCCAGCCTGGTCACTGCTCTCCGCGCCACCGGATGGTCGGGAACCCTAGCGGGAACGCGCAAGACCACGCCCGGCTTTCGCATCGTCGAGAAATACGGCATCCTCGTCGGCGGCGCCGATCCGCACCGTCACGATCTAAGTTCAATGGCCATGTTGAAGGATAACCATGTATGGGCGTGTGCCAATAAACATACTACTACTGGAGCTGGAGGAGCTGGAGGAGCTGGAGCTAGCACTCTTACACAACAAACCATTGCAGCAGCTATCCCCCAAGCAGTCCATGCCGCCAAAGCAGCAGGCGGCTTCAGTACAAAGGTTGAAGTCGAAGTCCGGAACCTCGAGGAAGCAACTGCTGCCATCGCCGCGGGCGCCGACGTCATCATGCTCGATAACTTCACTCCAGAGGGCGTGCGCGACGCCGCCCGCAGACTCAAGCATGACTGGGCCGGTCAAGACCGCTCCTTTCTCATCGAAGTCTCCGGTGGCTTGACCGAGGCCAATGCCGCGGCGTATGCTTGTCCGGACGTCGATATCTTGTCCACCAGCTCCATTCACCAGGGGACTCCTATTATCGATTTCTCCTTGAAGGTCTTGTACGGTAGTAGCAGTAAATAAAAAATGTATATCAAGAAGAATATCAATGAAACATTCATAATGAACCCATATGATTAAACAATAAGACTAATAATAATACAAAGGGTATATAACGAAGCTAAACTTCAATATCAACGACAATCCCCTCCCCCTCACTCGAACTCTGCTCATCAGCCACATGGTCGCGCTCGTCGCCCGTGCCGCTCGCCGTGCCACTCGACGAAGGGAACCGTTCCGTCCGATGATGGTGATGATGATGATGATGTAGCACCCGTCGCCCGATGATGTGTCCATCGTCATCGGTCGAGGTGTCGGTCATCGTGCCACTAGGCGCCGGTACGCCGCGTTTCTCCCGCTCGCGCACTAGCTGGGCGCGGAGGCGCTGGTTCTCCGCATCGCGCTCCTCCAGCCGCTTGCGCGCCCCGGTGCGATCTAACAGGCGGCCCTCGCGCTCGGCCTTGAGCCGCTTCTCCAGCTCGTGCAGCCGGTGGATCCACTTCTGCGTCGCTTCGTCGTGGATCGGCGACCGGTCCATACGAGGGGCAAGAGGGGGACCATCAGAAGGGGCGCCGGCAGCTGCCGCGGTCGTCCCGCTGGTGGCAGTATGCACGGTCAGCGCACTTGTCCCCGCCGCGTTGTTGGTCAACATCGTGGCCGCCGCCGACGACGACGACGACGACAAGTGCGACGGCTGCGGGATGCCGGTCGAAGTCGCGCTGCGTGCCAGGCCTCGCTCGGATCGTGCAAGCTGCGAGGAACTGCCTGTCTGCTCAACGGTGAGCGGTGTGGTTTGATGACGGGCCAGGAAGGGTGGTGGTTGGCTTCCTTCTTGTGGAGGTGGATGACCGGGGGAGCCTGGTTGGCGCAGACCGGACCCGCGACTGCGCGAGTGAGGCGACGATGACTGCAGCAGGTTCAGCTCGGCGCGCAGCAGACGGTTCTCGCCCCGCAACTTGGCCATCTCGGGTGACGGATTGGAGTGGTTGCGGCTGTGGTGGTTGTGCTGTTGCTGTTGCTGCTGGGCGGCACGCATATTCTTCGCAGACTCCTCAAGACGCTCGAGCCTTTTCACACGCTGGGTAAAGGTGTGCTCTAGAGTCTGGTACTGCTTGGTGAGTTCGCGGTCGACGGCCTTGATACGCGTCTTGAAGTTGGCGAGGACGGTCTCGACGGTTTTGACGGCGAGCAGCAGGTTACGACTGAAGCCCGGCCAGAAAAGGATGTTCCCGATGACCTCCTGGCTGGGCAAGTTGCCGTTGATTAGACTGTTGGAGTGTGCCCAGTCGGGCCCACACATGGCGGACAGGCGCTTCCAGATGGTGAGTAGCATGGCGTTGCGCTCATTCAACTGATCCTTGGTCTGTTGCTCGAGGGTGGCGAACCGCTTGCGGTCCTGCGAGCGCGCGGCCTCGAGCTCCGAGATGCGCGAGTTGCTCTGGGTGATGGTGCGCGAGGCGTGATGGTGCGATTTGAGCGCCTGCTCGAACGACTGCTTGTCGGCGCGCCTCGCGGCGCGCTCCCGTTCGAGCATTTCGCCCAGCTTCCGCGACTCCAGCCCGTGGCTCTCGAGCAGGGCGTCGCGGTTGCGAAGCAGCGACTCCTTCTCGTCCAGCGAGGCGCGCACGCTCTCCAGCTCGAGTGCGGTCGACTCGAGCTCCTTCTGCAGCTTGGTGATGTTGGTGATTAGACTGGACCGACTGCCTGTCAGGTCGCCCAGCGTCTCACGCAGGTTGTTCTCCCAATCCAGCAGACGCTCGCGCCAGGTAGTTGTCTCGATCTCCTGCGCCGACAGGCTCTTCTTCAACCGGCGGGCCTCCTCCTTGGCCGCGGCGGCCTCGCGATTCAGCTCGTTGACGATGCGCTGCACTTCTTGCTTCTCCTTGCTGCCAACAACCTCGCGCTGATGACGCTCGTCGGCCAGTCGGTCCTCAAGCTCGCGGGTCTTGTCGCGCTCGCTCTGCAGGCCAAGCTGGTACGTCTTGAGCTCGGACTCGAGGTCGCCAATCTTGATCTTGTCGCCATCCTGTTCCTCGCGCAGGAACGCAATCTCGTTCTGACTCGACTCGTTTTGCACCGTCAGTCGCTGCAGCTTCGCGTTGCTCTCGATCAGCGCCTTCTCCAGCGATTCAATCTCCCGGTTAGACTCCTGCAGCTCCTGCTGCACCGCCTTGTACTTGTGCAGGTTGTTCTGCGCGTCCTCCTCGAGCCGGATGATGCCCTCGCTGGCAGACCGCATCTCCGCCTGCAGCACTTTCAAGTTCGCGTCCTGCGCCTGCAGCTCTTCGTCCAGCCGCTGGCACTCGTCGATCTTTCCTTCCAACTCCTCGCCCAGCGCGTCTAGCTCCTCCTGTGCCTCCGCCCGCAGATCCTGGAAGGCCGCGTCCCGCTCCTCGGCCATGTGCAGCGCCTGATCGCGCTCCGTCTGTAAATTCTGGATCTCCTCCTCAGCCTGATCCACGTCGGCCTGGTACGCCTTGTCGAGGGCGTCTAGCTCCTGCGTGCAATCCTCCAGCTGCGCCCGCAGGGTCTGGTTCTCTAGCTTCAGCGCCGATACCTGGTCGCGCAGCTGGCCCGTCTTGGCCTCCCAGTCGTCACGCTCGGCATCGCTGAGCTGCGACGCACTGCTATTGACACCCCCGCCACCATTATTGAGATGATTATTTGCCGTCTCATCGCTGGTCCGCGACGAAGACCGGACGTGCGCCCGCGAGGCGGAGCGGTCAAAGATGCTGTCGCCGGCGACAGACCGGCCTCCCTCGCGGCGCTGGCCAAGCTTGAGCTCTTCGATCTCCTGGTAGAGGCGCTCCTTCTCCCGGTTGCGCGAGGTAAGCATGGAGGTCTGCGCGCTGACCTCTTTGCGCAACTCGGCATTCTCCTGCTTGAGTAGCTCTAGTTCCACCACCAACGTACTGCTGCCACTCGTCGTGTTACGGTTGATTTCGCGGTCGGAGCTGGTCGCATACGACACCACCGAGCCCATACGATCTCGCGAACCAGGCTTGCTGCTCGAGGTTGCCGCCGCCGCGGACGCCGCGGCGAGGGTTGGGATCAGGTCGGTCTTGAGCCGCAGCATTTCATCACGCAGTCGTTTGTTCTCCTCTTCGGCTTGCTCGCGGGCGGCAGTCTCTGCGTCCAGCATATCTTTCCACATATCCTAGTATCTATTAGTGTCCAAATAAAAGAGAATCCACTATCCGGTAAAAAGAAAACTAAACAGGAAGGCAGAAAACGTACTCTCTCCTCGCGGGCACCCACATCCGAGCCGATGGTCCGGTTATCACTGAGCGACTTGACCATCTCGGCAAGACGTCGCTTCTCGGACTCCCTTGCAATGCTCTCGGAGCGCAGGCGGTCGATCTCGATCTCGTAGGTCTCCATGCGTTCGCGCAGGAAAAGGATCTCTTCCTCTTGTGCGGGGTCGGCGCGATCGTCGTCCTCTGAAGGGGCATCCGGATCATTATTGATCATGGAACCTCGGTCTGACTGCTGATCGCGGTCACGCAGCTGCTTCTCAAGATCGCGGAGCTTCCGCTTCAGGCTCTGGTGTTCCTTTTGTAGACGCAGCTTGTCCGACTTGAGCTCGACGTTTTCCGAGATCATCTCCTTGATGCCTTCCTCGGAGCGCTTGTTCAGCGCTTCGTTGAGGAAGTGGATCCGCATCTTCAGATCAAAATTCTCCTTGGATAGCCGGTCGATCGTGCTGCTCTGCTCCTTGAGGGTCATTGTCTTGCCGCTTCGTGCAAAGGCTGGCGTTGGTGGCGCCCCCGTCCGTTGGTCGAACTTTTCGCGGAATTGCCGCGCAAACGAGCCAGGAACCTGAATATCTTTGACGCGCTCTGTGATCGCCGTATCGGTCAAGGCGCTGAAATCTTGAGGTGCCTGGGTCTGTTGCTGTTGCTGTTGCTGTTGCTGCTGCTGCTCTTGGTGCTGCTGTAGCTGCAAGGTCGGCGGCTGTTTTGCCCTGGGCGTCATGGGTGCCGTCTCCTCTGCAGTCCTGGCTTCCTCCTGATGAGAGGACGACCCCGGACGAGACGTTGAAACCTCTTCCTCATTAAGAGTCTGCAGACCGCCATCAACCAAGCTACCGCCGCCTCCGCCGGTACTGGGGTTTCGCTTCTCCAGAATGTTCTCCTCGCTGTACCCGGATATCCCTGAAGCCATACTCCCCAAACTGACCGACCGGGCCAGGATATTGCGCTTCGCAGTTTGGGAACCGTTGTGGCTGCCGGGTACCGCACCCCCGGATTGCAGTGCGTAGTCTGCACCCAGGGTAGCATCACTGTTGGTCGTCTCTGTATTCGTGCTTGCGACCGATGAGTACGACAAGCGATGCGAGGACTGCCGGCTACTTAAATACTTCGGTCGGCTGCCCCGCACACTGCTGCTGCTGCTGCTGCGTGCGGCTGCAGTATCTGCCTCTGCTTCCGGGACGATATCAGCAAACAGGTTCGACTGTTTGAGGACGGTTCGTGAGAAGATACCTGCACCCAGACCCGCAATGTTGTCTGCATCTGTTGATGGGTGCTCTTGCTGCCCCTCTTCTTGTTGTCGTTGCTGCTCTTGTTGTTCTTGTGGGATGTGGATCACGCTGGCCCCCCGATTCGACGAGGAAAAGGAATATGTCCTGAAATCGTTCCTAGCAGCGGCCGCAGCAGCGGGTGATGAAGGGGGTGACACGTCCAACAGGGTCGAATTGTCTTTATGGCTTGGGGTATTTAGGTCCAGGTGTGATTCCTCGATGATCTCAGGTAACTCCTCGTTCTGCGTATTCTGCGAGACAAACGACAGTTGAACTCCATCAACTGATGGCAGTAGGTTATTCCTGTTACCAGAAACACCGTCGTCATCGTAGTCATCGTCATATTTCCTCTCGGGATTAGTGTAGTCTTCCACACCGACGAGGAAGGTATCGTCCATGCCCTGCCTCTGCCCCGTCGAGGCGATCTCGATGGTCGACGGCTCCGGCAGGAAACTAGACTCCATCTCCATCAGCTTGCGACGCATCTCCTTCTCCTCGATGTACGTCTGATTATATTCCGGTTCGTGGTCATGCTCATGCTCATGCCCATGCTCATGCTCAGCGTCAGGGTCTGCGTCTGCGTCGGCGACCGTGTCGATGTCGTGGTCTGCCAGGAAGCTGCTGCTATCGTCTCGGTCCGTCAGGGAAGGAAGAACCATCGAATCCTGGTTCGAGAGCATGGTATGATCGTCTAGCAATAGCATCGAATGACTGGTTTCATCGGTGTTCTCTTCCTCCATTGTATCCCTCGTTGTTGTTCGTGTTATTGTCTCTGTTGCGGTTTCTTCTTCGGTCCCCGAGTCGGTCGGCAGCGGGACGTCGCGCGCCCCTACAGACAGCAGAGAAGAGCCGTGATCCATCTCGCCGGCATCTGACGACACGCTCACAACGCCAGAGTCTCTCCCTCTGTGGCTGGGGCTGATAATATTGGTGTTGGTGTTGGTGTTGATGCTGTTGTTGGGAGACTCGGTCGACATGGAGACGGGGGGGGAAACTGGACTGGGCCGTTTCTTCTTGTTTTGATTTCTCCGCACCAGCGATAAGCGGAGGGAGCGTCGCGCCATGGTCCTTGTCCAGGACGAGCGAATACTCCTGCCACTATTGATGAATAAATACAGTAGAGAGATCGAGTGTTTTTTTTATGAGGGATGGAAATGGTCAGGAAATGGTCAGGAAATAGGGAGGTAGAAGGGAGTGTGCTCTCTCTATGGATGTTTATGGAATGTATGTAGTAACATATAGTACACCAAGACGAGACGAGTTTAATTGACAAGAGAATAGTATTTATTGCAAGGAGAGAGAAGAGAATTCAGGAATATCTCAGGGTAATCAGGGTAATGGTGTGGTAGAGGCAAAATGCATGCCACGTCAGTCTGCAGTTCTCATCTTCCCATTGTACGTATATACTATGTCTGTGGTAACTATCACTTCAATTCTTATATACTAATAATGGTTTCAGCTTATTACATACAGGAAGGTCCCGGAAAAACAAGTCATAAGCCCCAGACGTGAAGAATCTAGAAGAATGGGGGGGGAGAAGGAAGAGAAGAAAGCTCAAGGTCCCTAGGGATCAATAATATACATGAAGAATAGGTGATAAAAGTGTTGTCGTAGAAGAGTGAGAATCTCGAGGGAATGAGCCGTAAGTCGTCATGAATAGCAAAAAAAAAAAAAAAAAGAGATAGAAAAGAAGAAAGAAAGGAGGAAAGAAAGGAAGAAAGGGGGAAAAAAAGATCACTCTGTAGCATCGACAGCCATGTCAGCAGCCATGTCAGCTAGGTGCTCTGCACGCTCAGCCTGGATCTTTTGCTTCTGCGCAATAGCTCCATGAAGGGAGTCGATATAGGTGCGGAACTTGACGATCTCACGCAAGAGATACGACGACTTGCGCTCCCAGTTGGCCATGGCCTTGGTCGCATTGGGGTGTCGGGGCGAGAAGGCCAGAATCATGGCCGGGCGCAGCTCGTTATGCTTCTGCAGCTCCTCTTCGACATTCTTGACGTACCCCTGCAGCGCCGCCAGCTGTTCCCCCTCCGGCAGGCCCGACGCCATCATGCTCTGCTGTGGCGGCGCCCAGTCGCTGATGTGCACCCGGTCCGCCGGCAATCGGGGACGGACCACTTGCTGATCGATCGAGCTGCGGATCGAGCTCTGGATACTTGGGCGAGGCTGCTGCGCGTGTGGCCCGGACGAGGAGGTCGGCGGCGACTTGGTAGTATTGTTATTGTGATTGTGATTGTGATTGTGATTGTTGCCGCTGTCCGAATGGATGAGAGCGCTGTTGATCACCGCGTCACTCCACCCGTACTCGATGTTGCTAATGCCGCCCACCAGAGGCTCCTTGGAGAGTCGGGCACTCCAGTAGTTGGCCGTGGAGACGAACTCGCGCACAATCTCCGGCGTGCCCACCTGGAAGAGATGCACCGCCCCCGTCGGCAGGCTGAGCGCCCACACGTGTGGCCGCGACTTGGAGTAGCCCGGCGGCGGCAGCGCGCTCGCGATGGTCTGTCGAAGCAAGAACTTCCAGATCTCCTCTGCGTTCTCCGTCCAGTTGCCGCCGCCCACCACCACGCCGCCCGGCTGCCGCTGCTGCTGCCGCGCCTTGTGCTTGCCCGCGCTGAACGAGAAGAGTCGCATCCACCCTTGCTGGATGACGGCGAAGCACTCGCTCCAGTTGCGGTCCTTGGCCCGCTTATCCACCGAATCCAGGTGGTGCTTGTGCTTCAAGCTGCCTTCCTTGGCCCATGGCGCCCCCGCCAGCTCCAGCGTGTCATCCTCCAACAGCGATCCCGCCCCGCCCTCGCCTTCCTCAAAGCTCAGCATCGAGTGCCCAGAGTCCTCGCGGATGATGGCGTGGCTCAGCGCGTTCGCAAACCCGATCGACTGCTGGTAGTCGCCTCGCGGGTACTCCGACCCGAAAGAGTCCACCGACACCGACGTCAGCTTCCCCAGAGAATACTTGCTCCAGGTACTCGACCCGGAGGGACTCCACAGTGACGACTGGTCGTCCAGGCTGGTCCGGCTCGACCCGATGTTCGAAGACGGATACAGCCGCGCGCGCGACCGAGGCTTGGACGACCAGCGCGCGCTGCCATACCGCGAGTCCGCAGACCGGCCGCGAGGGTAGATGTCTGAGCCCGACTTGCTCAGCGTGCTAGGGCTGCGGCGTAAGACGTTCGCTGTCGGTCCAAGCAGATTGGCAGTCGACAGCCGTGATCCGGCGGGGGGCCCTTCTTTCTCCGGCGGAGCCCCATACAAGGGGAGCTTTTGCTTTTGAATGGAACTGTAGAAGTCCCGGAGAACGATCTCCACCTGAGCCTCCCAGGCGCGCATCGTGCCGTTGAAGGGGGATCTGACCAGAGGCCCTGCATCCCCTTCCACGTCTCCGCCGACGAGCCGAGGAACATCTAGCCGTTGGGCCCGGTCAGGGGAGGTCCGACCAGTCTCCTCTGCCGGGGCAGAGTGAGGCTTGCTCGCGTCCGCTTCGCTGGAAGACGTCTTGGTTCGGGTGGGAGCTCGGATGGTCTGAAAGGCATTGGGCGCTGCGTCAACAGCGACACGGTGGATGGTGGGTAGCGTGTTTTTGACGAATTGGTTTTTAGTCATTTTCTGCTCAATATCGGCCAAATGCAAGTCTGTGTTCAATAAGAGAATAGAGTAACAGATCGTGTGGACCACATCTAATCACTGTTAGTTTCTACTTTAGAAAAACTCAGACAATGGAACAAACCAACCTGCGGCTTTGAATCCATGTTGCGGATTACATTCGCACCATCGGCTGGAAAAGGCATCCAAGACCCGATCGACCTGCTGGGTCTCTCCCTTGAGGACGAGGCGGGTGCACAGGCTGCGCAGAGCAGCCAGGATGTTCATGTTGGACCAGTCGAAGAGATCCATGTATGCGCTGCGCACCAGCGCACGGGCAGGGTCGCCCAACCACGCGGCCGCGGGTTCGTTGCCAACGATCTCGTCCTGGCTCTCGTACAGTTTCTGCGCCTGCTCACGGTCTGTAGCACGTGGCTGGTGGTGCTCGCCCTCAGCGATGACCTCGTCCGGATCAAGGTCGTCGTCATCGCCCGTCCGCGCCTCGACAATCTCTGACAGTCTCGGATCATCTGAGGGGACAACCGGCGTGTTAGATGCTGTGAAGTAATTAGAGTACTCGGAAGCGGAGGCACTGGGAGGATCGGCCAGGAGCTCCTGTGATATGGAGCCCCCACGGGATCCGGGACCGTCGTCGCTGGAGAGCTGCTTCGCCAATGAAAGGCTCTTGATCGACGCATCCTTGTCGGGTAGGGTATCTGTCATGGCAGTCTGGACGGTGAGAGAGCCCCGGCTAGGATGACGTTGACCTGTGTATGATTTCGGATCTGTCGCCATGGCAGTGGTGCCGGTGGCTACTACACTATCTCTGTGACTGGTGGTGGCGGTAGAGACCACTCCATCGGCAGATTTGCTTGCTCTTTTGGCATTGCCAGCGTCCTGTGAAGCTGCGTTGGCAGGATAGAGACTGTATCTGGACCCCGCCGCTGCTCCCCCACCGACAGATGCGGGGACAGTCGTGTCTTTTGATGGCTCTGGCGGTTCGCTCTCTGCACGTCCAGTGGAGGCGAGGGGGGCCATCTCCCAGTCGGGCTTGTCTCTGGTTACCACCGCGAGGCCAGCAGGAGTCCCGTCGGCCAGGAACGGGTTCATTACTTTCCGCAAGCTACTGACGGGGCTCGGTTGAGGCTTGAGCAGGTCGACGGGCCTTGGGGCTAGCTCCTGGGGAATCACGATCGGCGGCGGCACGCTTTCGACCATGGACTTCTTCCGCCTCCGGAAGAACGAGGGCTTCTTATTGACCACATGCAAAGGGGTTGACGAGGCGGGTGCAGCTCCTCCTCCTGATGTGTTGTTGTGAGTATTGCCATGACTGCTATTCTTTGGCGGTGATTTTCGGTTGTGGGCATGAACTCCGGTACCTGACGCCTCGCGCGCGTCACTCTCCGACAAGTACGGAACGTCTGGTTGGTGATAATGGTCGGTCGGACCAGGTGACGAGCTCTTTGACGAGCCAAATACGCGTCGAAAGAACCCTGGGCGCTCCTTGGTCGGGGTCGGTTCCGTGGGCGGGATCCACGGTTTGTTGAAGGAAATGGTTGGACTCGGGGCAGAGGGATCCAGAGTGGTTGGTGCAACGGGGGGCATTTCTAGACCAGCTGCCGCTGCCGCCGCCGCCGCCGCAGCAGCAGCAGCAGAAGAAGAATTATTCTCTGTTTGATTTCTAAACTCTCCATCCCGGCTCTTGACAGTTCCCGTGCCCAGATTGTCTGTTTTCCCCTTGCGAGCCTGGTTAGCTCGCGAGGATTTGGCACTGTTTTTGCGGGAGAGGGCCTGTTGGCGGGCGGCCTGGTATTGGATCGGCTGGGGATAATCGTCGGGGCCCTGGATGAACTGTTTGCGTCGCCTAGCGGGAACACTGGGTGTGGGTGCGGCGTCGTCGTCCAACTCGGACAGCGGGAGGAAGGCTGGTCGGGAGCCGTAGTCGAAGCTGGCGGAGCGTCGCTCGGTGGTGACGGTGGCACGAGCACTAGCGAAAGATGGCCCAGGGTCAATGTGAGACGAAGCACTGCCTTTGCTCCCTTTTCTCGTCCCGTTGACGCGCGCGCCAGCGCTTGTACCTGCGCGTTGTTGTTCACCCATGTGACCACGAGACGACGGGGGCAGCGACATGGCCGCTCCGTCACGGCTGCTCCCCACCCTCCTCAGTCCCATCTGGTAGATAGAGCTGCTGTTGCTGCGTTGGCGGCGGGCGAAGCGACCTGTGGTATCATCATAGTGAAAGTCAACCTCGGAGGAAACGGAGGAGGACAAGGTATGGCCGCGGTAACGGCCCTGGACGGTGGAGGCGGGGGAGCTCGAGGCTGCGGCCAGCTCGTAGGGGTCGGTCGAGGACTCGAAGACCGAGTTGAACAGCCGATAGTCGTCGAGGATGGAGGAGCCGGCAAAGGCGAACTGGTCGAGCGACAGCAGCATGTTGTCGACAATCGAGGTGCGGGTGGCATGCTGGGGGGAGAGCGACAAGTCATGGGGGTCCCGCTCATCGCCCGACTCCTCAATATCCGCCCTCTCGGTCTCAGTGGGCGTAATGTCGTCGAGGAAGGTCTCGCGCATTGGAGGGCGGGTCTGGAGCCCTTTGTTGGCGGCGTCGGGCCTCGACGTTGCCGTCTGGGACGGGGGCGTTCGCGGCGGCGACGACGAGTTCACCTCCCCATCCGACCGCTGCTGCTGCTGCTGCTGATGGCGTGACTGAGACATCCTCAGGCTCGAGGATCGCGAGAGTCGGACCATGGATATACCTTGTGTAGTCAGAAAGAGTCCCCGCGTTGGGTTCCTCTTTCCGGGAGACGGGGGAGAGCGACGTCCTCTTGTTGTTGACGACAGCAGCCGTACCAGTCTGTGCCAGGCTGTACCACCTGTATCACCTGTATCACCTGTATCACCTGTATCACCTGTACTACCCAGGGTGGATTCTTTCGACAGAACGAGGCAGGAGGAGGCGATTAGCAGCGGATTATTTGCGATTCCAACCGACGTTGCAAGGCATGGATGTGGGTAACCGGGCGGCCATCGATCGGAGACTGGAATCGTCAATTGTTGGGTATATCGAAGGTAGACTGCCTGTTGTCATCTATTCTCGATAGTTTCTCCGTCTCTCTCAGTGTGTCTCTCGCTGATTGTGCTGTACTGTAGAAGTAGAAGTAGAAGACAGGGGACAAGGAGAAATAGTCGATAGGGGCGGAGCACGGACAGGATAGAGTAACTAGTCGATTACTTTGATAAATAATACCTGATAAAATAACCAAATAATGAGCTCTTCGATAGAAATAATAAGATATTTATTCGATTTCGTATAGAATTTTGATATTTATCTCTGATTCTACTCATCATTCGACCTATTCCAGACGGAGTGTTGTGTTGACTCCAGACATCAGGATGAGAACTGTTGGTAGTGCAGGACTATAGTTATTGTTAATTTGTTACAAGGATCAGATCCTTGAGGGCACCTGCAGGACTTGTTTCACTCTCTGACATCTCGACGTGGCGACTGTATATTATTCATGTAGTAAGTACAATTGACAGAGGAGAATAGAGAATAGAGAATAGAGAATAGAGAATTATAGGGAAGTAGCTAATAGTAACTATGTAACTAGTACCCGTACAGAGTAGATGCTAGATAGATACTCATAACAGTACTCGACCATTATAAATCTGCATAAAGAATCATCTTCTAATACTATAATATGATAAATATCAATATCAATTGATCATTGTAGCTAATAACTGATAATTAAGTCCCTCGGGTGAAGTGCTGGAGATTGGCGGATGACTAATCGTAAGCACGTCACACCTCAACCTCAAAGGCCAGCAAGGAACAGGAGAGAATCTGTCCAGCTTCAGCATCCCTCCTGACAGAGACTCACGGTCTCTCGTCGGCATGAACCCTCACATCTCTGTTCCACGGCAACATGCTGCCGCGTCGGGGGCCTTTGGTGGTCCCTCGTCCGGCCACAGGGCGAATCTCAGGATGCCGCGTTTCTTCAAGAGGTGACGAGTTACAACCAGTTGGAAAGAAGTCGAGTGTTCTCTGTCTAACTGACCAGGCTGTTTAAGTTCCCCCAGATGGACTTTGAGATGGCGATCTGGGAGATGACCTCGCTGCTCATAGCGCCCAAGAAGGTGTTCAAATCAATATACTACCATGTACGCTGTTCCCTAGTGAACCAACGAGCCTAAAACCTTTGATCGAACACATGCTGATTATCTTTTTTTTTTTTTTTTAGAAACGTACGTTTTGAATATCCCTCTGACGTCCTCTTACTTATCGAGTTAGAAACAAAAAACACCTGGCACCGCCCCGACCCCTCCTTCACCTACATTCTCGCCTTCTTCCTCCTCCTGACGGCTATCGCCTGGGGCGTTGCGTACACCCCCTCCTTCGGGGCCATCGTGCGGCTCTCGCTGCTCTTCATCTTTGTGCACTTTGTCGGCTCCTCGCTCGCCGTCTCCACCCTCGCATATCTCGTCATCGGCCGTCTGTTCGGCCCTAATGGCGCCGCCGCCTCGTTGACGGGGCTGAGAGGTGCCCGCGGTCGTCGACGAGGCGCTGCCCAGGGTTTATTTGTGCAGCCAGGCGAGAAGGATCAATTGGAATTCGGCTACTGTTTTGACGTACGTGGAAAGAGAAAAAAAAAAAAAAAAACTTTTGCTAACTCTTTAGGTCTCCAATCGAGCCTTCTTCCCTCTCTATCTCCACCTATACGTCGTGCAATTCCTGCTCCTCCCCCTCCTCACACGCAGCCCGAGCAACTTCTTCACCACCTTCCTGGGGAACACGCTTTATCTCTCTGCCCTCATATACTACACCTACATCACCTTCTTGGGGTATAATGCACTGCCCTTCCTGCATAACACCGAGCTGCTGCTGCTTCCTATCCTTGCGCTGGCTATTTTATGGCTTGTCAGCTTGATTGCCGGGTGGGGGGTTGTCATGCAGGGCCGTGGCGTCGAGGGATTGTTCTGGGGTGTATAATAACATTAGATCATTAGTCTTAGCATGTCAGGAGTACGGAGTAATCGTTATACAATTTGGTTACAGAATTACTTGTACGATCAGCAAGTTAATGTAAAAAGGGTTCTTGATCTGTCTTGTATATTTATTTCTTCCCCTTCTTGGGCTTGCCAAGGGCAGCCTCACGCAACTTGTTCTCCCGCTCCTCGCGCGCGGCGTTCCGTTCACGCTCGCGCTCCAGCTTCTCCTCCTTCTCGGCCTCCTTGCGAGCCCGTTCGGCTTCACGCCGCTCCCGCACGAGCGCCAGGCGTGCCAGATCGGCGCGGGCCTCGTCCGTCTTGCCCTCTGCGTGGAGCTTCAGGTACCGCTCTCGCGCCTGCTGGGCTTCGATCGCCTCACGTTCCCGTCTAGACAGCTGGGAAGTATCTTTGACTTTATCTTGTCCTCCAAGTCCTCTCCCAGAAGCTCCTCCTGCTCCTCCTGCTCCTCCTGCTCCCCTTGCTGCTGCTGCTGCTGCTGCTGCTTCCCCCGCTGGTGGTGATGATGTACCTCCACGACTCTTCTCCAGCTGCGAGCGCGATTTCGCCGTGTGGTTCGGGTTAGCAGGCAGATCTGCGTCCGAGTCGTCCGAGTCGTCGTCCGATCCACCGTTCGCGGCTCCTCCTGCTTCTCCCTCCGAGTCGGAGGGGGGCAGGTCGCCCGGCTGCGCTGCAACCTGGTTCTTCCTTGCGATGGCGGCTTGTTTCTTGGCTCGCGCGGCGGCACGGCGTTCCTCACGGCTCAGACCTGCTTCCCCTGCTGCTGACGAGGATTCGGCGGGCACGCGGGTCTCGTCGTCCTCGTCGCCAGAGGATTCCTCGGACGATTCTTCAGAGGAGTCGCTCGCTTCTTCGGTCTCCTAGTTGTATTATTAGCAGTCATTAACCGTACTCCATCGAACAGTGCCTGCTGCTTACCCGCCATAACCCCACGGCATTGCCATCCTTGTCAACTGGCTGCACGTCCCGGCTGAAATGCTTGCCTCCTATCTTCTCATCAGTCTCGGGGGTGTAGAGGGTAAAGAGTGACGGTAGATCGTACCTCCTCGAGAGGGCTTTGAGAACTTTCCACCTCGACCGCGAGGTGCCATTTTTTTCTCGGAAAGTAGATAAGGTTATCTTTGTAAAAAAAAATCTGGTTCTCACCGTTAGACAACAATAATGAATGAGTCGCTGGGCACGCGAGGAGGGGTAATAACCTAGCAGTACCTTGAAGCCACCGGTCCTTGAGATGGAGATAAAGAAGCGTACGGAGTATCTGAGTATCTTGAATATCTCAAAGTATCTCAAAATACATCAAACACTCAAAAGATCTACCCGTTCACAAAATTGTTCAGTCTTTCTCTCTCTCTGTGTAAAAGATTTGGACCCCGCCAGAAACAAACCAGGCAAATCATAGGAGAGCCAATCAGCAGATCAAGAAAAGTAACACAAACACTCCAGGTGAAGGTACTCCTTCTTACCTCTACTACCTCTACTCCTTGCTTGATCCCTACGATGGATAGATTATCTAATTACTTGGATTAAGCTTCAGATTCACTGGAAGGTTTTTCTATCAGATGGGAGGATCTATGCTGAGCAGTTCAGGTGTAGTAAGACCTACTATCTAGCAGGTCTAAGGTATCCAGTTACAAGGATTGAAGAATATTAATGGCTCATCGCTAATCATCACTATCTAGTCTTCTTTCTCTTCTTCATTTTCTTTTTCAGAAAATTGTTGAGAATCTATGTCCGCCCCCAGGCAAAACCCAACTTGGCATACCGTGCAGCGGCGAGAGTCAACGCCCCGGCCATGATGGCGGTACCCATGAACATCTGGGCGCCGATGTACTTCCCTCCATCGGAGGTGACAAGAGCGCCGGCGATGGGGGAGCCGATGAGGGCGGCGGTGCCGACAACGCTCATGACCATACCCATGCGGACGCCGACCTTGGAGATATCAGTGGTGAGGGAGCTGAGGGTGGCGGGGAACATGGACTGGATGGTGGCGGCGGAGAGGCCGTACACGCCGGCAAAGGCGTACAGGCCCGCGACATTGGTGACACCCGCCCAGCAGTAGGCGATGATTGCCGTCGTGAAGCTGAAGGGGATCACGATGTTCAAGGGGCCGGTGTACTTGTCGGCCATGTGGTTGGGTAGGATGCGGTTCACTATACCGATGCCGTTCATGAGGAGCAGCAGGTAGACCGAGGTTGATTCGGAGACACCGATGATATTTGTGGCGAAGCTGCCGATGTAGAAGAAGCCAATGTACAGCCCCCAGAAGTTGAAGAACATGCCCAGCGCGAAGAGGGCGTAGGGGGCTTCCTTGAAGGCCGCCCATTCGACCAGGGGCCCGCTACGGCGCGAGGGGACCCGGTGCGTCAGGAACACGCCGCAGGGGATCAGGGTGACGAGCGAGATGAAGCCCAGCGTGCGCATCGTCCAGCCGTATCCGATGCGTGGCAGCAGGCGGATGATGACCGCGGGAAAGACCAGGCCTCCCGTGGACGAGCCGGCGGTCGCGAGGCCGATGGCCATGGAACGGTTCTTGGAGAACCAGGTCGAGAGCAACGCAACGGTCGGGCAGAACATCATCCCGCACCCAAGCCCCTGCCCGATCCCCTGCGCGAGAAAGAGCTGCCAGTACTGCGTGCACAGCGAGGCCATGAAGATGCTGAACAGCTCCACCACCGCGCCCGCCGTCCACACCAGCTTGAAGAAGCCGGCGTCCGTCGCGCGCCCGGACAGCGTGCCGATGAAGAACAGCAGGAAGATCTGCACGCTGCCCACCCACGAGATGTCCGACGCCGACCGCCCCAGCGTCTGCGAATAGTACGTCTGGAACACGCCGAAGCTGTTGATATACCCCCACGTGTTGAAGATCACCATGTGTGCCAGCACCACCTGCAGCCACGCCTCTGAACCCCCGTCCGGCGGCGGGCCGATGCTCTTCTTCGACTCTCTCGTGCGCACCCGCGACAGCGTCCGCACCAGCATCGACTCTGGCGGATTGGCAGATGTAGTGGTGATATTGTCGGGCTGTGCCTTGCTCTGTCGGGTTGGCTCATTCTCTCCGTCGGCCGGCATGGTTTTTTCTCGAAGCCCGTCATTGACTGCTCCTGAACTCTGGTCTTCCTCGATCTCTGTCGATGACAATGAGAATGGAATCGATTGTCTTTCCTCGTCCATCTCTCTCTCTCTCTCTCTCTCTGCCGTTTCTCGTCTTGATTATACAACAGTTTGGATTTTATGTGACGGTGGATCATCCATTGAATTTCTTTCTTTTCGCGATTAACTGGATCGCAGGTGTGAATTGATAAGCGCCGAACAGCCAAACCGGAACAGATCCTTGAAATCAACCAAGTATTACAGAGTACAGCAAGGTTTTATTCTCTGACTCGACATACTTTCCGGCGGCATACTCAATTGGGGGCCGCGCAGCAAGGGGGGCGTTCACCGTCCCGAAAACAGAACAGGATTCGATGTTCGGACAAGACACTAAAACTAGTTGAATCCTCGCCACGAAGTCCGATCAGGATGAGATAACATCATCGAATAGCTGGTAGTGGAGTACGGACGGAGGACTCCGAAGACGTACTACATAGTGTGACTCGGCATGGGCTCACAATTAATAATGGGAATCCTGTCATACCCTTATTTCATGATCTATTAGTAAATGGTTCTCACGTAGTATTAATTAGCTAAGTTGAATAGAATTTTCCATGTAGATCCACTCCAAGTCAGCACAAGATCCTTGTCACTCAAAAGTATGACTCAACTTGAACTATGGAGTACAGAGTAGAATACGGAGTATGGAGTAACTATGTAGTACAACGGGCAGCCTTATCTATAACTTAATTCCTCCTTACCTTACGAAGTGAATCTGCAAACTCCGTAGTATGCCCATGGACGCCTTATCATACATCAGCTACTAATATGATTTGTCTAGAGAACTAGAATAGCAGCTTCCATGTACAGACTTACCATTAATTATCTAGATAATGGCTACTAGAATTTTCGCAAGAGGTGGAGCGATCTATAGTAATCCATTTACTAGTCCTAGACCCTCTGTAGACCCTCTGTAGACCCTTCTAGAAAGCTCTCTCTACTAAAGCGAGGTGATTGGGGTTACTTAAGTACAATACCTGCCTATATTAACCCTCCATATAAATACTGATATAAATCATACTTAACTTTCTGGCATTAATGCCATGAGGTACTCCGTACAAGGTAGCATAAGAATAACTCGCAAGGCCTATGTAAGCAACAACATCATGGGACCCTCATACTCTCGAAAGCCAGCCCAGAGGACAGTCTGTCATGTAGTCCAGAGTCATATCTATCTGTCTACAGTGAAAATATTCATTTCCTTTTATCGGTCTTGGAACGATATACTATGTATGAGCCAACAAGATGATCATGATGTCTTTGAAGCTGATTAATTAAGAAGTGTGATATCTAGAAAACCTAGCCAGGTAAGCGCTTCATACGGAGTATACTCCCAAACCCATTCATTCCTTGCCAATGGCCCACCAAGTGTATATGTACGTAGTACTAGTACTCTATGATACATACGGACTGCTTGTATGGCCTCTTCCCCCACCCCCGCCAAGCCGGAACGGCCCGTCGGATACTCGGAACAGTCTACTCCATATAACTAAGGTACATGGATGCTAATTATTAGGTATTGTGAATGACTTTATGATATTGGCTCTAGCCAATGCTTCTCGAAAATATCGAGTTATAAACTTTAGATTCTTTATCTTTCTATCCACTGTAAGAAAAAAGAGCTGCAGAATAAAGCATGGGCTATCAATCAATAAATGAGTGATGGGAAGACCTGATCAATCCTGCCTAGTCCTTGACCAGCAAAACAACCACGGGGTCATCATATAGTCTAGAGCGCTAGTGGATCAATTCATGGATCATTGCAAGATATATAAAGCTAGATGGTCAGGTAATGAGCAAGCACACAGCCACCTCGTCTAGTAGTCTGGGGAGATTGAGCTGGTGTTCAGTGACGCTACTGTGGCAATCACGTCCGCAGGTTCCAGCAGATGCCAGCTAGCAGCCGTCTGCTTCGAGCTCGCCCCAACAGTAACCGAATAGACATGGTCGGAGGGCAGGTTGAAGGAGCTCAGAGCGCGGAACATATCTAGACAATCAGCACCCATGAAAAAATGTATGTTAAGAAAAAATAGAAAAGAAAAAAGAAATCCCACCTTCATCAGTGAAGTCATCCCCCAGGCAGAGGATGAATTCCGGTGCCTGTCCCGGCTCCGTGCCGTATTCTTGAACCAACCGGCTCGCAATGAACCCTTTGTTGACAAAGGTCGGTCGCACCTCAAGGTTCGCTTTGCCAGCCATGACTTCAACGTCCCATCGCTTCGCCACCGTTTCCTCCAAGTGTTTCCGACATTCCCGGGCCTGGAAGGCGCCATATTCGGGATCGGCACGCCGGTAGTGCCAGGTCAGTGCCACACGTTTACGCTCAATGAACGACCCCTGGGTCCGTTCTGTGTAGTGCTGGAACACTTCCACCACTTCCTTCTGCCAGCCCATATTCGTGCTTTCGGCCAAGTTCTCCCAGTCATCGGAGCAGGGCTGGCGGATAAAACAGCCGTGTTCCGCACTAAGACCCAATTCGGGTATATGGCCCATCCATTCATCGAGGAAGGCCTGATCACGCCCACTAATGATCCATACGGCATTTCGGGGGTCAGCGGCCAGCGACTTGATGGTCCGCAGCACCCGATCGGACGGGATGGCGGCCTGAGGATCCTTGACGATGGGAGTCAGAGTGCCATCATAGTCGAACATGAAGAGTCGCTTGCGAGCTTTGCGGTACTGTTTGAGAAGTTGTGCGCGGTCCAAGGCAGGTGTGGCGGCAGACTGGTCGAACGAAGATAGGTTTGTCAGTAGACGGTGCAGGTACTGTCTGGACCAAGCCGACACTGTGTTCGTGGTCGCATGCTTGTAGAGTTTCAAGTGCTGGGCCTTCTTTTCCTCAGTTGGCATGGTCAGGGCCTCGTTGATGGCCGCGGCGACACCATTCAGATCCCAAGGGTTGATGTGGATAGCACTAGGCAAAGTCCCGGCTGTCCCCGAGAATTCCGACAGGATCAGAGGGCTATGGTTGCCTTGCTGGCAGATGATGTACTCCAAGCTGGTCGTATTCATTCCATCCCGAACAGTGGTGATCAGACCCACGTCAGCCGCCCGTAACAGCGCAAAGTACTCATTTTGTGAGAGATATTGAGGGTAGTACTGGACGGGGGAGAAGCTCAAGCACCCGAAACGCCCATTAATTGTGGACACCAGATTTGACACCTGGCTTGCGATCTTGTTGTCCGGGTCTTCCTTTTCCTCTTCAAAACTCGTCGGACTCGTCACCTGGATCATGACAACCTTGTCGCGCCATTCCGGATAGCGCTCAAGAAAGAGTTCAAACGCCTGGAGCTTCTGAGCAACACCGCGAACACTGTCTAGACGGTCGCGACCAACGATGATCTTCTTGCCTTCGTACAGCCTTTGCAGGCCCAGCACGGCTTTCTCGATCTCTGGGGCACTAAAAGCGGATTTTTGGATTGCAGTGGCATCAATACCGATCGGGAAGACATCAACAGCGACATGTGCGCCATATGCATCCACGCCGGCAGAATTCGAGTCAAACCCAAGCACCCGTGTGCAGCAGGACGAAAAGTGGCGAGAGTAAGAGTAGGTCTGGAAGCCGATCATATTGGCGCCGAGAACGCCGGTAAGGACTTCCTTTCTCTTGGCCAAGCAGCGCATGAATTCGCTGCTGGGGAAAGGGGAATGGAGGAAGAAGCCAATGTAGACGTTGGGGATACGCTGTCGCAGCATACCGGGAAGGAGGAACAAATGATAATCGTGGATCCAGACGATGTCACCCTCCTGGTATTCCGCCAAAATGCGGTCGGCAAACAGGCGGTTCAAGCGAACATAGTCCCCCCACCATTTGCGTTCCGATCTCCCATCCGTAGGGCCATGTTGCTTATAATGCAGCAAAGGGTACAGCTCTCGTTCTGCGTATCGTCTCCACCTTGGCTGATCTTTCAGGGAAATTGAATCTGCGGGTTCCTCTGATTCATCGAACAGCCAGACAGGTAGAATCCGACCGTATCTTCCAGAACTCAATTGTGACTCAAGTCGATTTCGGTCTTCTTTGCTCACGGTTATCCCCTCGACCTGAGGATGACTGACCGGCTTCTGAGCAGCACCGACCGGGACAGGGGCTGCTGCTTTGTTCAGAGGGGCCGCGGGCCCCTTTGAAGTGGTCGAGACTTTCCCACCTGCATTGACCGAAACTTGCTGCAACGGCACCTTGAAGTCTGTCATAGGGTCAACCTCGCCAGTCCAGGCAACAAGCGTGTGCGACCATTTAGTCGCGTTGGAGGCAAGATAAGCGAATGAATCGAACAGCGCTGATGTCCCAGGACGATGGTTCAATTTCTGAGAAAAAAATCTTCAGTCAGACCTTTGTCTAGCTCTAAAAAGGTAAAGGGGAAAAAAGATAGTGCATCCATACCCAATCCGATTCCGGTTGATGTTGAACCTTGTATGGGATACAAAAGGCAGCACTGATGATCCGGCCACTCAGAGACAGCCCAGGATATTCCTCACGGGAATCTACTTCTGGTAAAACAGGAGTAACGGCGCCAACGAGACTCAAACGACGCAACAGTTCTGGGCCTGATGAGGCATTTTTTGCGGCTTCAGCGGGGGAGGCGGGGGAGGTCTGGTCATCCAGCGGGGTTTGGGAGCCACTGGATCCGGGAATCTGGCTGAAATAGGAGGGCGCATCGCTCGAGGCAGGATCCTGCGTGCCAGTTGACATGCCCGGGGTAACGTTGGAGGCCTTGGTATAGGCTTCTTCTCCCAGTGTCTTCATCCCCGGCCCGACCAAGACCGGGTTCGGCTGGTGGTCGGGAATTGGCGGGGCAGGACTATCTCCAGCAGACATGGCGCGAGGTAGAGGTTGACGGAGTGAACAGAAACGTAGAGGAGGGAGAATGATGGCAACTATTTACATAAATGATTGTCAGAATTCATCGCTTTCAAGTTGGAAAGTCATACGGCGAAAACTGTATGTCGGGCGTGGAAGGAGGGGCAGCAGCTGCAGACTGCGTCATACCGGAAAAGGTTAATCAAAGAAGAAGTAAACAATTGATCGAGTCACTATAATGGGAATCGGCGAGCCATGAGTATCATTCAACGATCAATGAGGCGAGATAAAATATTGCAAGCGAGGTTCGGAGGGAATTATTTTAACTGTTGTAGCAGCAGTAGAGAGAGAGGGAGGGAGGGAGGGAGAGAGAGACAGGCGGCGGTGAGAGTAACGCGAAATCCGCCGATGACCTGATGAGAAATCAGGGCAACAGGCACAGACCGTGAGAGGGGTAAAGTCTCGGGGATGGCCAGGGAATAGATAGAGAGCAGGGTAGAAGGTGATAACGCTCCACGGCGAGGTTCCTTTTCCCTTCGACCAGACACTTACTGGGATAGAAGGAAAGTAGGCGGTGAGCTGGCCACGAAGAGGAGTTTAAAGGGGCCCAGGTCGTTTCCAGTCGACCTCCTTTTTCACGCTGCCCTTTGCGGCTTTCTGTCGGTCTGCAGTCCCTTTGTCATTCAAGTGCCTCGGGCATAATGAGGGGTTCTAGAAGTGAGAATGCCCGCCAGTTGGATAAATATAGACGCCGCAATGGTGCGTTGGCGGGGGGGTAAGAGCGCCCTCGAGTCCACTTGAGTCCAGGCCACCAGAAGGCGCGAAACAGACACCGCAAAGCAACACGTGTTGGGGGGCGTAGTCGGATAAGACACAGAGGGGACTTGATATGGGTTCTGGACGAGCTCAAAACCCCCTCGTCGACGCAGAAGAACTCCAGACCCTGGCCAAACTGATATTTCCGTCCGCTGCTGCGCAGTACGTCATTCCCGGAACGCGAGTCCAGTGGTCACGTGTTTTATGACTCAGCATCGGTCCCGGGTCACGGGTTATCGTCCACGTGATTTTATTCTTTAATGACTCTTTGAGGCTGGAGCTTTGAGGCTGGAGCTGAGCAGTAGGAAAGAACGGAGAACCATCTGCAACGCCTCTAATGGCGTGACGATGCCCATCGTGCAGTCCTCTTTGGTAGCGCTGTCTCTGCCGCGTCGAAAGGTCCTGCTCCCACCAGCTCTGTGTCGGTTTTGCCATGCGTCTTCTCCATTCCTGAAAGATGGACGCGATATCTATCCAGATAACCTCGCCGAGACCCTCCAGGCACACAGGAATACGAATAGAGCCCGGCTTATCCGCAAAGTGTATACGCTGAAACCTCCTAAGGGTATTCGTCGTCCAGTCCTGCTTCCCCCAATTGTCACCAACCCTGAGAACACCCCGACGACTCCGGCGGCAGTCCAGCCTGGGACTGCGTCGAAACCAGCGAAGAAGGCGACCGCCCCCGGGCGAAAGGCGTTACGCAACCGGGGGCATTCCAAAACCGCTGCTGAACTCGCTTCAAGATCCGATAACTCACGGAAGAAGGAGGGTACAGAACTTCAATGGGCTGTGGAAGAGCCGTACCGGCCTGGGCAATATCCATGGCTCCTGTCTATGCGCTCCAGAACCGAACAAAGGGAGGCAAGCGAGTGGCTTGATGCGGAGATCAGAGCCCTGGAAACATATATATCCCCCACACACCAGGAGCAGACTGCTGTCGACCACATCGTGTCAGACCTTGCCGAAACCCTTGATCACGACGTGCCGTATCCTCTACAACTCGTTGGCTCTCGGCAAACAGGGCTGTCACCAAGCCATGCGGACCTGAGCTTTGTTCTGGTGGTCGAAGACAACGAAGGGGCAGGGGGTGGATTCCGGAAACCAAGTGCTACCCGTCCAAAAGTCATGGCTAGATACTTGAACCTGTTGCGTAAAGCGCAGCACGTGCTGGTTGGAAAGGCAGCGTTTCGTGACATCCGTCTGGTGGGCAAACGTATGCCTGTGCTGACATCAGTTCACGTACCGAGTGGGCTTTCAGTGCGCTTTTCCTGCAAAGAAGGGCTGCCTGCGTTTCCTGAACACGTCCGAGACTACCAGGCTGAATATCCTACGATCCGACCTCTCTACCTGGCTGTACGCTTGATTTTAGAAGCCCGGGGCATATTTGGAGCCCACAAGGCATCGATCGATTCCGATGCATTGATCCTACTGCTTGCTGCGTTCCTTAAAATCAACCATGGTCGTTTCTCGCACCCCGCCGGCCTCAGCAACCAACTCCTCTCCTTCCTCCACACATACGGATCAGACATCGATTTCAGGTCAACGGGCATCTCGGCGGAGCCGCCGAGATATTTCACCGCCGAGACGGTCAAAAAAGACGCCAAGATCGTTGGTCGTCTGGAGGAGTTATCGGCTGCGCTCCGCGGCCAGCGCTCGCTGATCAATCAGAAACGAACCGCCGCGGCAAAGCGAAACTCCAACGTCGCAGACCGACTATGCATCCAAGACCCCACAAACTACATGACCGACCTCGGACGCCCCTGCACCCGGACCGCGGAGCTGCAGACTGTCTTCCTCGACACGCACGACAAGCTCCGCTCCTCCCTCCATGCATGGGACCAGAGCAGAGACCGTACCCAGAGTATCCTCGGACGTGCCCTGCATGCGAATTTTGATGCCTTCGAGCACGTCCGCAACCGGATCGTCGCCTGTGCAGGGCCTTCCTCATCTTGAAACCAGGAACGTACTTTGAAAAAAAAAAAAAAAAGATCAAACCAGGTGGAAATGCGCTACTCCACTCAATCTGATAATGTAAATAGTCCAATCTCACCCCAATATTGTACCGATAGTCCGATAGTTCAGATCCCGGTGAGAAGCGTAAGCTACTTTTTTATGACTACAAACATCTACGTAGTAGTATATATCATAGTTATAACTAAATCGCAGTATCAGTACCCCCAGTAGGCTCTATGGATATGTGGTATTATTATTTATCTGGGTCTCTAGCGAGAAAAAAGCCAATGCTAGCTAATATACACCGCTATGGATCGAATGCAAGAGACAGAGCGCAAGAACTGAACACAATCCGGAAAATAATCCAACAAACGCCCTTTCTCATCCTGCAAGTCAGGTTGGACGAATATATAAATGCCG